GATATGATCTAAATTTTTGTCTAAATCATGTGGAAGATCAATTACATCTTGTATAAAATTAAAATCATTCAAAGGAGTCATACGAAGCAATGAACTTTGGTGAATCATCCCTAATGAACCATATAAACGAAGCTCGTTAGTTTCTTCTTGACATACAATACATATCCCAGACGGAAATTGCCAATTCTTTGTATCAGTGGTATCTTGATTTATATCATTATTATTAGACATCAAAATTTCCGGAATGTCAAAATCCGAATTTTTTTCTAGAAAACTTTGCTGTTGTTGTTGAAATTGTGCCATAATTCTTGTGTGGCGTTCTTTTGCTGCTTTTTTTCTTTCTTCAAATTCTAATGACATTTTTTTTAATAAAATTGACGAATTCTGATCATCTTTAGTAAAATCTTTTTCTTCTGAGTCTATAGAAGAAACGCTAGATGTTTTTATTATGTATAAAAGCATATGAATTTTATCATGGATAAATTGCAAATCATTTTGTTTTAGCATGTTTGAAATAAGACATATTAATGTAGTATTTGTTTTGCTAGAATCCTGAGAAAATGGATTTTTGTTAAAATTTGAATTAGCGAACTTTATAAAACTGTAGGATTTGTTTTCGTGTGGTTGGATAATTTCTTGTTTAACTGAAAGAATACAAAGGTAGACAGCCTTATCGATAAGTGATTCAGGTTTTTGGTCTTGGTGTATACTATAGAGCAAACATAAATAAATCAATTTTACAAATGTTAGTGTTTGAGTAAAAAGACCTAATCCTTCAAATGGGCCATCTTTAATTGGCTGAATTTTTAAGTTTGATATTCTGTTTTTTTCATAGCAAAGGCCTTTTTCATTTGCTCTTTTCTTAAGAATAGAGTTTGCTTCTTCTTGTTGATTCCAAGAATAATGATAATAATATGGATCTATAAGATCAAAATATTGATCTTTTAAAGTATATGTTCCTTGATCATGGAGACCTCTTGGTGGACGATAAATGCATAATGAAACAAGGATGTCATTGAAGTTTTCATTATTATATAAATTCTCCGGAATTTTTTTAATAATTTCAGAATATGCTAAAGGGCCGAAACATAAAACTTGAGAAAGTTCCTTTTTTGTACTTTCATTAATGTCATGTGATAGTGTTGTAGATCTTTCTGAAAACAAGGTAATAAATAAAGATAATAGGGATTCAAACATAAAAAAATATTGTGATTTGTCATAATAAGGATGTTGTTCTGCATCTTTGAGTGACCAGATCAGTTCATCACTAATTATATCATATTGTCGAATAATTTGAAGGACAGAATCATCTAAATCTGCTCCACAGACAGTAAGAAGTTGTATCCATTTAATATCTTTATCGTATGTGTGATCTCGTAAAGAAAGATCATGATAATGATGTGCCTTTATATCTCTTTATTTCGATAATTTACATAACAAAAGTAACTTACTTGACCCTTAATTGATATTCCATTTCTAACCCAAAGCCCTGCACGAATTTGATCTATCCATGTACAAACAGAAAGAGGATAATCGCCTATTAATCTAATAAGATGCTTTTTTACCATATTTTCGCTAGCTTTAGGATTAACTTCTTGAAATTTCACTGATAATAGTTCTAGAATGGTAGAATAACCATTTTCTAATAAATTTGACTTGTTTAGAATGACTGTATTTTCAAGTAAAGATATAAGAAGCCAATGAAGAGGATGATGGAAACTAATAGGATCTCTAGAGACATTAAAAGTATTGCCAGAATGGAATGAAATTTCATTGTTAAGATAATGAATAGAAATAGGTTCAAAAGTAGGAAAACGTTCTGTTTCATACCCTAAAGACCATTGCAGAAGATATTTCATAACTATTCCTATTGCATTGCATAGTTCTGATGCAGATGCATTTTTATATGATGCAGAAAACGTTTTTATTAGTTTCGTTACTTCTATAGTTAAATGAAAAGCTGAAATCCAACTTTCGGATTCATATTCTACATGAGCTCCTGTAACTCTGTGACAAGGATTCATTCCTTGAAATAGTCTCAATAAATCTATGAATTGTAATAGATACTTAGGATTTGTTGGGATTATTCTTTGAACCAGCTTTGTATTAAGAATATATCTAATATCACCAAATATTTGACAATAACCCCTCTTAGAAAGATTTGATGTATTAAAGATAAGTACTTCTTTAGAGTCGATGATATTAGAAATATCAATATGACCATGTGTAAGAAAAGTATATATAAATCTATGAAGGCTGGTTAAAAAGTCATAAGACTGTACAAGTTTTAAAGATATATCTGGTACAGTAAAAAGCTGAACAGAAAAGTTTATTATTGACTGATCCGGTTCCGTCTCATTAAATATATATTCTTCTGCTAAAGAATTATATAATTGGGAAAAACGAATAGCTATGTAAATCATTTGTAAGTAATATATGCATATATATATATATATGATATCTCTTACCCAAAGAATGTTTGTAGTAAGATGACATGATCATTGTACTAATATATAATTCTCTCAGAGTAGATCTGATTTGTTTCCAAAGCTTTATATCAAAAGATAATAGTTTATCAATTCTCAGTTCATACTTATTTTCTGCAGATATGTTTTCTACATCAGATGATTTTGTAATAATCCAGTGAGATTCTGGTACAATTTTGTGAGATGATTGTGAAAGATGCTTTTGAGCCATTGACTTTAAAATTAGTTAATTTAAATAATCATTACTACTTACAGAAATATTTCCTCCTATAGTTGCAGACATGTTTTCTTCCGTTTCGTTATCTTCGCTTTTTAGTTCTCTAGTTAATTGATCATAAGAATTGTTACTGGTATGATTATTAAAAAAAGAATTCATTGATGCACAAGTCCCTTTTTTCCATGATTCGAAAAATAGTTTGCAAATGATATTTCGCATATAATTTTCATTGTCTTTTATTTGATATAAAGATATATCTTTAAGCCATTCAATAATTGCTCCGCACATATTTTCCCGAAATGTGTCTCTAGCACATCGTATTGTAGCTTTTAGTTTTATTTGCCCAATTTTTTCGCATATATTTTGAACTAAATCTAAGTTATCTGAAACAATAATAGTATCTCTTCCTTTTTTATCAACTCTATTTGCTACACGTTTACCAAATTCTTCATCTCTATGTGTTACTCGAGATACATGATCTATAACTTCCTGAAAGGTATGATTTTCATCATTCCATAAAATAACAGCCCAGATTGCATATGGATAATCTTCTGTTCCGTATCTATCTGAATACAATCTTGACGATCTTTCTAAGTATTTTAGACTTTGAAGATCCAATAGGTGAGGTTTTTCAGGAGAACATGATAATACATCTAACACATAGTCCAGTGCTCTTTCGATCGTCATTTCAATATAAGTCGATAGTTCTTTTGGAATGCTTGATAATTCTGAATTTTTATCAATTAGTTTATTATAATTAGATGTTTTTTGGGAATGCAATGAACAATTAATATCCACTTTCCATGCGCTATTTATTGTAAAATATTTCACCAAAAAAAACATAATTAAGAAATTACTCTGGATCTCCACAGTCGCAGCATCCACCTCCTCTAGTATTTAAACTCATCATTGTATCATGACCTTCATGATCAGATAATCTGAAACATTTTGAACAAAGAACACATGTATCATCCAATGCGCAGTTTCTAGTTAATTATTAGTGATTTGTATTGATAATTAAGATTTTTGACCTGCAATGATAAAGGGCCTCTTCCTTTTTAAATACATGACCACATGGTCCTTTATACTGACTAGTTTTGGAGGACAGTTCTTTCTCTTCCATATTTTCTCTATTTATCCTTATAATTTTATCTTCGTTATCTGAATCATCTTCAATCATAGATGTAACTGTTTTTTTTTGAAATATTTAATAATGATAATAAATGATTAGAATACATACATTTGTAAAAATCCGGATCTTTTTGAACAGTAGGATTTTTCTCTATACCTGGTATTCCTTTTTTAAAGAAAAATGTTTCTAAGCATTGATTATAACCAGTCATGGCACAAAATAGTTCATGTAAAAGAGAATTCTTGGCTCGTAGATTCCATGTATATCTAAATGCATATGGCATTTCCAACAAATATATAGAAAGGCGCTTTTCTGGCGACATTTTTTCAGGAGAATTTTTATTCATTGCTCCGCATGCTTTAAAATATAGATTTTCTAGTAAGAGTGTCGATTAAAGTCATAAATGTAAAAAAAAATTGAAATATTTGTTTTAGAAATATATATATATTGTATCCTTTTCAGTAATAATAGACAGAATTTTTGGTCGTAACAAGATAATAGGCTCTAAATTTTAGGAGATAAGTTTTATGCTTTAAAGAAATATGATATTATAAAAAATAAAAATGTTATAAAAAAACAAACACAAAAACGAATTTAGTACAATCCAGATGTTTTTATTCAGATGCTGCAATTTTAAAAGTTTTATTATTTTTTGTAGAATATATTTTTATTATAAAATCATTTGATAAGCAAATATAGTTGATAGTGTTGGAAGAATTTGTTATAGACTATTCTTCAATATAAAGATTACGAATATCTTTCCATTGTTTCTATGTTTTTTAGAAAAAAAGTAATGTAAAAAAGCATGCTTACTCCTCGATTAGCATAATCCCATATGGCTTGTGTTCCTTGGTCAAAAACTCTATAAATATTTAAATAAAATGTAAGTGTTATTAGAAAAATATGAATACTAACATTTTGAAAACAAATGTTGATGCGAATATTGTTCCTATTAAAATTGAATTTTTACGAAAAATTAATTGATAAATTCGAGTTGAGATCTATAGATTTATATTAGTTTTTTTATTAAAAAATTAAATGCAAATTCATATTAGCATATTTTTACCATCTTATTTACTATTTTTATATTTTCCGTTTATAAAGTATTCAATCATAGATTTTATAATCTTAAATTTGTTTTGAAGTTTTCGATTCCGTTTAGCAAATGTTGAAAATTGATATTCAAAAAAATAATAAAAGAGCTTCTGGAATTAAGAGTCTTCAAGGTAGACTTATTGAACTTTTGTGTTATATTTTGGGTTTCTAAATGATGTGCATTATATTTAGATGGTAGCTCAATAATTCCATCGTCTGTACGCCCCGATGGATCAATTAGAAGCGAAAGAAAAGTTCGGCCAGGATACGTTCCTCCCGAAGATATATCTGTATATAGAGCAGTGCATTATGATGGATCTTGTCAGAGAATGAGTTGTAATCAACTTGGGGCTCATGGATATCGTCCTCCTGGAGCAATGGTTTCCTCTAATTTAAGCAAGAGTGCAAAAAAAAGGGCAAAAAGGAAGGAAAAATTTCAGAATTCAAAGGATGATACTGAATGTTCTGAATCAAAGACTAAGGACTGTCACTCGATTATTGATGATATTGAAAAGTGCATGAGAAATTTCAAGATTAAAGAAACAAAAAATTGAAACATGTTTCAAGAATGAAAATGTATTTCGATAATTAAACTAGAAAAGAAAAAATGATGAATAAAAGCATTAATATTATATAAGGTTCGAATGTATTATAGGTTTAGTATAAAATGTATGTATAATAGGGTTTAAGAAGTTTCTTAATTATTTTATTTAGATTGTTATATTTACATTATAATTTTCAAAGTTCTAAACTTTTTGTGAATAAGAGTTGGCACTTGCATTGATATTTATTTTGATTGATACTAGTTGATATCGATATATAATTGAGATTTATAATATAGATATGCTTTATATTAATCAATGGCTAAGGTTTTGAAATCAATCACTTTTAAAAAAAAATATGTTTTATTTATTTATTTTGACGTTTTAAGTAGTATAGTTTATTCTTAATTTTCCCTGTTAAATTTTATATTTTGAATTTTGTATTCAAGACTTTTTTTTGAAAGTTTCTTGAATATTTTTAAATTTTAGAAAATATTTTCATTTAAATGTTGTTCCTTGATTTTTTTGCTAAAGTTTAATTAGAGATTTTTTTTTTGAGAAATAAAACTATGAAGTGTTAGTTTCTGTCAAATATTTAAATGTAATAAAATTAATATAGTATAGGCTTTGTACTATGGTGTCGGGTTTTCTGAGAATAACTATGTTTTATTTCTCACAGATAGTGCTATTTGAAAAATAATAAAAGGGTTATTTTCTGAAAAATGGTTTATTGTTTTTCATTGGAGAAAATAGGGAATCATTTGTAATGTTATATTATTACTATTACGAATTATCAATTTTATTTAGTTAATAACATTGATTTTTTGTTTTAATAGTTTTGATTTGGAATTTATAATGACATGATGTTAATAGGTGTTGTGCGAATTGTTTTATAGATGTATTTTATAAAAATTGATATGTGTTTGAATTGATTTCTCCTATTTCTTAAGGTTAGAAACTTTTTCAATATAATAAGTTTCCCTAAAATTTTATGTATAGGCATATTATGTTATTTCATTTTTATATAGAGATATAACAGTATTTTAACGTAACAATTCAATATGCATTATTCAAATGAATTTGAAAAAAATATTACATTAGAAATTACAATTAATGCATAGGATTGGCTCTGTAATAAATTAAAATGTTATTTTATTTAAATATGTTTTTTTTATATCTTTGAATTTTTTTGAATTTGTCTTTTAATTGTTATGAAATTATAATTTATACTTTATGTTTCATTGTCATCCATTTAATTTATTGATATTTTTCTATACTTAAACTATATAAAATCATATTATACATATTTATAATCAAGTATTAAAGAATATTATGGTTTTCGAATGTCGTTGATGTATTTTTGAAGTTTTTATTGATAATATATATGCATTAAATCTTATATATCTTGCGCATTTTAATGTTACTTGATAAATATATTGTATCATTTATTTCCTTTTTGTCTTAAATAATATTTTGAATATTTTAATTTTATAAGAGATTATTGTATATTTTATAAAAAGTAGTTTAATTCAAGTAGAAATATTATGATGTCTCAAGGATATAGTTTACTTTTTTATGAAATACTATATTTTGTGAATATATAAGAATTTTATATTAAACATATAAAAGGAAATATATGTTTTTTGAATTGTTTTTAATTTTATATAGCTTGATGTAATAATTAATTAGTAATATATTTCTATTCTATATATTCATTATTGAAAAAAATTATATACTATTGGCTTTATTGTGTTTAAATTTGGAATATTTCCGAATAAATGACATTTCAATGAGTTTTTTATGGTGTATTTAAAAGTGGTTCGAGTTATTGATTTATTTTAGGACTTAGGTTTTTGACCTCGTGACGTTTATTTTATCGGATTTTTTAAGACTAATTTTATTAGTTGTTTCTATATTTGAGATTTTTGTTTAGGGTTTTTTTAGTTTTGAACATGGCTCCTTCATCCAAAAGAGCAAAAAAGGTTTCAGAATCTCTTAACTCTCGTCTTGCTTTGGTAATGAAATCTGGAAAATGTGTTTTGGGTTATAAATCTACTTTGAAGACTTTACGCAGTGGAAAATGTAAGTTATTTTGCTTTTAGAATCTCTTTTTTTTATTATTGTTTTAGCAAAACTTGTAGTTATATCAGGGAATTGCCCCTATTTAAGAAAATCGGAATTGGAATATTATGCTATGTTAGCAAAAACTAATGTTCATCATTACTCTGGCAATAAGTATTTGGTTTTCTCTTTTAAAATTTATTTTTATTTTAATTAGTATTGAACTGGGTACTGCATGTGGGAAGTTTTTCCGTGTTTGCGTTTTAAGTATTACAGATCCTGGTGATTCAGATATTCTTACTTCGACTTTATAAATTATTGGTTCTATATATGAATATGTTTTCAATTGATTGTATATGATATTATTTGTATTATATATGATTTTTATATATAAAATAATCTAATATACACATTTATTTGGATACAGAGTTTTTCTGTATTTTTTTATATTTATACAATATTTATATGTAAACTGTATTCAATATTATCTGGTTTAAATTTGGTTTTTCTTTTAATCCAATATTAATGTTTGAATTATGTATTTTTGTCAAATAAATAAATATTCTGATTATAATTTTGTTAATTGTAATCGGTATTCTATAAATAGATGAATTATATAAAAAAAATAAGAAATACGATTAAGTTATTTATTTTTAATTATTTTTGTTTTGTGCTAGTATTTTATGAAAAATTTGTTATTTCATTCTTGGGATGAAATAAATTGTAATAAGTTTTAAGAGATTTATGTTCATTTTTTTAAAATCTGGAAATTTAATAAAAGTTTTTTTTAGAAAGGTTCATTAAATTTTTAAAAAAACTGTAGAAAATATTGTTTATGGGTAATTATTGAATAATTATGTTTTTTTGGATTTTTTTATAATTTAAAGTTTATTAAAGGTTTTGTAATTTAGCAATTTGCAATCTTTTGATCAATATTTATAGTTTTAATAAATTATTTTATATTGTATAAAATTGTTGTCTTTATTGACGTTTATTTCTATATATTTAGATTTAAAATAATATTTATATTGTTATTTTCTTAAAAAAAATTAATAAAGATTAGCATTTTATAGAAATAATGTATTCTAATATAGCGTTTATTGAAAAATGTGTTTTGGTTTTTAAATGAAGATATTTGTTTGTTTAAATTTAAAATTTGAAATATAAAATATTAATTTATAATAAAAATAAATTTTTATTTAATTTTATTACGCGATATATTATTTAGAATTATAAAAAATGTCTAGAAAATATAAATTTTAAGAAAATAGAATTTATTTTTTCTTTTTACCTAAATATTTTAATTTTAAAGTACGATTAATTTTAATTAAAATTTACAAAGTTATTTTTATAATATTTATATATTTTGGAAAGATCTTTTATTAATAAAAGATAATTTCATAATCTATAATAGTAAAATAATATAAAATATTATATTTATGAGATTATATTAATTTTATATTAAAATTTTTATATTTATGTTTAAATGTTTTAGTAATGTTATTTTTATAATCTTTACAAAATATAGTTTATATATTGTTTATATTTAAATTTATTAAATTCTTAAAGATCTTGTTTTTTTGTTTTTGTTTTATAAAAAGGATTTTATTTATTAAAATATAAAAATTAATATATTCCTATTGTTTATACTTTGATATGAACCATGGCAATTGTTTTTATTTTAATAAATATACAAAGATGTTTAAATTATCTTATATATGTTTAATATGATTTACTAGAAAAAATAGCAATATTTGATTAAATTTATTCTGATCTTTAATTTTATAATTACACTTATTTTATATCTAAAAAGTAATGATATTTAATTTTTACAAAGAGTTATTCATTTGAACGCTTTTGCACTTTATTGTTTTTATTAATAATCTTTATGTGAAAATATAATACTTAAACTCAGTATGATATGAATTGTATCAAATTTCTATAAGATACAAATATTAGACTTTAAATAAATTTTGTTCACCCTAATAAGTAATGATACTTTTGTTTTTAATTTTTTTTGGTGAAAATAGTTTATAACTATCCATTATGTGCAAAATTTTATAATTTTTATTTGGTATTATATTTTACGTACTTTTAAAGTTTTGCTGCACATGGCACAGCCACTTAATGCAAAAACAATGGCTGCTGGATGAAATTCAAAAAAGGAATTTTTGTATATTACTCCAAAAGGAAGTTTTTCAAGGATCCAACCGGATCTAACCCACCAAGCCATCATAGCAACTATTGACAATGTAGTTGGAATTGGTGTACCTTCGAAATATTTCAATTTTCCATATTTGTTTTTTGGTAATGAATCGACTGAGATATTAAATCTTGCCAACCTAGAAATCCCACAAAGTACAAAAAAAGAAAGAATTATGCTGTCTATTAATGTTCGTATGCCTAAAGCAAATGCAAATACCGATGGTGCAATACCAAAAGATACCTAATAATTTTAGTACGAAAAATATATATAATTACTAACTAAATCAGCTAAACTATCAAGTTCTCTTCCTATAAAGTTTAGATATTTCTTTCTCAAATGCAAAATATATAGATATTTAACCCATTGGAGAGCTTTTTTTCCTCCATCTAGCCACTCTTCCGTCTAAGAAATCAAAACATAATCTTCTATAATTAATATATTAATTTTTTTTATAAATGAAAAACACCCTAATGGCATTAATGTCATGGATTTCCAAAGCCATGTAGTATCTAGTGGATCTCCAAGACAATATTTCATCGATGAAAATACGCTCATGATACCACAAAATCCTTCAATAGTTATTAGTAATTAAAAGGAAAAAATAAAAAATTAAACCATTTAGTTCCGTAATGAAGTCTGCTAGTTGGAGAGTTCTAGATTAAATATTATATTTAAAATTATTTATAATTGATCTAACCGAATCAGTGAAAAGTGTTTGTCATCATAAATATTAGTAGAAGACTTTTTTTCTTAATTAATAATTTTAGCAATATACATTTAAATTAATGTTACTAATTCATTACCTGTTTTATTTAATATAGGTGTTTTGTTTTTAGGCATTTTTCAGTGGTTTTGTAAATTCATATATCGATGTGTAGAAACATGTAAATGAAATAAGCTTTTAATTAAAATGATAATATAAACGGAAATATACAAAAACTTCGTAATATATACTATGGAAAAAGTGTAAAATCTTTTTATCAAATTAATATTTTTCAATTAGGTGTTTTTTTATTTTAAAAATCTATTTTTAAAACTTTTTTTAGCGATTGCGTTTAAAATTTCTTTGACTAGTTTTGGGTTTTTTAAAAGATGCAAAATTTTTACGGCCGCTTATTGAGGGCCTATCTTTCTTATTGAATTTTTGATGAGACCTGTTACCTTTGGCTTGATTACCAGTTTGAAACATACCATGTTTTTTTTTTAGGATGGTAGATTTAGGCAGTGATAAAAACCGCTCAAGACTAACATGATATTAGAATTTTAACGCCTATAAAATATATATGTTACGGTAAAAGTTTATCACTTCCAATATATACTTTGTCTCCTGTATGAAATGATGTTGCAATAATGCCTTCTTGTGGTTTAACAGTAAAATATACCTGATTTATTGGTCCAAGAATTTCATCAATTTTTCCAATCAAACACTATTATTAGTGTTAAAAATATATGTTATATAATAAATTTATACATTATTTTCAAGATATATAGGAGCATTAAAGTATGGTATTTTTGTATGTGTTGATGCATATAACATTTCTCCTTCGCAAGCATGTACAAATGAACCAATTTCTGAAGAAAAAAATGTAAAATAAGAATTTTATTAATGCTTTTTCTGCTTACCAACATTATTTGTATTAGCTGAAGTATTACTATATCCCCTCCATTTATTTTTGTTTTGAATATGACTCTGAAAATATTGTTTGTTCATTAAAAGGTTTGAATTTTTAGAGATCGTAGAATGTTCTAATGATTTCAAGATTTAACAATTTGACTACTTGAATGAAATATAAAAATATGCACAAAGAAAACTCAGCTGATCAATTTTGATAGAATATAATGGAAATCAAAGAGAGCTATAGTACAACTGTTTCTATTAAAATCATAAATTTTTAATTGTCGAAATATTCTTCCGATAGAAATTAAAGATTTAGTGTGTCCCCTTAGGATAGTTTTTGTGTTTTTTATGTTATTCTCGATTGATTTTTCATTTTAGGATATTTTTCAACCACCTTAATAGTTATGATTATTTACAATTGTTTTTGATAAAATAGATATTTTGATTTCTATATATTTTCTTAGAATAGCATTATTTTCGAATTTTAAAGAGAAATGAGAAATTAGAGGAAATTTAAAGAAATGAATGACAGGTATTTACTTGAGGTTTGTATATTTTGAAAAAAAAAAGAAAAATAAAATAAGATTTATCTAAGATTATTTAGAAACCAGTGTTTATAGATCATCGGATTTCTATGTTTGAAAGGCTTTATGATGAATTTAAAAGAGAAATACAGGGTATGTTAATATTTTTCACGAAAAGTAAATGGTTTATATTAATAAATGACTGATTTTGGTGAATAGATAAAGAGCGTTTAGAAATTGAGATTACTCTTCCAGATGGTAGTTCACTGAAAGGAGTGAGCTGGGAAACTACACCTTTGGAAATTTCTAAAAGAATATCTAAAAGTTTATCTGAAAGGGTTGTAATCGCTCAGGTTAATGATGTCTTGTGGGACTTGGAGCGACCGTTTGAAAAGTCATCTACTTTAAAGTTATTGGATTTTAATACTCCTGAAGGTTTTATTTTAAAAAAAAAAAAAAACATATAAATTGCCTAATTTTAAATAGGAAAAAAAGTATTTTGGCATTCTAGTGCGCATATTCTTGGTGAGGCAGCAGAAAGATACTATGGGTGTTATCTTTGTATCGGGCCACCAACTGACGATGGATTTTTTTATGAAATGGCAATTTCTAATAGGTATTTTAATAGATGATTATTGTTTTATTTTTAATATTTTTAGAACTGTACTTAAGCAAGATTATTCTGATTTGGAAAATTTGATTAAATTTATTATATCTGAAAAACAACCGTTTCAACGTTTAACTGTAACGAAAGAGAATTTATTAGAAATGTTTAAACATAATAATTATAAACAAACAATTATATCGTCGAAAGTCCCTGATGGTGAATCCTCTACTGTTTATCGGTGTGGCACTCTTGTGGATTTTTGTATGGGACCTCACGTACCTCATACTGGGAAAATAAAAGCATTAAGTATATTGAAGGTTAGTTTTTTATATTTTTTTGATTTAAAAAAAACGTCTTATTAGAATTCGTCTTCGTATTTTATGGGTGATGTTACAAAAGATTCGTTGCAAAGAATCTATGGTATAAGTTTTCCTGACAATAAACAAATGTTAGACTATATGAATTTTCTTGCAGATGCTGAAAAGAGAGATCATAGAAGAATTGGAAGAGTAGTTTATTTAATTAGTATGAATTCTATTTTAATAAAATTAAAGGAACAGGAGCTTTTTTTTTTTCATGAGCTCAGTCCTGGTAGTTGTTTCTTTTTACCTCATGGAACTCGCATATACAATCGATTATTGGAATTTATAAAGTCTGAGTATAGAAGACGGGGGTTTAATGAAGTTATAACACCAAATATTTATAATTCGAAACTTTGGAAAATTTCTGGACATTGGCAAAATTATTCTGAAAATATGTTTTCATTTGATATTGAAAAGGAACGATATGCTTTAAAGCCAATGAATTGTCCTGGTCATTGTCTTATGTTTGCAATGCATGATAGAAGTTATCGTGATCTTCCTTTAAGATATGCAGATTTTGGTGTTCTCCATAGAAATGAGTTTTCTGGAGCCTTGGCTGGATTAATGCGTGTTCGAAGGTTTCAACAAGATGATGCACATATTTTTTGTACTTTTGATCAAGTTAAGTTGAAATATTTTGTTAGAATAAATATCTTATATATTTATTAGGTTAAAGAAGAGATTATGAATTGTTTTGAATTTCTAAAATATGTATATGAAATATTTGGTTTTTCTTTTAGGTTAAAACTTTCTACTCGTCCAGAAAAATTTATTGGCGATATTGAAACATGGAATCGAGCAGAAAAAAGTTTAGAAACCGCTTTAAATAATTTTGGATTGCCATGGGAAATAAATCCAGGTTAATATTATATGTATATATATCTATAGTTCTTGATATATTGATATAATATTATAGGTGATGGTGCATTTTACGGACCAAAGGTTGTATTTTTAAAAAAAAAAGTGTCAATTTAATGATTAAAGGTTGATATTGAGATTTCCGATGCTTTAAGGAGGCATCATCAATGTGCTACAATTCAGCTTGATTTTTTTTTGCCAGAATGTTTTAACTTAGAATATCGTTTGGCTTCTGATGAAAAAAAAAAATCCATTTATGCAAGGCCTGTGATAATACATCGTGCCATACTTGGAAGTATTGAAAGGATGATTGCTATTTTGATTGAGCATTATGGTGGAAAATGGTAATATGCTTTTTTTTTTAATATTATTCTAATTTTAGGCCATTTTGGCTTTCACCTCGTCAAGTAATGATTATACCTATTTCAAAGGCATTTAAGGATTATTCAAAGCATGTATATGATAAACTTTATGATAATGGATTCTATGTTGATATAGATTTGAGTGATAATACTTTAAATAAGATGGTTAGAAATGCCCAAATAGCTCAATATAATTTTATATTCGGTATTATATAATCTTTTGGGATTCTAAATATTTACGGATAGTATAGTTATTGGTCAGGAAGAATTAGATTCAAATACAGTGATGATACGAAATCGAGACGACCAGTCAAAACATATTCGAATTTTGCTTGATGATGTTATAATTAAACTTAGATATCTTCAACTTTGTAGAAAAAATGAGAATAGTTTTTAGAATAATTATGGAGTAATCGTAGAAATATATTTATTTTTATAGAGTACTATATATATATATATTTAGAGTACTATATATTTTTTTCGATATTCCCGACTTTTTTAAAAGATTATTCTAAAAAAAAAAGTTTAGTTCTACCCTTTTTTAAAATAATTCAATGGGTTTTCCGGAGACAGCAGTTCTTAGAAGTAGATCTGAGAGTAATCAAGAAAAGCTTCCGGATATGTCTCTTGCTTTAAAAGAAAATTTGTCTCGAGATGCACATTATAACAATTTAGATTCTATATTTTCATCTTCTTTTTCAAAGAATCTGGATCCTACGAAAAATCTTGCTTCTCGTTTTAGTTGTAAGATTTATGATAATTTGTCTTTCAGTTTTTTTTACTGGTAATTAGCGTGGAAAGTTTTGTTAAAAGAGCTTGTTATTTATTTTAAGGCGGTTATTAATATTGAAGAAGTCAAGGCAAATGAGTTTAAAAAATTAGGCAGTATACTTAATGTGAGTTTTTTAATATTTTTATATATTTTAAAACGTTTGAATAGATTCATTCTAATGAAAAATCTTTTCAAGATGGTGGAATTCAAGAAGTTGAAAAAGTCTTTTGTGAATGGAATCGGAAATATTCCACACATTTGTCTATGATACCAGGCAGTGTAAATCAGGAAATTATTTTGAAGTTGGAAAAACTTAGAGTAATGTTGAGTGAACGTGTTAAAGATATTTCGAAGATGTCTTCTCAGTTCCGTAATAATTTAAGTAAGGAAGCAGATACTACTAAAAAGGTGATATTGGATCTGCTATTTAATGTTTTAAATTAAGAATATTAGTTGATGGAAATTTATAAACAATCTTTGTTAAGATGGGAATCTAGTCCTTATCAGATTACTCCTAGAACAGATCCATATATTATTAAGCTTTCTTTAGAAAAGCAAATCGCACAAACTCTTTTAGAAGAAAATGCTTTACAACAGGCTTATTTAAATATAGAGAATTATTGTCGTAATATTGAAAGATCTGTAATAAATACTGTTCGAGAGGTTTTTAGTGAATATAAAGATATTCTTCAAAGAGAAGTCTCATTTATATCTGATTTTAATAAGAACATTGTTACTGCAGATGATTCTATTTCTCTTGATAAGGGATGGAATAATTTTCTTAGAGAAGGTAATTTTATCTTTTAATTAATTTTATTTTATATTAAGCTTTATTAGATTCTGTATTCAAACTTCTTATTGGAGATTGATATGTTTTTTTTTTTTTTTTTTTTTTTTTTTGATTTTTTTTTTTTAATTTTTTTTTTTTGTAATTTCCGATAAAAAATTTTTGATTTAATATATTTATTAAAATAAATAGCAATTTTTATGTTTAAGTATTTCTTTTTCTAGGATGGCTGACATAGATTCTTCTTCCAGCAATCCTAAGGATTCTGTTAATTTCCGGAAACTTAGGTATTTTTGTGATCTTTTATATGCTCAGAATCATCCCGCTGTTAAAGAGATACGCAGTGGTTTTCTACAAAAGAGAACTAGAATTTTGAAATCCTATAATAGCAGGTTTTATGTACTTACTGCATCTGGGTTTCTTCATCAATTTAAATCGGATAATCTTTCTTCCGATCAAATACCACAAATGTCCTTATGTCTTCGTGAATGTGAAATTTGCGAGCATAGTTCTGCTGATTCTCAGAAATATAAATTTTCTTTGAAGGGATCTAAAAATGGAAGTTCTGGTCGGTATGTTGTTGGCTATATGTGCTTGTAGAGATGCATAGGCCTTATGTTTTTATAGAATTCATACATTTGTTTTTAAAACAAACACGTATGATGACATGATTGATTGGTATAATGATATAAAGAAATTCACGGGGTTATTGAATATGCCTGAAAATGAATTCAGGGATTATATTGTAGCCTTGCAAGTAGGAAATTCAGTGGATGGTCAAGCAACAGATAGTAATATATTGTTGATGTTTTGTTGAAGCTCTTACATTTTTAGTTCCAAATGATGCATCTGATCAGGAAAAGAAGTTTTCATTAGTTTTGAAAGATGATTTTAAAGATGATGTTGATATTATGACATCAGTATCCAGTGCTTTTTATGAGACAAAATCTTCGGTTCATAATGTAATTTGTTGATATAAGCATATAAATTTTGTTTAATATTAAAAAGGGACAAATGGATCATACGGCAAATAAAGAGTGTATCACGAATGAAAATGGTGATCTAAATAAAAATAGCGTAAATAGCATTTTTTTTAATTGATTTATCTGATATTCTGTTTTAGTCTTTTAGTGGAGAGGTTTAATTGATTAATCTATATTTTTATGATTAAGAGTAAATAGAACAAAATATCTGTTTGTATAAACGGTGATATTACTTCTGGACAGGTTAGTTTTTTATGTAGGTTTTAGAGATTGGTTTTTGATTTTTTAGGAGAAATCGGAGAAGGATGTGTTAACTGATACTTCTGCTTTATTGAATACTTCTGGTACATGTGTAAATGATTCTACTGACCTAAAAGACACGACTTTTGGGTCTTCAAGGTTGTGTTTTTGATGTTTGAGGCTATATATTAAATTTGAAAAGTAATTCTTCGTATTCATCAACAAATGAATATTCATGTCCTATGGATATTCAAAATTCTCCTCCTAATCATAAATCTGATTTAGGCAAACCAGTAGTTGATACGCAAAAGGTAGAGTAGCTATTTGTTTTCTAAAGTAATGTTATTAATGATTTAGAATTCTAATCAAAGAGATCGGTAATAATTAGTATGTTTATTTTTGTTTTTTTTTCATGTTTACATTAGATCTTGTTCTTTACATCCAGTACTTGAACCTCAGGTAAATAATAGTCAAGGATTATGTTCTTCATTATCATATCCTGGTTTATCTCAATCGCCTTTGTCTGCAACTACACAATCTAAATTTAAGGAGGATTTGGGACAGGCTGCTCTTTCTAATTTGGATGTAAGTGACATTTCTGACAATAAATTAGATTCAGAGCAACTGCAATGTTCAAAAAATATCGGATCAGTGAATGGGGCAGATAATATATCTGGTATGCCTTCTGATAAAGCATTAGATAGCGCAGAATTATGTTCTCGAAAGTCTATAGTGGAATCGGAATGTCAATTGCCTTCTGCTGTTTCTGATTCAGAAGTTTTGGGGAAATCTAATCATAAAGAATTAAAAGAAAATTTGAAAGTATTAGATAATAATGATTATTTAACTAAGGAATTACATAAAAGTGATAAGGATGTTCCTAGCAAAAACGTATAGGGATATGAAAACTATAACATGTAATATGGAATCGTATTTGAAATAGTTTATGATGGTTTATCCTCAATATTTCTGAAAATATAATATTTATCAAGATTATGATAATTTTTTTGAATTTTTATATATTTTTGAGATTTATATATTGTAGATGGTTTTGGATGATGAAATTTACTATTTTTGATTATAATTATTTGTTATGTAATTATATGTTACTTTTTATTATTAAAATATCAAATTTTTATTTTAGACATGAAAAGTCATATGAAATATTTAAGATAGTATCATTATGGTTTTTATTAATTTATTTTTGATTTTGGATTAGTATTTTCTTATTGAAATAAATTTTAGATGATGAAGTCACTTTTGGAAATCTACGTAAGAATTTATTTAATGCAATAAGATGGAAATATAAAAATAAAACTAGAATATAATTTATAATTAAGATGCAAAACATCTATAGAATTGATGAATATAATTTAATAATTTTTATATAATATCGGCAATAATATCATTTAATAGTTTCCTTTGTGTATTGAGTAGTTTTATTTGTTCTTGAGATAATTTTACAGGATAATCGATATCTACATTTAGATCATCTGTCTCAAGTTTCGTTGTTTTAGAATGCTTAATAATTTCATTTTCAGGTATGACTACTTCATTATAATTCTAGATTATTTTAAAAGGCAATTATTTTAAATAGAAGTGAGTATACTAGGATTTTATCTATACGTTTTAAAAGCTTGTTAATTTCAAATATGTTTTCTCCTGTGCTTTTTCTGATATTTACTGTACATAAATATTTGAAGTATCTTTGAGTAAGTTCAGATGATAGAATTTTCTGTTTTTCAAGCAAGTAGCTAAAAAAATTAGGTGATTTTAAAAATTCTCCATAAAATAGTCGACATGTGTAACTCTTAGAATAATTTGTAGTTTTTTTAAAGGGAATAAAAGGCCCGTAAGATGCTAATGAATTAAGAAAGTCTTCTTTTCTAAATGGTTTTAGTTTAGGTATGTCTTTAAATAAATTTCTTGTAATGTTAGAATTCGAGCATATATATATCTTCGGGATTAAAGACTTACATTTCAGTAGGCATTAGTGTAAAAAGATATTTATCGATTGGTTTTAGAAAATTCTCTGTAAGTTTTGAAAAATAGTATAAAACAAAGTTATTTAAAACAACATAATCTATTTAGATTATAAATTTTAGAGTAAATAATAAAAACAAATTATACCTCTTTTTGATAAAAGATTTATACGTATATTCGAAATTTTCTGTAAAAATTTTTTATCTTTAGCTACTGTTCTTTTATGTATAAATTTTAAAGTAGGTGTAATAACTATAGAATATTGCTTAATACGATTCGTATTTGCTATAAGACTTATGTTTTTGTTAATTTTTTCCGTATTTTTGCAATTACATACTTGTTTTTTCTCATTAGTATAATATTACAAATATTTTCAAAGAATTTAATAATTACTGGATTCGTTACACCCAAGATAAAGCCTTTACAAGATGCCTAGACAAAGTAAAACAATATTAATGATGATGAAACAACATTACATGTGCGTGATCTAAAAATACAGCAAAATCATTCCCTTGAATAGTAAAATAAGGTCTATAAGAAAGTAAGATAGAAGATAAATTTTCATAAATATAACCTATAGTCTCCAGAATATTTTATCTAAATCGCTATATTAGAATTTTACAAAAAAAAAAAGTAGCATACGGGTTTTATTAGATCCATTAATGTAAGAACCATTTCAGTAGATATATTTGGATTATCCGTAAGTAATAATAAAGGTTTCCCAAGAAGTATAACCTCCCATATTGTATATAAAGATACTATTGTGCTATGAAAATATGAAAATAGAGGTGCTCCAAAAGTAAATGCAGATATCTAATGATCAGATTAATGTAAATCAAATATCTTATGTAGCTTACATGTTTCTCTGTAGGAAACTTTCTTAGAGAATATATGTTTTCTATATTTGAAGTTTCTATAGATGATGGGAAAATATCTGTATAGTAGATATCCCCCATAAAAGGAAGTTTTAGAATAAAATTTGATTTAAGGCTAGGCCATTTTGAAATGGTATGTATAGCAGTTTCTAAAACTGAAATATCATAATTTAAGAAATAGTTTTGACCTAATATAGATACTATTTTGGTAAAAATACCTGGAAAAGAATTTACGCTTAATAAAATAATAGATTTCTATATGTATTAAAAGCATACTGGCCTTTATAATAATAATATACCTGAAAATATCCTCTTTCTGCTGAAGTGTCTCTTTTTTGGCTGAAAAAAACATAGCCATTTATAAAGTTTTCATTTGCATTAAAATTATAGATTGTTTTTTTTAAAGTATTTAAACGAATTCTAAATGAATAAACGATATCTATCTCTTCTTCTAAGTTTGAATCAGGGAATGATGAAAAACAGCTGAAATTTTATTAGTATATCTTTATTTAAAAAAAATAATTACATATTTTTTCTCTCTTCTTCAGAAAAATTAAAATATGGATAAATTATTTCTAAATCTTATATGAATTATTAGAAATAAGATACCTAAATATTTAATAAACCTTGCCCAAGTTTAATATCTATATAATTAATACTATTAAAAGTTAAAAAAAGGGAAGATAAGGCATACCAAAGTTTATTACTAGAAAACAAAGACACCATTCAAGAAATCTTTCTTGTCCCTTTTCATCTATTTCGATAGGCCATGATTTAAGGTTTCTTTCTTCCAATTCAATATAAGGAGTTTTTATTGATAATTCATCAGCTTTAGTTTCCATGAAAGCTAAAAAAAATGATTTAAAAAATAGACATAAATAGTCTTTTTAAAGTGCTAAACAAAATTTTATTGTTATTCTAATGTTAGTAATCGGATTTCTTTTAAATACTATTTAAAAGAATAATCATTTAAATTATTTTTTTATATATTTTTGTAGTTCGAGTGATTTTTATGATTGATTTTAGTTCATTAAAAATAATTTGGAATTAAATAATTTAAATTCGTTAGGCACGGTTTTGTATCTTGATATAGGATCTTATTCCTTTAATGGGTCAAATATCCTTAGAAATACTAATTGGTTAACAATTTTATAGATGATTCTATACTTCAAGGTCTTCAAAATCGTCTTTATGAAAAAAGAAAATCAGCTGCATATGAGGTTGAAAAGTATGTAATTTTCTTCCTTTAAATGGTATTTAATTGTAAGGCTCACTCGCGAATGTCTTAATAATAATGATACAACAAGAATAAGACAAATAATTGATATTCTTTGTCAGGATTTTATTTATGGACCTTCACGTGTTGTTAACTCTATGTTTGGTGGACTTATTGGTCTTGCCGCTGTTGTAATAGCTATTGGACAGGTTCATATTTGATATCATATATTTGTTTATTCAATATTATAGGACGTAGCTGAATATTTAGAGGATATTGTCCCCCCTGTCTTGTCATGTTTTTCGGACCAAGAATATAGAGTCAGATATTATGCTTGTGAGAGTATGTATAATATTGCAAAAGTTGCAAAAGGAGAGATATTATTATATTTTAATGAAATTTTTGATGCTTTATCCAAGGTAATAATATTGAAGAAATATAAAAAATATATATGTTTATTTTGACAGCTGTCTTCTGATACTGAGCCATCTGTAAAAAATGGTGCAGAACTTCTTGATCGTCTTATAAAAGATATAGTTTCTGAAAAGGCTACGAGTTATATTTCTGTTTTACATTCATGTAGTCCAATCAATTCTTTTAAGGCTTTAAACATTGACTCATCTGCTCCTCTTATTGTTGAAGAATCAAAGAAATCCATTGCATTTTCGTTGGAAAAGTTTATACCAATGCTTTCTGAACGTATATATGTAATAAATCCTTTTACCAGGATGTTTTTAGTATCATGGATTACAGTCTGAAATCTTTGATTTTTTATAACTTTTTTGATTGTTAAAGGTTCTTGATTCGGTCCCTGATTTAGAACTTATTACATATTTGCCTAAATTCCTTGATGGATTAATCAAATTTTTAAGCGATTCTCATCAGGATGTTCGAAATGTTACTGACAGAGTTTTAATGGATTTTTTATCAGAAATAAAAAGAATTTCTAATATAAAAAAAGGCCTTGTACTTAAAAAAGTTAAATCTGGTGCATCTTTCCAAAGTTCAATAAATGGCGATGATATTCAAAATGATTTAATGTTTGTTGAAGATGGAAAATGGATTCCTGGTCAAGATGTGTTTATTCATTATTCTAAAATCATCGAAATATTACTTCCTCATATTAGTTCTTCTGGTTAGTATCTTAAATTTCGTTTTTTTATTAATTTAAAAAGAAGAGTCAATACAGTTGATGGCGTTAAGATGGATTGCTGAATTTTTTAATATTTGTCCTGTTGATCTTTTAAAATTTATACCACGTCTTATATCACTTGTTCTTCCTGCATTATCTTTAGGGGGTGAATCTTCACGTCAGGCAGCTTTAGAGATTAATCAAAATCTTTGTAATTTGGTATCAGAAGCATTGAAGAGTAATAAGATTACTATGAGACTAGCCCAGTTTCATTCATCTAAGTCATTTTCTAGTGAAACTGATCTTTCTTTTCATAAAGTTATGAAAGATGATCAAAAAAATGATGTTTTTTCATCTTTTAGGGATATTTTGGATTATTCAAGTACCGTAAATGCACTTACGTTGCAATTCTTAGATGAACATGAGCAAACGCGAGTTGCTGCATTGAATTGGCTTATTATGCTGCATAATTTGGCTCCTCAAAAGGTAGTGTTTATAAGTTATTTTTATTATTTTAATTTAATTTAAAAGGTTCTTACTTTAGATGATGGTACGTTTCCTTCTCTTTTAAAAATTCTTTCTGATCCTAGTGATGAGGTATGTTGGTTTATTTCTTAAGATTTTTATACATGATTGTTTAGGTTATTATAAAAGATTTACAGCTTCTTGCGCAAATCTCGTCTGCTAATAAAGATGATTATTTTGATGCATTTATGGTTAATTTATTATCGCTTTTTAGTACTGATCGTAGGTTACTTGAAACTCGTGGGAGCTTAATTGTTCGTCAGTTATGTATTTATCTTAAATCGGAAAGAATATATTGTACATTAGCAGAAAATTTAGAAAAAGATGAGGTATGCGATCTTTTTATTGTTTTTAGTTTTTGAAATATATACTAGGATTTGGAATTTGCAAGTATTATGGTGCAAAATCTGAACAATAATCTTATGACTTCACCAGAGTTATCTGACTTTCGAAAAAGACTTAAAAATTTGGAATTTAAGGTATTTTTATCTTATATATATACATATATATATATTATTCTTTTAGGATGGTCAATCTTTATTTGTAAGTTTATATCGTTGTTGGTGTCATAATGCTGTTGCTACATTTTCTCTTTGTCTTTTAGCTCAAGCATATGAGCAAGCGGCTAATTTGCTTCAAATATTGTTAATATTCATTCGTTTTGTTTTAATTAGACTGATTAACTGTGTAGTGCAGAGTTAGAAATGACCGTTAGCATGCTTGTACAAATTGATACATTGGTTCAACTTTTGGAATCTCCTGTTTTTACATGTAAATATTTTTATATTCTTTTTAGATTTTAATCTTTTAGATCTTCGGCTTCAACTTTTAGAGCCAGACAAATATCCTTATCTTTATAAATGTCTTTATGGCTTACTTATGTTGCTGCCTCAATCTTCTGCGTTTTCTACGTTGAAAAATCGTTTAAATAGTGTATCTTCTATAGGACTTTTTCAGTTTTTTTCTAAACAGTATGTTTTTTTTTAGATATAATGATTATTGAATGTTTTCAAGGAACAATTCTGAAAAACATAAATTAAAAAATAAGGCAGATGAAATGAGATGGCCAGAATTATTGGAAAAATTTCGAAGTGTTCAAAATAAACATGAAAAGGCTAGACAACAGAATAAAATTTTGATTTCTAAAACTTCTGGTAGTTTTTTAAAGATGACACCTATATCCTATCTTTCGTGAAATGAGTTTTTCGATTTTATATTTTAATTTAATGCAAAAATAAAAATATAATTTTATTAAAATATTGTTTTTTTAAAAAAAATTAGATTTTTCCTAGTTGATATTTAAAGAGACTTTATATGTATTTATAATTAGAAATTAGTTTTTATGTTTATTAATGTTTTATATTAAAAGTTTAATTTATTGATTATTAGTTTATAAATAATTACGAATAAGTATCTATAAAATTGTTATAAGGTTATTTAAATTATACAATATTGAATTTCACAATTTAATTTTAAAATATATTCTTAAATACTAATATTTTAAAATATTCGTTAATTAGAATACATATTACATAATTTTAATTATTATTTAATATAAAAATTTATAATATGCAATGATTTAATAGAATTAACTTTTTATTGTTAAAAATATTTAGAATGGTTATAATAAAACGAATATTTTATTATGTAAAAGAATATATTATTTATGTTTAACATTTTTAGTTTCTTTTTTATAAAAAATCAACTTGTTTCTTGAGATGTCCATAATCTATTATAAAAACCTTGTTTTTTAATAAGTTCATCATGTGTTCCACTTTCTAGAATTTTTTTATTTTTAAGAACAATAATGTTATCTGAAAATATTAATTGAATATATATTTATCATATTTATTCACCGCTATCCATAATAGTACGGAGTTTGTGAGCTATAAATATACTAGTTTTGTTGTTTTTTTTTAATATATTTTGGATATTATTTAAAAGCGATTTTTCATTTTCGTTATCTAAAGAAGATGTCTATATAATATTAAATTTTATATTTAAAAAAATTATATTATTACTGCTTCATCAAAAAAAAATATAGGTGAATTTTTAAGAAGTAACCTTGATACTGCTAGTCTTTGTCTTTCTCCTCCTTTTAATATTAATTTTTTTTTAAGAAAATAATATATTTAACCTGAAATCATTAATCCTCTTTCACCAACTTTTGTATTATATTTATCCGGAAGTTTTTGAATTAGACTATGTATTTGAGTGGCTTTAGTTATTTCAATAACTTCGTCCATTGTTGCATCTATTCTTCCATATAGAATATTGTTTAAAATTGTATCATTAAAAAGCTTTTTTATGAGAAACAACACAAGTTACAATAAAAAACTTACAGGGGTATCTTGAGGTAAAACCCCAATACATTTTCTCAATGAATTAAGAGTAACGTGACGAATATCTTGTTCATCAATTAAAATTCTTCCGCTCTGTATATCATAAAATCTAAAAAGTAGACGCAAAATAGTAGATTTTCTTTTGATGTTATGATTTATAGGCCTAAAAAATCAGTATCTTACCCACAGCCACTTGGGCCAACAAATGCTACTTTTTGTCCTGGATAAATAGTAAAGTTTAAATTTTCAAAAATTGGTCGCTCTGGTAAATATCCAAAGGTAACGTTTTCAAATTTTATTTCTCCTTTATGAAATTCCAGATCTTTCGCATTTTTATGATCCTAAATAAGAAAATTAGACTATTATAAGTCTTATTTAACTCTACTTTTATAGTAACTTCTATTTTTTGCAAATTAAACATTGTTTCCATATCTATTAATGATTGTTTTAGTTCTCTATATACAGTTCCAAGAAAGTTTAAAGGAACAGATAATTGAAAAACCAATTGGTTAATCATTACCAAGTCGCCAATACTAAGTTGCCCAGTGTATATTCCCTTAACAGCTAAGTACATCATTGTTGTTAATGCTGTTGAAAATATAATATTTTGTCCAGTATTTAAGAATGCTAGAGACGATGCTACTTTTATTGAAGATGATTCATAGTGTTTTAAGCATTTATCATAAAGATTAATTTGATATTGTTCATTATTAAAATACTTATTTTTGTCAATTTGGAATCGACAAATAATACTTATTATATACCTTAATAGTTTCATAATTGATAAGGGATTCCATTGCAAGTGTTGCTGCTTTATTATCAGCTTTATTAGCATCTTTTCTAAATTTCGTTCTGAAGGTTTTAATATATATGATTTGTGGTTATAAAATACCTCCAAGTTGTTGTTTTTATTGTAGTAATAGTATAAAATACCATAGTTGCTAGTGTTACAAATCCAAAGCATGATCCATATTGATAGGTCTATAAAAATGAATATATTTAAATATTATTATTTGTTAAATTAACCAGAATACCACACACCATAGCTATTTCAAGAGATATAGGAAGAATATGAAATACCATAGATGTTAATAAAAAACTTATACTTTTTGTTCCATGGTCAATAGCTCTTGTTAATCCTCCAGTCTTTCTTGTTAGATGAAAGTTTAAATCAAGTCGTAAAAGATGTTGAAAAATATTATATGCTACCCTCCTTATAGCTTTTTGAGAAACAGTAGCAAATATAGTATTTCTTATTTCTTGAAAGGCAGTTGCACTAATTCTAGCAAGACCATCTAATGATATATTAAAATACTATAGATTTTTTTTTTTTTGAATAAATACATCCAATAATAATAGATCCTGTAATTGCTAATGTGCTTTCATCAACTGTTGATATATTTATATTTATAGAATCAATAATTTTTTTAAAAAAAAAAGGAATTTGAACATTTAGAACCTTTGGATTTACTAAGTACAGCAATAGAACAATTTGTTATAAACCTTAGATCCAACGAGCAGAGATAATGATAAACATACTCTAGCTTTTGTATTAAAATCATCCTTAATTAGTCAATGACATTAAAAAATATTTGTAAAATATACTTTAGGCCATAAGTATTTGCTTATTTCTTTAATAATATACAAGTTTGAGGATCTTTTATCTGAATCTGATGAATAATTTGAGTCAGAAAATATCTTTGAATGTGATCTACAATTATAATTTAGATGAATTTCAGAAATATTTTTAAATAGTTCAGACAGTTGATTTGTTTTTGAAAAAGAATGAAATAGAAATAATGGGTAAATTGGTCTATAAGGATATAACGATTGAGTGAACTTATTGATATATTTGCAATATTTTAGGCTTGATTGATGATGATTAAAAAGCTTAGATCCATAAGACTATTTATTATTTAGTAATATTTTTTTAAAAATATATTTAAAACTCTAGGTAAGTATATATTATAAAAACCCATATGTTTTATTGAAATATAATTAAATTATTGTATATTCATATTGAAACATACTTTTATAAATTGGAATATTTTGGTTTGTGAAAAAATAAATAGAATCAACAAATTATATATAGATAAGGAAATAGTCAAATTTATCATAAAACCCATATGTTTAAATTAATGTTATAATGAGATATTTATATAGTTATGTGCTATAATTTTTAGGAAATTTATTAAAGTATTTAAATTTTAATAACAGATATAAAAAAATATAATTATAAATTAGAACTAATTTTCACATGAATAACATTATTAAAATTATTGTTTTGTTAAATATTATCTAACATCTAGTAATGATATAGCAATAATAATAATTAGTATATTAATACATATTTTAAAAATAACAAAATATTTCATAAATGCTAGAATTCTTAAATTTTAAGATTCGACTTACTGCATTTTACTAAATATTTAATGTTTTATATTTCAATATTTTATAAATTTATGTTAAAAAAAAAATTCTATTATAATTTATATTAAAATTAACAAAAGGATTTTAAATATTTTTTTGAATATTTAGTTTTTTTTAGAAAAAATACATTAAATTAAATTTTATATAATTTTAAATTATATAAAAAAAAATATAATAAAGTTAAAGAATTTTATAGAATGTTCTAAAAACTTTTTAGTGGTTAAATAATAGTCACATTTAAATCTCCGAAAAATGATATAAAAAGGGTAGTGAAAAAATTATAAATTACGTTGCGGTAGGGGGCTGCGACACGGAATTTCTATCTTGCCTTTTACCAGACAGAACCGGTTTCGGCCCTTAATATATCGCATGCTATTTTTTGGCTTTGCATCTTATTTCGAGATGCTCAATTTTCATTGTTTCTGTCAGTTTCTATGAAGTGAGAGGCATAATGAAAATTGAGTGTATCGAGATGATTTTTTAGATAAATTTGGAGAATATCAAATTTATAATTTTGTTTTTATGAACTAGTTTCTTATATGTACGTATTGTTAGAAAATTGATACATTCCTGATGTGTTTAGTTAGATTAAAGGTTTGAAAAGGATTTATACGTAGGTATTTGAATGCAAGTTTGTCTAAATGTTGAGGTTTTATTCCTAAATGTGTATAAGTTTTTGTATTATTTGTAATTTTATAATCAATGCATTGTGTTTGAGCTTGGTCGGGGCTTATAGTTGGCCACCAAAGCAAGTTTAAAGCAGATGCAATAATTGAAAAAATAGACTTGGAGACATTAAGATGCCATTGTCGACAATGTGTAATATGAGTAATCATAGTTATGATTTCTGCAACAGAATATTCTTGTGGTCCATATAATTCGTAAATTTGACCTGCAGTAGATTCATCAAACATTATCAATTCAAGAGCATGAGCAACATCTTTTACCTAATTTTTTATAAGATTAGATGAAGAGGATGATATTCAAACATAAGTAGGTCGAATTAACTCACGGTTATTATTCGTGGTTAATAAAATTTTCGTACTTGCTAGGTAATTTAAAAAACGGTCTTCAGCACCAAACATTATTGACGGACGAACTATAGTTACTTCAGGAAATATATTACGTACAGTTTCTTCTCCGAGAGCCTATGTATCATTGGTTTTAGTAAATATGCTTTGTTATTACGTAAATATACTTTTGTTTTATAGAAATTCGATGGTGATTTTATGTTTGCGTTAAGAGTCGATATATGTATTAGGCGATCTATATTGTATTCAACACATGCTTTTGCAATTTTTGCAGCTCCATGAATATGAACATCTTCATAAGAGAAATTCCTATTAATATTTAAGAGTTATGATAATCAATTGCGTTAAAGTTATACTTTGTCTCATAGTCCCTCCCTATAAGATTATATACAATATTAGAATGCCGTACTGATTCTTTAATAGATATTTCATCTCGTAAATCGAACTCCTATATATATTAATTTCCCGTTATACTATATATAACTCCAATAGCATGTTATTTAAATTCTATTAGAGGTGAAAATCTTTTTACCATCATAACAATTTGTCCGAGATCACCTAAAACCTTAAGGTGTCTTTTAGAATCTTGATCTCTCCATGGTATTATTATAGTTGTTCCCTGTTTTGCTATTTGTTGATTACCGATTATTTTCTGGAGTAAAAAGCTTCTGTTAATATTATTAGATACCTAAATTATTTACAAGATATCTTCCAAGAAAGCCAGTAGCCCCAAAAATTGTAGCAATATGTCCGCTAATTGATGATCTTTTATTATATTAGTCTTTGTTTAAAAAATTAATAGTTATTTAATAAATTAAAAAATTATTAATGATTGTAATAATGCTTACCGGCCTTCTGTTCCTTTTTTTATTAGAGTTTTTCCTGTTCTAGATATTTGAATATCATGTATTAATTTTTTATTTGAATTATAATTAAAATATCTGAAATGGATTGTTTGGATGAATTTTTGCCTTAATGATTTACAATGTTGCAATATCATTGTTTATGAGTTTCAATTTTAGTATTTAAGTGTGGATTTTTTACGTAAAAACGTGTCCTGTAATAATTTTAAAATACGTTTAAATTTAAATTCACTGAATTGTTGGTAAATAATTTCTTTAAAAAAAAAGCATAATTATATTAGTTTTTTTTAATAAATTTGGGTTTTTTATTATACTTTCAAGGATATAGGTATTTACAGTTAAATTAATAGATATATTAGAAACAATAGTAGTATTAAACTATTATTATAAAAATAAATATTAGACAGTTTGATATAGTTTTATCTATTTTCTCTACATATCACGTATAAGCGATGGAGATAGATACTGGAATTGATATTAGTGCATTCTTAGGATCTCAAAAGGTTTTGATGAAGGATGATTTACAAAGTAGGACGAAATTATAGTTTTATTTAAATATATTTATTCTTTTCTTAATAGAAATGATTTCAACTATGGAAGACTTGTGGGAACGTAGGTAAGGCTATTTTTCTTTGTTATTTTTATTTTAACTGTGTTGATTATGTATTAAATTATTAATATTTTTATAGATTATGGAAACAATTAACGGATATTCTTATAGAGTTTTTTGAAAATCCAGAAAGTGCATCTTTTCGAATGGATATGTTTAAATTTTTCGTGGTTTCATTTTCACAACATATTAATAAATTAAAGCTTGTAGTTCTTGGGTTAAGTGCATCAAGACAGTGCAAAAGTGAGATATGTAAGGAGAAAAAAAAAAAGGAAATTAATTTTTTATAGATAATATTGAGTCTCTTGAATTTTTGTCATTTCTTTTAGAAAAGGTTAACGCTCCTGCAACTAAAGATGCATATGTATATGCATCAATTGAAACAGCACATATGAAATTGCTTTGTGGTGATTTAGATGGCTCTTTTGAGCTTTTAAATAAAAGTTCTAAGATTCTTGATGAACTTGACTCTGTTGACCCCATAATATATGCATCGTTTTATCGTGTAAATGCTGATTATTATAAAGTATTTTTTTTTAATATTTTTATGTTACTAATTTTTAAATTTTGTTTTTAGTTTAAAGCTGATTATGGCTTATTTTATAGAAATTCTCTTCTTTTTCTTGCATGTATTGAGCTTTCTTCCCTCAGTATTCATGAACAACGACAACGAGCATATGATTTAAGTATTGCAGCTCTTTTAGGCGATACGATATATAATTTTGGAGAGCTTCTTCTTCATCCTATCCTTGATACATTGTCTGGTACAGAGCATGAATGGCTTCGTCAACTTTTATTTGCTCTTAATTCGGGAAATATTTTAAAATTTGAAAGTCTTATGGAACATTTTTTAAAACAGGTATTCATTGTTTTAATTAATTAAAATTTTAACTTTATAGCCTCTTTTACGATCTTCTATTCCATTTTTGCGTCAAAAAATATGTCTCACGGCTTTGATTGAAGCTGTATTTAGAAGATCTCCTCATGATTGTATTCTTAAATTTTCCACTATTGCTAGCGAAACTTGTTTGCCCGAACATGAGATAGAATATTTGGTAATGAAAGCATTAAGTCTGGATCTTATTCGTGGATTTATTGATCAGGTGGATGAAATTGTTCGCATAACCTGGGTTCATCCAAGAGTTTTAGATAGAAATCAGATATGTGTTATGAAAAAACGACTTGAGGATTGGTATAAATCGACTCATCAACTTGAAACATTTATAACAAATGTGGGAAGTAATATAATTGAAAATGAAGTTATTGTACGATAGTATATAAAAAATAATTTTTTTATACTAATATGTATTTATTTTATCTTTTTTACACTTATAAATATTGATAATTGATATTGAGATTTTTATATTGTTTAAAAAATAAATTTCCATTATTAAATAATGAATGTAAATTTTACAAACTATGAATGAGTTTTTAATTTTTATTTTTGTTTTTCAATTCTTTTTTGAATATATATAAAAGTATTGTTTTATTTTCTAAAATATTTTTAGATATTTTTAGTTTTATATTTTTAGTTGAATTCTGACTGAAATAATATTTTTTAATGAATAACGTATAATTTATATGTTATTGAAATTATTGATATGTGTTTTATATTATTTTTTATATTTTTCTTTATTTAGGAAAATGAATAATAATTTGGATGGAAAAAACTAATATAGCAATCTTTTTATATATATCAAGGAATAATAGTATATCTGTTATTTTATTTTAATGGTGTTTAGTTTTCTAAATACAAAAATATTTGTAATATTTTTAATATATTTTTTTATACTCAAAATATTATTAAAGTACTAATTTAATAATCTGGTTAATATTTATGAATATTGTATATTTTGTAAAAATATTTAATATAGTATGAAATGCCATAAATCGTTAACCATGATTTTACTTTATATACTTTTAATTGATTTTGTTAATGATGATTTGAATTTTATTAAATAGCTATAGGTAAATAGTATAGTTAAATGTATTAAATAAAAATTTTAAAATAAATTATGTTAATGTTTTTTATTTATATATAATATTATTGTAAGATAAATAATTGTCAATAAAAAATAATATATTAAATTGAGTTTAAAGATAGATAACTGTTTTTTTTTTGTAATTGATATTAAATGAATATATAATCTATTAATATAAAATTATTATAAAGTTTTAATTTATTGACTTTTAATTTGATTTTTTTATAATTTTTAAAGTGTTTGATTTGATTTTTGGATTTTTTTAAATTATTAAATTAATAAATAAATTATCTAAAATATGAAATATGGAAGAGAAATAGCTAATATAAATCATATTAAAAATATTAAAAATTGATGATTTACTAGGCAATGGATAATATTTCTATAAAAAAAATAATGTTTTGAAATTTTTGTTAAATATATTATTATATGTAATAAAATGATGTAGTATTCTATTTTTTACATTCGGCGTCTAAATTGTAAATTAGATCCTATTTTCTGATTTAAAAAAAATAGTAGTATATAAAAATATTTTTATTAAAATGTTATTTACCTTAGTTAATAGTTTCAATTGAAATATACATATATATATATAATAATGCATTATATTATTGCCTAATATATATATATATGTAATTTTTAAATGTATTTATCGACGTTAATTTTAATACTTTTGGTTAAGAATAATAAAAAAAAAATTTCAAAGTATATGTCTGGTTGTGATCATGTTTGGCAACTTTTGTCATCTCCATCTAAAGATTTTGTTTGCAAAACATATTTTTTAGCAGTAAATGCAATTTATTTTCATAAAATATCTAAATGTGAACGTCGTAGTGTATTTTTTAATGTTTTTGTGTTTTTAATTCTATATTGATTTTCTTAGTTTTCTTATAAGGTTTTTCAAAAATGTTCTATATGTCACGATTTTCTTAAAAGAACTTTTTTATGTCTTCAATGTTCTCATATTGGATGCTGGAGAAGAAAACATGCTGATATACATTCAAGGATTAAGAATCATGTTTTTGGTTTTATTTTTTTATTATCTATATTTTTAAAATATACTTACTAGATAAAATAGCTATTGATTCTTATAATGGTTATTTATATTGCTTTGCATGTAATGACTTTGTTTATGATGAATTTTTTGAGAAAATATATCTCTTGGCAAAACGAAGACTAAATTTAGGCTTATTAAATGTTAAAAGTAATAAATATTTTTAGTTTTTATTCTTATTTCATGTTTTTAAGATTCAACATATTTATTAAATAAGGAACTTAAAATGACTATAGAAAATTTGGATTACTTAAATGAAGATGATGCACGGGTTATATGTTGTGGTAAACTGTTGATATTTCCTAAAAATGTTTTTAATTGACAAAAGGCGATGGTTTACGAGGTATACAAAATATGGGAGCTACCTGTTTTATGAATGTAATCATACAATGTTTAGTTCATAACCCTATTTTTCGTAATTATTTTTTAAGTGATAGTCACATAATAAAAGATTGTTTACAAGATAATTGTAGCTGTTGTGCTATGGATACAGTAATTGCTGAAGTAATATGATGGTTGGCTATTTTTTATTAAAGATTGAAATTGTGTAGTTTTTTTCTAAAAAGGATTTTTCTATACCTTTTGGCCCTTGTGCATTTTTAGAAGTTATGTGGAAATTGTCTAAAGAGCTAAAAGGTTATGCTGAACAAGATGCACATGAATTTTTTGTTTGTTTGATGAGTCTGATTCATAATCATTCTGGATCTAAAATAGATTCTACATGTGATTGTGTTGCTCATAGAACATTTTCTGGAATACTTCAAAGTGATGTTACATGTTCAGCATGTGGAAATATGACATCTACTATGGATCCTATTATGGATGTTAGTCTTGAATTAAAAATTAAACGTACACCTGAAATTAAGTCGCCTTCTGGTGAACATTTAGTTAGAAGTCTTCAAGAATGTCTTCAAATGTAACCATTAGATTTATTTTAAACTAGTTTAATTTGTTTAGATTTACATCAGCTGAAAGTCTGGCTAATAATGAATATAAATGCTCAAAATGTTTATCTGTTTCTGAGGTTTCTATTTTTGTTTGTTGAATGTTTATTAAAAGCGGATAGAAAGCTATAAAACAATTAAAATTTAAACGAATTCCTTTAGTTATTTGCTTTCAGTTAAAAGTTAAGTTATTTTACTTTTTAAAAATATTATATTAAATATTTTGAAGCGTTTTGAGCATTCTTCTACTCCAACAAAAATTGACACACATGTTAGTTTTTCTTTCCAACTCGATATGTTTCCATATATTGTTCAGGATAATTATACAAATTATAACGATGATTGTGTTTATGATCTTTTGTGTGTTGTTTGTCATCAAGGGCAAATTAATACAGGTCATTATACCTGTTTTGCTCGGTCAAATGATAACGTTTGTTTTTTAACCTATATATAAAAGCTAATGCGATTAGTGGTTTCAATTTGATGATACTACTATTAATATTGCTAATGAAAAGACTGTTTTGGCAAGTAATGCGTATGATTGTGTGTTTTTATATCTTGATTTAATTGAATATAGATATTTGTTGTTTTACATTAGACGAAAACTTAGTTATCGATTCTAAGATTAGTTATATTATGTTTATAAAAATGCATATTATTTGTTAATACTTTTTTTCCTGAAATCTAATGAATTAATTAGTAATTGTTATTAGATTCGTTTTTTTTATTAATTTTTTATGAAAATTTAAAAATATATAATTGGTATAAATTAAATTTTTTATTTATATATATGTATTGATATTATTATATATATTGGTAGTATTATATATATATCATATATATATCGACATGAAATAATATGTATATGACTGTTGTTTATTGCGTTATATATATATCTTTAACATTAATGGCGAATTGTGCTTATATATAAATACTTTTTAAAAAATTGCTTTTTATGATTTTATAATATATAACATGTATATATGTATATATGAATAAACGTATAGATTCCTAACATATTAATATGAACATATTTCTATAAATTTATAAGTGAACTATTCGTTTTTGTATAGAAATCATATTATATATAATTTGTCTGTAAAAAATAATTATATCTGATTTTCTGATGTTTTTTATAGTTGACCAAAAAAAGTAATAATTTAAAAATAGTTTTTTTTTATTTTAAATGAGTATAATTTCTGGTATTTTAGAATTAATTTAGTTTTATGTATCAATTTTATACATTTTTTCTTTGTATTATTTAGTATATCTATTTCATTTTGTAATACTATTTTTGTCCAATGTTTTCTTTTATTTTCCTAAAACTTAGATAATTATCAGTAAATATATTAAATACCTGTGTTTTTATATTTTCGTAGACTAGATTATCCAAAATTAATGTTTGATTATATTTTTTTAAACGACTATCTATAGCATTTGATAAAAATTTGTTTATTTTGAATATAATTAAAAGTGTTGTATATTTTTGGTATTTGAGATTTTTTATGGAACCTGTGTGAAAATATAATAATTGTAATCTTATGATATTCAATATATATATATTGGTTTTTTTTGTATTTTTCTCAAGATTTTTAAATAGTTTATGACTTAATGATAATAATATAATAAAAAATATTAATGGTGAACTAGGATCTGATGGAAATGTAATAAAAAGACTATCTTGAAGAAACAAGTACTGAATATTATGATAAGAATGGATTTCTTTATCATTATGGTTATTACTGTCACTTGAAAAATAATTTTTTATATCATTTTTTGAAAAATATCTTTTAAAAAGACCCATTTTATATGAAGCGTTGAATCCGTTCAATTTCCACCATAATAATCTATCTGATTTCATGTCATTTTTTTGAAATATTTTTGACATACTTATTCTATCCCATTTATTTTTATGTAGAGCAAAACCATATCTTGATAATAAAATCTATATATAAGATATTAACTATTTTTGTTTGAAAATGATTAAAGTATACATCGTTTCCATGTGTTCCATATGTATTATATACTTCATCAAATGCACTAGGTGAATTGTGTACAATCATATCACATGTATCTTCATATTGTGTTTTTTTATATTTTTTTAGTTTAAATATATGTTTGCAGTATATTAATCCACAATGTCTACATACATTGTAAAAAGTTTGAAAATGTATATGTTCATTTGTTGCATGATTAAACCTAAAATTATTATTAAAATATATAAAAAATATATATATAAAATACATATCAGCAAATGGTACTAAGCCTAAATTATGAAATTTATCTATTTCAAATACTCTTGATCTTACAACTGAAATTGCTTTTAAAAAATTATTGTATGTAAATATTCTTTGATTTAATATTTCTTTGTTTTTTTTTATAAATGGTAATATTAATTCGTTATATGCACTTTGTAATTCTGACTTGATATGTATTAGATTGATATAATTTTAAAAGTTATGATAACATTACAATATCAAGTCCTCCCACGTATTCTATTTCGGTTCCCTTTAACCACTTTTTTTCATGATTCCATAATTTTGGAATATCTACTTTATCCGGCATTATTTGAAGATAACCATACCACGGTGATTTCTGACCAAGACTTTTTTCATACATGTAAACTATACAAACACTAAGAATACTTGGAATCTTAGTTTTATCCAAAAAAAAAGATAATAATGATGTTTTAGGTGATAAAATGGCATTTTTGGGAACTTTCAATATAATTGTATTTTTTTTTATAAATTTTTCAGTGTATACAAAAAAACCATCATCACGTTTACCTAATTTAATAGCTGAATGTATATATATATTTTTACTTTTAAGCCAATCCATTAAAATACTGATTCTCTGTTGATCTATGTTTTTATTTATTATTTCATCAGTCTTGGTTGTATTCATGATTGTAAAATTGTCTATTTTAATTATTAGTTTTCATCAAAAAATCGATAATTAAATATATAATAAATTCTATTTAAAAATGTAGATACTACATTTATACTTAGATTACTATATATTATAACATATATAATATTTTAAAAAAAAAAATATATATTTTTAAAAATTATTGATATAGATAATTGATTATGATATTTATATTATCATTATTTTAATATTATATAAATAATTATTTTATAAAAAAAAGTTTATTATATTTTTTATACATTTTATATAACATATATATATATATTTACATTATTTATAATATTAATATTCTTATAAATCTAAAATACATTTTGTTAAATTTATATATTCAAAAATATAATAAATAAAAAAATAATTGTAAATTATTTTTCTAATGAAATATATTTATATTTAAATATTTTATTTAGTAATTATTATCTTATTATAATTTAAATATATAAATGTATATTTGTAACATTTATAAATCTATAATCCTATTTTTTTTTAAAAAATGTAGTTTTTTTTATCAAATATATAATATATTATATACAATATTTATTGATTTTAAAATTCATAAAAAATACTTAAACTATTAATCAATAACATTTTTTAAAAATAGCATTTTTAACCATCCAAACCAAATTCATTTGTAAATTCAACATAACGTTTAAGATCATCAGAATTAACAGTAGGACGAGTATTTCTAAGAGCTTTAAGAAAATCATTCATAGTTAACATAGGCTCAAGCAAAGTATCAACAGTTCCATTCTCCCATGTCATCTCTTGTGCACCAGAAACACCAGGAGAACATGGTGTAAGAAGACGTTTACCATCAGGACAATTAACCTTATAAAAAAAATTATACTCATATTTTTCAATTATAAACTTACATAACAAAAATGTGTAGCAGTATAAATCCGACGTACTGGTTCCATAATAGCATCCCTAACAACAATAGCTATATCAGAACCAGAATATCTATGTATTTTAATAGTTAATATTTGATTTTACAAATTTTTACCCATTAGTTTTATCTACAAGAACTTTATAGTCATTAGCAGTCAATTCAGTCGGTACATCACCAATATTCAATTTAAACAATTTTAATCTAGCAGTAGCGTCAGGTAAAGGAACATACACACGTCTTTCAAATCTATAAAAATTTAGAAATAAATTATTAAAAATTATAGATTACCTTCTACGAATTGCAGGGTCTAAAGTCCATGGAATATTAGAAGCACCAAGTACAAGAATACCAGTAGAATCAGTACCCACACCATTCATTTGTACTAAAAGTTCTGTTTTTATTCTTCGTGAAGCTTCACTATCACCTTCATTCCTAATACCAGCAAGAGCATCAATTTCATCAATAAATATTATCGAAGGTCGCATTTCACGAGCCATTACAAATAGCTGTTTAACAAGACTTATAAAATTATTTTTATATAAAACAAAATACGTAATTTTTACCGTTCACTTTCACCCATCCATTTACTAATAATATCACTTGAGCTCACAGAAAAAAACGTAGATTTGGCTTCAGTTGCCACCGCTTTTGCCAAATATGACTTACCAGTTCCAGGAGGACCATACAATAATATTCCTACCCATGGCTTTCTATTACCCTTAAACAAATGAGGAAGTTTCATTGGTAATATAACAGCTTCTTTCAATGTTTCTTTTGCATTATCCAAGCCCGCGACATCATCCCATTTAACATTAGGACTTTCTGATATTACAGTATCTATTTAAAGTTATACATTATTTCCATTTTTAAGAAAATTCACTTGCTAATGCATTTTTAAGCTTTCTTGTATCAATATCATCATCATCATCATAATCACTATCACCATCCTTCCTCTTATAGCTAATATTAACAATATAAGTATATTCTATAAATTTATAAATCCTAACCATTTTTTCCCTAAACTAAGCTCATTTCCACCAGATTTCACCAAACTATGCTTCTTATTTTCATTGTTTTTTTGAAGATATGCCTTTAAAGCCTCTGCCCTATCGAGATATTGAATTACTTTATCTTTAATAAGATTTTTTCCATTTTCACTTTTTTCATCTACTTCCAATCAAATAAAAATGATATTAGAACAGAATTTACATTTAAGTGCCATATTAAAGCATTCCAACGAATTAACATAAAGCTTATATGCTTCATTATATTTATGCGCATTATCTTCTTCAATAGCCTTTTTGACAATACCAATAGCTTTCTAAATTTTAAAAGAAAACATAAAGATAAAAAACAATATTAAGTAATATACCCCCAAAAAATCAACGTTAGACATTTTTTGGTATTAATTACTACTCTTTTTTTTTTTAAAATGATATTCCAGTGATTGAAACTTATCGAAATACAAAATTTAAAAAATAATCCATATTCAAATTCTCAATAATTCATCTATTAATATATTTTTTTATATTTATACTATATTTTACCATTTATCAAGCTAATTATTTCATAAATATTTTGCCACCAAAAATAATTTCAATATTCTACATAAAAAAGGATTGATTTTAATTCCTAAAAATGTCTCTTGAATCAAAATTAGAAAAAGTATCAAAAGACTATCAAAAAACTCATGATGGCAAATTATTAAAAAATTTATAAAACATATCTAAATCAGCTTTAGAACTTTTAAAAATAATAGAAGCACAACAGAAACTTAATTCACAACTACAAGAAAATAAACTTGTACAAAAGGTTTAAGAGATTGGAATTTTTTTATTCATATATGACATTCTTAGGAATTTTCTATTTTAGAAAATGAGGCAGTTATTTATAAATTAACAGGGCCTGTTCTTGTAAAACAAGAAAAATCAGAAGCCATTTTAAATGTAGAAAAACGTTTAGAATATATAGAAACAGAAATGTAAATACAAAACACTATGAAGAAAAATCACTAACAAAAATAGAAAACGACTAGAAACTCAAATAAAAAAACACAATAAAACGCTAGAGGAACAAAAACTAGATGTATGTATTACTATTTTTAAATAAAACATTATTTATGTTTAGATAACTAAACTTCAGAATCAACTTTAAAATAATATAGCATTAGACTATTTATATCATTTAATGCATTCTATTTTGTTTTATATGTCTATATGTTATTTTTTTTAACTTTCATTTTTTTTCTATTATTTTTATAATCACCATACATATGTTTTTTTGCAACAATGCTTTTTAAATTTACATCATCGACATGCGGAAATGTCATATTTTTGGAATGCATCTTTAATTCAGATATTTTAATATCTCCAAAATTATCATCAAATTCATTTGACTTAAATTTTGTTTTTAAACTTCTAAAATTCCGTTTTAAGGAGGGAGTATCAAAAGCTATATGTGATATTTCGGGGATCCTTTCCATTACAGTAACAGTGGTTTGATCAGCAAAATGAAAATTCTGATCTATAATATGTTATATATATTTTAAAATTATTTTAACATTACATATTTCATAGATATTACTTCCATTCGAAGAAAATATTAATCCATAAGAATTATCCATTATTGTCTCATTATAGCTGGAATAAATATTATCAGAACCTTTAATTCTTATTTCTTTGATTTTATTAGAATCAAATATCAAAGCATCAATAGAAGACAATGTTAGTTCCCGAGGAAAACGAAGAAGAACTATTTTCTTGTTATAAAAATATTCCTTTGAAACTAGTTTACGTTGTAAAAAGTCAGTTTGTTGAAAATCATTAAGTACGGAAAAATTCGTTTTTGAAACCCTTTAAAAAATAATTATTAAAAAAAACATTATATCTATAAACATACGGAAAAGTATTTTCAAATGTTGAGTCTGAATCATCAGAGTTCGATTTTAATTTCATTATAATTTTATAAAAATAATAAAAAACTAGCGTTAATATACATTTATCAATATATTTTTTTAAAATATTTATAAAATTAAAAAAAAAAAGAAATGACATTAAGTGCTTTAGAAGCTCATAAAAAATACAAGTCTATAAACACAGAAGATAAAAGAACCAATAGTAATTATGAAAGAGTTCAAGCTATAACTAAAACAGAACAAAATAATAACGACCATAATACAACTAATAATTGTAAAATATGCTATTTTTTCTAGAAACAATTCTAATATAGATATAGTTGATTTTTCTAATACTGATATTGTATTAAAAAATATAAATGAAATATCAATAAAAAAAAAGTATATTTTAATCATATTTTTATCTACATAATAATAATATAGTCTACAAATTATATCAAAACCAAGCATTAATAAACAATTTCTAGACAAAAATGGTTGTACAGTTGAGATTTTTGGATTTTATACAGAAGAAGTTTGTTAAAATAACATATTTTATTTATATTATTAAATATAGTACATAGAAACTTATTCTTCAAGGGTTTTATGAATTCAAAGTAATAAAAGGGATAATTTCTATAATGTCATCAGAATTTGACTCTTCTAATACATCTCAATGGTATCGTATATTTAGTTTAACAACTGATTCAATACCAGTAATTTCTTCAGTATTATCAAATAAAAATTCAATTGAAACGAGTTGTTTTATACATTCTAAAGAGATATGTTCCTTCATACGGATGTTAGATAGTTTTTTAGAATCTATTATTTGTGTGAGAAGTATTAACGATAATTTAATAAAAATCAAGAAATTTCATCCATTTACTAAATACATATGGGAGCCAAATGAAAAAAAAGAAATAAAAAATACATATAATGGAATAAAATTATAATTTTGCATAGAACATTACTAATTTATATAGATAATTGATGATTTTTCAAATCATCCATTGTTAAACATTCCAGAATCATGGTTATCTGCAATAGATATTATACATTCTTCAAACTTTGATAATAAAACTGCAAGGATTATAATTTGTGGACCGAAGTCATCTGGAAAATCAACATTTGCAAAAAATTTAATAAATAAGTTTTTAACAGGAAAATATAATAAACATAAAACAATAGAAGGAATCAATTATATTGAAACAGATCTAGGGCAACCGGAATTTTCGCCTCATGGAATAATTAGTTCTCATTATATCAAAAAACCTGTTATCAATCCATCATTTACTCATTGTACTCTTCCATCACTTACAAAAGCACATTTTCTCGGAAATATATCACCACAAAATAACCCAAAACATTTTTTATTATGCATTAATGATATATTTAATACAAATAAAAGAAATATTCCTACTATTATTAATACACCTGGCTGGACTAAAGGTATGGGGTTGGAACTCTTAAATGAAATCATAAATCTATCAAACTGCACATATCTTGTATATATTGGCCCTAAAACTAACGTCGAAATTTTCGATACCGAATTAATACTTCCATCATCCGTTGAACTTCTTACTCTTCCATCTGCTCGCGAATTTATTAATACATGTGGAACGGTAAAAACTAATACAGCAGATCTACGAGAATTATCCATAATATCATATTTTCACTCAATAAATATTTCTGAAGATAATTGCCATACAAACTGGGAATTTGATTCATATCTTCTAGATATGAAACCTTGGATCGTAAAGTATGATGGAGATCTGAATGGTATTGACGCAATATCCGTCTTAAATACTACATTAGATATAGAAGAATTTTACTATGCCATAAATGGGACTATTATGGCTTTTGTAGTTGCAGATGATATCACAAAAAATAATGAAAACACATGGAAATCCATTATTACAAAATCTAAAGACTGTCTACCAATATTAAATATGGAGAAAAATCCTATTGATCCTAAAATCAGTCAATGCATAGGCCTTTGTATTTTAAGAGGAATATCAAGGAAGTCTAAAGAACTCCAAATTCTGACACCCATTGATACATTAACTTTAAATAAATATTTGAATTCCAATAAAAAAATTATTCTGGTTCGAGGAAATCTCGAACTACCTATTTCACTTATGATTAATTGCAAAAAAAATAAAGATGCCAAAATAGACTGGAATAAAGCACCATATCTTAGTTTGGAAAACGAAGGGTTAGGTTCTAAAGTATGGCATCCTAGAAAAAACATAGAACGCCCAGCTATGCGCATATAAATATAAAACATATTTCAATTATATAGCCAAATTTTATATGCATACTACAAATACATTATTTTATTTCCTATAATTTATACCTTAAATTTCCAAAAAATTCGCGAATTTTTATTACTTTATAATTTCAAAACATAAAAAACAAATCAAAATAATTTAGCCCATAAAATCTGACATATTTGCAAAAAAATCATCATTATTCATAACACAAGATATAATCAAACTACTATTACGAGAAATAGCAATAATACCTTCATTTGCATGCCAGCTAATATATGAGTCTTCAGGTTTCGATATCTCAGATAAAGGAAGCTCAATATCAATTAAATCCGCTACTTATTTCAGAATCCTAAAACAACATTGACTTTAATTTTAACTTACTACTAGAAAAAATATTAACTAGTTTTATATGAGATGTTAATGATATCATTAAAGATCTTTGTAAACAAATTGCAAAAATATCAGGATACCCTGGACGAGATATTAGCTGTTTAACATTTATTTCACTACCAATTCGTTTTTTAATAGTCGGAAGAATACTTATATTGTCACTTTTCCCATCAAAATCCCAAAGAAGCCATAATCCATCAGTAGTTGCAGCAATAATTCTACCGATATCATCTTTATTACTTGCCCAGTCTACATCAGCAAGACAAACAGTTGAATTAGACTTGATAAAATTATAAGGTGTCAGTCCCGCATATAAACTTATCAGCCATTTTCCACCTGCTTCTACCCAATCTAAAATTTTTATAGTCCCATTATATTCACCAACTAATAATCTTCGAGGATAAGATCTATGAAATTTTACACTAATTACAGGAGACCCAGTGCTATAAGCAGATAATTGAGGTGAGTTATCAGTCATTCTCCATACTATTACTGTACAATCATCACCTCCAGTTGCAACAATATCACCCGTAAATTCAGTTTCATCAGCTTTAGCAATAATATTAAGATATGTAGTATCAACGTCGTTAATAAAATCTTGATGACCCGATGTTCCACCGAGCATTACTATTTTTGGATCTTTAGCTTTAGATGATAATTTAAGAAATCGCGCGCTATTTTCTTCACATCCAATAGCCAAAGTTACATAAATTTTTTCAGAATCTATAAGGTCTATATATGTAGTGGGAGAAAAAGCAATTGACGTAACCTTAGTTCCTAACTGAAGATATAGAAGCTGCTGAAGACACCAACTATAAAAAACAATAAAAATCATCTAATATACCTAAAATTAAATACCTTTCTTTAAATTGTTGAAATTTAGAAGCATCGCCCAGTTCATCAATCTCAGAAAATATTCTTCTTAAAAGTATTATTCCTTGTTTACTTCCTACAAAAACACTAATTCAATTCATTTCTTTAATCTACTTTATATTTACCAACTGCAAGTAAAGATGATGATTGTTCAAAAGGACAAAATTCAACTACAGAGCCCGGAATATCATATCTAAAAAACAATATTAACAAAGAAATAATAGAATTGATTACATTTTCACAGACACTGCAGCCTTATGTTTTTGATCAAAATAACTAGATATAGGAAAAAATATTTTTGATTCCATAAATCAATTTTTTTTATGCAATTCTAAAAATAAACGTTTTTTTTTAAAAAAAACGTTTAATAAAAGATTATAATCATTTAAAAAACAAAATCAACTCTTTGTAGTATCCAAATAAACAATATATTCAATATAAGATTTATAAGAATAAAGGGTATAAAATGCCAAAATCATACACAAGTAATAATAAATGTAATTATCACAAAAATATGCCGTTCGAATTAAATAACCAAAATAAAACTAAATACAAATGTTCATATTCTCAAAAACAATCAAAATCCCCAGAGAACCAGTCTGAACCAGAAAAACCAAATTTTGAACTTTCGGGAAAATTAGCAGCAGAAAGTAATCATATTAACGGAATACCATTAAAATATTATGAACCATCTGAAGCTCATAAGCCTGATAAATTATGGCAACTATATGTATTTAAAAATGATGAACAAGTCAGTATGTTTTTATATTATCATTATAATTATTAACACAATAGGCATTTTTGATATTGATCAAAAAAGCTCTTATCTATTTGGAAGAGATCGTTTGGTATTTTTTTTATTGAATTTATTTTTATAAATACATTTATAAACTAATATAATATAGGTTGCAGATATTCCACTAGATCATCCATCATGTTCAAAACAACATGCAGTTATCCAATTTCGCCAAATAAAATCCAAAAACACTATTTCGGAACATATAATAAAGTATGACTTTTTATCAATATTTTCACACTAAATTTCTTAGGCCTTATATTATCGATCTCAAATCAACTAATGGAACTTTTCTTAATAATGAACGTATTCTTGATAGTCGCTATATTGAACTCAAACCAAAAGATATACTTAAATTTGCAGATTCAACTCGAGAATATATTTTACTCCATAATAACATTTAGGCATTTATATATTTTCTTACTATAGAGTATTGATATATTTAATTATACTATATTTTTTTTATACATTTATTTTTTTATCCTTATTTCAATATTATAAATTTTCAAGAATTATAAAAACTATCAAAACACCGATAATATTTAAAAAAATTAATAATGTTTACAAGGTAGAAAAACAAAATAAAAGTTTTAATTGGAAACATAATGTCATCGTCCTTATCATATACACCTTATGAAGATCGAACAGTGAACGCATCACATTTATCACTTGGGTCTCTCGAACAAAGTTTTCATCCAGAAATTAGTACATTACCTGTATCATCACCAAAACATTCGGAAATATTGAAATTAGATATATGTAATAAAGATAAAAATTCAACTTTATTGGAAAATACACTATCTATAGATTTAACTCCTATTAACAATTTTGAAAAAAATATAAACAACGTCGAACAAACAAAGCATAAAAATATACCTTCTATTTCTTATAATAAATCCCTGTCGATGAAGCATAAGAAATCATCTATTTCAGATATATCAGCATCATCAGATTATTCTGATGACAGTGAGACTAGTACTAATCATGATCACGAACAAAAATCACTAGCAATTCTTGAAAAAAGTCTCCCAATTATTGATGAAGAACAGAATCAAGATATACAGATAATATCATTACTTCCGCCATATAATAGTCTAGAAAATATTGAAACTCCTATAACACAAAAAATATCATCTCAATTAATTCCTACTGATACAACTATTGCAACAAGAATTAATGATATAAAAATACCTCAAAGTGCAATAAAAAACTTTAAAGAGCATATAGAAGGAATGAAAAAGGCACAGAAACTAGAGAAGCCGGGTGCAAGACTTACTCTTCGAGAGCAAAGTAATGTTATTGATAGCTTACGTAAAGAAAAATGGGATCTTCAAATGAAAGTTTTCTTTCTTCAACAATATCGTGATAGGTCGAGAGATGAATCTGTAGAAGAAATAATAAAACAGGTATTCTATAAGAATATAATTTACTATTTTTAATGACCCTATAAGAATATAGAACTAGCAACTACCGTACGTGAACTTAGCAAAACAAATAAGAACTTAAAACGTATAATTAGAGACATGGAAATGCATAATCAAGAGAACTCAATTGATGAAAATAATGAAAAATATGAAACGTATGAAAAAATGCTTGGGATATTACAAAATAAAATTAAAGCATATGAAATTGAAGTTGAAAGACTTCATGGATTGTCTCCAAATAATGCAGCGAAAGTATTTGACGAATTTATAGCTAAAGACATTAATAAAGCTAAAAAACAAAATGAAGAATTGATAACTAAATCAAGAAATTTAAGATCTAACAAAGATCAATTTTATCAAAAAACCCAAGACTATAATGATGAAAAATATAACATTTATCAACTAAAAGATAGCGAAAGTTTTAATAATATATATGATATAAAAGTTTATGTTATTAGATTTATACAACATTATTAATTCATAATAGGTTCATAACGAATTACGAGATTGTATAGCAGAATTAAAATTCAAAAATCAAACATTAAAAGAGGAAAACAAAAAATTAAATTTAGAGCTCGAAAATCTCGATGTCCTTAGAGAAAATGAAATGATTAAACTTGAAGATAATTATAATGAAGAATTAGACAAACTTCATAATCTTCTCAATGAACTTAATGATGAAAACGAAAATATAAAAATAGATAAAGTAAATATACTTAAAGAAATTAATGCACTGTCTCAAGAATATGCAACTTTTAAAACAGAAGCAGGAGTAGAAATTCGTGTGAGGGAAGAAGAAATGCTTAAAGTATGTATATAATCATTAATAATTAATACTTATAATTTAGATGGCATCTGATATTGAAAATTATGAGGAAATTTTAAAAAGAAAAAACGACCATATAAATAATCTTTACAAAAAAATTGAGGAAGCAAATATTCAAATAAATAAATTAATTCATTCTCATAGCGAAACTGTTCAAGATTTAAAAGAAGTATTAACTTTAAAATTTTAATTTTAATTTCTGATATTAAAAGAAACATGCACATGCAGAAGCAATAATTAATAATCTTACTCAACAGCAAGAAGCTTCTCTCAAAGAACTAAATTATTTTAGGGAAAATTCAAAAAATCCTTTTGAAATATCAAAATTAAAAAAAAAAAATCATATCTTAGAACAAAAGATTATTCAAGCAAACGAAGAAATAGAATATTTAAAAGGAAATTATCACTTAAACAAATTCGAATACAATTCGGATATTGAAATAATTGATGAAAAAAATGATTTATTGCTTGAAGATAGAAAAGTATATTATATATATTATTCGTAATTTTAATTAAATAAAAATAGGAACTCAAGGACATTAATAACCATTCTCTTTTATCTAAACAACTAGCTAATGAAAAAGTAAACACTTTTCAAGAAGCACAGTATGATTTGGAGAAGTCTCTAAATGAAATTTTAGGTTCTAATTCATCAAATATCAATGAAATAATCATGGTATTTCCTTAGCCATATAATAAACACTGACTGGTTTAGACTATTAAGCAACTAAAGTCTGATTTATTAACTTCTCAGGAAAAAATAGAAGAATTAAATAGCAATCTAATAAAAAAGGATAAGATTTTGAGAAATAAGGAAAAAATGTTAGAATCTATGGTAAGGCGATTTATTTATTATTCAATTTTAATATTTAAGATTCATGAAAATCAGCAAATTTCAGAAAAACTAAATAAAGAGATTTCTGATAAAAAATATGCATTACGGCAACTTTCTAAGTTAACTATATCTACAGAATCATCTAGATCTATCCTAGCAAACCGTGAAAATAAAATTGCCAGTTTAGAACATACTAAGATAAAGGATAGTAAAATTCTTACTGCATTAAAAAATCAATACAATAATCAATTATCTGAACGCAACAATCTTCTTATGGTATTTTGGAAAAGGCTTTCAGCTCTCTTAAATTCAGAATGGATACATAATATACAACTATCAAATATGGATGCGTCAAATAATTTTTCATACTTTAGTAAAAATTCAACACTTTGCATTAAACATATTGAGAAATTGGTTCATGATTTTCCAATTAAATGCAAAGAACTTGAACACAAACTACTAAAGGAATATCAGTATAACTAAATATCTTACTTTAAAACATTAACATTAGTAGAATTATTGTGACTACACTTGAAAACAGAACAAAACGTATATCTCATCTAGAAAACTCTCTTAAAGAAGGTATTTCAAATCAAGCTATACTAAAAAAACAAATCGTGGATCTTAAATTAGAAAATCATGAAATTAAAGTAAACATTAAAATATTATACATATATATATTAAGCTAATAAACTAGTCTGAACTACGTGAAAACATGAAAAATAGACAGACAATGCAGTCATCTATAAGTTCTCGAGAAACTATTAATTCAGCAAAGTTAGATTTATCAAAAAAAACTCTGGATTCTATAAAGGATAAAAAATGGATTTTGCGATTAAAAGAACTAGAAAATAGATTAAAAGCAGAAAAAGAAGCTCGTATACGTGATCAAAAGGGAGCACAAGAACGACTTGCAGATTTCCTTCATGAAAATAAAGAGCTTAGAGAAGAATTGCAAATGGAAAAAGATATTTTACATTCTAAAGCACCATCCGAATTATCTACACACGAATTGGAATAGAAAAAAAAACGAGGTATATTAAAACTAAATCGTCATTATCTTATGATTTATTAATTAAAAAATTAGCATGTATTCATTATAAACATTAACTAAAACTTATAAATATATACCAATAATTAAACATATAAAATTAATATTAAAATATAAACTAATCAATGTTCCACCACTTGTTTATTTTATATGAATATATTATATTTATAACTATAAAACCTCAATTTATTCATTGCCTTTTTTTATGATTGATCTTATTAATATATAGAATATTAACATTTAATAAAAAAACAAATCTTTAAATATTAGAACTATATAATTTTAAAAAATCAAAATAATACATTTTATAAAAAGTCTTTAAACTTTCAATAAAAAATTATTTTGTAAATTTTTTTAGAAAAAAAAACACAAGTTTTCCTAAAACAAAACCCAAATAATTCAAAATTTAACATATTTTTTAATTAAATGACTGTTAAAACTTTATTTTATAAAAATCATAAAAATAAGTTAAAATATTTCAATTTCAATTAAAATATCTAACATAATTATTTATAACTACAACAAAAAATAATTTTAAAAATTATCAATTTAAAAATTTTAAATTATAAACATAAAATACAGATACAAAAAATGAAACTATCCACAATATTTCCAAGGAACTCTATCCAAGAAAATAAACAAATTTATAAATACTATAGTACCATACGATCCTTAATTCCAGCAATTGGTCTAGAAGTTCATGCTCGATTAGCAACTTCTACAAAATTATTTTCAAGTAAAAAATACAATATTTTTTATAATCTTAATTAGAACTTAGAATCGAAAAATGAATCCTCTGAAATTCCTAATTCTTCAGTAGACTTTTTTGATGTATCTCTTCCTGGTACTCAACCAGGATGTTATATTATCTATTTTTAAAAATCTACTAATAAAGATAGAAATTAAATAAAACTCCAATTCTTCTAGCTATTAAATCAGCATTGGCCTTGTCATGTGAATTTCCAAAAAAATGTTCTTTCGACAGAAAACATTATTTCTATCTAGATCAGCCTTCTGGATATCAAATTACTCAATATTATCGTAACTTTTATCTTCTCATCTTTTAAAATTTGTCTTATGTATAAGATCCTTTAGCTAAAAACGGATTTATTAAGTTATACAAATCAAATGAAAAAAATCAACCCGAGCTATTTATAGTTAAAATTAAAGAAATACATCTTGAACAAGTTTATACATCATTGACTATAAAAAATACGCTGATTATTATAGGATACAGGAAAAGTTTCATATCTATCTAATCCATCAAGATCATTAGTTGATTTTAATCGCATGGGATCATCATTAATCGAAATAGTTACTACACCATGCCTTTCATCTGGAAAAGAAGCAGGAGAAACTTTGAAAGAAATTCAATCTATTCTTAGGAATATAGGTACTAGCGATGCAAATATGGAAGATGGGGGATTAAGATGTGACGTTAATGTATCAATTGGTAATAATCCAAGGTGTGAAATTAAAAATTTAGCAAGTATAAAATCAATTATTAATGCAACAGGAAAAATATATCTATAAATATTATTTTAGTTTTTTAACAACTTTAGATTATGAAATCAAACGACAGATTTCTACTATTAGCTTAGGCAAAAAAATTGAAAAACTAACTCTTGGATATGATATAAAAAAAAAAACCACAATAGAGTTAAGAGATAAAGAAGATACTATAAGCTATAGGTATATTAATAAGATATATACATGTATATTTATTTACTATATAGATACATACCAGATCCAGATCTCCCTGAAATTATACTTTCAAAAGTACAACATATAAAAATACATAGATTAACAGCTAAATGATCTAGAAACTATTAGAAGAATGTAAAAATTCTCTTCCTGAGCTTCAAAATGATATTTTTCAGAAATATTTATCATATCCTTATGAATTACCACTGAAAACGATTAAAACTTTAATTGAAAATCATGCACTTGATTATTTTGAGAAAATATTAAAAATTTTAGGAAATCCAAAAAATTATTCAAAGATAACAGGAAACTGGTATCTTAATATTCTAATATTACTATTATAATAACAGGATTTAGGATTGTTAATAAACTTATAGGACAACTTAACATTCGAAATATTCCATTTGAAAAAAATCCAGTTAGACCAGATCAAATGGCTTCTATAATTGAAGCTATTAAGTTAGAATATATTACAGGTAGTTTTATAATTTTGAAACCTTTTCCTACTTACGAGTTTTATTTAGATATATCAGCCAGATATATTCTCCTAAACATAATTAATGGTGATACACGAGAGATTTATGATATTATAAAAACATTTAACTATGAACGTACTTCTGACACTTATTTAATGCTAGAAACATGCCGAAAAATAATAAACATCCATAAAAAACAAGTTGATCAATATAAATCAGGCCAAAATAAAGTGTTAAAATGGATTTTAGGAAAAGTTATAAAAGAGACACAGGGAAGATTTCCAGCGATAGAATTAGAACAATTATTGCAAAAGGTTATTAATAAAAACAATATTTAATAAAAACAGTATTTATTTATATCAATTGTACAATATTTAAATTTATCAGAATCTAAAACTTAAGTGTTGTCTAATTAATCTCATTCGAAATAATCATTTTCACATATGCAATTGTTTTAAAAATTATCAAATATATAAAACTAAACTTATTCATCTAATTAACTCTTGAAAATATATAAAAAAGAAATATAATTTTAAATAGATGTTTATTAAAATATTTATAAATATAAATTTGTTCTATTTTATAAATAAAAATTTCGAATTCAGCATATAATTTCTAAATCTAATATTTATATTAATTCAATTATTTTTTTCTTTAAATATTAAATTGGGAATGTCCAATTATCTTAATTGAATTTTACATATCTTTACAATGTTTTTTTATAATTTTAGAATTTAAATTTATAAATAAAATGCTCTTATGAAAAATTAAATTAATTTTTAAATCATAAAAAACCTAAAGTCCTAATTTTACAAAATCATAAACTATTTTAATATAAAAGCTTAAAACATTCCAAATAATTTATTTTTCAATATTTTTAAAGTATAACAATAATTAATCATATTTAAAAATTACTTAAATTTCAACATAGTACTTAATACTATTAAAAAAAAACAAATTATAATAATTATATATAAAAACATCATTATTTTTAGAAATCAAATACATTTATCCTAATATTAATTATTAATTATAAATTTAGCACGTTTTAATTTTCCGTATAATTTTATGTTAACTTTTTCTATAAATTTCTTGATAAACAAAATTAGAAATACCAAATTATTTATAGACTCATATAATCCATTTTTTTGTTTAAATTCACCATTTCAATTATTTAGAAATAAATTAATAAAAAAATTTACAACACAAAGACGAACATTATCAAAAAATGAAATTCAAATAATTAGAACAAAATTATGTATATTCTCTTATAATAACTTTCCTTATCTAATTTTTTTATAGCAAAATCAAACAAAAACATCGGATCTATACTATTAGATAAATATCAGCCTCATGAAAATATCCATAAACCTTTATCGCAAAAACATTTAACTTTATCTCTTCTTCTTTCATCTCAAGTCCATATAGGCCATTCAACATCACTTTGGAATGTAGCAACACATCCATATATATATGGGGTTCGTCAAGGAATTCATATAATAAACCTGGATACAACAATTACTCATCTTCGTAGAGCATGCACAGTGGTTTCCGGTATAGCAGCAAAAAAAGGTATAATTCTTTTTGTAGGGACACAAAGGAACCAAAAAGATTGTGTAATAAAAGCAGCAAAGAGAGCAAATGGATTTCATGTTTTTGATAGATGGATACCAGGAACCATTACTAATAGGTATCAAGTTCTTAAACATGGAAAAATAAAAAAATCTTCCATTATAATAAATGGAAAAAAAATAACTCAAAATGATGAAAGAATGTGTCATTTTTCAACTTTACCAGATTTAGTAATATGTTTAAATCCCATGCAAAATAAAATTTTACTACGCGAATGTGCAAAAGCTCATATACCAACAATTGGAATCATAGATACTGATGCAGATCCCAAATATGTAACATATCCTATTCCTTGTAATGATGATAGTTTACGTTCTGTTGAAATGGTTGTTGGTATTTTATCATGTGCAGCAGAAAATGCAAAAGTTAAAGAAAATCAAAAATAAATTAAACATTAATCAAAAAATATTAGCAAAATTCAAATTCTATTAATTAAATAAATTGTAATTAATTTCGTTTTAAAATAAAAACATTCTATAATTCTTATTTAATAAGATAATTTTGAATAAAAAAATCAATTTAAACCAAAAATAAATATGATATCATTTTTATAATATATATCAAAAATAAATATCTAATAGTTCAATGTTTAAACAAAAAATATCAAAAAAGTATTCAAATATAAAAATATTTTTTTAAAAATAAAAACATCTGATTTTTTTTTTTTAATACATATTATTCAAAAATAAGCATATAAATAAATTTTTAATTATAAAAACTAAATATAAACAATATATGAATCTTTTATATAAAAAATTATAAATTATTAGAATATTAAAGCCATAAAATAAAATTTATAAATTTTCAAAATAAATCCATAATTTTATATAAATAATAAAAAATTATCTATCCTATTTTTTATATATTTTAATTTTTTTGAAAAATAAATTATAAAAAATCAACAAAATTATATTGAAGAATTCTAATTTTACAATTTTAAACATTTCTAAAATCTATTTATATATATTATGAGAATTTAAATTATTTTATATTATATAAATAATTTTAATAGATAAAACAACCTAAACTATCATTATTACACTATTTAATAATAATAAAGCAATTTTCTAAAAATCTTCTAATATTTCAAAAAAAAACATTAATAAATCAATATATTAGCATATAAAAACAACCTTTAATGAATTTATGATATAATCTTCATATATTCATCATATGTACATTCGGCCTTTGATCCTTGATATCTTATTACTTTCATATTGAGATTTTTCCAATCAAAAACATCTCCATTCATACCAGCCTTTACAAAAAGATTATTTAATGTCTCTTCCTTGCTCCAATTTTGCTCTTTAGCTGTAATAATGTCATTAATAAATAAAAATATGAAAAAAAAATACCAACGCATGGAAGATACGTTGCACTCATATACTTGTTTTTATAAAAAAAAGATATCTGAAGACCATGAATACCAATAATCCAGTCCAAAGGATCCTCAATAATTTCAAAATTCGTTAATAAAGTTACACCAAATAATATAAACTTAAATCATTATAATTAAATAAACTTACCTGCATTCAAGAAAACAAACTTCTTGTTCTGAAATAGGAGGAAAACGAGTATCATTCAAAGCTCTAAAAAGGAACTAGTTGCAAAAATAATAGCAAAAAAAAATCAATTTACGATGTCAAGGCATAATAACGCAATCCATGTTTTAGCGGCTGAGGCTTAAATGTACCAATACATCCTCGCAAACTCTTATGTCCTGAAGAACTTATTATATTCCAAGTTACAAACAAAGGACTATTTTTAATCAGTTATTTTCCTTATAAATTTGATAGTCGATTTAAAGAAAATGATAGTCTTAATGACTCACAATAAAATATCATTATTCAAAAATGACCTGTTAGTTGGCATATGAGAAGTATCATTATAATCTTTTCTTATTAATTCCCGACCAGGAAAATGATTTTTATCAAAATAATCAATAAGAACATCAAAACAATAAACGCAATGAGAAATTTCAGCCTTTAAAAATAGAAACCATTTAGTCTACAAATTCTTATAATCTTATAGCTCACTTGCCATAAAAGTAATGTTGTAAAAAAATAAGAACTAAAAAAATGTATACAATTTCAAATGAGACTAAAATTATTTTAAATCAAATGCAAAATTTAAATTTCTAAGAGTTTAACAAAAAATCCGAACTGTGGCTAAATATATTCTTTCCGACAGATCCGGGTTCGATTCCCCGTTCAGGAAGTATTTAAACATTAAAAACAAATTAAGTATTTTTTCTGTACCAGTCAGAAATATAAGCAAATAAAACTACATAGCAAATTCCTTTATACATGTATAAATAGCAAAATTAAAATAATAAAATAAGAACTCCAAAAATCATTTCTTTCTAGAAAACTGTCGATTTACCAATTGTAATATTTTTGACACATTAAATTGAACGTACTCAAGATCCAAATATTGCACATTGCTCTGCTGCATTTCAAGAAGATCATCCAGTTTTAAATTCAATTCTAATAGTCCTCTATCTCGCCCTTGTCAATAATTAATGATTGTACAAAAGTACATAAAATAATCTACCTTTATAATGTAAAGAAATAACAAACGTTCCTGGAAGAGGAGACATAATAGTAAAATAAATATTTGCTCTTCTATTAAATATTAAATAAAAAAAATAATATTCAACAAACAGACCTATCGTCAGGAACATTACTTTCTGCTATAACCAATTCCTTCTCAAGCTGAAAATGCGTATATTTATATGGTCCTAATACTTGTTGCTTCTTTTGTTTTTTTTCTTTCCCACCTAAAGAAACAACACCAACACCACCCATTACGCCAATTTTACTTTCATTACGTCCGGAATGTATTCGTACATTATGCAGATATGATTTATATTGTTCCAACTGACCACGCAAATACTCATTATGGTCCTCTATTGTTTTATAGACAGATTCCAATGATTCCGTTTCACGCAAAACCTCCTCATATAAAGACCCAAGATGAGCAATTTCATGTTCCACCTCTTCAGCAAGAGGATTGTAAAAATCGTTAGGATCAATAAGTTTCAATTCTGATAATTCCTTAAGATATTCTATAGCCTTTATTCCTTTGCGTACTAAAAGAGCATCTTTAAATGTAGCCGCAGTACTTGCTATTAATAATAAATTTAAAGGAAGCTTAATAATTTTAGAATTCTGAGGAAATGACCGAATAATTTGAACGAAAACGGACTTTGCCTCAATAAAAAGAATATCTGTCCGATTAATATCTAATGATTCATTTAAATCTATACTCTTAGCAATTATAATAAATTAGACAAAAATAATACTCGTAATAAAATTCCCCCATTTACTATATAAAGGTAACTCAATAGTCCTATTTTCAGATCTAGACAACAAAGGTGGAGCAGATCCTAATTTATTTATTAAAATCCGTAAATGAGAATCTGGTTCAGGCGCCTAGATAATAAATAAAAAAATAGAATTAAAAAAGTAAAATATACCAAAATATCAAGATGCTTTTCTAAAAGACTATGAGTGCCATACATTTCATTAACAGTAATATGCAAAAACAACCCCTTCGAAAGTGCAACATATTGATCCATCTATATACGATAAACAAAATAAAGCGAAATAAAAACATACCTCTAAAGTCTCATAAAAATCACTTACTTCACAAAGATCATTTAAAAACTTATTTACTCGTGGTTTATTCAAATCAATAAAAGATGATAAAAATGCCATATATGGTTCCTTAGAATAACTAGATTTATTTGAAAGACTTTGAAGCATTTTTGCAACCTACAAACATAAATTTATTAATTAAAGATATAAAAGAAATATTACAAGAGTTAGCGTCCGTCGAAGATGTTCTCCTGGAGAACCATCAATAATCATATATGCATGTGGTGTAACAATAGCCGGATTTATATATCGTAAAAAAAAGAAACCGCCTATAAGAGAACATATAGAATAATCGGAAGCATCAGGATATTTACGCTATAATAATAAATACTAAAGTCAACTTCTAAAAAATAAAACCTTAGTAAGATTGCGAATCTGTTTGCAAATCCAACGTATACCATACGGGACAATATCGATAGAACCAATAATAACATTTAAAAAAGAATCAGCAATTTCCATAAGCATAGCTATACGAGGCTCAATAATAGCAATAACAGCCTCATTAGCGGCAGCAGTTTCATATGATACATTGCGCTCAAGATTTCCAGGAAGATGGCCAGTCTCAGACTCAATTTTCTGAATCATCTGATCATAAACTTTTAAAGAATTAATTTCTAAGTTAAACTCGTTATGTTCGTAAAGATATTTAATGCGCTCAGAAAGAATAGATTTAAGATATGATTGTCCAGGACCACGGCGCGTATAGGTTGTCATCATACGTGAAATAGGTGTATTAGATCGAAGAAGAGAAACAAATTCAGTAGTATGATCAAATTGAGAAGAAAGTACTGACTAATACATAGTAAATATAAACATACGCAGACGTAGAAAACAACCTGAAACATCGTAAGGAGAAGATGTTCTTCGCGACTTTCATATTGATTTCCATAAATAGTAAACATAACTGTCTGAAGAAGTGCATCGATCTCGGAAAGAGTAACAAGTCTACATAGGGTTGCTATGTGACGAGGTTCTGTTTGAAGAAGAAAGAACAAATTCCCATATTTCTAACAATTTTAATCAATACAAATTTATAAAATAATTAAAAAAGCTTCACTTGCAATTTCCGATCATCAGGGAATACACCTTTTTGAAGCTCTGAAGAATCATCAAGATGTCTAACCATTTCATTTTGCTAAGAAAATTAATACCAAACTCAATATTCAAAAAGAAAACAAAACCTCATCTAATGCCATACGATTTTGTATTAAAAGAGCAATACGAGAATCAATATAACGAACGTCACGTTCAAGAATAAAATTTTTCTTAGATTGCTCAGAGATACGTAACTTCAGCTGTCTTAGGTATTTTTGAGCTTTAAAGATAGTTATATTAAACAAAATTATAAAATTTTACCTTTACATACCTTGACTTAGTTCATCATCGACATTCTCATTTTCATGAGATGCCATTGATAAATATAAAGTCACTGTACTATATCTTTTACTCACTCTCTCCATATTAAAACTTATAATCTAAATAATAAAAGATATCAAGTAACAATCTTATACACGTCCAATTTCATGCACTAATCCAATGTCTTAATTACTAAACAAATAAAAAATAACTTCTGTAAACTTTTAATACAATCTCTTATAAATAAAACTCCACATACTATAATATAGATCTAATAAGTAAAAAGAATTTAAGATCTTAATTCATAAATGAAATATATGCAATTTGGCTTTTTTTCGATACGTGCTTTAAAGATTTAATAAAAAGAGGGTTAGGTTAAATTCTTTTATCAATAGTTATTTTATTTAAAAAACTATATTAAAATAACAAAGAAATAATCATATACCTTTTATTTCCCAAAAATCTTTATAAACAATTCTAGAAAACATGAAAATAAATATTTTTAATAAATAATTTTTTTTCATACTAAAAGAATATTATATATTTCTAAAACATTTAATTTTTGAATTAAACAATATATAATTTCTTTAAATAAATTGCAATTTAATATCTATAAAATAATTTGTAGAAGAAAATTTAAAAAAAATTGCTAAATATAATAAAATTAAAAACCTTATTTTTATATATTTTCAAATAAAACATACAAAATTAAATATATTATATTTAAATATTAGTGTTTGTTTTAAATTTCTTGTTTATAACATATTTTCAATTAACAAAATATTTAATAAAATCGTACTGATTCTTTTTTATTATGCAATTGCTTTAAAATAACATGAAATTTTTTATTAAAATAATAATTACAAATCATTTGATAAAAATTTAAAATACATGAAAAAGAAAAAAAGGAAAAACAAAACATATTCTACAGAATTAGAAAAATCAACGCTTTTAAATACAAACTCAAGTTCAGGAATGTTCTATCTATTTAACTAATGTTAAGTAACTATTTTATTTAAAATAGTTACTTAGAAATATTAATATTTAAACTAACTATATTTATAGACAGACTTAAAAATGAAATAAATGATATTTTGAAACCTTTAAAATCAAAAAAAAATATAGAATCTGAAGATAAACAAGAATCTATAAAGCTTAATACATATAAACTTTTTGGATCAAAATCCCAAATAAAACTTAAACGAAAAAATGAAGATATAGATTTTATAAATCTAAAAGAATCAGCAAAACGTGATATACAAGTATTCCAAATTTTAAGCTTTTATTAAATTCAAAATAGATAAAAAAACTGAAGAAGGATTTACAATATATAACGAAGAAGAACTTAACATTGGAAAGGGTAAAAATACACTTATATGCCCTTTTGACTGCAAGTGTTGTAATACAACAGAAAAATCTTATCATTTCTAACAAACTTTCAGGCTATTAATATATATTACATGTCCACTAATTTTAATTAAAAAATATATAATTCTTTTTTATAATATATATTCTTATTTCCCAAAAACCATGCTACGAAGACCACTACTTGGCGCATTTTTGCATCTCGGCCGCTCTAATTGTTTTTCAAATTGATTAACACTAGTATTCATAAAAAGTTTCATATTTTCATTTCTTAATTCATAATTGGTATTTAACTGATTAAAAAAAGAAGGATCTTTCTCATAATCATATGGTTCCGAATCTCCATTATAATTTAAAAATTTCCCTTTTAGCTTAGCTTTTTTGTTCAATTTTCTTTTTTTCCTTTTTTTTGAATTACCAGGAAAATTATCCAGTGATAAATTCCTGCCGAATTCACCCAGAAATTCCTTATCTTCCTTAACAGTGACATCTTCAGATTTATTTTCGGAAATTTCAAATAAACGTTTTTGCTTATTTCCCAATTTCTTAACCACAATAATATCATCACTTTGATCTTGTTTTTGCTCTAAATCCCTCTCAACAAATGGATAATAAAAAACAGAATCAGTATCACCTTTTTCTATAGATATATCATCAATAGCATCATATTTATTAACAGATACTTTATCCTCATCAATAAATAAATCATTATTATTATTAATAGATAAATCACTATTATCATTAATAGATATACGATTATCCACAAACATTTTTTCTGAAAAAAAAGGTAATGATACAACTAATTTCATATTTCTCAATATTCCCTCTATAATAGATAATCTTGAATCTTTAAGATAGCAATTTTCAATAGTTTTACCCCAAAACAGGGATGTTTCAGTAACAAGACAAATAAGCTTTTCATTAGCAATATCATTTTCAAACAATTTATCATGATTTATAAAATCGACATCATCCATTATAATAGATTTATCAGAGATATCTATATTCTGAACTTTAGAAATAACTTCAGAGCTATTTGATAAAGATGACTTTTTCAATTCATCTTCTTTTGTTAGTTGAATTATTCTAACAATTTCATCCACATGAATACGAACTAAAGGGGGAACATTATTACAAATAGCAAAAATAGAAGCAGCATCTTTCGGGCAATTTATAGCTATTTGAGCCAGAATATGATTCGGCAAAACATATCTAACACTTTCATCTTCTTGCCTAGCAACTTTATCTCTCCATTTGTGCAAAGCTACAAGAACCGATACTTGCAAATCACATGTTAAACAATTACTCCACTTTTGAAGTATACTTTTCCATCCATCTACACCTGATCCATCTGCATCATATTTATCTTTTTCAAAAATCCTTAAAGCAACATTATTAGATGCAGAAAAAACTGATAACAAAAGATTATGAGTTAAAGTAGATTTTAATAACAACTCATTTTTTAAATGATCATATATGTAAAGTAAAAAATGAGTATCCGAACGTGCATAAGAAAGCATTTCTTCAGGTAGAGGACTAAAAATTAGTATTTATTAAAAAAGATAAAGAAAACAAATTACCGTATTCTCCAGTCCGCTAACTGATACCGTTTGTCAGTATTAAAATTAACATACTTTTTTAATAAGAATGCCAAACTATGTCCTTCGAATTCTAAGATCTTTGTTGCATGATATGTATCAAAAAGTCCAACAATATAAAGCCCAAAGTCCCTCTGCAACCATATTATATCCATAGATGCACCATGAAAGACCTAAAAAAATAAATCATACTATAAAAAATAACGCAAAAGGAAACAACCTTTATAATATTAGAGTCCGTAAAAACTTCATTCAAAATTTCCAATTCTTCACGCAATTCTAAAGTATCAACTATCCAATCAACTCTTCTAGTACTAATTTGCATCAAACAAACAAATCCTTGATATGATCGATAATCATGATGCTCTAAATCAACAGCAATTTCCGCTGTATTTTTTAAATCTTTAAGCATTTCTTTTAAAATTTCAACAGTATCGACCCATATAGCCTTAGAGTCGTTAAAAGAAACAGGATCCATAGGCTTTTTTTCTTTGAACAACTCCTCAGAATATCTTATATTATTAATTTCATATTCATATGGATGAGGTAAACTTTTTTCAAAATTAGATTGAAACCTCAATAATATTTATCCTTACCTGCCGGTTTTATATCCTTTATCATTACTTTCTAATATACAATCGTCTAATGGAACAAGAGCATTAGGCTTAACTGTAATCTTCCTTTTCCAAGGTGTATCTGGATTATTATCAGGAACAACAGAAAAACGAAACTGAGGCTTTGAAATATTTTCCTCATGAATAAACTTATGTGCAAGCTGTTTTTTCTTTTTTAAAGTCTTTTTTAAATTAAACAAACGCAAAAAAAATACTTCAAATACCTTTGAAAATTTTGGAATATTCTGCTCTATTTTATTATCAGAACGTCTAAAAAATTCAGTAAATTCATCTAGAGAAATATCCTTTAAAATTTAAAATTTTAAACAATACAAGATATCAACATACTGCTTTTTCAAAAAGAGAATCAATAATATCTATTATATCCCACCACTTATAATTAAGATCATCATGATCTTCAATCTTTCCAAACCTTCCAGATGATACTAAATGAACTAGATAATTAATAAGATCCAAAAACCGCTTATTACAATTAGCCAATGAAGAAGCAAAATATGGATCCAAAGAGCAATAAAAATTAATATCCTGTGATCCAATAACAGTTACAGCCTTTGTTGCAGATATAAGAGAGTCTAATTATGTCATCTTTTCTAAATCTTTATTTTATCTTAAAATATACCATATAATTGATCTTGAAAATTTGAAAACAATGCAGGGTCCATATAAACAAAGAATAACTATCCTTCAAAGAACAATACACCTCTATATCTTCTTGCCTTAAAAACAATATTTTTTCAAAAAAACTTTTATCTCATGTCGAAACAATCCTAACGCAGAATTATGATATTTTTATTTAAATGTTCAAAATTCAATATTCATTTAAACAACTTAATAACACCATTATCAAGAGTCATTCCACATGAACATATATCTAAAATCATAGTAAACAATCTTAAAACACATTCTGGAACAAAAAAACGTTGGAAAGCATTACCTTCAGGAAAATTTAAAAGAAGAAAAGCAGGAAAAACACACCTAAATTCAGGCATAATTATAGAGTATATATTTTCAATGGAATATCTTATTTATTTTAATATAGGAAAAAGCAGCACTCGACTAAATAGACTTGGGAAAGCAACATATGCAGATAAAGGAAAATCAGGTCCACAAACACAACATCTAAAGCGTCTTCTACCTTTCAGATGATATGTTTCTATTTTCAGATCTGAAATAAAAAATATCACATTTACTATTAACTTCAAATTATTAATTTATTAAGAGATTTAAAAAAACAAATATTTAAAATATTTAATTAAATTTATATTTCCATAATATAGCTTTTTATATAAAAAGATTTAATATATATATATTTTATTTATTGAATTATTTCTAATAAATTAAAACATAATCATTTCTGTTAATTTTTTTTAGCCGAATATCTAAACTTTTATTATTTAAAAATGAAGATAAAAAATATTTTATCTAAATGAAACTATCTTTAGGAATAACATTTTTTATTCTTTTTTTCTCGGGATATTTAACAGCACGATATTCATTTCTTAATAAAATTTCTTATTTTATTAACGAATTTTGGAACTCTGGAACTTTTGTAATATTTTAGCTTTTAACATTTTTTCTAAAAGCTTCTGACTGAAAAATAGACAAGAATTGGTTATGTCATAATTGCTCTAAGTTTATGTCATTTGCTATTTTTAATTCCTTTGAACATAATTGCTAAAAAAGAAGCAAAAAGAGTATGAATGAAGTTAAATATCTAAATCACAAATAATTTTAAAATTAGTATCCATATAGATCTTCCTATATTTCAGCAAGAGAACAATTTAAAAGGAGAGGAAGTTTTTAATATATTAAAAAGAACAATATGTTACAAGATTTAATTAGAATATATTGGCCCATAGATATAATCAAGTACGAAGAATATGGACTATTAATTGGTTTTCAGGATTCTCAAAATGATCTATTTGTAATAACATGTATTAAAAATATTGAGGTTTACAATAAACAATGATTAATTGATTTAGTAATGTATTTTAGAAAGATGTATTAGAAAAATATATTCAACAGATAATTCAGGAAAAAATGGAACCATTTAGAAAAATCGAAAAATTATGTGATAAACAATATCCTAGAATTATCGGAACATTACGTTCTACATCAAATAATTGTAAATGCATTTTTGATTACGAAAAAGTCTGGATTGATGCTATATTGGACAAAAATACAAGATTTCCTCAATTTTATAGCGAAAAAGATTTTTCGAAAACTATCCAAGTTATTTTATATTATAGCCCGAACTCTTATAAAATGCAGTATTATTCTCTTAAACCTATAGGATTGGAACTCAAAAAGAAAATTAACACAGAAAACATAGATTTTAAAGATAACCCTACAAAAAAATCAGAACTTCAGGAGCGCTTAAAAATGCACGCTTTTCATTATAAATCGTTGAAAAATTCAAAATTGTATTTTTCTGAAAACATATTGAAACAGGTATAATAATAATAGCAATAATAGTAGTAGAGAATAACTATATTAAAGATTAACAACAATAGAGAGCTTTCGATTGTCTTAAAAAATATTATTAAAGAACATTTTAATAATAATAATAATAATCATCATAATAATAACGGGTCTCTGACTTTATCTACTAAAATACAAAAAAATACCAACTATTTTAAGAAAACATATTTATATTTATTTCAATTTCTATCTATTATTATATTTTGGATCATGTTGATTCAAAAAGCAATTTCCGAGGCTATTCTTTATATAATTGAATGGAAATTATATCACAATTGGATTTCTCTAAAAGATATTTCTGCAATAGGTAATATAACTAAATAGAAACAACAAGATTAATATATTGCAGTTCAACAAATCGATATGAGATTACAACAGTTTTGTTACTGGCCTATTCAATATCAAGCATTACTAAACAGAAAAAAAGAATATCCAAACATTACAACAAGTTATCCTAACTACATTCGTTTTTATAATAATATATGGTTGATTGCTAATGATATAATAATTGGGATAATATTTGGATCATATCTTATAGAAAATAAACATAAATTAATTCATAGTATCAACTATATTTCTAATGTATAAATATCATAAAATTTCATACTATTTTTCTTAAAATATATAGATATATACGATAGAAAGTCTACATAATATGGTTTTTTGGCTAATGAACTGGCCAGCTGGCTTGAAATTAAACAGCGAATTAGCGGGATTTCTCGGGAACCTCTTTTTAAGACTTTTAGAGATTTGGAAAGGTAAATATTTAGTTTTTTCTTTTTTTTTTTACATTTCAATATTAGGATGGATTATAATAATAAACTCATATCTTCCAATTCTTATCCAAATGGCAGCAATACCTAGTTTCATGGGATTTTCCATATTTGTTTCATTTCTAAACGATGCATTATCTCTTCTAACACTTCATATTTATATATTTTATATTGCATCTGCTCTAATATATAATTGGCAGCTTACTATTTTAATATCATTATTTCATCTATTTCGAGGAAAAAAAAAAAATATCTTAAGAAATAGGATTGATTCTTGTGATTACGGCATAGATCAATTAGTTCTAGGGACTATCTTGTTTACATTATTTGCATTCTTATTTCCAACAATTTTAGCATTTTATTTTACATTCGCTTCAGCCCGTATGATTATAATATTTATAAAAGCTATTTTAGATACTGCTCTAACATTTACAAACCACTTTCCTTTATTTGCGATTATGTTAAGAATCAAAGATCCTTTTCGTCTTCCAGGTACGATTATACTAATTCTAGAATTTCCATTTACATTATATATAGGAGGAATTCATTTCGAGTTAGTGAACTTTAAACCTTCAAATAAATCAAAATCATCTTTAAAACCTATTCAAACATCATATATATTTTTAAGGGTTTTACATCTATAAAAAATTTATATAATTACTAACGTTTTAAGTCTATACCTCTTTCTCTTGAATCCATGTTCTGTCAATATTCAAGACTTGTTGAAAGATTAAAATGCCATTATTTTTCCAAACAAGTAATTATCAATTTAATTAGAGGAATCATAGTCCCTATAATTCCTAGAGAAAAACTTTATACTCTTCAATATTCCATGCTTCCTGAAAAAAGAATAAGCATAATTGAACTTATAAAAATAAATTCTAATCAATAATTATATTTTAAATAAAAAATGTTTTTAAAATAAATATTAAATATTCGTATTAGATGTTTACATTCATTATTAAAAAAATATATACACAATAATTTCACTAAGCCTCAAAAATTCATCAAAAGTCTTAATGACATTTTTAATTAGAAAAATCATCAGAAAAGAATTCACGGTAAAAATCAAAACTATCCCTATGCTGGAAAAAAAAGAATGAAGAACCTTGATAAGAATTATCTGATCCAGTGTCATTGGGATCATCTCCATTATCATATCGCTGACGTAATTCTAAGTCATATCAGTTTATGTGTTAATAATAACATGAAAATTACCAGGATTAGATAAAACATTCCATGCTTCGTTAATATTTTCCATTTTCCTAAGAACTTCCTCTTTAGACATATTACCTCTATATTTGTCTGGATGATATTTTTTTGCCATTTTTCTATATGCAGATTTTATTTCCTTTAAGGTTGCATCTCTTTTAACACCAAGAACTTTATAGTAATTCGTTTTCTTTGATTGTTGTAGGAGCTTCTGACATAATTTATATTTTTCTTTTATCGTACGATCTTGACCTTGTGTATATTCATTTGCTTTAGACAATATTGCTAATGCCTCCTCATATAATTCATTCCTCATTAACATATTAGCCTTATCCAAAAGGGCAGGAATAGATCGAGGATTAAGAGCTAATGCTAGTTCGCAATATTTCTCAGAAATAGAATATCTTTCCATCTTTTATTTGATAAGAAATACAGCATTTAAGATTATCTTAAAACTACTCACCTCAGAATATGCTTTACATGCCATTTCCCTAAGTTCAGATAAAAGTATCTTTGGGCTATTTGACATAATTAACTTTTCTTTTTCAAGTTCTTTAACTTTGTTCTCGACATAATCTAGAACACCATTTTCGCCAGAACCATTTACCAAAATCACAGCCACTCCAGCCCATTTTTCAGAATTTGCTAACTTTCTAGCATTTACAATACTCTTTTCTAATTTTTTTATCGTACGAAATATTTGTTTACACTTTTTATGTTCTGGATCAAAGTGTAAGCATCGTTTAACCTGAGATATAGCATCTTCTGACTCATATTTAGAAAAATAAAGAAGTTCGGAAAGAATAATATAAAATTTTGTTGAAGATGGATCCAAAGTAGTCACATGTCTATATATAACTTTAGCAAGATTTATTTAAAATATTATAACCAACATCAAATCTTTAATAGCATTTCCTACGTCACCAAGAATTATATGAGAATCTGCCCGTAACAATCTTAATTTTGCTACAAACGATGCTACAGAAATAGCAACTTTTAAATGTTCCAAACATTCTTCTATATTACCCTTATTAAAAGATACTGTAGCCATCATTGCATGCTTCTGTGCATCCATAACTTCTTTTAACTTGAAATAACATAAAAAACTCCTTTATTACAAAGCTTTTATCATACCTGTTGATAATCGTTTACTTGTTTCAAATCTTGAATCGCATTTTCCCAATCCCCAAGTTTAGCTCTAAGTTTCCCTCTTTGAAGCAACGCTCCATTAAACCCAGGTTTAAGGTCAATAACTTTTGAAAAATCATCTATGGCCATATGATTTTTACCCAACGACATTAATGCTGTAGCTCTTTTAAAATATGTCAAATAATTAGATGGATCTCGAGCTAATAATAAAATAAACAACCATTCAATAAATAAATATAACTACTACATATAGCTTCATCATAAAGATCAATGGCCTCTGATAACTTCCCCCTTTCAAAAAGCTTTGATGCTGAATCAAGAAGGGATTGTGTTGTTTTCTCTGAAAAATGTTCCCCTAATACAAACTTTCCAGAAATAACTAAAAGCAAAAATATCCACCTCATAATATCCGCTAAAAAATAGCATCAAATGATTCTCTTAGACCTATCTAAATAACTATTATTTAAATCAAACTATATCTTTAGTAGTATAAATTGTTATTTTATCGGACGAGAATTTATTAAAAAAATATTAAAATATAAGAAATTAAACAAATCTATAATATCACTTATTATATTTTTAGTTCCTCTTATTGTAGTTTATAATAAGATATGTTTCTGGCAATATAATTTGTCAAAATATTTATATAATTAGTTATTCATTTATTAAAATATTCATTTATTATGAAAAAGATATCAAAGTTATAGATAAAATAGTAGATATTTTAATAAATGAATAACTAATTATATAAATATTTTGACAAATGAATATTTTATTTAAATAATATTATTTTAAACAATTATATTTATAAATAGTTATTTTATAATACTCTATTAATATACATATAAGATTTAAAAATGTAATGAAATAGTATAAATTATAAAGTATTAAGAAAAACAAAAGCTCCAGTAATATAATGATATATTTTTTTATAAGGTTGTAAAAACAAGATTAACGTAGAAATTTCAAATAAAAAAATAAAATCATAAAACTATGTCATTTGAATATGATAAATCATTATCAAAAATATCATTAGACTCGTAAGTAAAAATCCTATTAAATATTTCTATTTTATAATTTATTTAGAGCAGCAGATCTTAAATATTTATCAATAAACTTCGCCAAAACAATTGAAGAAAAATTACAAAAACATATGCCTAAAAATGTTTCAAACAATTCAAAAGATATTTTAAGAGAGAAAGTAGAGAATTTACTGGAAAATGTATTTTATTGTTATATTTTTTTGATTGTTTAATCTTAAAATTAGTTCATAACGAGAACATTTGAATTAGCTAAGCCAAACATTATAATTAATGGGATTGAAGCACAAGAAACAATAATCGAGGATTCATGTAACATAAAATGTATTTAGAATGCTACTTATATTTATAATTAGCTACAATTCTTGAACCATTTAATTATGATTTGAACAATAAACTACAATCGCTACATAATGAAATTGAAGAAACAATTCTAAAAACTACTCAACTGAGAAGAGAAATACCAAGAAAAATATTTGAATATAAAAATAGTCAAAATATAGCTGAAATAAAAATAAATTTTCCGGAGGAACCTTTAATGAAAACTATAAAAACCGAACATATTATAGAACCTGAATTACCGCGTGAAAATGAAATCAAGCAAGAATATTCCGATGCAATATCTGCTATGAAACAGTTAAAAACGGTATATACATAAATTCCCAAAAAAATTCCTAATTTTTACACCAGTCAATTCCAACTACATGTGCTAAACTTGAAAAGTCTATAGAAATTATAAAACATTTTTATGAGAATTAGAATATTAAACCAATGGAAATCTCAGACTATAAAAATATCTCAAAAAAGTGCAATTGTACAGTCAAGCATATACATCAAACCTTTTAATAATAGCTATTTTCTAATGCAACTATCTATGTTTATATTTTTTCTTAATCAATATATCCCCAAACATTAAAACAAATTATCTAAAAATATTACAATAAGCCACAATTCCTTTTTTGTTAAAAAAATTTCTTCTACATTTAGAAGAATCAATGAAATATGTTTTACTCTTCGTTAATTAACAATGCAACTCGGCAAAAAAGCAACGAATCCTTGTTATGAACTCACGGAAATTTCTTAATTGATTTCATTATTATTAATCTTCTGAAAATCGATTTCGTTAGAAGAAGATTGCATCCATTTAGGATCGTTCCATGGACCTGCATCAGAAAACTCACATCCACCATCACATTCACAGGTACCTCCAAGTATTTTTGGGAGATTTTCTTCTGGAATTTGTTCCAATAAAACTGATTTATAATCTGTCCCAAGAATATATATTTTGTTCACAGTTGCAGCATCTAAAAGAAGTCTTATTACTTTGAATGCAGATGAAAATCCCCAAGGAGCATTAATCATATAGAATTTACCTAAAAACAAGCATCAAAAGAAATACTTTAATATACTAAATTTTACCCATTCTTTCTGGATATCTTGCCTATAAAAAAATAAATACTATACAAGACTTTAAACATAAGAATACCTGTCCAATAAATGTCGCCTTTTTTACATAACTATATACTGAACTAATGCTAGAAATACCAACACCCTTAAGATCCATAATTGTACAAGATGTTTCAATAAGTCTTCCACTTTTTCTAGAACATGCAGGCTTTTCTAATTAAAAAAACTAATTAAAAAGACAAACGCTTACCAGTCTATGATGAATAAATTTTTCATACTCAAAAACAAGATTTTGCAGCATCCTCTCTTCTGTAGTAATTTTATACATTTCATTAAGATTTATTTTCCCAAGATGTTCTATATAAATCGGCTGACCATACTTACATATTTATAAACACATATACTTGGAAATAAAATATAAACCTTATCTTCTTTATGATAATATTGAGGATAATATCTAAAAATATCCATTTTTTCATTGTAGCAAAACGTTTTTACAATATCATCTACTCCAAAATCTTTTCTCCATTGTTCACATTCCACAAACATAGTTTTTGCCTGAGAAACATCAAATTTACGAGCTCTAAGAAACCGTAACTAATAAATTTTTAAATCAATCATAATATTTAATTTTAAAAAATAAAATAAACCATAGATGGTGTATCCAAACGCTCAGAAAACCCCTCCTCCTCAAGTTCTTTACGCAATTCCTCCACTTTTAGATCCTGTTCCCTAGTTGTATTTCCCAGATAACCTGTCGCAGAATCTACTAATATTTGCGAGCAAAAAGGCAAATTCGACTATAATTAAACATAAAACTATTCATATATAATAATAATACAAACCTTTCGAGTCATAATACTATTATTTATTGACTTTTCTTATAGTATTTTTATTACTAACACAATTTTAGTGATCTCGAGTTTCGATATTCTCAGCGAAAATTAAATTTTCACCAAAATATAATAAATAATAGATAAAATAAGAAAAAATTAAGACAAATTTTATACCTATTTATACTAATTTGAATCTTATACCTAAAAGACTTTGCTTTAAATACATTCTATTAATAAATATTAAACTTTATGTTAACTTTGATTAAAAATACAATTATGAAGATTTAAAACCTATTTACATATGAATTAGAAGTTAAAATATAAATCATATTTTAATTTATAATCTATAAATATTATTTAGTATTTCAATAATTTTTAAAATAAACCAAAAAATATTTTCAATATTAAAATATATTAAAAATTAATAAAAAAAGGAATTTTTGTAAAGAAACCAATAACTTTAAAATAATCATCTAATTGAAATATATTTTAGAAATCGTTATCAGTTTGAAATTTTTACAGCAAAAATTAATATACAAATTCTTATATTTATTGGAATAAATCATTATAAGAGTTAGAATTAAATATATGAAAGTATTTTTAGAAAAGCTATATAATTTTGAACTAAAGAATTGGTTTTTGGATTTATTATAAAAAATATAATTAAATAAATCAAAAAAAATGACTCCACAACAATTGGAGGTAGATCAGTCAGAAGGAGTTAGACGTAAAGATCCTATAAGAAAACCTATGCAACGACGAACAGTTGACTATGGAAGTGGAATAACAAGATGGTTCCAAGAAAGGACAAGAATGACATCATTTAAAGATGCTAGATATATGTTTCCAAAGCAAAATTTTATTGTTGATGTGAGATATAATAAAAAAAAGGATTATATTTATTTTTGCAGTTATTACCACCATTTGCTTATAAATATAATCCATCACTAAATCTTCCTATCAAATATATCCATTCATCCTCAAACAAAGTTAAGCATCCAGTAAATGTTGTAAAATGGACACCAGATGGAAGAAGATTATTAACAGGCTCAAGTAGTGGAGAATTCACCTTATGGAATGGGTTGACATTTAATTTTGAAACAATTTTACAAGTATTATAAAATATTTTTTAATAAAAAATAATATAAATACATAGGCTCACGATCATGCTATAAGATCCTGTGAATGGTCGAATTCAGGGGACTTTTTTTTGTCATCAGATCAATCAGGTATTGTTAAATATTGGCAACCTAACATGAACAATGTAAAAGTTTTAAATGCACATTCAGAAGCAGTTAGGGACATTTCGTAAATAATTGATAGATGTTTCTTCAAATTTAATTACTATTTTAGGTTTTCTCCTACGGATAATAAATTTGCTACAGCGTCTGATGACGGCTGTATTAAAATATGGAATTTTACCGAAGCTCATGAAGAGCAAAAACTAACAGGCCATGGATGGGACGTAAGAACTATTGACTGGCATCCTTCAAAAGGATTGTTAGTATCTGGTTCAAAAGATAATCTTGTTAAGTTATGGGATCCCAGATCAGGAAAATGTCTTACGACATTACATGGCCATAAAAATACTGTATATCAAGCAACATTTCAGCCAACTCATGGAGATCTCTTGGCTACATGTTCTCGAGATAGTATTACTCGTATATTTGACATTAGAACTATGAAAGATTTAAGAATATTACGTGGACATGAAAAAGATGTAACATCTCTAGCTTGGAATCCTATAATCCCATCTATTTTAAGTACTGGTGGCGCAAATGGTGTTATAAACCATTATATTATTGATGAGTTTTGTTTATCTGAAAACTCACAAACTAAAGCAAGCATTTCATTTTCTACACCTTCATTATTATGTAACCCAACTGTTTCTATACCTTATGCTCATGAATCATCTATTTGGTCTATGCAATATCATCCTCTTGGCCACATTTTGGCTACTGGTTCAAATGATAGATATACACGTTTTTGGGCTAGAGCACGTCCTGGAGATCCTATTGCTTTTAAAGACAAATATTATATTGGTGAAGAAGCAGCAGAAGCTTTAGGAATTATTGAAAAAATGCCGAAAAAAATTCAAGAAGAAGAGGAAGAAGAAGAAGCGGATATTTTAACAGAACAAAACGAATCTCATCTTTTTCAACAGCATACTAATTCTACAGAACAATCACCTAAATCACAAAACTTTATACTTCCTGGTTTACAGGCACTATCTACTCTCAAAAATCAAAATGACTTTTCAACAATATCATCATATTCTCATTTTATCCCACCAGGTCTTGCATCTATGTCATCAGAAAAAAATATGCAAAATTTACTAAGAATATCAGCAAATTCAAATATTATTCCAGGAATGGGAAACACATCTATCAAAAACCCATGAAATTCAAATATTTTAAATATATAGGAAGCATTTTATCGTATTTTATATTTATCATATTTACATATTTCATGATAAATCTGTAAGGTATAACAACGAAAACCCAAACCATGAGCATAAAATACCCCAAGAACAATATATACTAATTAACATTAATGGAAAATATTCATATTTTCCTGTTGACCCAAATATTAAATTATGAAAAAAAGTAGTGTAAATAAAAAGTGGAATAAACATAGAAATGTAAAAGGTAGAGGCACGGTTTAAAAGAAAAATTCTCTTTGTCGATCTGTAAAAGTATTAACACGTTACTCTTAAAAACAAAAAAAAATAAAAACTTACGCAGGTACCATAATGTCAGAAGGCACAAGAAATACTAGTAACCAGGCTATAGTATATACAAACTTAATAAAGCTTTCTAACTTATATTAATAAGACATTTTTAAATAAGTATAAAGAGACCTAATGGTGTAAAAATTAAAGGAAAAAGAGAAACATATCCTGCAACAACCAAAGGACAAAATGCTGTAAAATATCTTCTATCCTTAAGAGCAAGAAGACTAATCATTTTTTTAAAAAAAATTTATAAAACAAAAAAAACATACCTAAATGGAATTATAACCATAAGTATCGCCTTTTCATGAACATGCCATCCAAAAATAAAAGATGAAAACCCGCAAAGTACAATTGCTCCAAGAAATACATTATATGTAGGTCTTATAAATAATTTAGCCAAATAAATCTGTTTTTTATGAGAAAAAAAGCAATGTTTTAATAAAATATAACCATTTGAAAAAAAAATGTAACAATAAAAGTTGTTGTAGGCGTAATATTAGGAAGAATTCCAAAAAAGGTATCGCCTATTAATCCTCTAGTTAAGGAAGCTGCTGCCTCTTGTTTAACTACAATATTCAAATGTGGAGCTACTGTAACTAATGTAAGAAATAAATACTTTTCAAAATAAAGAGAATCCTACATGCAATTAAAACTCTATCAATAAAAGAATACAGGGCCCATATGTTGGGTGCCCAGTAAGCATGAGTTAGACCCCTTGAAAATGGAAAAAGCCTAGATTTTATTTGACTTAATTGGTTATAATATACAAATGGACCAAAGGCTAATGTTATAACAAAAAGATTTGAAACAATTAACTTAATAGTATTTTTGACATTAATTCCTCTCATGTCTAAGCGTAAACAGTATACACGCAGAACATATACAAGATATGCAGGAGCCAGATAAAGAAAGAGATGCTTAAAACATAATAAAACGGAAAAAATAACGCTACTTTTTAAAATTTTATCAGAATTCTTAGCATAACAAATTGATAAAAGAAGCAATCCATATAAAAATCCATTGTACTGAAAATGAATATGATCAACAATAAAAAATCCCGGGGAGAAAACAATAGAAATAGCAATAATTTTAGTTAACTTTTTTTCTGAAGAACTTAATTGAATATATCTATTTATAAGATTTCATTCATAAATATTACAATTCTTACTTTCTTAAACTATATATCAACATAAAGTCTGTAATAATAACAGTTGATCTCTGGAAATATATGGTTTTATTACTTGCATAATTAACATTAGTAATTTTTAACATCTCTGGATCTATCCACTGTCCAAACAAAGAAAACAAATATTCCATCCAGGGAAAAAATGGAGGATAATCTAGCATCCATTGCGAGGTATTCTATACAATTCGTTAACAAAATTCACACTTTTTATCATAGACCATACTTCATAATACCATTTAGATAATGGAAGACTATATGTTAAAGCCTTTAATAATATTAAAATTCTAATATAAAAATACATTCCGATTAAAAAATACCATCCAATTTCTATGGACTTCAAAATCTGTTGATCTACTAAGCCATCATCAGCTTATTATCACTAATAAAATAAAATATTCTACTAGGCTGGAAAAAGTAAAATTTTTATAAAGATAGAAGTAATAAAATATTTCTCAAAACTCGAACAAGACATTCTCAAGTTCTATTACAAAATAACAAATAAACCAGAATATTATTTTATCAATTCATTAATTTTTTAGGTTTTAAACATATCATAAACTTAAAAAAAATATAATATATGACAAAATAATGCTAAAACAAATCCAAAACAAACCGGCTTTTCTTAAATATGTTATTCAAATAAAATCATGAAGTAAGATATAAATATATAAATAACTAAAACATTCTACAATAAAAATACATACTCTCTTTTATTAATATTTCTATTGTAAAATATAACCTGTAATGCACCAATCACAAAACAAATAATAAGAGACAAAATAATTGTGACGATCTTAAGCAATTCTTTCAATTAAATGATAACTTAAAATCATATTAATTTATGTAAAAAAATTAAAAAAAAACAAACCCACTAGCAGTTTCAACAACATGACTCATTTCACCCGGTTGCAAACTAAACGATGCTTCTTCAAATTCTCGTTGCATAACACCTTTTCCAAAAAAACCTCTAAATAATTTAAATAAACTTTTTAAAAAACATAAAAACTTACAAATCTCCCGCTTTTTTAGCACTATTACAATCCGACTCTGTAACAGCTAGTTCTCCAAGACTAATTTCTCCTGAACGTACTTTTGCTTCATATTTAAGAATAATTTCCATAGCTTCTTGCTTGGTTCGAGTAATATTAGGCTATATCCTGATTCAATCCTCTAAAAAATATAACATCATAATACACTCACTTCTTTCCAAGAACTAGGTCTTCTACTATGATTATGTTTTACTAAAAGATGAATAACACGGATCTTTTCATCATTTACTTTATTTTCTTCTGACGATACTGGTATCAATCCATTCTTAATCATATAATCTTTCAGAACCTCAAGATCTGCATCCGATGGGGGCTCCCAAAAGGACTCATGTGTCTTCATATTATAATAATAAGGCAGATTTCTTGAGCGAGAACATCGTATTTCCCAATCTTCAGGTAAACCATTGACTTGAATCATCTAATAAAACATTTAGAATTTCACTTAAAAACACAAATAACAATCAATTCCATTTATAAAACAGTAAAAGCATAAAAACAGAATCAATATCCGGATTTTTTTTTTAATTTTAACTGAATTTTTGGTATTAACGTTAATTCTTACAGAACGTTTTTATCTTTTAACGTCCTTTAAATCATCCAGAATCACATTTTTTAAGGATGGAAGAGACTACTATTTCTCGCTGTCTTTCCCTTATGAAATCTAAGGAAGATACTTCAAAATTTGTAGCAATTTCCATATTACCGTCTATACTTTCTAAAAAACCATCATTAAGTTATGAATGTTGGAAAGCATTGGATTTTAAATGGATTGACCGATTATTAAAATCAAGTTTTGAAATAAGGACTTTTGAGGAAAAGCTAATAGGGTATATATTAGGGAAATCATCAAGTGAAAAGTCAGAAGATTCGTCAGAATATAAAATTCTTGCAGTAAATATTCTTATTTCATTTGCATCTTTTCCGGAGTTATCAGAACATCCTGATATGATTAATAGAATACCTTGTTTAATGTCTATTTTATGTGAAAGGAAAGAATGTTAATGTTTCATGTAGAAAATTTAACGATTTTAGTGATATTTCATTTATAGATTCTACATTGGATTTACTTATTGTTTTATCACAGTCAAAACAAGGCGCACTAAAAATATTAGAATGTCAGCAGAATAAAAATATGAATAGTTTTATTGAAACATTGGATGAAGGTACGTTTTTTTAAATAAAATGTTACATTTATAATTTATCTAGTATTGTTTGAGAAGATGATTAATCTGATGAAGCATGCATGTATAAAATCTGTATCTGATATGGAAGAGATTAATTTTAAACTATCTCTCAAAAAATGTATCAATGATTTGATAAATATTCTAGAAAATAGCAAAGGAAAAAAAAGGCTAATTATGTTTTCTTTTTTTAATGACGTCTTTTCAAATATAAATACAGGAGTAAAACAATATCTACTATTTTTTTAAATTTATCATTTTTAGATTTGTAATTCTCTCATTAAAAACATGGAAATCAAAAAAGCATTATACAATATTTTACACACTCTTATAAAAGAGGATCAATGTAATGTTTAGATTTCAATTTTAACTTATTAATTTTTCAAGCTGATTCTACTCGGAAAATGACATCAAATCTTTTATGTTTAATGCTTCGTTTACAGAATCTCGAATTCATATTATCATGTGCATCAAACGAGGAGGAAGCTAGAACTTTTTGTGTACTGTTTACTAATTTAGCATCTGTGGATATCAGATCAATATTACCTACTGTAATGAAGAAATTAATCTCTGAAGAAATTAACGAAGAATCACATAGACTTTCAACAGACTATGAAATTTTAGAGTCTATGATCATTTATCTTTCAAACTCAGAAACAGTGGTTTTTCAATTTTCAGAATTATTGCTTTTGCAAAGATCATTCAAAGAAGCATTTGAAGAATCAATAGATTTTCTGAAAGATAGGTGGGACAATTTTAATAAAAATAAAAATTCATTGAAAAATGATCCTGAAATTTTTAACGATTTAATTGTAATTTCATCTATAAGATCATTATGTTTGTGGTTAAAAGAAGACGATAGTTTAAGAAAATATGCCATATCTATAATGGATATGTTTATGTATTTATGGAATAAAAAAAACGCATTTGATATTGATTATAGAATATGGATATGTGATGGGTTACAGGGAATAATTACTACAGAGGAAGGATGGAATAGTTTTCATAGCTTAGGATTTTGGGATGCAATTTCAACCAATCTCATAAAAAACGAATTGGAAGAACCAGATCATTCATGTATATATACCAAGCTATCGGAATGTGACTTATTACTCCAAGCTATAGAAAGATATCAAAATCCTCAAAAAAACTGGATTAATATAATTAAATATCCAAAAAAAATCAACAAAAATGATCCTCTTAAAGCAGAGTTTTTCATTAAAATAATTATCCTTAGTTTAATTATCTTCCAAAAATTAGGGAAAGATTTTTCAAAGCAAAATGAACAGCTTTTTTCTGAGCATCTAGAAATATCACTAACATGGATACATTTTCTTGATTCAAAAAGACTCAATTGTTCTTGGACTATTCCTATAGAACTAAAAGACAAAATGCTCATTCACTTACAAAATTTACATCCTTTCAAATAAATCATATATGTATTTAAAATATATAGATTGTATGTAATATATATATATACATCAGATTTTTAATTATAAAATATCGGATTCAAGATTTATAAAAAATTATAAGAACCTTTGTGGTTGCTTAGACTTTTGTATTTTGATGTGTAAAAGATGGCAAATGATCATGAACACAAAGTAGTCCTTAATGAAGATCACAAACCTAAAGAAGATTTTATTGAAGCAAAAATAGCAATTAGAGCACTTATTCTTGGTATTATCATTGGATCAACATCTATAGCATCATTTCATGTTAATTTTTCAGAGTTAACTATATATTTTACTATTCTATCATTCTTTCATTTTTTAGAATTTTGGATTACAGCACTTTATAACCCTTTAAACGTATCTATTTCATGTAAAACTAATACCATTTCACTATTAAAAACTAAGATATCTAAGCATTCCTATTTTCTAATGGAAATCAATATATTCTTGCACATTGCTTTTCAATATTGGAATATCTATTAGAATATTTATTTTTTCCTCAGATGAAAATGCACAAATTAATAAATTATACAGGTCTTTCAGGAAATTTACAATTTTCTAAAAAGTATAATGATTTTAAAGGGTTTGCTATAGCGTGTGGCGGACAATTATGCCGTTCATTATCTATGATTCATGCTACTCATAATTTTTCACATAAAATATCATTAAAAAAAAGTGATGATCATTTTCTTGTCACAGACGGTATATATAGGTATCTTTCATTTCTTTCATTACTATGAAAATTCAATTTTAAAAGATGGATTCGTCATCCATCCTATTTTGGATTTTTTTATTGGGCAATAGGATCTCAAATCATGCTTATTAATCCACTATCCATCATTATATTTATAATTATCCTATGGAATTTTTTTTCAAAAAGAATAAGATATATTAAAAGCATAATTTTAACTAAACTGATTTATATTTACAGGTGAAGAAATTCTTCTTATTCAGTTTTTTGGCGATAACTATATAAAATATCGAGATAGGACATCAACTCTAATGCCATTTATTAAATAAATAATGTATCTATATAAACTTTTTACATCATTTTATTACTAATATATCAATAAACAATTTTTTTTCAAAATATATAATTTTTTATCTAAATATAAAAATAACAATCATTTAAATCTTATTAATAAATATTTTAGCTATAAATCCTTTACTTTTTTTCTTAAAAATTTCATATAAAACTATAATAATTTATATTTTTGAAAAACTTTATCAACTTTTTTAACCTACAGATTTTATAAGATAATCTTTTATAATAAAATGATAAAATCAAAAAAATATATTTGATAAAAGATAATTTAATACTTAAACTAAGAAAAGGTTATCTTTAAGAAATTATTATTTATATTAAAAATGGAACATCAATCAGATTTTCAAACATTTAAAAAATCACATAAACATCAATATATGAAACAAGATATACCTGATCCATCCTCTAAGGAAACAGAAAACACCTTTCTTATCTTTCCATCTTCTAGAAAAAATGTAAAAAATTATGGAGGAATTCAGTAGGTTATTTTACTTAAATAGCAAATATCAATTAAATAATAAAGACAATATTCCACAACACCACAATTAAATGAAGATAAATTTTCATCTATTTGCAAAACAAAGATGTTTTGTAATTCAATTCACAAGAAATTTTCGAAAAAGATTTTTAACAAAACTTTTGAAGATGAAGATCATAAAAATCTTAATGGTGAACATATTTGGTACGATAATTATAATGCAATTGGTTCGATTTCAATATATTTTAGATTTATGTCGTAATTAAAGCATATAGATTGGATTCATGATACTATTAAAGATGCAACAAGAGCAAAAAAACTTCGATCAATTAAAGGAATTAGAGGGTGGATAAGGAATACATTTGATGCTAGTCAAGGATGGATTCTCGTATTTTTTACTGGATTTATTACCTCATGTGTTGCTTATGTAATTGATGTTGTAGAAACCATTTTTTTTGATTGGAAATTTGGCTACTGCTCAGGTAACCTATTTTCAAAATTAAAACAAAAAAAATGACAAATATAGACAATTTGTGGAGCAATAAAGTAAGGTGCTGTAAATCTTTTGATGGAAAGTTACACTAATTCTATTAACTTTCATAACTGATAATATAGATGATCTTGTAGGGTGCAAACAGTGGAATACCTGGGGAAAACATTTTAATTTCCCAAGAAAACAACAATGGATCATTGATTATCTTGTTTACATTGCAATAGCATTATTGTTTGCACTAATATCAGTCCAATTAACTATGACTACTCGTACGACTTTTCCTGTATCAATGGAAAATTCATCAGAAAATTTATCTCAAAATATCTCTATAAAGAAAAAAAATAACTCTAGAGCGGAGAAAGTAGCGTATATGGCATCCGGTAGTGGTATTCCAGAGGTATTTTTTTTAATTTATTTTTCTAAAATTAATACTGTAGGTAAAAACAATCCTTTCAGGATTTACTATTCATAAATTTCTTGGATTTCGTACATTAGTTGTAAAAGTGATAGGACTAACTCTCAGTGTCGCTTCTGGCCTTAATTTAGGAAAAGAAGGGCATGTTAGCTTCTATTTAACTATTTTTCTTACTATTTATAGACCATTTGTACACATTGCTGTAATTTTAATCTCTTGTCCAATTGTCATTGCTAATATATAGTGTTGTATTGGAAATATTGCATGCCGATTATTTAATAAATATAATTATAATGATGGTATATTTTTTCAAAAAAAAGTTATATAATATTTATTGTACTTAGGAAAAAGAAGAGAATTATTGAGCGCAGCATCAGCAGCAGGTGTAGCTGTGGCATTTGGTGCACCAATTGGTGGGGTTCTATTTAGTCTTGAAGTAAAAACTAGCATTTCTATTTATTTTTAACATGAATTTAAGGAAGTATCTTACTTTTTCCCTTCAAAAACTATGTGGAGAAGCTTTTTTTGCGCAATGGTAGCAGCAATAACCTTAAAAGTCAACAATTCTTTTGTTTTAAAAATGTATTTGATTATTTTATAGATTCTTAATCCCTATGGAACAGGAAAAGTAGTCTTATTAGAGACCCATTATAGCCATGAATGGCATTCTTTAGAGCTTTTTATTTTTTTATTTTTAGGTCTTTTTGGAGGACTATATGGTAGTTTATTTTGCAAATTAAATATACATTGGGCAAAAACATTTCGAAGATTAAGTTTTATAAAAAAGCATCCTATCTTCGAAGTTTTTATAGTCACTCTTTTTACTGCTATTATTTCGTATCATAATCCATATACAAAACTTGGTGGAACTGAATTGGTTTCCCATTTACTCAAAGAATGTAACAATAATGAACTAAATGAAGGATTATGCCCAGAAAATAAACTGATGATCCCAAAAGTGACAATACTTCTTATCTTAGCACTAATTATTAAAGGATCTTTTACAGTATAAAATACTTCATAAATTTACACATCTAATTTCATTTAGATTGTGACATTTGGTACTAAAATTCCAGCAGGGTAAGGTTATTAATTATTACTATTATCGTCATTTATAAAATTAGAATATTTATTCCAACAATGGCTATTGGTGCATTATTCGGAAGATTTGTTGGCTTAATTGTGCAGTTTTTTTATTAGTAGGTTTAAAATTAATTAAATATTGTAAATTAAATCAAAATATAGTACATATCCTAGTGCATATATTTTTTCAAGATGTCCTCTTGGTGATCCAAACGAATGTATAGTTCCAGGTGTTTATTCTATGGTCGGAGCAGCAGCTACTTTAGCAGGCGTAACTAGAATGACAGGTTAGAAACATTTTCAATTAATATTTTTTTAAAATTGTCATAGTTTCATTGGCTGTAATCATGTTTGAATTAACAGGAAGTCTTTCATATGTTATGGTAGATTTAGCTTCTATAATATAAAACATTATTAATATCTTTAGCCATTCATGCTATCTATTCTTGTATCAAAATGGGTCGCTGATGCTATAGAGCCACAGGGAATATATGTAAGTATCAAAATTTTACTATAATAAAATTAACAATATCAGGACCTTTTAATAGATCTAAATGGTATAATCTTCTTATTTTTATACGTTTATCAACATAACTAGAATATCCTTATCTTGATACTAAGTCCAAATATACATTTTCATCTTATTTATCCGAACTTTTGCCACCTCCAATAACAGTCTATCATACAACAATTGATTTATCTTTTAATTCTACTGTATCATATACAAAACTTAGAGATATGTTGAAATACGTTAAGAATGAGGGATATATTGATGGCGGATTTCCAATTGTTTATAATAAAACTCTTATTGGATATATTGCAGCACATGAATTAGAACATGCTTTAGGTATTTTATTTCATATAAATAGAATTTAGACATATTTTCTAGACACAATCAAATCTACAGTTTCAAATGAAGATATAGAAAAAATAGGATGTTACTTAATGCCATTTGGAGTTACAGATTCTACATCGAGCCTTGATACTGGAACCTCTTACTCGTTACCAGATCCAGCTGATTTACGGTCTTATGTAGATAAAGTGCTTAGTTTTTAGAATCTCAGAATATAAAATAACATATGATTAGGCACCAATAAGTTTAAATAAGGAAGCACCAATGGAACTTGTTTTTGAAATGTTCTCTAAACTTGGTTTACGATATCTTTGTATACTTGATGGAGCAGAATTCGTAGGAGTGGCAAGTGTAGATATTTTTTGAAAAAAAAATAATATTCTCAGGTTCACAAAAAAAGATTTGTTAGATATTTAAAAGAAATAGAAAAAGGTTTATTATAAGTTCAATAAAAAGAATTATTGTAGGTTTGTATTGATATTAATTGGTGATAGCATTTTTATATAATTTTATTTTTTAGATACTTATAGCATAATTCAAAGAAAATTAAAACTCAAACTTATTTAAAGCATATCTTCAATTTTATTATAAACATCAATAAGCAATTATATATCAAAATATTATATTAATATTAAAAACGACTTTACATATCTCAATAAAATTATTTTTACGCTATATTTATTTATTGGACTCAAGTTTTATAACAGTTTCTATTAAATACAATTCCTTTATTTATTAATCTAGAAATTATATAGTCTTGACAGATTTTAATAATTATTTTCTTAGACATACACATATTTTGGAAAACACTAAACAAATTATCAAGTAAAGAATGAAGACTCTAAAAGCCAAATATAAAATAATTTAGAAACCTTATCAAAAATTAAAAACATTTAAAAAAAAAAATTATAATAAAAAATTTAAATATTAATTATTTAACATAACGCTTCATAAATTTCCTATGAAATTCCGTCCGTAGAAGATCATTAACAAACTCCTTTTTTGGACGATCAGAAATACCTCTTGCTTGATCCTTAAAAATTACATCATCATTCCATCTGTTTTTTTTATTAAATTTCAGACTGATAATAATACATACCTCCGTTTTACATTAAAATCTTTAGATGATATATTAAGCAAAGGATTCCCCATAGCTATTTCTCTTTCTCTTTGTTCTTCATCTTTTTGAGCCTTTTCACGTTCCTAAAAATATATTAATGTCATAATCAACTATCTTTCCTAAATATGTTACAAGTCGTTCATTTTCTTCAGCACGTTCCCTCCTTATCTTTTCAAGCTCCCTCAAAAGCTCAGCTGTTTCATCTTCATCGTCATCATCTTCACTATTTATATTAACCCTAAACATAAGTATATTTCATTCAACCTGTCTTCATTATTCTCACTCTCATCTTCTTTATCATCATCCGCATCTATATTTCTCGTCTCTTGAAGAATCTTTGCACGCTTTATCTTAGGATCTTCATGATTATTTTTTAAAAGTTCATTATTTTGAGATATTCTTTTAATATCATAAGGATCTTCTTTTTTAGAAAAATGAGATGCCTCCGCTTCTAAAAGCTCCAAACGAAGATCCCTTTGTTCTATTTCTTCACTACTTTCCTGCCCTACTGCCCTATCTTAAATATTAACCTTAATTATTTTTATCCTCATATATTTGCCTATATTTAAGAACTGTATATGCTGGCAAAGATCTAGAAGAAAACATACGCGTAGGCGCCTAATAGAACTAAATAAAAACATATAAAAACTACCCTAAATTTTACTTGTTCATTCGATTTTCCTCTTGCTGGATCATATGTAGGTCTAACATCAATATTTCCATAAAAATCATTCTAAAAAAATACCTATGAGCTGTAGTCATTTATTAATCCCTATATATAAAACTTATTCGCAAAATATACAATATTTCTTATATGTTTTATCAATATCAAAGCTAAACTTTAAACAAAGGTTTCTTGACACTTATTCAAGCGTTTTTTGTCCTTTTTTCTTCAAAAAAAAAACATATTTACCAAGAAAATATAAAATACTATAATTATTTATCAGTTTCATATCCATTTTGAACATATTTCTTACTATTTATTCAAATACTTTTTTTTGACGTCTCAAAATCCGTATATTCACCTAATAAATTAAGAAAAAGGCTTTAAGACTTAAATATATTATTTATATATAGGTTTTGAAATGTTTTAATACATAAAAATATGAAGAAAGATATAGATATGTCATTAAATGAAAGACAATTCATTCTTGAGGCTTTAAACAATAATCTTAGACTAGATGGCAGAGATTTTGATATTTGGAGAGATTTAAGCTTAATTTTCGGCAATAACTATGGCCAGGTAGAGATATCTCTTGGAAAAACAAGGTGGATTTAACCTAATATTTATTTTTTTGGGGATTTTTTATATATTTATAGAATTTTTGTTTGTATCTCAGCAGAAATTACAGAACCATATCCAGATAAACCTTATGAAGGGATTTTTACAATTGACATAGAATTAACACCAATAATATATTCACCATTTGAATCTGGAAGGTTTTATTTAGAGAAAAATCTTTAATATATTTAATTAGTATCAGATCATCAGAAGAAACACAGATTATTAGTATTATTGATAAGGCTATAAAGAAATCACGTATGCTAGATAAAGAATCGCTATGTATTATTTATGGTCATTATTGTTGGTCTATTCGTGCAGATGTTCATTATTTAAATCATGATGGTAATCTCGTAGATGCAACATGTATTGCAGTTGTTGCAGCATTACTTCATTTTAGAAAGCCAGTTGTTACAGTGAAAGGAGAGGAAATTATTATTGTAGGATCGATGTATATTATAAAATAATTCTTAATTATTAAGTAGCATCCTATTGAAGAACGAGTTCCTGTGCCTCTAATTCTAACACATATTCCAATATGCGTTACTTTTAGTTTTTTCAATAAAGGAAAAATATTACTTATGGATACAACATTACAAGAAGAAAGGTTAAGGGAGGAATATATGATTATTACTTTAAATAAAAATAAAGAAATTTGTCAAATATCAAAACCAGGAGGAATCACTATAGAAACATCACATATCTTTAAATGCCTTGATCTTGCATTAAAAAAAACATTAGAAATTACAGATTATCTCAACAAAAAATTAGAAGAGAATGAAAAACTCAATGGATATGATAATGAAATTAAGAATAATATATAGAATATGTTTCCGTATTTTATATAGCTGTAAAAAATAAATCTAATTATTCATACATATCAAACTAAAATATTATAATAAAAGATACTAAGACTTATATATTTTTAAATATAACATTAATCAGAACTTCTATTTTTATGCCAATTATCTTTATGTTTTTGAATCCAAGGATGCAATGGAACTTGATCAAGTGCTAATCTCTTTTCAGGATTATGTTGTAAAAGCTTAAAAATATCATTTAACTTAAATTATGAGAATAAATAATACCTTAGTAATAAGATCTTTAGCCTCAGAACTTACATGATCAGGAATTTTAAGATCGACTTTAGCTATTCGTTTATACGTAGCAGGATATCCACTTAAATCTTCAAAAGGAGGAGAACCGACGAGAAACTCATATGTAAGAACACCCAAAGACCAAATGTCAACCTTCTCATTATGATCACGCCCTTCTACCATTTCAGGAGGTAGGTAATCAAGAGTTCCACAAAGAGTATTCCGTCTACAAAACTTAAACAAGAAAAAGATTTATTATATATTTACCTTGAATTAGGTGCATGAACACTCCATCCGAAATCAGACAGTTTAACTTCTCCATTGATCCCAAGTAAAATATTTTCAGGTTTTATATCTCTATGTATAACATGTTTTTTATGTAAATATGAAAGCGCAGATGCCATTTGTGCTATATACTTTTCATATTAGCAAGATTTAAAATAATAAAAACATACTTCTGAAGCTCTTAAATCTGAAAACTTTCCTTTTTTACGTAAATGTTTATACAATTCACCTTTTCCAGCAAACTCCAATATAAGAAAAACCCTAGTAGAATCATGAAAATGACCGTAAATACGAAGAATATTAGGATGCCTTTAATTAATTTAATATAAACAAATGCTTATTATAGTATTACCTTAAATTAGATTGAATTTCGATTTCTCTTCTTACTTGCTTTTCTATTTTAGATTGCATTAACTCTGACTTATGTAAAACTTTTAACGCACAAATAAACCCCGTGCGTCTTTCTTGAGCAAGATAGACTCTCCCAAATTTTCCTTTTCCAAGAGGACGACCAATTTCAAACATTCCAAGATGATATTCATAAACTTCAGAAACACTTTGAGGAATAAGCATTTTCCTGTTTTCATCAAAGGATGCCTTCTCCCCAATCAAAGATAAATTAACTATCTTCCTTGAATTACCAGGAGATAACGAAGACATCTGAGATGTTCTCCATTGCTGTGCAGGAATATTAACAACATTAGTAACAGTAGTAGATGAATTTGTGGTTTGTTTAGATTGAAAAATATTACTTCCATTAACTTGATTATTTTGATTATGTACTGCAAGTTTAAGTAATGGATGCCGTGCATTTCCTTGATTCTTTAAATCAGGCTTAATAGATTGAGATTTTACTAATTGCTATATAACAATTAATCATTTTTATTTAATATTTCTTATTCACTTTTGACACCGGTTTTTGATATATTGAACCTGAATTAAGATTTTCATTAATAGACATATGACAAAGTCCCGACTCTATTTGATGCAAAGACATAGTCATGCCAAGTGGCTCTAAAGATATTCACTTTTAACCCTACAAAAGTTATATTTAAAATATTGATTTTTTATTTAAAGTATAAAGATATATATATCGAAACAAAATAAACACAGGTTACCACAGCAACGGCACAATAATACAAGTCCTAGTAAAATTAGAGTTAAAAAAATGTATAAAAAAGTATTAGAAGCTAAAACAACATACTTTTTCCGAAGGAAAAAATATATTAGTAAAACCATCATAAAGAAGATTAATTATTTTCATCAGTTTTCCAGTCCGAATTAACATGAAATGGAATAACTCTTCCAAGAATTCCACTAACAGAGCCTTGAATTTTTCCAGGCCATTGGCCTTGACAAAGAGCAACAGAAAGCATTTCTTGAAAACGGAAAGAACGACGTTTTCGACGTACCGGAACCATAACTTTTCGCTCTAATGGACATGCAGCACTACATAAAATAGATTCCATAACCAAAGTAACTTCTTCATCAGAATCAACTTGTCTTGCATCCGATGTATAATCTTCAAAAACAGAAGATGCCATTGTTGCAGCTTCTATTAATAATTTAAAAAATCATAATTAAAAATTATTGAATACTTTGCTGTTTAATTTTATTTTTCTTTTGATAATGGACCAACAAAATATCATAAGGTCGAGATCTACCAGGAACAGAACGTTTTGCACTCATGGAATGCGATTTACATGTGAGGGAACGGGAACATAAATTACCATTTGGAAGCAAAACTCCACATTGCTTTTCTAGATCAATAGAAACTAGGATAATAGTAAATGACATAATAAAAATAAAACAAAATCACCTTTTTGCTTAATAAGAATATTCTTAGATTTAAGCTTTTTAAGTTCATTCTTATCTTTATAGTCATACTTTCCTGCCTTCGATGCTTTATTAGTATCATTTACTGTAGAAGTATCCGAATCTTTTAAGATTTCCATATCAGAAACTTATTAAAAACATTCAATTCTTACCTCCATCAGAGTGATGTCTCTTTTTCGATCGTTTCATAGAAACATTTTGCAGCTCTATCATTGTCTTTTCAAATGCTTCTCGAGATGTTGAAGAAGGATCATCTTGCAACTGGTTACATAGTTTTGCGTGTTTATAAAAAACATTTTGTAAAACCACTCTCCCACAATTTTTGCAATGAATATATTTCATTGTTTCTGAAAGAGGATTATACCCATATTTTTCAAAATCATCCAGATCTAACATTGTTGTTATAGGTGATCCTGGCTTATTCAATCTTTCCGGCAAAATCAATGGTTCTAATATTAAATATTAAATCAAAAAACCAATTTAATAAACAAATAGACCCTTTCTGTCCAATTCCTCAGCAACAGTGATCCACCCTGCATCTTCTATTTCCAATTTTTTATTCTTATCATCTAATTTAACACATCTTTCTTTTTCTTTTTCATTAAATAATGAAAGAGATTTCTCACAAAATAATAACGAAATAACTGGCGACCATAAGCCATCTTCTAACACAATTAAACTTCATCTTTATTTTAATATATTAAAAACTACTTACCTGTTTCTTTATCTTCCATCTTTTAAAAAATATTCATATCTTAAATATTATACTTTTATATAAAGCGTTAAGCCATTTCCATCGAAATGAAAAAATACATAATTAAAAATACTTTTTAAAGACTTTAATATTTCTATTTAAAATAATCTAATAAAACAGATATATTTATAGATTTTAAAACAAAATACTGAATCTTAAGAATACACTCATTTTTTTCTAATTCATTACAAATTATTTAATCAAAACGTCATATTATTAAAAATTGTCAAAAATAAAAAAAAGATATATTTTTTTAATAATTTCTTCACTTTTAAGTTTTATAAATAAAATTCGTAACTTATTTCTAATCAGTAATACTTGCTTTTCATTATTAGATTTTATTAACATTAAATTAATCTCTGATAACTTATAAATTTATCTTGCTTTCTTATAACTTATTTCTATTCAATAAAATAATTTTAAAGAATTTATTTCTAATTATATTATTATATTCATTAAGATTTTTCTTAATGATATTTTTTCCAGCTAACTTAATCTATTTAATATTTATCGAAAACTATTAACATCATCGATAAATGATATAGTTTATGAGCTTAAAAGATAAATAGAGTCCTAAATTAATTAAAAAAATTGATATTAGAATAAACAAATGATTGAATCAGAATAAAAAAGATGAAAAAGGGGTCTATTATTGTTTTTTTATGAATAAATAACACGCTATAATAATTAAAAAGTAAATGAATAAAAAAAGTTCAAATTGTTGTAAACAGGAAGAATCAATGATTTTAGAACAATCATCATTGGAATTTGGTGAAATGGCCATGAATGGAGAGTCTAGTACTCTTGATCATATTATAATTCAAGGTTCAGAAGGCCAAGATCTTACGATTTCAGATTCTCGTGATATTTCATGTTCAGAATCGGAAGATGACAATTATACGTTATTACATGATTCAATTCAAACAAAGAAAGTATATAAATGGATTTTTCGATACTTTAAGATAAAAAATATTATAAATTATATTAAGACAAGACAGAATATTTTTAATTCTAAACAAACAAGTACACCTTTTCCTACAGTAGAACCAATATTTAATGATGAATGTCAAAAGATTATGAGAAAAAAAGGAAATACATTTAAAAGCATACTTGGAGTTTTTGATTTTCGAAATAAAAGATTTGCAACATTCTTTAATAAACAGTCATTTCATAATACGAATTCGAATTACCGAGTGATAAATTTTAATAATAACTTAAAAAATACATCTTACAACTATTGCAGCAACTATGTGTCTACTACAAAATACAATATCGCGACATTTCTTCCAAAGTTTTTATTTGAGCAATTTTCAAAATATGCAAATCTTTTCTTCCTTTTTACATCATGCATACAACAAATCCGAAATATTTCTCCTACCAATCGCTGGACGACAATCGTACCCTTATTAATTGTACTTATTGTTTCTGCATTCAAAGAACTAGTAGAAGATTTTAAACGACGCTTACAAGATAAAGAACTAAATCAATCGTTAACCTATGTTTTTGAAAAAATGTCTTTTATTCCTCGTAAATGGTATGATCTCCATGTAGGCGATATTGTTCGTGTTGAATCTGGTCAAATATTTCCAGCAGATCTTATTCTTATTTCATCATCAGAACCAGAAGGTCTCTGTTATATTGAAACATCTAATCTTGATGGGGAAACAAACTTAAAAATTAAGCAATCACATCCAGAAACAGCAAATTTTATATCACCTACCAAAATTTCCCAGCTATCAGGAGAAATACATTCAGAACAACCCAATAATAATCTTTATAGTTTCGAAGCTACAATCATTATCAACACAGATATAGAAAAAAAGGAATATCCGTTAACTGAAGATCAACTACTTTTGCGAGGAGCATTCCTTCGAAATACATCATGGATCTATGGCATTGTTGTTTTTACAGGACATGAAACAAAGTTAATGAAAAATACTACGTCTTCTTGTATAAAACAAACAGCAGTAGAGAAAACCGTCAATATTCAAATCATTTTCCTTTTCTGTATGCTCATCACTCTTTCATTAATATCATCCATTGGCTTAGTTATTAAAGAGAATCTTCATCAAAAAAATTTAAGCTATCTTCACTTTCAAGAAAAAAACAAAATGAAAGCATTCTTCTCAAATATTTTAACGTTCTGTGTTTTATATTCAAATCTCGTTCCTATTAGTCTTTTCGTAACAATTGAACTTGTCAAATATGCTCAAGCACAGCTTATTAATAATGATATAGATATGTATTATGAGCGTGAAGATATTCCATCTACTTGTAGAACTTCTAATTTAGTTGAAGAGCTGGGACAGGTGGAATACATTTTTACAGACAAAACAGGTACTCTTACATGCAATCAAATGGAATTTCGTCAACTCTCAATTGCCGGTATATCTTATATGGATAATTCAAAGAAAAAACAAAGTCTTAATTCCTATCAAAAAAACGACGTTTTTGATTTTATACAATTAAACAAAAACCTTGTTTCACATGAATCGAAAGACATTATCCATAACGTTCTTGTTTTGCTTGCTACTTGTCATACAGTTATTCCAGAGAAAGTTGATGGGCAAGATGATATCATATATCAAGCAGCATCACCAGATGAAGGTGCTTTAGTAAAGGGTGCATCAAAATTAGGATACATATTTACAACCCGTCGTCCTAAATCTGTTTTTGTATCTATTCAAGGGGAAGAACAAGAATTTAAAGTTTTAAATATTTGCGAATTTAATTCAGCTAGAAAAAGGATGTCTGTAATCCTTCGTTGTCCAGATGGTAAAATTAGACTTTATTGTAAAGGTGCAGATACAGTAATTTTAGAGAGATTGTCGAAAAACAGTTTATATAGTGAGCAAACATTACAACATTTAGAAGATTATGCCGTAGGAGGCCTTAGAACATTATGTTTAGCCATGAGAGAAATTTCGGAAAAAGAATATGAAAAATGGGCAGTTATTTATGATGAAGCAACAATTACTATTAACAACCGTACCGATGCATTGGATAAAGCATCTGAGCTAATAGAAAAAGAACTTCTTCTTTTAGGAGCTACTGCTATTGAAGATAAGCTTCAAGAGGGAGTCCCAGAAACCATTCACACACTTCAACTAGCAGGAATTAAGTTATGGGTTCTTACTGGAGATCATCAAGAAACAGCTATAAATGTTGGAATAAGCTGTAAGCTTATCACTGAGGACATGAATATTATTATTATAAATGGAAGAAATAAAAAAGAAATCTCAAATTATATAACTAAAAAGTTAGCGTATGTCAAAAATAGACAAGCTAATAAAGCTAGACTAGAAGCTTTAGCTTTGATTATTGACGGTCATTCATTAACATATGCTTTAGAAAAGGATATTGAAAAAAAATTTATTAATCTTTCTATATTGTGCAAAACAGTAATATGTTGCAGAGCAACACCTTTACAAAAAGCATTAATCGTAACACTTATTAAAAAACATTTAAAAGCAACACTTTTGGCTATTGGAGATGGTTCAAATGATATATCAATGATACAATCCGCTAATATAGGAATTGGCATAAGTGGCACAGAGGGTTTACAGGCTGCTCGAAGCGCAGATATTGCAATTGGACAATTTCGGTATTTAAAGAAACTACTATTGGTTCATGGTACATGGAGTTATCAACGATTAAGTAAATTAATTCTTTATTCTTTTTATAAAAACATTTCTCTTCATATGACTCAATTTTGGGTAAATTATTTCCAATTTCGATAATTTTCCTAATTTAAAATAGTATACATTTCATAATGGGTTTTCTGGTCAAGTCATATTTGAATCATGGACCATATCTTTCTATAATGTATTTTTTACGTTTCTTCCTCCAATAGCAATTGGAATATTTGACCAATTTCTAAGTGCAAAACTACTAAGTAAATATCCACAGCTTTACAGACTTGGTCAATTTAAAACTTTTGTAAATATAAGACTAAAATTTTAACTAACTAATTTTCCTTTTAGTTTAACGTAAAGAATTTTTGGCTGTGGATAGCCAATGGTTTCTACCATTCACTTATCCTTTATTTCATGTCAATATATATATTTGAGAATGATTTACCACAGGCCGATGGAAAAATTGGAGGTCATTGGGTTTGGGGAACAACACTTTATGCAGCTGTTCTTGCTACAGTATTAGGAAAAGCAGCCTTAATTACAGAGTGATCATTTATCCCCTTTTGTGACCTTAATTAAATATTTTTAGTTCATGGACAACATATACTGTTCTAGCAATACCAGGATCGTTCATTATATGGATAATATTTTTACCTATATATGCCATTGTTGCACCAAAAATAGGTGTTTCTATGGAATATCATGGAATTAATTCACGTTTATATACATCACTGGTATTCTGGGCTACTATTTTAGTCCTCCCAATATTATGTTTATTGCGTGATTTTGCATGGAAATAGTAAATAAACAAATAAATATAGACAATTTATAACACTATATAGTTATAAACGAACTTATTGTCCACAGACTTATCATTACATCCAGGAAATTCAGAAATTTAACACTATAGATTATAAATCAAAGTAAATATTACACATATATTTTAAAATCAAATACTAACATTTATAGAATGGAACTATTCCAAAAAACAGTTAGAAAAGTAAGAAATGTTCAAAGAATAAGCAAATTGCAAAGAGGATATGCTTTTAGCCAGGGAGATACTGGCCAAACAAAACTTATACGTGCATATGATACTACTCAAGAGAGAGGTCAATACGGAGAAGTTAAATACCAATGTCAGACTAAATAGTAAAAAATATTATACATACTAATGTTAATTATAATAATCATATTTCAAAATATCAGATATGTTTTAATCATTATACGCTGTAAAGCATAATGTTGCATTAGTTCCTCCAAAACCAAAACTATTAGTTAATGCAATTTTTATTTTTCTTTCTTGAGCATACAATGGTACATAATTACAATTAAATTCTTCTGAAGGTTCTCCTGGATTTTCTAAATTTAATGTAGGTGGCAATACCCCCTATTAATATGTAAAAAAGCATTAAAAGATAGAATATTACATGATAAATAGCTAATATAGTAAAAACAGATTCAACTGCACCAGCAGCACCGAGCATATGTCCTATAGCACCTTTCGTACTTGATACATTAATTTCTTTAGCATTTGACTTTCCATTAGGCCCTAGCATAACACATTTAATAGCTTTGTTTTCTACCATATCACCTAATGGCGTAGACGTAGCATGTGCATTTATATAATCAACATCTGAAGGATTTATACGAGCATGTTTTAAAGCATTCCTCATAGAAAGCTGAGGACCCAATCCGTCTTGTGAGGGACTTGTAATATGATATGCATCACAAGACAATCCATATCCTCGTAATTCAGCATAAATTCTAGCACCACGAGCACGAGCATGCTCCAATTCCTGAAATAATTATAAATGAAGAAAAAATTATATTTATGCCTCTAAAACAACAATCCCAGAGCCCTCACCAATAACGAATCCACAACGGTCTCTATCAAATGGTCTAGACGACTTTGATGGCATGTCATTATATTTTGTCGCAAGACTTTTGATTCTTTATTTAATTAAGAAAATATTCTAACAAAAAAAAAGCAAATTAATTACCTAGAAAATCCAGCAATTGCTAATGGATGTATTGGCGCCTCAGAACCTCCAGCAACCATAATATCAGCATCTCCATATTGAATAAATCGAAATGCGTCTCCAATAGCATGATTTCCAGTACTGCATGCAGTTGAACATGCATGATTAGGCCCCTAAAAACAGTAAGAAGTTATCTAGCTTCAAAATTACAATATTTATTACACGAAACCCATATTTTATTGCCAAATAACCCGCCGCCATATTCACCAAAATTTTTGGAATAAAAAGCGGCACAACCTTCTTCCAACCCTAATAGAATTCAACCTCTATACAAAAAAGATGTAAAATTCAACATATTGTGTAAACTTATTCGACATTTCTACCAAATCTTCCAGACTTCCTATGCCTGAACCTATACATACACCCTACCCCATTAACCACATAAAATCATACAAATAAATAAACAAACCACTGATTCTCCTGAATAACCATCTAGTCCTGCATCATTAATCGCTTGTATCGATGCACAGACTGCATATTGAGAAAACGTAGCCATTCGATGACGATCCTACTAAATCATCAAATTTACTTAAAAAAAAACATGAAAAAACAACCTCTTTATCAATCCATTCTTCAGAATCCCATAAGCCATCTGTAAAACTTCCCTTCTGGACAATTCCCCCAATTTTACTTGGCAATCTCTCATATCGCTCATCTCCTTCTCGACCTTTTAAAGAGACAATACCACTTTCTCCACGCAATAAACGGGACCAGCAATGTTTAACGCCTGTTCCAAGAGGTGTTAAAAGCCCAAGACCAGTAACAACTACCCGTTTCATAGCAAATAATCTTATAAAATAATCTCAAAAATTATCTGATAAGATAAAATTTTGATGACGTTGTTACTAAGCAACTGTTGCTAGGTTACGGATACTAAGGAAACGTCTATGTACTTATCGACCTCTATAAATTTCAAGATCATATTAAGATTTTTATAAAAATATAAACATAAAAATACCTTTAAAACAGAAGAAGAAATGGTATGCAGCAATGTAAGGGAATTATTTTTTTTTAAAAAATTTTTGTTAATATTTTTTAGTGTGAAAAAAAAGGAATTTCATTAGCAACTCCAAGGTTTTTTTTTAAAAAAAGAGAAAAAAAGGAGCTAATTTGAGTAAATAGTATTAAAAAGAAGTCGGATATATATATGGGAAGTGAGATGTCAAAAATCGTATCATCTTCAGAGAGAAAAATTGGAGAAAATAAATTATTAAGTAAATCGGCCAAAAAAAGGTTAAAATTTATTTAAAAAAAAGATTATAAATATAAATGTAAGTAGATATGATCCATACGGAGTAGGATGTACAATTTGTAAGCAAAGAACTCATCATCTTGGGGCGAAATATTGTCCCAGTTGTGCGTATAAACAAGGACGATGTATTTATATAGGATTAAGATTTTATATTTTCTAAGAAAAAAATAGGTAGTATATGTGGAAAAAAGATTTTAGATACAAGTGCATATAAACAAAGCTCAAGATGAAATAATTAAAATGAAAAAGAGAAAATGAGCATAAAAATATTACAAATAAAGGAAATCATAAAGTTAAATAAGCGTATTAAAGCATAGCTTGGATAGAATTCCAGTAGGGTTTCGAAACATATTGTTTTATTTCATCTTTTGTAACCCAAAGCCAGTCAACAACTGTTTTACCATCTGGTTTAACTTGTCCAGCCATTACTCGAGCTTTCATAAAAAATATCTGTTTTATTGTCAACAATACATTTAAAGAAAATCAATTTTACTTTAGCACCATAAAATTTATCACTATAACCTTTTGGATATTTATATTTACCATTACCAATAGGCACATGGCCAACATACCAAACATTCATGTTATTCCCACAAACCTCATACAACGATCGTTCAGCTGCCTATCTTTGTTAACTAATAAATAATCTTTTATAAATAAACATACAGTATGTAAGAAATCATCATCTGTTACTACGCCCTGAGGAAATTGCCAACAATGTTCTTCTCTAGGTTTCTTCACAAGAAGATAAAGTGTTTTATCTAATTTTCTTTCCAAGCTACGTAAATCTCCTCTACGGTCTGCCTCTGTTTCACGAGGCAAAGCAATATCTGCTTTTTCGTCTTGCAACTCAGAATATATATTATCAGAAAGAAACTCTGCTTTAGCTTTGTTTGCTTCATTATCAAACCATTTCTTTTCTGCTAAAGATCCTTTTTTAAAATAAAAATCTACTGGAAAGGGCGCAGCTAATCTTTCATTTAATTGTCTTTGATATGCATAATAAGCCTTTTCAAAAGGCGTTTTCTCTTCAGTAATAACAGGCGATCTTAAAAGCACTGTTGCTGCTAGAATTCTATATAAACGAGGTGGTTCTTGGTCTAATTCAGGTACAAAATGATAAGTTATCTCATCAATATCAATTTCTCTAGAAATTCTGGAAAAATTCGAAAAAAAACGACCATTTCTTAATTTTGAGAATAGTATCATGAAAATAAAGATAATATACAGGTAATTCGTCTACAAAAGTACAATAAATTTCTAAAACATTAGTTTATATTCTTTTAAACCTTTTTCTACATACAGTTATCCTTTTTTTCCCGAAAAAAAAAGAAAAACTACAAACTAGACCCAATATTCGTTCTGAAAATATTATTTTCTTCTATAATATTCTTATAATATGTCTTTTCTAGATTTTTATTTTTTTCTGACATTGAAAATTGATCGAATATTCAAAATCTATAAACCGCCAATTTTTAGAAAAAGACAAAAAGATAGCAAAGTTTACAAGAAAACCATAATTTCAGATACTTGATATGTCTACAAGATCAGGTATTTGTATATCGGATAAGTTTTTAAACTACTTTCAGGAGTTTATACAAAACACAGATATTATTGCAATGAAGATTTCTATTTTTCAAGGTAAATCTTATATTTTTTTGAAAAAAAACGGTATTATTATATAGAATCATTAGAAAAAGATATGTATGTCTCAAAATCGGAAGATTTTTATAAAGATATAAGCTCTATACAGTCAATTTTAAGTGACACAAAACCATCATATATTTTATGTAAAGAATCATTCTCTATTCCAGAACAAACAGTTATTATCCACTATGTTCCAGAGGATGCAGAGGTTTTCATTTCTTAATTGAAAAAATTTGGCTGAAAATGCCACTAGATTCGAGATAAAATGATTTATGCATCTACATATCATACTTTAATTCAATCATTGGGTTCGAATAGGATTTCTAGAAGCATTTTTATTAGCAATAAGAAGGAGTTAAATATATCTTTGTTTAAAGAACATTTAGAGGAAATAAAAAGGGAAGATTCCTTATCAATTGAAGAAAAAAACCTTCAAAATGTAAAAAATTCTCAAGTATAGATTTTTTTTATGAAAGAAGAAAAGAAATCATACTAATTGATGGGTAGGAATACTCAATAGGTTGTTCTTCTCGCCAAAAATACATAAATGATACATTTTTTTTGAATATTAGCGAGGAAGCAAAAACAGCTATTGAAAAACTTTCAAAAAACACAGAAGAGTTTAATTTTATACAATTGGTAAAATTAAAAAATATATAAACAATCTCATTTATTTAATGAAGATCAATGATCCTCAAACTGAAATATTAAATCTCAAGATGACCATGTCGGTAAAGCCCAATGATATCCAACATATCTTACCATCAACATCACCATGCTATTCTATTTATTCATGGAGTCATAGTTACAACAACACCCCAGCCATTTCTAGAAGTAAACAAAATCTCATATGAAAACTTGCTAACTATCTATTAGTATTTATTTATACTTGCCCTAAAGCATCTACCATTAAAGAGCGTATGCTTTACAGCTCGTCATGTTTAATGGCGTTATCAACAATTAAGCAGTGGATTCCTATTGACAAAAAAGTACTTTTAATAAAAATTTATCTAAAATAATATAAAATTAATATTTCTATTAGATTGAAGCACATGATCTTATTGATATTAACGAAGCAATGTTTTATTCGGTTATTTATCCATTAATAAAGAAAAAACAAGAATGTTTTTTGAGACCTAAACGTCCTGGAAAATAAATTACAATGCCAGAATTTTACACATTTAGCTGAATAAGTAATAATCGTACAGTTTTTTGCATAGACGTTTAAAGAAATTTTGATTATATCTTTATATTTTTTATTATTCAAATACAAAAAAAAAATACACTTGAAATTGGAGCAAAAAAAGCAATCATTATGAAATAATCATAAAAAACATATATAGCAGGCAGTATTATTAAAAATAAATATACACATATACATAACTTTAAAAAATAAATGATAATGCAAAGTTTATAGCATTTTTATTAAATCAGGGTCCAAATTTCTTGAAACCTTTTAAAAAATATATAATAATAATATGAATTACTATAATATTTTTTTCTATTCAAATAAGATATATTATTAAATTATAAATAATTTATATACATGAGACTTCAAATTAGAAAATCTAAACAAATTTAGAATAAAACGCAATAAATATTCAAAACAAAACATATCATAAAACACTGTTTTAAAAATATACTCATATTCAATTTATGCCTATAAATTTAAGAAAAAGATAATATTCGAGAGAATAAACAAAGAATAATAAAAATATGCTTAAAAACAAACCTATAACGAACAAAAAATCACAATTTATATATGTCCAATATCCTTTATAAGACGCATGATTTCAGTTTTAATTTTATCATACCATAGATTATCAAAATCATCAAACATATGTTCACCTAAGAGTGCAACATCCTCATAAATCATTCTACAAACTCGTTTATTAATTGATTTACAAGTATCCTTTGATATTTTTTCCGGATAATATAACCGCAGCTCTTTAGAAACAATTTTTTCAATTTTTTTTTTAATTGTAAATGCAATTTTTCTTCCAGGAGATATAATAGGAGACTTAGAAGTAGACTTTGATGAAAAAGAAGAAAACGTAGTCAGAAATGATTCCGATAAGGCCATAGAAGAAGACATAGCTGAGGAATGATAGACTTTTTTAGATTGCGTTCCCGAAAATGTATCAGAAATTGATTGAAAAGAATCCTTTTGAGTATTATCATCTGTAAACGATACATTTGAAATAAAAACGGAACTATTTTTCTTTTTAGATGTTTCTGAATCATATGACACTTTATTGTAATAATTTTCAAAAGATTCTGTATCATGCTTTAATTGATATGAATAATTAGAAGTATTTGATATATCATTCAACAAATTTTGCAAAAAACCTAACTGACTATCATTATTCTCCTTTGCCTTTCCTTTAACATAGGATATAGAATAATCATCGTTTGAAACACTAGAGATACGTTCTCCAGAAGTATATCCCATATTCTTAATTTCATTTCTTGCTATCAAGGGACGTTTAAACTTTTTTTGAGATGTCAAAGACAAAAAATCATCTTTAAACGAATCATCATATTTTTCAATCTTTTCACCACACTTTTGAACTTCATACATTTTCCAAGCCTTTTCTTCAGGACTCAAACTCAATAATCCTGATCGAGACTTTCCTGAATTATATGATGATTCATCTCTATAAGCCAAAGAAGTAGATGTATGATTCCTTTCCCCTCCTGCTTCATTATTCCGTATGCCCCATAAACCATAATCATGATAAGCCCTTTGAAACCAACGATTGTTCAAAGAAATATTACGCATTCTTTCTTGCCTAGTACTTCTATTTAAACCACTGGATACACGACCACTATGATTATTTCTATTAACCCGTTGTCCTATAATTAACAATCCTGAACGTCTCATAGCTCCTCTACGTCTTGGAGCATAAGAAAAATATTCTTCTGAAAGAGTTATACATGTTGGACAAAAAAAATCTTGTCTTGGAACTTCATCAAGTCCTAAACAATATGTATGATACCCATCATCACATCCATCGCATAACAAAAGAACTTGTTCATCTTCGCAGCTTCCACATATAATACAACGGCAAATATCCTCTTCATTCAATGCTTCAAAATCAACCGATTTTACTCTTTTTTCTACTGGATGATGGGCAAAAATGGGCCCTAAAATATAAATAAAATCACTCTAAACCCTCTACATCTTCAAACCTCCTAAAAAACGTGATAGACTTATATAATCAAAACAATATCTACACACTGGACATGTATTTGCAATCTATCCTCAAATAATCAATATATCTTCATTTTAAACACTTTTTTCGCACCTTTACCCATAATTCAATACAATAATAATGAAAAAAATGCCTACAATTCCCCAAATACGCAATATCTGTCTTTCTTGGCTTTAAACAATCTTCAATATTTTTTTCTATATTATTTTCTTTAATAACTGACTCCTCTTTCTCTAAATATGAAAATGGACTTAGGCAAATACTACACAGGTTTTCCTCTTCATAAGAACTCCTAATGATCTTTTCATGACCCATTTAATAGATTCTCTGAATATTTAATTTTTTGGTCGTCTAAGGCGTAAAAAAAACAAAAAGGCTAGAGATAAAGTATGATTTTTTTTTATATGAGAATTCAAATAAACACAGGAATTACATAATCTTTGTTATTTACTTATTTATTTATTTAATATTTTTTTTTTGTATATTTTTATAAAAAAAAAGAATATAAAGAATAATTTCAATAAGAATAATCAAGCTTGTCATTTTGAGAAAGAATCTATGCCTTTTCATCTTAATTTTTTTTTTAAATTGATATTTTTTAATCAAAAATTAATTTATCTAAATAAATTAAAAATGCCAAAAAATCTAAAAATTATATATCATCATTAAGATCTAGTGTTTTAGCCAACATCTACATTTATTTGACATGTTTCGTGAGCCGACAAAGATGTATCTACATCTTTTAAATATAGATTATCTTCACGAGATAAACGTTCTTCTAATTCCTTTAATTCTTGTTGATATTTACGTTCTAATTCTTCGATTCGAATTTTTGCCCTTTCTTCTTCTTTAGATGAAAGTTTCCAAGGTTGATAAAACAATACAGGTAAAGTAGTCGTTTTTAAAGCACGTGCAGATGCCATTTCATTTTTATAATATGTCTCCAACTAAAATATTCATAAAATAATTTATTTTTCCTATCTTTCTTACCGACAACTTCTCAAATTCTCTTAAACTAGCCCTACGTAATCGTTCTGCTGCTCGTTGTTTTTCATCCTGTTCTATCCGAGCACGTTCCTCTAAAGCCTCCTTCTCTTTACGCATGCATTCTGCTAATCTAGCCTCTATCTCTGCTCTTTTAGCATTCTTTTCCTGTAAAAAAACTGATTCTTTCTGAAATTTTCCTAACGTCCCCATCAAAGTTCCTAAAAAACGCTGACCTCGCTTCTGTTCATCCAATCCCATTCTCTGACGTCGATCCCCTTCATATATACATTAAATTACCTTCTTTTTACCTCCAAAAAAGCCTAAACTTACGTCGCTGAGAAGATTCTTCTTGATCTCTTAATCTCTCTTGCTCAGGTAAAAAAACCATTGATTCAACTACGACCTCAGGGTCCCTAATAAGAACAAATAAGTCAATAAAGTATTAAAATATCATGAAAATATACATAAAAAGCCTATTCTTAATCTCCAAAATCTAAGTCTTAAAAATTTAATATTTCTGTCGTAAATTTTTTTTCGAAAAACTCTTAAAAAAAAAAAAAGTATGTCAAAACACCATCCAGACCTTGTAATGTGTAGAAAACAGCCAGGTATCTCTATTGGAAGGGTAATAGCGTTTTTTTCAGCGATAAAAAATGATAAATTTTGACTGATTTATAGTTGTGTGACAAATGTGATGGAAAATGCCCAGTCTGTGACTCATATGTTCGTCCTACAACACTTGTTAGGACGTGTGATGAATGTTCTTTTGGGAATTATCAAAGTAAATGTATTATTTGTGGTGGAGATGGGATTTCTGGTATTGTTTTTTATAAAAAGAAAAAAATAGGGAAATAATAGGGTTATTTATAGATGGATACTATTGTTTTGAATGTACACGTTTAGAAAAGGATAGGGATGGATGCCCAAAGGTTTATTTTTTCTTTAAAATATTTTATAAATTATTTATATGATAAGATTATTAATTTAGGAAGTTCAAGAACAGATTTGTTTTATGAGCGTAAAAAATTCAGATTAGGAGGAGGACAAAGATAAATATAATATATTTATTATATAATTTTTATCTTGAATATATCAATTTATATATAGTAAGGAATTTTCAAAAAAATAACCATGGTTGTAAATATAGTATAAATCTAAAAAGAATTTATATTATTTTGAAAGAGAAAAAAATTACGAGGAAAAGAAATTTTTGTTGTTTATTCAGCGTATTCCGGAAAATTTATGTATTTTTATAATGATATTGATATTTTTAAAGAATAGAAAACCAATAATTTGAGAAAAAGATAGAAATTAGAATGTTTGTTAGTTCTAAAATTAATACCATTTCCATATATTTAATGTATGGTGGTGAAAAACGCATTTGGTACTGTATAAAGTGCTATTATAATCAAGATCAAAAAATACATGAGATTCTTTCATTGAATAACATCTTTTTTTGCAATTAATAGATAGATTTTTATAGTCGTAGAATAACAGATGTATTTATAAAAAGTAGTCATTGGAAGCATAAAGTTGTTAAATCCAAAGATTGCCTAAGTAAAACCATTTTAAATTGTTTTGGTAGAATATCGTGCAATTTCGTTAGAATAGAAACTCGACAAAAAGATTTTAAAAGATTCTATGTATCTCTTGTCCACATTTCGAATTCATAAAGAAAACCGTCTTCATTTACTTTACCTTGAGGAACTTTGCTTCCAATCCAAGACTCTAAATGTGAATGTTCTTCTTTTTTCCAAACAGAAGACAATTCTTGATCCCGAAATTTAACTGGAAAAAATACATCACAATTAACATCCTTATAAATTATGGTAGCTATGATTCTATTTAATCTAGGATGTTCCATAGCCGCTTTATAGAGCTGTGCACCACCTATAACAAAAATTCTATTCACTTGAATTGGATTTTCTGAACTATATATACAAGACAGAAGTTCTAAAGCATCATCCAAGGATCTTGCACAATGTATTCCTTGTCTAATATAGTCAATTGAATTTTAAAGTTAATTTTCTTCACTTGCCCTAAATCCAAAGATTCTTCTCGACTAATAACAACATTAATACGACCTTTAAGAGGCCGGAATTGTAATGGAAGGCTTTCCCATGTCTTTCTACCCATTAATACTACATTCATCCATTCAAATGAATCAAAAGCTGGCACGAAAGATGTCACTCGCTTAAAATAAACCATTTCTTTCTTTAATTTCCATGGAAGAGAGTTTGATCGACCAATCCCATAGGAAGTTGTAAGTGCAACAATCAATGTTAAAGACTTTTGCTGATTCATCAAAATCAAACGGATTGTCCGTCGACAAAAAAAAATCGAAGCCACCTATATCATTCTTCTATAACCCACACATCATCTTACATTTTAGAAATAATTATCTAATACAAATGAGCATATTTCTATAGTTTTTTATTATAATAATACCCATTATACAAACAAACCAAATTTACAAGATCAACCAATATTTTTCCAAAAAAAAGAGACCCTGCTTTTCAACATATAATAACAAGAAATACTCATAAACCGTTATTTTTAATGTATTTATTACACATCTAAGTCGTTTCTTGTGTTTGTTGTTCAGTTTCCGTGTTTTCAGAACTTTGATTATATTTATATTGATTTAACAGTGCCAAAATTTGATCCAAAGATAAAGGAGATATGTTTTTCATTTGCTCTGGTATGGGATCCCAAGCATTTGTCTCCCACAACATCCATGCTTCCTTAATCAATCGAGAAATTAATAATAACTCTTCTGCTGAGCGAATCTAAAAGTTAAAACATAAATTTCAAACTTACTACCAATAAAAATACATAACATACCATAGAGGCAGCATGCGTTTCAATCTGGTAGCTTTCAGAAGCTACTGTACACTGATCTTTTGCATCATTCTATCAATGTTAATAAAAATAAAATTATAATTACTTACATCAACTACTTCAATTATCTGACAAAATCGTGAAAGCAATGTAAAAGATGCTTCATCTATCTGCTTAATCAACTCTGTTGTACGCACAGCAAGTAAATCTACGTCTTCTGAAAGATTCATGGTAATTACTTATCGAAAATCTGATACTTATGAACGTATAAAATCCACAAAAGCAAGAAAAATACAAAAACTTACATAATCAATAAATAGAGAATAGATAACACCTATATATGGGCCATAAAAGAACAAAGATATACCAATATAATATTCATCAAACCCCAATCAATAATAATATCAACGATCAATTAACATCTATAGCCTTTAATCCTTTGTCTTGAATCAAATTTACTGTTTTATATCTTTGAGAAAATATTCTTCTATAATAACCGCAAAATTTATGAAATAATTCAGGTTTTTAACAGAAAAGTATAGATGTTTCTGTCTTTCAATTGTATAAAACTATTACCATGATAGATCTTAGCCACTCTAATAAACTAAAAACATTAACTACAAGCAACTCTTATATAAAATCCTAACTTTCGTCATATGGACGTGTATCAGCAAAACATGGTTCAAAAACTTGCATTACTACTTGTTTTGCATGATCCATATCTTTACACGCAGGATGTCCCATAACAGAAAGTATAGCTCGACGCTTAACACACTCCTAATTCGTTTTAATACGCTAGATAATCTATACGATCTAAAAAACCTGATGATGCTTACGAAATGTAGCAATTGTGCCGTTTTTAAATTCTCTCCACCAACGGCACTCTCCACTAAGACTTACTGCCCGTATTTCACTACAAGCATGATGTCTAAGATTATTTTTATCAACAACAAATTTTGCATGATCATACGCATGAATCATTTCATGCACCAATGTATCTTCCATATGAGATTTACTCCAAATTTTATTTTGACAAAGAAAAATCCCTTTAGAAGAATCAAACCAACCACTCTTCATTTCATCACATGGAACACATAAAATATCATTCAATGAAAGACCTGATTTCAAAGAATCCAAATGTTTTGCTATAAATCTCACAGATGGACCTTAATTGTTACCGTTTTTTACCATTCAATCTAGAAAAAAGCAACAAACTTACTGTTCTTAAACAAATATCTCTTCCATTCCTCACAGCGATTATTCATTTGCTCTTTATACACATGATCTCGGATTTTTTCATACTTTTTTCTTCCATTTTTATCCATTCCAAAACCCAAAACATACATTAACGTATTTCTCCAGCTCAAAAACGATTTGTCTATATTATCACTTCCTTCGGAAACATTCTCATGTATATTTTCCATATTTTAAGGCTCTTTTCTTCTATATTTCCTTAGATTTTAAAGTGCCTTAATGACATTCAATAGCTACTACGATTAGCTAATCTAAAAGATAAGCAATAAAAACCAAAAAAAAAGATTAAAAAATCAAAATAATAGTTCAATTATAAAAATCGCCATCATAAAACAATCCCATTACTATATAGAGTAGAGAAGTATAATTAAAATACAAAAAAGAAGGTTTAAAATAATAACTATTTTTTAAATATAAAAATATATATCTTAAAAAAATAAAGCAAGATTTTTTTTCAATTATACTAAATCAACGGTTTGCCAATTCTTATAGATTCCTGAATTTTTCTAATCCATTCATGATTTTCACCTTTCCCATAAATTAAATATGCTTTACCCGTTTTACCAGCTCTACCAGTTCTCCCAAGACGATGAATTAAATCGACATGATTATATGGCAGATCAAACAATATAACATTTTTTAGGCCAACAGTATCCACGCCCCGTGAATTCAAATCAGTTGTAACCAAAATAGATAAAGATTTATCATAAGAATTACCATAAATAAAATTGTGTATATTATTAAGACGATCTTTAGTATATTTTGTTAAAGAAAAAGCATGAAACCCTTTGTTTTTAAGAAAATGAGAAAATTCATCCGAGTGTTTTCTTTCATTAAAAAAAACAATAACTTTTTTTGAAACATCATTCTTTGCAATTTTTTCAAGGATGCTAAGACATGCCATTTTTTTATTATTTTTAAAAGCTTTTTGAGCATCAATTAACTTAAAAGAAATCTTTTTTGATATAGTATGAAGTTCAGGTGTCACTATCTTATAAATATCAGGATAATGTTTAAACAAAAAACGTTCATATTTTTGTGATACAACAGAAGAACAAAAAATGCGCAATTTTAAATTAGTAGCTGAATTTAGAATAGATAACACAATCGAATGAAATGAAATATCCATAAGGGTATCAGCTTCATCAACTATCATGTATCTGGTCTGATCTAAACTTAATTTTTTTTCTTCAATAAATTTATAAATTTGAAAAGGAGTTGCAACAAGAATATCACAAACGGAAGCCAATACATTTTCTTTTATAAAATTCCAAGAGCATCCAGACATAACAAAAGATGAACGAAATTTAACAGTATGAGACATTCGTTTCAGTAACATGTGAATCTGTTGAACCAACTCAGCCGTAGGAACAAGAATAATACACCTCGGTCTACCTTTACAACGTAAATCATTAATCCCTTCCAAATTCCTTTCCTCCAATTTTAAAATATGTAAAACTGGGCTAATATAGGCCAATGTTTTACCAGATCCTGTCTCAGCTGCCAAAATAAACGTTTTGTAAAATGTTTTTTTCAAATAACATTTTAATATCCTTGGGATCGCAAGTATTTGAATACTTGTAGGATTAACAACAGGAAACAAATTAAGAACGTCCTTATGAATAGAATTTACAATAGGTAACATTAATCCAAGAGATGAAAACCCTTTTATCATTAGTTTCCCCTGTTTTGGGCATTTTTTCTCCAAAAAAAAAAGCTTTTCCCCACAAAAAGAACTGTATCTTTCAATTCCACTCAATAGAAATTCATTATTTTTCATTTTTCCAAACTTTTTCTCCAATTCATACTTAATAAATTTATTCTCCAAAAACCTTAATAAACCCATTTTTTTCTGGATTTTCATACTAAAACATCTTATCCATATATAAAAGAACCCATTGAGATTATTTTCACATAAAATACGCATAATTTAATGCCTTTTTTATGGGTTTCGACTCTCCATCTACCCAATAATAATATGACGTTACCATCGCTAATATAGACTAACCTCTTAATATTTTTAAAGATGGAGCTTCAAGATTCAGGTCATTTATTAAGAAAAACAGATAATTTAAAGGACCTTTTTATGAAATTATCTATTGCAATATCAAATAATAAACATGAAGAAGTGATTGAGCTTTCAGACAAAATTAAAGGATTTTCTATCTCAGATATAAAATCAACAAAATCAAAAATTATTGCACTTATTAAGCTTGATCGATATTCAGAAGCACTTTTTTTAATCCGTTCTGAGCTGTCTGCAGAGAAAGCGCTGTTAGAAATGATTTATTGTCTGTTTATGTTAAAAAAATATGAAGAAGCAATGGATTGGGCAAAAAAAAGTAATAAACGAGAAATAAAACATATTAAAGCACAAATAGTAATTTATTTCTTTGATTGATTACTTTTTTATGAATTTAAATTTATACTGAATATTTTTTTAGGCATACCAAAAAGATCAGATGATTGATGCAAGTGAAATATATAAAGAACTTCAACAAGATCCTTACAGAGTAAGTAACTCATTTTTTAATATAAAGAAATAAAAAAGATATATAATGTAAAGATAGAGAATGAAGAGTTTGATTTAAGTATTAATCTTTTGGCTACTCAAGTGACATGGCCATCGATTGAAATTTCAAATCATCCAGCTATTTATCAATCTTTAGATTATCGATTTAATATAGGATGCCATCTAATATATAGGAAAGAGTATATGAAGGCAAAAGAATTGTTTGAGTTATCTAAGGGTATATTTTTTTACTAAGTTTATTTTTATAATTTAAAATATAGAACAATGCTTATCAACAACTTCTCAAGAAGAGATGAAATCTAGGCTTCATCCTATTCTTGTTCAATTGGCATATATTTATTCGTCTATAGGCCAAGAATCGGATGCGATCTCTATATATGAAGATTTAATAAACAAAAGGTTATTATTTTACGTTTTAAGTAAAAATTTAATAAAAGCAGCCATGTGGATCAAATTATAAAACTAATTTGTATAAATAATTATTATACTATTAAATCGGATGCAAATCCATATCTCATTTTATATTCTTTGAATACTATATTATCAAATGCAAAATTGTCAAAACTAACAAACACTCAAAACAAAATTATTCATAAAAATATGGCCATTTTGAATATATTATGTAAGAAATATTCTGCATGTCATAATATTGTCAAAAAACTACAAAACACATATCCAGATGATGAGACTATTATTCTTATCTTAGTATCGAGTATTATATCACGGTTTACTGGTAACCGTGCATATTCAGAATTAATAAAATTACATGAGAAAAATTCATCAAATGTAACATTATCGTTAGCTATTATACAGTTTATGATATCATCCAAAGATAATTATAATACACAAAAAATTATAGAAAAACTTTTAGATTCTTTAAAAGATAACAAATCTATAAGATTCAAGCCTGAATTAGTAAGATTATTGGTGGAAATATATGAAAAAAGGGGAAGGAAGGATCTTTCACGCCAAGAACTTTATGCAGCTAGTGAATATTGGAGAAACACAGGAAGCAACGTAAGAAATGGTATTTAATATTTAAAGAAATAACAAAAAAATATAGGACCCTAATTTGATAGAACTTCTATGTGAATCGGGGAAATTAAAGCTTAAAAGTATGATTAAGAAAAAAGAGTCTAATTTATCACCAGTAGACGATTTTACTTATATATTAAAACTCTCCCCAAATAATCAAAAAGCATTAGCAGGATTGGTAATCTACTATCTTGACACAGACATTAATGAAGCATCTAAATATGCAAATAAATTACCTGCTTTAGATGTTCTTACACAGGGAATTGATGTCGATCATCTAGAAAAATCAGGAATTGTAAACCATTCATTAAAAGAAAAAAAAAATAATCATTCAAAATCACTTTTAAAACAAAAAAGAAAAAAATCAAAGCTTCCCAAAAATTATGATCCTGATAAACAACCAGATCCAGAAAGATGTATATTTAAAATTCATATTTTTTTAATATTAACATAATATTATATAGGGATTCCTAAAAAACAGCGCAGCTATTACAAATCCTCCAAAGGAAAAAAAAGACAATCAAACAAAACACAAGGAGAATTAGTTGTAGAGAACAATTTTACAACTAATACAGGGAATACATGAAAAATATTAATAAAGACAACTAAATAATGCAAAACATAATTTTTATATTAATAGAAATATATTTTTTTAAAAAATAAGTCCTTTTAAATCCAAATTAATCAATACAGCATCAATTCAAAACCATTCAGTTATCCATTATATTAAATCATCCTCATTTCGGAGATATTCACCAATATCTGTCTGGTGGAATGCAACAATATCAGTTGGTTGCAATTTCTTCGAATCACTGGTCGATTTTGCAGTTACAGCAAATCCCTAAACAAAACTATTCAACACTCTTTCATCAAACATTTGCATATCTACCAAGGGTGTATCATTCATCGAACATATCACAACTCCCTGATGTTCTGAAATTCCTTCACTCATTTTACCTACATGAGCACGAATCACATGATTTCCATAGAGGTATGGCATTTCTCCTTTTTGTTGAACCCATATTTTATAAATAGCATATTGTGCTAAATAATCTAAAGCAGTAATATGTAGTCGAAACTTATTTGTTTTTGTAAATTTTCCGAAACATGTTCCGAGTGAAATCAATCTTTTTTTTGGAATCACCGTAGCTAAACGCATCCTCTTTTCACTATCAATCAAAATTAACCATATAAATTTGTTATTATACTAATTTCAACCTAATATAATAACAACGACTCCTGTGAAGTCTAAAACAATATGGTTCATCTGCTCTATCAATTAAATACAAAACATTCTTGCCAATACTATAAATTTAGGGTACTCCATATCTAGAAAAACAATAAACTCACTATTTTGCAAGTTTTTCAAACAAAATCTTGGTCTCATCTTCTGTCAAAGGCCTCATCTTTTCAATTTAAAGCTAATAAAGTCGAATATCCCTCCACTTTTTAAGATATTTTTTTATAAAGGTTACCATAGAAACAAATATTCGGTAACCCATTTCTATAGCAACCAGGGGTCTAATATTAGCTAAGCAGAACACTAAACTACATGAAAATATAAGTAAGGTTAGTTCAGGAACAAATATAAAGTCTATAAGAACCAAAAATATGAAATGTTCAGAGGATAATTTTAAAAAAGAGAATTTTGAATCAAATTCTTTTAATACAAAACGGACAAGTACAGATATTTTATATGAAATTGAAGATAATAAACGGCTTAAACTTGGAGAAGAATCTTTAAAAAATGAAGAAAAAACTAAATCTAGGAAACCGAAGAAAAAAGTTGCATGTTTTATTGGATATTGTGGAACAGGATATCATGGGATGCAAGTGTAAAATAAAAATTAAGAAACATAAAGGAAACTGATGTATAAAGTAATGATCCAAATCGCACAATAGAAGGAGATTTATTCAAAGCATTTGTTGATACAGGAGCTATTTCAGAAATGAATGCAGATGATCCGAAAAAAGTGTTTTTTTTAGATTAAAAAATCAATACTAACTAATTTAGTCCTCTCTAAATCGCGCAGCACGTACAGACAGGGGTGTACATGCAGCATGTAATGTCTTATCATTAAAACTAATTATTGACCAACCAAATCTTTTGGAAAGAATCAACGCAGCACTTCCAGAGACAATACGGGTTTGGGGAGTATCTCGGACATTAGGATCGTTTAATCCAAGAACATTCTGTGAAGCACGTATCTACGAATATTTGGTTCCATCTTATGTATTTATTCCTCCATATCCAATGACCCATTTAGCCCAACGTATTACCAAACATAGAGAAATGATAAATTCTAAAGAAAATGGCGACTGGATTAATGGAAATGAATACTTATTATATTGCAAAGATACGAAAAGTATATGGTCTGATGAAAAAATACAACATTTAGAGAAAATGATTAATAAACCATCTACATCAACTAAAAATGTGGACGAAAAAAACGAAGAAACATCTAATATATCCTCTCAACCTCATGAACTTCTAGAAAAAGAAAAGATAAAACAAATAGAGCTAGGTATAGGAAAAGCATATCGAATATCAAGTGAACGCCTTCAACTAATACGTGATGCATTCAAAATATTCGAGGGAAGTCATAATTTCCATAATTTTACAGTTGGAAAAACATTTAATAATAAAAGCGTTTATCGTTTGATAAAATCCTTTACAGTACAAAAATATATAAAGAGGCTTATTATTAACATTTTTTACTAGATTTCCGATCCAAAATTAATACAAAACATGGAATGGATTTCTATTAAAATACATGGTCAATCTTTTATGTTACATCAAATCAGAAAGATGGTAGCATTAATTATACTTGTTGTTCGTTGTGGAACTCCACTATCTTTTATACCAAAAACATTTAAATCAACACGTTTTAATATTCCCAAAGCACCAGGATTTGGATTGTTACTTGAAAAACCCATTTTTACAGGCTATAATAAACGAGCGGAAAGAATGAAACGAGAAATACTTGATCCTTCTTTATACGAAAAGGAAATTCAAACATTTAAGGAAACATATATTTACCATAAAATATTTTCTGAAGAATCTAAAGAAAATCTGTAAGTGTTTCTTAAAAACATACATTTATTAATTTAAATAATAACAATAAAAGCTTTAGAAGTTTTTTAAATTATATTGATTTATCTACAACCAATGATTTTGATTATTTAACTTTACCAATAGAGCAATTGACTAAACATTTAGAAAAAAATAATCATATTTTACCTAATGAGATAAAGTGCAATGAAAATAGCTAATAAATCATAAATATTATTTATTTGATAATGTATAAGTAACCCTAACAATCTAAACCTTATTTCATCTACCATCTTAGATGAAGTCTAAAAAAAAAAAAGAATCTAAAGATCTCTTTGCTCAAAGAAATACCTCAGGCGGTGTTCGAAAGAAAGCGAAGAAACAATGTGTATCTTCTACGTTCTATTTAAACAATCCATATATTATTCAATGGTAAATAAAAAATCTAAATATTATAATAAAAACTTATAAAGAAGGCCAAAAATCAGTGAAGAAGACCAAGAAGTAATATTAAGTAACATTTTAAAGTACATAAAAACTTTTTTTTGGAAGAATTAGCTCAGCTTAATAGTATATTTTCATTTTTTCCAAATCAAAGAAAAAAAAATAAAATATTGGAAAAAAAAAGGGATCTAAATAACAATAAAAGCACAAACTATATAGATGGAGACAAAGAATGTATAGATGAATCTATGGATGACAATATTTCTTCATCTCAAACAGATAAAAGAGAATTTATAACAAAATATATGACATTAGGTATAAATGAAACTACAAAATTACTAGAAATGTATTCAAAAATTGGAATTCCATTATCAGCGCCTTCTTATCTTCGTTTTTTTGACAAAATTGACGAAAATTATCTTTCTTTATTAAAAAATAACAAATCAGCCAACATTCTTAAAGTAGTCGTTATTTGTAAAGAAGATATACAGCATAATATTTTATATTCTTATTTTCCAGTATTATGCGGTGTTGTTAATGAAGTATTTTCAAAAATAGAGGCATCTGATGATAATTCTCAAAGTGGTATCCGATTAGTAACACTTCCAAAGGGTTCAGAACAACAACTTTCTGAAGCAGCTGGTCTTAAAAGACTAGCAGCAATAGGGATAATGGTCTTCTATAATAATACTTCTTTTTATCTAATACCTCCTTTAGAAAAATACACCTCATGCAGAAAAAATAATTGATTATATCTTTAAAAAGATACCACCTCCTCAAATACCATGGTTAAGACATCCCTCAATATTTTATCCTACTTCTATTATCCAGGCTTCAAATAAATAATAAAATAAATATATTTCAAAAACTAATATAAAAATAAATACTGTTTACAAAAAACTATATCAAAAAATAATAAAATATATTTCTAAATATTCAAAAATAAATCAATTTAAATATATCAGAAAATTTAATTTTTTTTTAAAACGGATTTAAGAGGGAATCGCTTCATAACTTTTTGTTTTTGAAGAACATACAAACTCCAAGGCTTAACCTGACCAGCTTTCTTAATAACAGCATCTAAAACCCGGACCCATCTAACTTTCTCATCTTCAGAATCAGCATAAAAATTTATGATTTCACCATTGAAAAATTTAATGCAAAAACCATTTTGAGCAAACATATAATCATTATCTCCTTCCAATATAGTAGATTGTTTACTATTCTCTGAATGCATAACTTGGGTCATTTTCTTAGAATTTATAGATAATTGCTGATCATTTAATACCATCTTCACTTTAGCCAAATTAATATTGGATCGAATTGATTTAGAAGATTCATGATAAGAAGTTAACTTTAAACCTGATAAACGAAAATACCTTTTTTTACGGTACTAAAACAATATTAATTATCATAAAAGAGAAACAATTAACATACTAAACAGTCACCACCATGTTGAATCAATAATCCCTCATAATGTAACTTAGAAACCCATTCTGCATTTTTAATATCTTTAACGCATGCTGACAAACTTTTAGGTAAAGTTTCCTAAAATGATTAACTAAAATAAACGAATATATCAAGTATACTTTAGCTTGCCCTGGTACAAATGGGACATAAAAAGCATTGATCTTTAATTGACATATAATATATGACTTAACTTTTAATACCTGTTGCTTCTTTCCTTTTACAACAGCCTTTTTGGTCCATTCATTCATACATGTTACTGTGGTCGTATAAAGACATCCAAATGCATGATCTTTAAACATTTTTAAAGAAAGATACGAACGACCGATACTTCCATTGTTCGAAAGACAGCAATTAAGAGGGTTAGAAAGATTTAGAGCTCCCTTTTTTTTTGAAGTAGAAAAAATCCGTGAAAAAATAAAATCTTTTTTCTTATTATCAACTAAAGGTTGATAATCTAGTCTTAAAGTAAGAGTGAATTCTAAATCATCGTTCGCAATTCTATTAAAACAATTAGATTACCATAAAAAGATTAGAATTATTTACAATTCAAATTCTTCATTAATTTTCGCATTTTTTGTAAAAGATATCCATGGTGTAGTTATATAATGTTGACCATTATCTAAGGTGCAACAAAACCTTAACGTTTTATCTAAATTTAAACAAATTAATTCATATTAACAACAATAAATATCTATACCTTCTGGTAATGGTAAATCCAAATTTTCGATTTCTATAACACGAATAAAAAGAAGACCTGAATCCGGTTTTTTACCTATAGAATTATCTTGAGGTACTTTATTAATAGCAAGATCTTTTGTCTTGTCAAACTTAAGTACAGGATTCTTTTATAAATCAATCCATATATAAATACGATTAATTAAATTACCTTCTCATTTTTCTCATAAATATCGTCAACTTTAGGAGATTCATATCTTTCTCTTTTAATATTTTTCTCACAAATATCATTACTACTGGCATGAACTATATTTATATTCTGTCTCATAATATAGCCACGCTAAATAATTAAATATACTCATATTAAAACGCTTAATATATACCTTTTGGACCTCTATAACTCTGTCAATTGCATCTGAAACATCATTTAAAGATACATCAAAATCTAATAAAAGCGGATCTCCTAAAAGAGGCAATGTAATAGAAACACCACTATTCTCATCAGCAGTACTTTGACCAATATTGGTGTTTTTATTATTATTCAAAGACTGAATGTCAGACTTATATTTTCCATCATCTGAATCAGCAATTTCAAAACTAGAATAGGCTTTTGTTAATGTATTTGAAAAATCATTCGGTTTAACATGTGTTTTTTTCTCCAGCGTTGTATCAGAATCATTTATTTTTTCCTCACTTAAAGCCATATCTTCATGAAATTTACTCTTAAACTCATTAATCTCTTTTGTTGATATATTTGAAGATTTTCGTATCATAAAATCATCTAAACCAAAATTACCAATCTCAATTGCATCTAATTTACAAAAAGAAGGAAGCCGTTGAGAGACTCCTGGCTCTGATTCATATGTCAAAGATTCTTCAACATTAGATTTCGACTTTTGAATATTATTTTCAATTCTATCATCACATGGAACATCATCACTATCATATTTATATTTAAAGTCATCAAGAAACATTTCCTGGCTATCATTACTAACATATGTTTGATAATTTTTTCTTGTTATGTGATAACCATTGCTCAAATCTTCAAAAGCGCTAGCCGTAACATCGTTATTCTTATTTTTCTCTTCATCTTCCACAGAACATTTAAGAACGTCCTCCTTCATTTTAGGCGCCTCATTTTCATTAGCATTCCTTATATCTTTTCTCAGATTTCTATTATAAAACTCAGAAAAAGTGCTTTTAGTAATATTGCTTTTTTCATTAGATAAATTTGCCCCAAAAGCATTTTCCGTTTGTGATACGGACGATCCAGAAAATTCATTCTCTTTCTGCAAAGACTCTCCATTATTTTCAATTTGAGATTGTTTAGTATGATCATCACTATTCGATACAATTGATGTAATTAAATTCTTTATATTTAGAGAGATAGATCTGAGCGTACTCTTCTTTTCAACATTCTTTCCTCCAGAACTCTTTCGACTCCCCTTCAAAAAAAAAGACTTTTTCTCTGGTATTTTTTCAGAGACCTCATCTTTAAAAATATTAACCGGCTTTTCAGGCTCCTTTACACATGGATTCTTATCATAATATTCACGATATTCCACATTATGAACCGTTGGAGCTTTCAATGGAGAATCAATGACCTTACATACATTATTTCCATTATACATTTCATAATCCGAGGATGTTTTTATAGATAAACAATCATCAAAAGTATTTCCAGAATCAACTGTAGCCCTAGAAAGCATAGCATTCCGTCTCAAATAAAGTCCTGTATTCTCTTTCAAACTTTCTGTACTATGAAGTCCTCCATATCGTCGATTAAAAAACGCCGCTGTCTTAATACCACTCAAATCCTTTTTCGAAAGATTATAACTACTGCTCAATAAACTCTGGGACGAATTCTTACTATCTCTAGACTTTTTCCTATCATTCCCTTGCCTGATCCTATTTACTTCATAAAAAAACGCACAAAGAGGGCTATTTGCTAATTCAGATTCATCATGAGAAAGATTTTGCTCTGATTTCAAATTCAATCCTGAACCAGCTTGTTCTTTGACAGATACTACAGATATTTCAGACATATTCTGCCAGCTCTTGCCGCTTTTCTAGTGGATCTCAGGAAATGATATCTTAACGAGAGGCTCTCAGAACGAATTGTTTTGTATACAAAAGATTACCACAGCAACGAGGTCCAACGTAGCAAAAATTAAAAAATTAAAAAAAGATGTTCTGAAGAGATTAAAGGAAGAAACATAATATAAAAAGGATAAAATATGATTTTTATAGGGTTTTTTTTTGGAAATAGTTTTTGAAGGAACGAAAAAGGTTAATTTTTGGTAGAAAAAAAAGGAAAATAGACAAGAACAAAGATTTCTAATAAGATAAAACATAAAGCATGATTTTTATATTGATACTATATTTTTTAAACGTTATTAATTGTTATGATTCAAGAATGTCACTTTTTTCTCCGTTTGAAGAATCCCTATCTGAAAATTGGGACATGTACGGCTCAGTAAAAATTCAGGAGAATAGAATTGTTTTTATATCACCAGAATATGAGTTAAATACAGGATCAATATGGCAAAAACATAGAAATATACACGAAGAGTGGTATGCAAAAATTTCGCTAAGCTTAACCCATATAGAAAGTGAAAATTTTGGATTTGCTTTATGGTATTTATTATAGAAAAGAAAAGTAAAAACATACTTATTAATAAGGTATACATCAGAAAGAGGAAAGACTGGGATTGTTTTTGGATCGAAAGATCGTTGGGATGGACTGGGGATTTTTTTAAATATAGGATTAAACAAAAAAGTTTATTTTTTAATACACTATTATAAATTTATTCTAAAGATGAATAGCCTTCTATTAGAGGACATTTGAATGATGGATCTATGGAATATTCGAAATTCAAGAATCCGTTAATTCAGGCATTTGGTGCATGTTCTATTATTTACCAAAACCCTAATGAAACATTAACTTTTAAACTTTCATATTCTAGAGGAATAATACAAGTATGTTTTTATTCCTTCAATTTTTTTAATGTTTATAGATTGAACTAAATGATACTATCTGCTTTAAAACAACACAAATAAATCTTCCTTCAGATTATTATTTTGGGATTTCTGTAAATTATGACCCATTTTATATCATATAAACTAAAATTTCAAGACACAATCAGAAAATGGAACAGAGTCTCTTGAAATATATAGTTTTGAAGTAGATGAAATGAAAAATAATTATGTAGATTCAAATGAATATATATATACAGATATTCATAAGGAAGATAAAAACATCAAGAATGATTCTAACTCAAATTCCGTATGTTTTGAAATATTTAAAATGAAATTTCTAATGAAAAAGGCTAAGATATTAAATGACTTACCTACTCTTTTAAATCAGCTATTAAATATAACTAACGAACAATTAATAATTAAAAATACTGTAAAAAATATAAACGAATCTTTGTAAGACGTACTTTTTATAAAGAATCTTACATTTATAATCTTAGGAATTCTTTATCTAAAGCTATATCTAATTCAGAATCCAAACTTTATAGAAACGAAGAAGAAATAATTAATATATTTTCAGATAAAATGTCAAGATCAATTTCATATTTACTTGAATATAAACAAAGAAACGAAACTTTTTTAATGCTTAATTTATTATCAGAAAGTATTGCAGAAAAAATTACATCGATTAATTCTAATATTAAATTTTTTATAATTATAAATATAATAATACAAATTATATTATTATTAACATATATTATATATAAGAGAAGAACAGATGAATATCCAAGGAAGATTCTTTAGTCTGTTAATTTCTCAAATAAAAATTATATATTCAAATTATTTTGATATTTTTAAGTTTTATAATTTTTGATTATTACTTTAAAAAAAACCCAATCGTTTACCTCAAAAATGAAAACTATTATTATTAGTATTTTTTTAGCGTGATCTTTATTTTTCCAGGCCATTTGTATCATGATGACGTTTTTGTAACTCTAAATAATCATCATTTAAAAAACTACCTATTTCTAAGTCATCAACATCTTCAAAATCATTATCAAAATCATCATAATCCAAATCTTTTGTTTCATCTTTTATCTCAGTATCTTTCCGTGCACGCAATTTAGCATAATACTCAGCAACAGCTATTTTTATTAACATTTTAAAATTTATGATCTATAATTTACCATTTTCAATTGCTTCTGGCTTCTCTTTTTTAGAAACATTATCTTTTAAGCCATTATTTTGAAAATCAAGAAAATCTTCAGAGTTGATATTTTTATATAAATTATCTGTATCAGTAAAATCATTCATAATCGTAGATTGAGAATGCCAAATAGGCAAATCATTTTCAGTCAGAGAAGATACTTGTTTCTCCTTTTTACCAAAATCCTTAGTCATAGACTTAGATTCCATGTCAAAGTCAATCAAAATAGAAGGTTCTGCAGCGGTTGAATGAAATACTGTTGATGCAGTAACAGTGTTCGTAGAAACAGGTTCCAAATATTCTGATAAAGAAACAGAGTCCAAATCAGGAGGAATAGCATTAGCTATTGCCATGATGAAAGTGTTTCTATATAAATTAGTCAAAAAGAAAATAAATTTAATATATAAGGCAATAAATATATATATATATCCAAGTTGATATACTAAATTTATAACAACAATATAAAAATATATCAACCATCGTAAATCACCCATTTTATAAAATATTAATCATTAAAACTTACTCTGGAACCACAATCTCATCAACTTCCTTCAAACTAGATATAATTTTACTCATTTGACTCATCAGACGAGACAGTCTCTCTTGGCTATCTTTAACTTCAAAACTTTCTTCATTATCATTTAATGCAGTTCCACAATCTGTACATAAAAAACTCATTGCATCTGGACTTACTAAAGAAACCGCATCTAAACTCGTATATTGTCTCATACATACTGGACATATATAACCCTTTGTATCATAATCCTAAAAAATCATTTAACCCTTTTCCTATTCGTATTATCCCCCCCTAACCTTTGTCATACGATCTCCAACTGTCTTAACGAGCTTATGTATTTTCCACTTAATTACATCTATAGTTGCACGATAATTAATATAATAATATGTACGTCCATTCGGACGTGAATATCCTTCTCTTGTATCCATACGACTATGATATCTTTTTCCATCATTAAACCTATTTATTATTTCTGATTAATATACTCATCAATCATTCGATTTTCTTTCAATCCTCCACATATTCTTCGAACCTCTTTCAATTGCATATCCATAATCATTGACAAATGATCATCTCTTAGTCTAAAACGGAAATCAAATCATGTTTTTCTTGTATTTTTTTATATTAAAAATTACGTAGAGTGCTTTAATAATGCATCAAGAAGAATACGGTCTTTTACCTCATAAAAAGCACATCCAACCCTTCTAATGAGTCTGTGAATGACCTTAAGCTCGGGATTAGACATAAAAAAGCCTTGATATTGCTTATTTTATTGATATTTCTATACTTGATTTTTTGTGAGGTTGACCAGACGTCAAGTGCACGGGCTGAGGAGATATAAGAGTTGTAAATTATAAGAAAAGCAGAAAAAAAGATAAATTCAATAGGAATTTAACAAATATTATTTAAGAACTACTTTTTTCAGAGTCTTTTTTGATAAAATAAATGTAATAAATTAAACAAGTATAAAGGAAAAAAGCAAATTAAGAGTAATTAATGAATGAAAAAATGAATGGAAAGATAGATCTAATAAGCAAAGACAAGATCTCGAAAAAAGCAGGAATTTTAACATCAAATCTACCATTAAAAAAGTTTAACAAGAAAATGAAAAAAAAAGAAATAGAGAGAAAAAAGAGAAAAAAAGATAATACATATATATATTATGAAAGAGATCATCAGGGAGATGAATTACCATATGAAAAAATGGGACGTAGTTTCAACTTAGTAGAAGATTTATCAAATACATTTACACTACCAATCAAAACAAGAGATGGACAAGTTCGTTTAAAAAGAGAAAAAAATACAGGGAAAAAAGTTTCAATAGAACCAGAGATTATTAAAGCTAAAAATGAAACAAAAGATATAGAAATAAAAGATAAAAAAGAAAAAGATATAAAAGAAAAAGATATAAAAGAAAAATTAGCATCAATAGCACAAATAATTATTGAAAATCCGGAAGAAAATGTGTATATGTATGATTTATTAATATCAATTATTTATCTTATGCATAGATTGGGCAATTGAAAATATTATACAATATGACTATATGTAATACGATATCTATTCAGCGTTTAGGATTATTAACACAACTTGCAGTATATAGAGACATTATTCCTGGGTAAGTTCAGATTTTTAGAACTATTTTGTGTTTTTTTCTTAATATACTAAGATATTCTATTCGTCCATTAACAGAAATCGAAAAAGCATCTTCTGTTTCTAAAGAGATAAAAAAGCGCCGTTTATTTGAAGAATTACTAGTTTCTAATTATCACGAATATGTATCTCTTTTATCAAGAACAATTAAAGGTACAAAAATAGTTTCAATTTATGATTAAATATTGATAAATTAGCTGGATATAAATTTCCAAAGAAATCACCACAACAATTTCTTTCTGATATATCATTTTCATGTATTTGTTATCTATTACTTTCGGCACCTCATTTTAACTATCGAGATATGCTTTTAGACATAATTTCTACTAAACTAACACACAAAAAAACAGATGTTTCATTTAATGAGTGCAAAAAAACAATAGAAGAATTATTTAAAAATGATAAAGAAGGAGAAATAAGTTTAGAAATAGTAAAAAAACTAACGAATGCTATGAAAAAGAAAAACTATAATATTAATGATAAAGTATAGTTACAATTTACCTTTAAATTCTCATTAACGTTATTAGGTCTTGAACATTTTTTTGAAATTGGAATTCCTTTCTCAATCTAATATACCATCTGAAAAGAAAATAAATAATCCTCGTAAAAGAAAACATGAAAAACAATTTATGAGCAAAAAAATGAGAAAACTAGAGAAGGAAAAAAAAGAAATAGAAAATGAAATGGATAGTATCAAAAGAAATAATCAAGAAAAAGCAAAAATTCAAGGAAAAATATTAAAATTAATATTTACAACATATTTTCAAATATTACGAAACGGTTTAATAAATCATATTTATGCTTCTTTAGAAGGCCTAGAAAAGTAGTAGCATTTTTTTATAATTTTTTTAACAAATAATAGATTTTCTCATCTCATTAATGTTGATTTTTTTGAAGATTTATTAAAATTATTGAAGGAATTGTTAGAAAATACATTTAGTGTCAATCTTAACATATCAATAAAAAATAATACAAAAGGAGGACTTCTATGCATAGTTGTTGCTTTCAAGCTACTTTCTCAACAAGGTAAACAAAATATCTTTCTTATATATTCTACTTACAATAGAAGCTCAAATGAAAGAAACCATAAATCTTGATTTATCAGCATTTATTTTTTATTTATATTCAATTATGATTCCTATGTCTTTAAATTCTTACATAGAAGCTGATATCGTTTATAAATCAAAAAAACAGGATGATAATATATCAAATAATGACAATTCATTTACCAAATTAAGTGAAATAGAAATATTAGAAGAATGTTTTGATTATATTTTTTTTCAAGATAAGAATTTAAACCTATTAAGAGCGGCTGCTTTTATAAAGCGCCTTTTCACAGTCTTACTGGGATTTCCCGAAAAATCTGTTATAAAATCTTTAAATTTAATACAAAAACTGATCAAAAAACATCCTAAACTCAATTATTTTTTAAGTTCCAATGAAAAACATGGAGAAGGAATATATAATGGAGAAATTGATAATCCAGACCTAAGCAATCCCTATTTAAGTACGTGTTGGGAACTAATTCTACTGAAAGTAAATTTTCTACATCTCTTTACAAAATTAACAAATATAGAAACACTATTCACCTACAATATCTAACATTGTAGACACGCTCTTTCACTGTTAAAATGAATAGTATCAATTATATAATATTTTCAAAATATTGTACTACAAAATATTTATTTTTAATATACAAAATTTAACTATTAATCTTTTAATTCAAAGATATCTGAAATCCGTAAAAAACGTATATTTGCATTTTGAACATCTTCATCCAACATATTATCAAGCTCAAACAGCGTATTACGTACGTATAAAACAGATGCAGCGAGAAACGAGACGTTTATTTTTGTTCTTCCAGCATATAAATTTCTATAATCAATCAACATTTTAATTACTTAGAATAAAACCATTCCATTTACCTCCACAATGCCAACGCAAGTATACAATCATTTCTATACATACCTTCATCATATGCAAATACAGAACCATTAAACTGCATTAACAAGTCTTTCATATGAAAAGAAATAATCCGTTCACTATGTATCTAATCATGTAAGTAACTTTAAACACAATCACTTCCCATACCTTGTAATTATTTCTCATTTTATATTCACAATCTTCAAAAAAATGATTAACAAGTTCTTGCTGATACATTTTACTAGTTTTTTGAGGAAGTGCGCGTATACGCACCATCAGCATCCAAACATGCAATAAAGTAATATGAAACCATGTTTGGAAAGAAGGCGGAAGAGCATGCTCTATGTAACATTAATTTTTTTTACCAAAAAATACTAACTAAATACTTGAATACCAAAAATTCCGATCCAAATCATGAACGCTTTGTTCGGTACAATGTCCATATAACATCTTTGTATTCCGAATACTTACACTGCGAGGAGAATACCATTCCAATGCTGATGCTACCCATAAAGCAATTTTCTGAAGAGTAGGCGAAAAACCATTATCTTTTTTATCATAAAAAACACTTGATAATGAAGAAAACATAGGTAATGTTTTCTTCAATAGATCTTTAGGAATGTTTTGAATATCTTTTTTATATAATTTTCTAGGTATAAAAAAACATTCATTATAGTTTCTTTTTATAAAATTGATATAAAATCTTTTATGAGACTAAAAGAAAATGTCAATAAAAACAAAGCAGACAAAACTTACATGAGATTTCATAGAAATTTGATTCGTCCAATATAACATTTGCATATTCCGGGTCCATTGATGTGTATTAGAAAAAAAAGAATAACGTGAGTAAAATAATAAAACAAAAGACATAAAGAAATTAACAAATCTATCAAAATTACCAATATTACCAAATATACTTTTAAAAAATAATTTTAATATTACCTGAAAAATAAAAATCTTAAAAAAAATAATCAAAAAACCACAATAACAAATATTTTTACCAAATAAAGTAACAATAACCAGTAAAACAATTATTAAGAAAACTCTAACCAATTTTCAAAGCTTCCAAAGTTTTTTCACACGTTGGTAACACTGAAGCTACCCACGCCGGATCAGTTAAAAAAATACCAAAGTCGTTCTGCTGTGACGAAATCTTCTAATATACATTAAAAATATTGCTATAATCAAAAATTTAGAAAACCGAGCTTTAAAAAAAGCACAAAAAAAAGAAAAACAAATAAAATAAAGAGCATATTTAAAAAGAAAAAAATAAACAGAAAAGAACATCATCCATTCTCTGCTTAATTCAAAATGTATATATTATTTTTTCTTAAATTTATAGCTCAAAACCTCACCCAATGCCTATTTAAAGCCCATTAAACAAGGATTCCTACATACCTCTAAAACTTCATGGTATGGAGCTTCCTTTTCAATGTATTCCCGAAGCACTTTTCCTGTAGAAAATTCAATATATACACGAGTATCACGAATTCGAAACATAACATTATCTAATCTCATAAAAAAACGCTGTAGTAATAAAAGACGCTCCGGCATAACACGCACTTTAATACTAAGCAAAGACATCCCATTATCAGACAATTCATCTTCATAAAGAACAACTTCTTCAAAAAATAAAATAGGATCCTGTCGTTTTAATTTATCAAGAGGAATTACTTCATCGGATAGCACAAACACAGGCACTACAACTTTATCTACGTCATCTATATTCTTATCCTGATCTTTTTCTGCTTTTGTAGCTAATGTCTTATTTTTTACTGCCCGAATTAACATTATTTCATTATCAGCTATATCATTACCATTCTACAATTAATTATCAGTATATCACTAAAACATCTCCATAACATATAATATAATCCTACCTCATAACATATAGTACCCCGATACGCTGTCGTAAATGTCCAATCATAAGACTTACTAGGTTCGATACTTTCACAACTCTTATCTCTTCATTTACTCTCAACAAACATAACTACCTCATAATCACTATATAACGTACCTATTTTTTACCCATTCTTTTGCATATGATACTTGAATTACCTCTTTTCCTGTCTTATCTACTCCTTCCAATGCATCATAGGCTGTAAATATCATCTTCCAACCTGAACTATGTTTTATCTCCACACTATTTTTACCAAATGTCATTTCAGGAATAGGAATAGACAAACGAAAGGAATATTGGTGAATTTCTTGAGATGTCAATATGGAATCTTTCGTACTCACTACACTCCAATCCTGAAGGTGAATTGAGCGGGCCGTACCAGATGTTACAATTGTATGTGGAACCGGCAAGAGATGTTGTATGACAATATCTTCCTTTTCAATCATCGTAACTATATCTTAATGAATTCTCATTTACCTTAATCTTAACGATGAATACCACTATAATTTATGAGCGATATAATCAAGTCTAATAAAAAAATGTATATATATAAATCACATAGTCCTGTTTCTTTTTAAAAAATAAGCGTTCACTATATTCTAGTAAATAAATAAATAATAGAAGTAATAAGCGTATTAATTTTTGTAATAATCAAAGATACATCTTTTGTAGATATATCAAAATCATATCTATTAAAAAAAATTAGCAGCTTCTAAAACAAAAAAAGTATTACCTTTTTAATTCTTTTTCTTTCATAACTGTAAACTATCTATATGAATATCTTTTTTAAAGAAAAGAAGATAATTTGAAAAGGGATAACTTGTCAACTTTTCTGTAACTAATAATTGCTGTTGCAGGATACTCAGCTTTATATGAAATAAACATTTGTAATATAAAAAATGCAACTAACTGTTTTGGATACATCAGAAATTCTCTAATCCTATACCTTATCAAAATCTTTATCTTATAATAAAAAAGAAACAAAAGACATAATATGAATATAATCACGATTAATAACTAATACAAGCTCATGATGTCTAATAAATTAATAAAGAAAAACATATAATAAAAAACAAACCTCATAAAAGACATAGAATGACGTTTCCAAACTATAAACTTATTTTAATAGTTAACTAAAATTTTCTAAGCATCCATATATGATATTTCATTATATAAATTACATGCTAGTTTGTTTAATACAATAAATTTCTTATTTTCTGGTGTCTCATCTAACTTAAATATCTCATTCAAAAAAACTAGAAAAATATATATTAGACAAGTACTCCCCTCATTTTCATTAAAAATACCAGAGAATTATTAAACAAAAACCTTCTAAATTCAAGCATTATAAAATAAGTTCAATCAATTCTAATTCATAATAATTTTTCAAATCATTAACTATACAATTATTTGATAAAGAAGTATCAATTTCTAGAATACGCATAATAAACCTAGTCTGATCTAAATTATCTCTTCTATAAATTTCATTAAAAATATCGATAATATATGTTTTATTCATAACGCCTAATACCGAATTCTCAAAGTTCCAATACAAAAATAAAGTCGAATCTTCAGAAGTATTAAAAAATCAAATCTTTAGAAACAATCTTTTTTCTCGGATATGTATAAAGAAAACGTCCAGGACATATAGTATAGTAAATGATTTTTTATCTAAGAATTAAAATGATCAATATTAATTTTAAAGTTAAATGGGGTTAATTTTTCGTTTTCTAAAACTAAAAAATGTTAACAATATATAAGAATTTCATAAAAAAACATTGTGTAGATGTCGCTTCAACAAGAGCAAATTCATCAAAACCGAATTTTGATAAAAATCTTGTTCTATCCAGAGCTAAAACAATCAATAATTAAATAAAAAATATAATAAAAAACCTGGAAAATCATGATCCAATTCACCATCCTCCTCTACAATACGTAAAGTCCACATGTTTGGATTTAATTGCTCACTAGTAAGCCTTGGTTCCATCTTCTGTTCTATATAACAATACAAAGAAAAACCAATTACATCAGAAACAGTAGCAATTCGTTTTATAACAACAGAAACAGGCCTTTTTGGATCTTTTCCTGACGGACGATATATTTTCAACTTTAAAGGATTAAGATCACCTTTTCCTGAAAAACAAGCAAATATATCAGCAAGAGGATTAGTCTGTATTTTCATTCCTGTTTTTATCAAAATAGTTAATAAAGATGATCTCTTATGAGAAGATGATTGGCAAAATGGATATGATTTTCGAGAAAAATTTAAACATCCCTCTTCCATATAACTCGAATATGGATTATAACTCATGTCGTTTCGATAAATGCTTTCTAATGATTTACTTAAAACATCATTAGAACAAGAAATAGTTAATTCATTATTCTTTAACTCTCTTGATTGCGCTTTATATTGTCTACTCATATGTTTACTTTCAGAACCTTTTAAATCAGCTTTTCTTAAAAAAAATTTAATACTTAATCACCAGAAATTAAACATTGATTCTTCATAATAGCCGTTAAATCCTCCTTTGAATCTCTTCTAAAAATATCCATACTTTTCGACTTAAGTTTAACCTTTTCTTTAGATAAATATTTCCTATTTAACATCAATCCATCATATATAAAACAAAACTATTACAAAAAACATAACTCCAAATCATCTGAATCACTTTCTCCAATATTCGAAGCATTCTTTTCCGACAAAATTGATAGCGATTCATTTGCATAACGTTGTTTTCGTTTAATGGATCTTTCCATATCATATCCTTGAGAAACTATATCAACCGATTTATCCTCATCAAAAACTTCATCTTCTTTAAAACTTGACATAGAATCTTCTTCTGATAGATAAAAAGAAACAATCTTTTTATGATCAATGACATTTTCTGACGATCCAAACCTCTTTTTCTTATTCGACACCTTATTCTTACTACCAATCACTCTCTCACCAATACTGTCATTAATATTCTCAAGATATTTAGTACGTAATCCCTCAATTAACGAACTATTATTTAATTTGTTAATTATTTATATCAAAAAATTTATAGAAACTTTGAGTCATATAATAAGGCCATTTGCTACTTTTTTTCAAATAACACCCAAAAAAAGCAAAAAATATTAATAACAGACTGATTTCTCTATTAATTAAGAATATTATAGCGCATTTTCTAGAGCTTATATTTGCGATATTTTCTAAGGTTGATCTCCAGGACAGATCGTAATAGATATCCAACGTCTATGAAATGTATTCTAGAAAATTTCTTGAAAATCCTGAATTAGATCAAGAATTTAAGAAATCAGTCAATAATGTTAATGAGAAGAAGAAGTCTCACAAAGAATATGATTTAAATAAGTAAATTATATTGTTTAGAGGAGATTTATTGATGTATAAAAGAAACGATTTTTTTGAAAAAAAAAAAAAAAAAAAGCATAGAAGATGAGGAAAAAGACGATTTTCTAAAGGAACCAGAAGACATATATACAGATAAGTCTTTTTTTTTAAAAAAAAATAAGCAAAATGAGGATATTTCATTAACACCATCGACGAATAAAATATCGTTAGAATCATTAAAGAAAAAAGAATCAGAATACAATGTTAATGACTTTTATACAATTGGTATTATAAGATATTATATAATTTATTCTTTTTTAAATGATATTTAGATTGGGTAGATGAAAATACAAAAGAAAGATATCGGAAAGAAAAGCTTCGAGAATTAAAAGGTATTCGAGGGAAAGCAATACGTTTTTGGGAATTTAACCAAGTATGGTTTATTATTGTTGCCACGGGTAATATAAAAATGAAATTTTTGTTGGCAAGGTTTTTTTTAATAAAAAAGGTATTTCTATTGGTGTTATATCAGGTTTTATAGATATTGTTTCTGGTTGGCTTTCAGATATTCGAGAAGGGTATTGTAAATCAGGATTTTATTTGAACCACATTTTTTGTTGTTGGATTCCAGATGACGGTATATCTATTGTTTTTTTTAAACATATTGATATTGACAAAGCAATTAGAGAAGACATGTAGTGATTGGATCTCATGGGGAGACTTGATTAGTTCATCAAGAAGAAAATCGTACATTATCTCATATATTTTCTATGTTATCATTGTTGTATGTATTTTTATAAAATCGAGATTTTAAAATAATAAAAAAAGACGCTTTTTGGAGGCATTTCATCATTTTTAGTTATCAATTATGCACATTATGCAAAAGAAAGTGGAATATCTGAAATAAAAACTATACTCAGTGGCTTTGTTATGCATAATTTTTTTGGAAAATGGATACTACTTATCAAAAGTTTAAGTGTAGTATGTATATATATCGATTAACCGACACCATCCTTATTTTCATAGTGTTTCTCTATAGCATCTGGTTTATGGATTGGTAAAGAAGGTCCTTTAATTCATATAGCCTGCTGCTTTGCAGACCTTTTTTTTAAAATTTTTAGTACTTCTAAGGAAAATCAAGGTATTCCATCCAATTTAAAATAGGCTATTTCAAATTAAAGAATATATAAGCTAAAAGAAGGGAAATATTGTCAGCAGCAGCAGCAGCAGGAACTTCTGTAGCATTTGGCGCACCTATTGGCGGTGTTTTATTCACTCTTGAGGTTTTTTTGCTTGCCATTATTTTTCAAACTTAACAACTGTAGCAATTATCATATTATTTTCCTGATAAAACTATGTGGAAAAGTTTTGTATGTGCAATGATTGGTGCTATGTCTTTGAAGGTCATAAACTATTAATTATATTTTTATTGACATTATTCAGTTTGTAAATCCATTTAGGGATGGAAGACTTGTTATTTATCAGGCTTTCTTTAAAATAGAATGGTATAGTTTTGAGCTTATTCCAATCTCTTTATTAGGAATAATAGGGGTAGTGGTTTTTATACTTTTTTACAAATTTAATTTAAATATAGGGATTATATGGACATGCATTTATTAAATTAAATGAAAAAATACTAAAATTTAAATATAAATATCAGATATCAAGGTTCCCTATTCAAGAAGTATTGATTGTTGTATTTATAACTGGTCTCGTCAATTATTCAAATATTTTTATGAAGTAATAATTACATTTTTTTGAAATGCCACTATTAATTTACTAGATCTCATCATTATAAACTTCTGGCAAAATTATTTCAAAAATGTAATGAAAATGACGCTCTTGGTTTCTGCTTGTAATAACTTGATTTATTTTATAATAAATATTTAACGTTTTTTATAGAACAGATAATATTCTATCATCAGCACTCATGCTTCTACTTGCAACAATATTCGGAACTTTTCTTTGTGTTATTACTTTTGGATTACAAGTTCCCTCTGGAATTATTTTACCATCCATGGTTATAGGAGCTTTATATGGAAGATTAATTGGCATAATTATCCAGTATATACAGCATAAAGTACCTTCTGCTCGAATTTTTAGTGCATGTAAGCCCGGTGTAGAATGTGTTGCACCAGAAATATATTCTATTATAGGTGCAGTGTCTGCACTTGCTGGAGTAACAAGAATGACAGGTGATTTTTTCATCATTTAATAAATATGTTTTAATATATTAGTATCCTTGGTAATTATTATGTTCGAGTTAACGGGTGCTTTAACATATTTACTACCAATTATAATTGCAGTAGTAATAAGTAAATGGGTTGGAGATGCTTTTGGAAAATACGGAATATATGAAAACTGGATTTATATAAATAATTATCCGTATTTAAGTAAAGAACTAGATATCAAACATGATACCATAGAAAATTATATCACAAAAACGAACAATTTAGTAACTATTACTGCTAAAGGGCATACAATAAAAACTTTAGGTCATTCCCTTTTTTTTTTAATAAATAATTTAAATTACATAGAACTCTTACTTAAAAACTACGCTTACAGGGGATTTCCTGTAATAAATAATAGTAATGATGCAATTCTTATAGGATATATTTCGCGTTCTGAGTTACAATCTGCTTTAGGAAATTAACATATTTTTATAAGTATTAAAATATTCTAATTTTTATATAGAAAAATTCAATAATTATTTCAAAAACAGTTATTGTTATTTCACCGACACTCAATTCCTAGATCCATCAACATATATCAATCTTGGACCATGGATGAATAAATCACCATTTACTTTATCTCCGAAAAGCACAATACATTTAACTACTAATCTATTCCAAAAACTTGTATATCATTTTTTAATATTCTTATTTTTAATGTAACATTTTAGGGAATACGATTAATATTATTTACTACCAATGGCCAATTACAAGGCCTAATAACCAAAAAAGTTAGATTATTAATTTTTCTGTTGGTATATATTAACTTTTTAAAAGGATCTCATTAAAAGAATCTTTAATACATAATTAGAAAACATATAGAGTTTATATAACAAGATAAATAAGCTAATATTCCTTTAAAACTTATATAAGAACTACCCAATATATAATAAAATTATTTCAATAATTTTTTTTAAAAATATTAAATTTCAGAAAACTACAATTTAGGTTACAATCCAATATAAAAAATCAACATATACATAAAACAAGTTCAGATGGACCCAATGACATAAATCGTAAAAAAGAATTATTCTATAGTTATTAAAATCCATATTTTTTTCCAGATTGCCTTTAAAACGATTAAATTAAAACAATAAAATTGTTATACAAAAACCTTTTGCTCTCTTTATTTGCAGCAAATGTCTCCTCGAAAACTTCTCTTTGGGATATAGCAGAGTTAAGTAAAGTTGTAATTTGATGTCTTCCGGCACCTATTGCTCGTATAGGTTGTGGCTTAAAATAATTAGTGTATTGAAAAAAAAAAAAAATCCATACAGCTTCTACCAATATGCCCTTTCTCTTCATAATTTCATTTGTATTATACTCTTCTTCTGCATTAACTTCTAAAAATTTAACGGGTCCTTGTTCTGATCTACGTTTTCCATAAATCCTCATCTATTAATTAGCATAAAATAAATCTAAACAAGCTCCATACGGATTCAACATCTTTTTCTTTACGAGAAATTTGATTTTTCTCTTCAGTTAATGAATAAGTATATTCTGAAACATCTATATCTTTGTCAACACGATATATTTCACTGCAATGAACATTTTGCTGTTTTTTTTCACTTAATTTTACATCTTCAATACTATCATTACGTTTTTTATCCAAAAGGGTTTGTTTTTTAACTAGCATTGGTATATAAGATGAAGAATTTAACATAGTTTGCTCATATTCATTTACATTTGATTTTTCTATATCTAATGAAAATAAAGGGATATCTGACTGAGTAGAATCATTTTTCATATTCCCATCCTTAGAAATAGTATTTTTAATCACTGAATTATGCTTATTTTCAATTTTTATATTCAATTTTTTTGTTCCATTATTTCTTGATGACCGAGCCATTTTTAAATCATTTTTAGGCGCTGGAAGCAATGAAGAAAGTGAAACATGTTCACCCATAACATCGTTATTTAAAAAAAGAGATTTTTTTGTATCTTCGAGTTCATATTCCTTATCAATTTTTGGAAGTTTCAAAATATTTTCTTTTGTTAAAATAGGAAAAAAAGAAGAATCAGATACGCCATCTAATTCCTTTCGTTTAACAGATTTACGTGCATCTTCCTCAGAACACTCTTCTGTATCTTCAGAATCACTATAATTTACAAGACCAGCCATTAATTAATATAATCGTTGATAAAAGTTGAGTTTTAAAAATATTTAAAAAAAATTAAATAATCATTGAAAAAATTAGCCCATAAAGAAATTGTTTTTAATAAAATTCTAATAACATTAACTTGTATTTTTCTTTAAGATTATAATTTAATATTGTGAAGCATTCCATGTTCTAAGACGTAAAAGACTTAGAAAATCATCTGATAGAAACCTATTTCGAAAGCCAGAATACTTGGAAGTAAGAAGCCCAGTAGATATATTTTCAGCATAAACAAGAAGAAGCTGGATTCCATAAAGTTTAGCGGAATTTTCTTTTTTTATATCAGAAAGTAAAAGTAATTTACTATTAATTGCTTCATTTTGTTGCAATGCACCTATTTATAGGATTAAAAAAGATGTAAAAATAATCAATTATACTAACGATCAATAATAAATTGCGAAGAAAGCTCTAATCTTGATATCATAGAATAAAATTCATTTGAAAGTAATGATTCAGATAAAAACATTTTTAATATTGATCTTTCTATGCTTGGTTGAGATAAAGGTTCAAGATTGAAACATTCTTGTGAATCCATAACTCTTTTAGAAATATACATTGTTGATGTTTTTTGAGGAGAGATAGGAGTGGTATGTAAAGCTAAAGAAGCTTGCCAATATTGAGGGCTTAATGTCTGAATTATAGATATATCATCACGCGGGGGCAATAAACAAGGCGCAACAGCATTTTTAGCATCATAAAATGTATAAGATGAATCAGAAGCAATGGGTACTAATGTTGGTCGTAAAGTGTTGACGTCTCGAGCAATTAAACACCTCGATTCACATGAAATTGCCCATAAATGACGAAATGCCTGAAGATGTGAAATATTATCCCATGCAGAATTTGGAAATTGTGGATAGAATGCACATATCATAGAAGCTATCGAAAGATTTGAATTTCCAAGACTATATTGTCCTCCTCCTAAAAATAAAATACCGATAGCCATATGCGTAGCCATATGATTTCCATATGTTATATCAGCATCTGTACGCCCATGCAACTTCCTAAGTCTTCGTAAAACATCTAGGTCACCAGAACCAGTCATAACACAACTAGATGATATGCATAAAACATCTAAACAATTCTTAACAGTAGTTTTGCAAAGCTTTTGATCATGGGTAGACGCTATCAGATTAATGAGAGAAAATTTAGAATAAATAACATACCTATTAGAGTGGAAAGATTCATAAATTTATCTAAAAAATGTAATAAACATTTTTTAGCATTTTCATTTCTTGTTCCCACAAAACGAAGGGCCATGCTAAAACAGGCCCCAGAAATTATATTAAATAATGCCATATCATTTGAATCAAGACTAGTTTTACCGGTAAGTAATACTTCATCTCTTAATATAGGAGGAAGTTGATTTTTGATCCATTCAAATGTAGAATCGATTTTATCCCATAAGATACAATTCTTTGCCAACACTCTTAATAATAAAATATCAGGCCTTACATAATCTAAAAGATGCTCGGTTGCAGGTATCTCTATTTTTTTAGCGACATCCTCATCATTAGTTTTTAAATATATTAAAGATAGTGCAATCACAGCACCAGAAGAAGTCATGTCCAAATTTTGTGAAGTTTCCTCATGTCTACCACCAGAAATACACGACACAAGACTCTTAACAATATGAAGATCTTGTAAGCCTTTTAAATTTTGACCTTTTCCAATATTAATCAGCCCTAAAGCAAATCCTGCAGAAAGACGATAGCCTTCATCCCTAAATTCTTGCCCAGGAGGGGAAAATTTCGAAATTTCCATTAAAAGAACTTCACTCATTCTTCTATGCTGAGTATTATAATACAATAATCCTATACCCAAAATCCCTGCTGTTTGAGTCAATGTAGATAAATTGAGCTCAGATGACCCTGGAGGCAACAAAGCTAATACATGCACAGAAAGTAATCTGGTTATAGTAGGATCCATAGTCCCTATAAAAGAAGCAGAAAGTCCAAGAAGAAGACCAATAGATGTCATTGTATGCTTCGACGTCAAGTAATTGAAAGCATGCCAAGTTGCCATAGACTTTAAGTGCCCATTTAATCCAAGTCCAAATAAAAATCCAGCATGCCTATTGGAAAGTTCATTTGGCTTATTATATACAATCCACGATGCACTAATGTCTTTAGTATCATTAGTTATGCTTAAAGCAGCAGCAGTTCCGTTATGAAACAATCCCCAGGTCGTGGTTTGATCATCAAGAAATGATTTTACAACAGGTACTTGAACTTGCAAGGGTTTTATTTTTACAGTAAAATTAAAGCCCGGTATTGGAAATTTCTCAGTTGGCAATGGAGTTTTTGAGCTATAAAAATACAATCCTCTACCAACAGGAATAGATAAAGTTCGAATAGCAATAATTTGAGCAAGAGTTTGTTGAACAACAACAATTTCATGTTCACTAAAAATGTAATTATTAAATATAATATCAGCAAACAACTCGCCTCATTTCAGGACGCAAATCAATTCTAGCAACAGCTTGTTTAGATATCTGAAGAAGCTTTGAAACTTCTTGTAAACGTCGATCTTCACGAAATATAAGCTTTGTAACAAATTTATGATCTTCCTCAGAAAAGCGATCAAAGGATATATGAATCTCAGGATCCAAAACTTCTTGACATATTGCCTTAGTATCTTTTGGTTCAGGAATTTTTACCTAAAAAATTTAATACGTATTAAACATTAAACAAAAAAATACAGAAAGAGTTGGAGGAAATCGACGAGGTCTTTCATCACCAACAGTAATATGATATTCAAGATCCTTCCTATCTAGAATACAGTTAGATATTATTTCTAAAAGTTAACAAAAAAATTACCAATAAGTCGAAGTGCTTCAACTCCCCAGTTTGGCAAAGGATTCTCCTGAGAATATCTTATTGCATCTCTTAATGGTATAGAAACAGCATCAGGTAAACGTTTTAAATGATCTAAAGTAAACTTATGTTCAACCATTTGTGTAACAACATCTTGAAGAGGTAATTTAGGATTAAGTAAAGTTTCGTATAGCGAGAAAATAGTTTTAGAAAGAAGTGATATTGTCTTAGAACCCTGTATATAGTTTAAATTCTTATATTCTAAATCGGTTTTTGCAATATTCATAATAGATGGAACTGGGACATACTTTTTCTCTTTTAACATCAAGATTAAATTATGATAAACAGAATACGGTTCTGAAGGAAATTGAGGCACATTAAGATGCTCAAGTCGTACTAATACATGTTAAATTAGTATTTTTATTACAAAATACCAGCCTTTATCAAATACTATAGTTGTCATAAATTCATCATATAATATATCTTTTTCTACAAATGCAGACCATCCTAACCAATATGCCATCTGTGCTTTTACAGGTATTATTTGACGACAATACAATAATGTAGCAGAATCAAATTTAAAATCTTCACTTAAAATATGTAAACATTGTAAAATGGAAGACAAATGTTTTCTCATAATTGACATATCATTTCTTTGACAAAAACTATTCGCCTCAATAATCACTTCAATTATTTCATTAGAAAAATTTCCATCTATTTTATTTTGAATATGCCTAGGTTGTATGCTACCAGATAAAAAACAAGAAAACAATATAACAGAAAACGATTTAAATTCATGAAAATTTGAATTATCCGATTTTTGATGCAGAAAAGCAGCATGAAAGTATTCAAAATCCCTGTACGGTAGAATAACCTTGAAAGCTTCAAAACATTTCTGAACCAAAACAGTCTTATATTCCAAATCAAAAAAAATTCTTCTTAAAGTACCATCAGATCTTTTTAAAGATACTTTGCAGCCGACAGGATGAACCAATTCAATTATCTCTTCCTTAGTATAATTAATCTTAACCTCTATATCTGGAGAACATGGCGCTGATAACTTAAGAATAGGTTTTTTTATAGAAAATATCAGTATTTTTTCCATAGATTTAGAAATAAGAGGTGCAGCACCAATAGCTGGAATTGTAACAGAATCGATTAAATAAGGGGAAAATCCTTCATCACGCCTAAATGTAAGAATCAAAAGACTCGACTCCTCTTTATTAAATATAGAAACCACCTCTATTCCCGGTGATGGACGAATAGAAAATACCGTAAAAGTATGTTTACTTAATAATTAAAAAGTATGTAAAAAAAAAAAAATATCTTACGTGCAATGAGACGGAAAACTTTCAATATGTGTTACAAAAATCTCTTTTCTAAGCCCTTCAGATTCACCCAACAATGCCGGTAGCTGATTATTATTAACAAAAGCCATTCTGTCTAGTGTAATATTCAATTCTGACTTTAAAGATGTTCCATAGATATCTGCATCTCCATCATTATAATTTGAACTCCCAAACGAAGATCGTCGTCTTGATGATGATGCACCTGTCATTGGACGAGGATGGTAGTGTTCTGTTTGTGCTGCATATGAACATTTCCATATATCTATCTGCTTTTTCTCTGGATTTCTTGTCACTAACAATGCATCATCTCCCTTACCAATATAAACCAATTCATCATGTGCCCCAAATGAATAAATTCCATCTGTTACAACAAGACCAAACTCATCTAACGGTCCAATCAATGAAAAAAACCTAGGTGAATGTGCTGTAAATAGTGTTTCATACGGTCGTATTCCAAGCTCTAAATTTTCAAGTGATCGTTCAAGAATCAATCCCCGTGGTGCTGCTAAAACTCGTCGAACACGAAATGGCACATGAATAACCCATAATGCCCCGTCTAACGAGAAAATATGTGCCAAATCCTCCAAAATAACAACCAGAGCTCTAGATAACCGTGGTGATAGGTCTATTTCTGCCCCGTAACCATTTATTTTATTTAATTATCTCTAAACCCACCTTTAACAAATTCCTTAGTTCCACTCTGTCTAGAGTCATGCACTGATGCATTTAATTGATTCAATGATCTTGTTCTTGTTCCTAACGGAGGAACATAAGATGAATCATGTCTATCAACAATTTTATCATTTGGATTCACAAAATACGTAAATAAAGCATGTGTAACTTTTTGTCCATCATCACAGAAATCAAAAGATCGTTTTACATGCCCTGATACTGACCAAATAACAGTGTTTTCCGTAATTAATAATTCCTCATCAAGATATGGAAAATCCTGAATAACATTCCATTCAACTGATTCAGTAGCAATCCCATTCTCAAAACAATACCAAAACCCTGCTGGGCGGTGAATTCCAAGATCTTCTGGCGCAATTTCAAAGACCATTTACTTAGAATTCATATTTATTCAGACTTAACCATTTCCTATAAAAATATAGATGTCGAGGTGAACAAAAACCTGTAGGACAGAAATCAAGAGTCAAAAATATATCCAATTTTTTATAAAAAATAAACTATAAATAAGAAAGAAAAATAAATTATAATTAAAAATGTATCAGTAATTTTTTTTTAATCTTATCGTTTAATCTTATCAATTTTTCCTAACGAAACCTCGGTATCTTAAAAAAATATAGAGCAGGTTATTAAGTAAAAATAAGACTTAAATATGGTTCTTGATCCTTTTGAAGGACGTCTTGCATTTCTAGAAATACTTAAAAAGCTAACAGCTAGTCAACAGTCTCAAATTAAAACAGCACAATTTGCACTTCGACATAAAGATTTGGATGAAGATTTATATAATTGCGTATTGGAAGAACTTGAACTTGTTATAGCAAATCTCTATTGGATCATGATATCTGATTGTATTTAGTCTTCTCTTAACTCAAGAGTGAATATTATATATTTTTTAGAAACTCTTTGCGATTATAGCTATAGAAATGGATGTAATAGCTATATTTCAATGATACGTAAAGATATTGGAAAAATTGTTAGAGCAGTAGCACCACCAGGTCCCCAGGGAGCAGCAAATGTGTCAGCAGTTCGAAAGGTTGTTTTTTTTATTTAATTTTCTTTAACTTATTAATATAGGTTATTGAGAATTTAAAAAATAAAGCATATATAAATGACCAAGATTTCCTTGAAATAGAAGCATCATTATCAAAAAGAGACTACAAGTATATAGAGTTCCAATACTAAATAAAATATTAATTGCTAATAGAGATCTAAATGCAATTGAAAACAAAGCAGTTTTTTCTAAAGAAGAAATTTTTCGAAGAATTGAAGAAGATAGAGAAAGAGTAAGTATAAAATACAAAAAATAATCAAAATGAAAAACAAATGTAGCACAAACTATTACGAGAAAATATATGGGTAATTCCTGAAGGGGATGCTGACATGAATGTTGAATTAGAAAATGCGTGGGAAACTACATCGTCCTTAGATGAATATGATTTTGAATTTATGGAGGAAGAAAACATAAAAGCAGCCATGACGTTATCATAAAAAGATAGAGAAAACATTTCTATAGATATTTGCATTTTACCATAAAAATTTTAATTTATTTTGGATCAATTTAAAGATATTTTTGCACCTAAATCCTCAAGTGTTTTCTTAATCTTTTCAGCATCCTCTTTATTTACTGCTTCTTTAAGTATTTTAGGACTACTCTCCACGAATTTTTTCGCTTCCACTAAATTCAACCCTAACATTGACTTAACTTCTTTAATTACTTTTGCTTTGGCTGTCGCATCATATGATTCAAGCTTCACATTAAAAAAAAGCTTCTCCTTTATTTGTTTTTTTTCTTCCTCAGGTACTGCTCCGGATTCTGGTGCTACTGCGGATGTAACAATAGGTCTAATATCTTGAATATTTAAATGAATCTAGATTCATTGCTTAAAGATTAGTCAACCCTAGACAACTAATTCTTAGCACAAAACCTTTAACTGCGATACAAGATCTGCCGTTTCCTTCAATGTTAATGCACTTATTTGATTAATTATCTCCAAAATTTTGGGGTTAGGCGAAGATGATGTCTGAACCCATTGAGATTTGCTTAAATATTACAAATAAGTCATTTTTAAACGAGAAAAAAAAGAAATCTATTTTTTCATACCTGAATAATCTTAAAGAGCCTCTAAAAAGGCGATTTGATAAACGCCTTATCCCATATTGTTCCATTAAAACTTGTATGCTTTTTTTCTGACGTTAAAACCTTGAATCGTAATTTTATTCGCTCAACGTCACAAAAAACCGTTCGTCACTCAGCTTGCTCTGGATGAGCAAGAAAGCAGTTTGAAATGGCCACATTTCACTACTGTATAGAATGTAATAACATGCTTTACCCTAAAGAAGAAAAGGTATGTTTTCTATAGTCTTTTAACTGTTTTTTTAATATAGAAAGTCTCAAAAACGACTTTTATATGCCTGTCGGAATTGTGATTATAGTGAAGTTGCAAAAAATCTATGTATTTTTAGAAACGAACTTCGTTCTTCTTTGGTGTAAATAATTTTTATTTTTTATTTTTTTCATATTTTTGATTAGTTAAAAGAGAGACAGTTGGGATAACAGCAGATCTAGGATCAGATCCTACATTGGTTCGCTATAAACTATTAATATGAAGTATTTTTCTAAAAAACTCACAGCCAAGAAGCAATAAAGAATGCCCATCTTGTCATGGACGAGAATCTGTTTTTTTTCATTTACAAGGAAAAAGTGCAGAAACAAAGATGGTATGGTAGTGCTTCTAATAGTCTATCTTACACAAAAAAGTCATTGCATTATGTTTGCGTTAACTGTGGAAAAGTTTATTAGAATCAAACATGATATACTTAAAATATGCCTTATACAATTATCCGAACTATTCTTTTAAAAAAAGAAAACAAAAATAAATAATAATTTAACAAATAAAATAAAATAAATTCATTTTACATAAACATTTATGTATTTTTTTAGTATAAATCATTACCCATTTTATATATTAAACAACTTTCTGTGCTAACGAAAGGATTTTACTCCATCCCTTATATTTTAATTCAGCAGAAACAACACCTTTTATATATTAGTTATACATTTTTTTAACCATATATTTGCTTACCAAGAATACGTGTACCAATAGGTTCTTTTTTATTAATTAAAATACATGCATTATCATCAAATCGAATAGATCTCCCATCTTTTCGTCTTGTTTCTTTCTTCGTCCGAATAACTAATGCATGTTTAATATCTCCCCTACGAATTCTATTTGCATTTAAAGACCCCGTCGACATACTACTAGATCGAATTTTTTGAATAACAACCACAATTTCATCACCTATAAATATAACCAATTAAACCTATAATTATTTTACTCATAAAGAAACCTATTCTTGCATATTTTCCTGATTTTAATATATTAATACATTCTGCCATTTGTGCACCCTATAATAATTTGTAAAAATTCCGAAAAAAAAAACAAATATATATACGGAATTATCTGCAACATAAAGCATAGTTTTAAGGTTTATCATCTTTCTAACAAGCCAGGAAACAAATCTTGAAAATTTTTATATATTCAAATGATATAATAACATATAAACCAATACTTGGTCGATAAAAATTTATTTTAAATCATTATTAATTTATTAATAAATAGATTAATTCTTAAATTTATTTTATTCTAAATAACTATATAAGAAAACTTTTTATAGATTTTATATCAAAAACATATCTTTAACTTGGTCCAATATTAGTCAAGTCAAAAAAATGAAAAAAATACGATAAAAATAAAAAATTGATAATTATTTAGAAAAAGTAATTGAAGTTTATTTCATTACTTTTTTAATCATTTAGAATTTCCCTTAAATTATAAACATTCTACCCGTTCACGTCATATATCGTCACGATTAACCCGTTATTGATTTTATTGTTTTAAAAACGAAATTAGGAAGTATTTTTAATCTAAATGTCGTCAACAACACTGGTAAGTCTTTGGGAAAGTGTAATGTAAAAGTTTTTGCTGAAAAAACGGTTAAAATAGCATTCACGAAACAGAAAAAATATTAAGAAAGGAATCCAATTTACAATGATGGTAGTTGGAGCCAGTGGTACGGGAAGAACAACATTTATTAATACACTTTGTAATGCAAATGTTATGGAACACAAGGAAGTAGATGACCCAACAAATGCACATTTAGAAGATGAAATTTCAATTCGACCGGTAACTGTAGGTAATAATAAAAACAAAATAAAAAGAAACCAATTAATTCAGATTAAAGATCTTGAGGAAGATGGAACACGCATATCATTAACGATTGTTGATTGTCCGTCATTTGGAGATAGTATTAATAATGAAATGCAGTAATTACAGTGTTGTTTGATAATTTATATAACATAAACAGTTTTCGAGAAATTCTAGGATACCTTGAACGACAATATGATAATATATTAGCGGAAGAATCAAGAATTAAACGTAATCCACGCTTTCGGGACAATAGAGTACATGTTTTGCTCTATTTTATCATACCTACAGGCCACGGACTTCGTGAAATTGATATTGAATTAATGCGCCGTTTATCACCTAGAGTCAATGTTATTCCAGTGATTGGAAAAGCTGATACACTTACACAAGCAGAATTAGTAGAAAACAAAAAATTAATTATGGAAGATATAGATCATTATCGTATTCCTATTTACAATTTTCCCTATGATATCGAAGAAGATGATGAAGAAACAGTAGAAGAAAACGCAGAATTGCGTAGCTTAATGCCATTCGCTATTGTAGGAAGCGAAGATATTATTGAACATAATGGACGACGTATAAGGGGACGACAATATCCATGGGGAATTGTTGATGTTGAAAATCCAACTCATTCTGATTTTTCAGCAATACGTTCTGCACTTTTACGTACACATTTATGTGATTTGAAAGAAATTACACATGATTTTCTTTATGAAAACTATCGTACTGAAAAACTCAGCAGATCTGCCGATGTTTCTAAGTATATTTTCATTATATATTTTTTTTAATAATATATTTATTTATTACTTAGTGATATATCGATTCGTCGTGAAGATTTAGCAACTCAATCTGTACGACTAAAAGAAGAACAATTACGTCGTGAAGAAGAAAAACTTCGTGAAATTGAACTTAAGGTTCAACGAGAAATTAGTGAAAAACGTCAACAACTTCTTGCAAAAGAAGAAGCATTACGTAGTCTTGAAGCACGTCTTGCTGTTTCTTCACAAAACACAACAACCGATACATAATTTAATTGTTATATACTTATTAAATTAATTTAGAATAACCCTAAAAAATCAAAGATTATCTTCAAATCTTCTAATCATAACCCAACTTCTACGCTAATACCAAACCTTATAGATCCGAGACATCCGTCTTATATATTAAGAACACACGTGTGTCCCTAATAATAAAAGGACAAGTTTAGTCTTATAACCAACCTTTTTATAAAAGCCGAGCGTAAAATACTGATAAAACGCAATAAAAAGAATACTTAGATATCTTAATAATAAGAGAAAAGCCTTATGTTCTGTTTCTAATTGAAGAGATTTTCAGTAGATTTCTAGGGATTTTTTGAGTACTAAAAATATTTTGAAAAAAAAACGAAATCAATAACAAAAAAAGCGAATTTTTAGGATCAAAAAAGATCCATTTAACCTTTTTTCCAAAGGACAATATTATTCCAATAGCATATGACCATGAAAATGTCTATATTTTTATAACAGATACTTTGTTATTGAAAAAAGATACAAGCAACATAAATAGAATAACTAAAAATAATATTGAACAAGAAGTTATTATGAAAGAAATGCCTCAGAAGGAGTTATTGATATCATCAATTAGTTTAATTAACGCTTCATCACCAAAGAAAAAAGAAAGAGAAGATACAGAGATGATTACGTCATCAAATAGTATGAAGCGACTTTGTCAGGAGTCAAATATATTTATTTCATCACTAGATCATCATAGATCGTTTTCTTTAAATACGGGAATGGGCTGTTTATCGGAAGGATTTACAGAGTTAGTTGAGCCGTTTGATCATCTTTCATTATGTCGATCATCGGATTTTCTTCAGGAATTACGTCCGCCTCCAAGAATTTCATCTGCTCCTTACTATTTTCATGGAAAATATCTTAAGTTAAATGGGTTAAGTAAATCATTACCACCTAAGCCAGAAGTGGTTTATGACTTTGACTTTGATAAGGATCCTTCAACACCGAATAGGCATGGAATATCAAGATCGGCTGCGCCTTCTTATACACCATCATATACACATACATCAAATATTCCGAATCATGCATGCGCTGAACTTGGATCAGGATTAAAATCAAAGATTTTTAGAAATCGATCATTAAGCATTGGGTTCCAACAACTTATAAGTCGAGAAGGAATTATTAAGTTGAAGGAGCGATATATTTATCGAAATACTCATCATGGATTTCGAAAGAAAGATATTGGATCGGGTGCTACAGCAACCGTTCAAGTAGTTAGTCTTAAACCCGGATGTCACTCAACAATCGAGAGTAATGGAGGAGATTCTGGCCTTTTTGCAGTAAAGACCTTCCGAAAAAAAAGCAGGTCTGAAAGGAAGGAAGATTATCTTAAAAAACTTGCTAGTGAATGGACAATCCAGCGACGCGTTAATCATCCGAATGTTGTACGTGCAGTTGATCTTTGTTTAGATGATCATACTCTCACTGCAGACTCATGGTGTGAAATAATGGAATTCTGTGCCGCAGGCGACCTTCATTCTCTTATTAAATCCATGGTTGATTGGACTGCAGAGCCGGAACCGAAAGAAATGGCGCCAAACCTTAGAAATTGCCTTTTTAAACAATTACTTAGAGGAGTTAATTATTTACATTCCGAAGGAATTGCACATAGAGATATCAAACCTGAAAACTTACTTCTTAACTACAACGGTATCCTTAAAATTACCGATTTTGGAACAAGTGATGTATTATTTAATAAAAATTCGCCTAATGGCGAAAAAAATATTAAGAAATGCCATGGGATATGCGGAAGTGATGCTTATATTGCACCTGAAGTATTTATGCAAAAAGGTAGTTCCACTCTTTCTTTTTTCTTTACATTTCTAATCATTTCTGTTAGAATATGACGGCTTCAAAGTGGATATTTGGTCTTGCGCGATTGTTTATTTTTGTCTTACCTGGGGTGGAACCCTTTTTGTTAAAGCAATACCTGGCGATAAACATTATGATAATTATTTAGATGCTTTTAAGAAATTTCATGCAAAATTTATAAATTCTCCCGATTCAACATTATATTCAAATTTTATTTCACCTTCTCAAACAAGTATCGAATCTTCAATGACATTCTCAACATCAGTATCAGCAGTTTCAAATTTAATAGAACTATCTCCATTACACTCTCCTGTACATTCAATTAACGGAATTAAAGATGAAAAACTTCCAGCATATGCTCCTTTTAAACACTGGAAAGCATGTGCTCAACACACTATCTATAGGATGCTCAATCCAGATCCTGATGAACGCTTAACAGCAGAAGAAGTATTAGCTTCTAAATTTGTCCAAAGAATAGAATGTTGTTCTTCAGATAAAGTTCAGGAAGTTGATTCTCATGGAAAGGTTGATGTATCTAATAAGGATTGTTTTAAACAAATGGAAACAAGAGTAAAACATGATCATATTCCGTTAGACTTATTAAGGAAACTCAAGAAGTCATCATTCTCAATAAATGAAAAACATCGTTAAAGGATCTCTAGAGGAGATACCATTGTATATATGAAAATAACTTATTTTAGATGTTGTTTATATCAGTATACATTAGTTTTAATGAAAGCAATAAATCGGAAATTAGATTATAAAGGTTTTTATTGATGTATACTAAGTCATTATATTCATCTATTTAATATGTTACAAATAAAATTATTCAAACAAAATTTTCGAAGTAATCTTAATTTTTCTTTAAAATAATAATAAAGGATTTCATTAAACTTCATAAATACAATTAAAAGTTTTCATTCCACAAATGTGTTGCTAAAGCGCAATAAAAATCATCTACATCAAAATTTTGTTTAATAAATCCTGTCCCAGCACCTAGCCCTCTACCTCTTAATTCCCAATGATCACATTCTAATATGCCTAACAATTTTCCCCATGTTGCACTTTTAACACTTACTAAACCATCATTATCCATGCCTTCAGCTTGCGAAACAATATGATTTGGAAAATATAAAGGATGCCATATTGGTACAGATGATACAGCAGCGAACGAATAATATTTAACTTCTAAAGAGTCCAAAATAAATGGGTTAAATGATTCTTTTAAATAAGTAGTTGTTAAATTTGCATATGCAGGTGTATCCATAGTTTGCGAAAACATTATACTTGACAAAATAGTCGATGAAATAGAAGAACTATTTTCATATTTCTTGCAAGAATTATAGAATACTTCTTCTTTTAAAGTACCAGATACACGAGGGAAAACTCGACCTAATCCAAGATAATCTCGACACCAATCCATAAAAGGAGATCCTCGATGAGGACATGACAGTGTCGTTAAAGATACAGGATAAAAGTCTTTATATAGTCGTTTCGAAAGTAAATATCGACAATCTAACCCCCCCTTTGAAACAAATTAATTTTATAAAACAAAAACATTAAAAAAGCTACCATACTATGAGCAACAAGATTTACTCGTCTACCATTTACCATAGAGGAAAGTTGCTTAGTAAGTTCTCTAGCTCGCTGTGCAATCGTACCCGTACTTGGAACTTTTGTCACATAAACTTGACATCCTAATTTTTTTAAAGATTCAACAATAGATCCCCAATAATGAAGTTGAAATTTAGGTAAAGATGACGGTGTCTTTTCAAAAAATCCAAGCCCTTAGATACTTATTAAGTTTATTAAAAAGTATCAATAAAAATACCATGACACAAAACAATTGGGTATTGAGGAGAATGATATGGGTATTGAAGAGGCAACAAAAACCTCCATTTATCGGGATGCTCTTTTTCTACTATCTTTGTCGCAGGAAACAGGTCTTTAAGTCCCTGCTTTGGCCATATATCTAAAATCGTCTGTTTAATATTTACATCAGAAAATGTTAAAAATGGAACAGATTTGGAAAATAAAGCAGAAAATGTTATCATCCATGATTTAAAAGAAGATGTCATCGACAGAATACTCTAAAGATCCTCTTAATATGCCATCCAAGCCCTGATCTTCCCCCGTGCTGAGTCTCCTTACTTTTTCAGACGTCGTGGAGGGTAAAAAAAATGCATCAAAAAAAAGGCCGGAAGAAACAATAAAAAAACATAGAAAAAAAAATATAAAAATATAGCAAAGATATAACCTAAAAACAAAACAAAAGTATTCAAAAATAAACAAAGCAGATTGCAAATGCTTAGCTATAGAGAGAGATTCCAAAATGTTTAAAAAAAAGATAAAAAACTAGCAATTTTATCACCAAAAGATACAAAATATCACAAAATAAACCTTTAAAACCGAATGATAAATAGATAAAATAAAGCAGATCATATAGAAAACCGACTGTAAAAAAGTTATAGAAAAAACCTTACAAATTATTAGATAAATCTATTTTCCAAGTAATTGTTGATTCATGCCAGCCCATGAAGGCACAGAAAACCCTGAATGAGTATGAATAGAGGGTGAAAAACCATTATTATGCACACCATAATGATTAACTAATAAATTTGGATTTGCATTACTTCGAACGCCAAGAGGATTTTTACTAAAACTCAGTCGTATTCCTCCTTTAACAGAACTAGACAAACAAACACCTTGCAACAAGCCTAAAGCCTTCATTGCATAACCTACATCCTCAAACTCGACAAAACACATAGGCCCATTTGATTTAGTACGATAACATAATCGACGATATCCGGGTTGCCTTGAAAATAAATTCCTAAGTTCGTCTTCAGATGTACTTAAAGGAAGATTTCCAACATAAAGAGTATTACACGGAGGGTTTTGATCTGCAGGATTTGTACTAAATGGAATAGAACCTCTAAAATGATTTGGAAAACCATAACCAAAAGATGAATTCATGTAGTAAGAATGATTTGGAGGGTCTGTTATTTGCATACCATTTAATTCAACAACATGAGGTTGAATTTTAGGGCTATTTACAAAACCATTCGGAGAACTCGGCACAAAATGACTTGCCTGAGGAGACATCATCAAAGAAGAATGCCCACTAGATGAACTAGCAATAGAAGACACTGCATTATTATTATGCGCAAATCGAGGGTTCTGTACGGCAGATTTATGACGATTTGGTGATATAACATTCGATCCTACATAAGATGAACCATTTGGTGACATATTCTGCATATTAACAACTAAAGAATTCGCAAGACGAGGTACGGGAGGCTGAGATGGAGACCCATTCGCATTATCAGCAGGTTGATATTGCTGCTGGAATTTCCATTCTTCCATATTTTCATTAATAGATGTATTTTTATGAACCGATTCAGGTATGGTATTATTAACACTCGATGCTGAGGGATTCGTCGCAGGGAGCACATCAAGGGAAGAATATGAGAACCCAGGTGATGTTGGCGACCACGTATTATCCGTCGCATTTTCCATCATTGGTAAATGAAATGCATTTGTAATACTATAAAAACTATTCGTCAAATCATTATTCTTCAAATTGCTCGAATTACTACAGTATTGTGCAAACCGACTAGTCTGAGGATGATGTGGATGTGATGAAACGGACGATCCAGAAGATTTCGATGATGATGATAAAGTAGTAGAAGGATAGTTTTTCTGAACATATGATGAAACAGAGGATGAAGACGACGTCCGTTTAAGTAACGGAACAATATCTACAGATAAGGGTAAACCCGACTTATCCAAAACCTTTCCATTCAAAAATTCTTTTGCTGATATAGCAGTCTCAGGTGAATCAAAATGTACAATAGCTGCCACTTCCGTCCCATTCGTATGAACCACCTTACTTTCAACATAACCTTTAGAGAAAAAAAACATAGCTGCTAATTCTCGTGATGTAATATCTTTAGGAAGACCATGCCGAATCAAAATTTTTGCTGTTTCTCCTTCTACATAATTTGTTTCATTTTGACGATCCCTAACTTCTTCCTCTTCATTTAAAATTCCATTGGGAAGCAACTTTTGGCCCTCTTTAGGCTTTTCTTCATCTACTCCAAAAGAAAATGCTGTTAACAACTCATCACCCGAAACATTTCCCAATGAACTTAATGTCATACCCGTTGAACAACTCATCTTTTTTCACCACAAAAATACTCTTACAATCTTTTTAAATCACTTATATACTCTTTCAATACCCTTCAATTAAATAACCTTATTCACTTATATCCTCCTCCAACTTTATTCCGGACGCGCCGCGAATGCCGCAATTTCGGCAACGCGTACCGACTCCAAACTACTCCTAAACGTTAACCTTCTTCTACCCTTTAAAAAGCTCCTTACTTGACGTTTTTTTAATGACGAATATACCTTTCGTCCGCCCAAAATATTCTCTGCTGTCCCACTATAATAATAGAACAGCCGCAGCTTACGCCCCCCTCGAACCGTGGAAAAAAACCATTATCCCGCGCACACCATAATGAACAATAAAATTATATAGAAATGATAAGTTTAAAATTATTTATTAGTATTTATTAGATATTTTTTTAGAAAAAAAACAAAAGTTAGTTATATATAAAAGTTCTCTAAAAACTTTTATATATAAAAATGTTTAAATTTAAAAAAAAGGCGAATAGGGGAACCCTAAAACACAAGACAAGGGTTAGGGGTTAGGGTTAGGTATCTAGAAAGTAAAGTAATTAAGTCTACCTGGATAATATTTGTAGATATGTTATATTTAAAAAAGAGAAAAATGATATAATATGTAAACTATAGATTAAAAATATTAATAAAAAAGATATATTACTTTATTTTTTATTGATAATATTAAAATGTTTGGTTATCAGGATTTATATTTCTGCATATCAACAATATTTGAGAAAGGATAAATAAAAGTATTTTTGTAAGATTCAAATAAAGATGTAATACGAAAAATAATACAAGAGGACAAGAGTCTTGTTTCTTCTTCAGAAGCATTTTCAAGAACTACTAAATAAAAAATTAAAAGTGAAAGAGAAAAGATATATATTACCAGAGGCCCAATTACGGGATTCTATAAGTTCATAAGAATATTTTTGAATTAGTAGTTTTTCATCAGTTATTTCCAAGAGAGTTAAAATTAAAAATAATAAGGCATTTTTAATAATAAGATCAATTTGATTACGAAGAAAAAAAGAGAATTCCCATATTTCTCGTAAAATTTCATGTTGTAAAGAAGCAGGATAACTAGCTTGAAAGATAATTGCAATAGTTTTTAAAAACTGACTTAAAAGCAAAGGTTCGTAATGGAAATTATCATTATATCTTTGAGAATAAATTTTGATTTATAAATAAAAATTCAAAACTTACGCATCTTTTGTATAAACCCACCAATACCCGATCATCGGGAAGATAAAACATTTTCCAGCAATTGCTGCCAAAGGATTTTTTTTAGGAAGTTGTTTATTTTTCATTATTTCAGTTCTCTTTGAAAATCTCCGTACTTTTAAGGGATTGATAGAATTTAAAGAATCTATTTTTGTAAGGTTTGAAGTATTCTGTTTTACTGATAACATGTTCATTTCCTTTACAATTATATCAATTGGAGATACATATTGTTGATGAAGCTTCGAAACTAAAACTTTAGATGGAAACATCTAATGATTTTATCTTTAAACTTAAAATGAAACTATTATATTTACCTTCTTTTTAGAAGAATCTATACCGGATATTTCTCTTGCCCCTAATGCTAAAGCAGATAATATCATATAACGTTGCTGTATGGAAATATCTCCAGTAAAATACTGCTCAATAAAATATGAAGCAACCAATTCGGGACAAGTTGCTACTAAAGCTGTCATTGATTCTTGTTTTAATTCTATAAATTTATCCATATTAAATTCATCATTCATACTACTTATAATTCGGGCCAAAGTAACTGCTTCTTTGCTAAGTTCTGTTCCAAAATTTGCTTTACGTCTTATAAGATTAGGAGAAGTTTTAAGAGCCATATGCAATTTCGGATAAGATGTATTATCTTTTAACATAGATATCAATTCACGTATATATCTTTAAAGTTTAGCATAAAAAGTGATAAATATTTACGTACACAGGTGCATTAATCTTTTTATTTTTTTCTGTAAATGCAGGATCATCATCAGAGTCATCGTCGTCAGAATCAGGAAGAGCGTATGGTACAAATTCATCATCCACAGCAACAACAGTATCATTTTCTTGAATTGGTTGAATCTGTTCATGTTCCTTGATAGCATCCTGCCCAGAGCCTAATGAAGAATTGCAATCATTATTTGTACTTCCTAAAGATAAACTTTTTATGTTTGTAATATTATCAACATTTATAATATTTCTCCACCAATTAGATTCAGGAGTAAGCGTATTATCAACATTGAAAGTAAGCCATTTCTTTTCATCATTTGGAAAAAGTTTTCTGGTCACAGATTCTCCTACAATCATCCCTAAGAACCGTACCCTTTCAGAAGATGAAGATAATCTATTTGTCAATCCATTCAAATATGCTTTAGAATGGCTTAACTTCTCTAAAATATTTCTAGGTACAAAAGCTGAAAACAAAAGAAAATTTTGAGTTAAATCTAATTTAGTTAAAATAAAAAATTTAACTAATAAATCTAAACCTTCTTGTTCTATAACTGATGCATAATTTATAAAAATCTTATTTGACCATTTTAAACACAATCTCACAAGTATATTATCATCAGTTTCCAAACCTAAAAATAGTTAACATTTCAACGAAATAAATGTAAAAATTCACCATTTGTAAAAGAACAATACGAATTAACAATTGCTCTTCTAGTATAAATATATGTTTTTGAATTATAGTTCAAAAACCAATTATCAACAATATCAATGATATCATTATCCATTGCTAAAATATCTTTTATTATAATTGAAATCATTTCTATCTCAGAAATGAATAGTTCATGACATATATCCAACTTTTCAAAAAAATTCTCAGTATTTTGAAAATACTTTTTATCAAAAAAAGAAAATAAGGAATGGATATATACAGTTTTTTGAGAAAATGTAAAATATTTTACAATTTTATCAAGGCGTAATAAATAATCATGTGTTATAGTTTCATTTCCAAAAAAAGAAAAAATAATTTGAGCTTTTTTTTATCAGATAAATAATACAAACAAAGTTACAATAACCTGTGCAACCAAGACTAAACAACCTTGCGGTTAATACAGAGAAATCCTTTTCCATCTTTTCGTTGAATCTAGAGTCATTTATTGAAGCTACTATTTCATTTCCAAAATGTTCCACATATTTTGAGCAATCTGCTATCCAAAAAACAGGACGTTGATCAATTTCACAATATTTCCATAATTTTAGCAATCCTTCCGATGTAATTCCGAGCAATTTCCCCCCTGCAATTAATGATACATATTCATCCCAAATATGAGACGAAAATGACTTGATACTCTTATTTTCATTTATTCCAGAATGACATCTCATCCATACTAATATTAATCTTCCTTCACTACAAAAAATCTCTTGAAGAATTTCTAATAACTCTGCAATATGTTGAAAAAAAAAAGAGTTTCCATTTTCCATCGTCATTTTTTTAATCCTTAATAAAATAGCCTTAATTCCTGAAACACTACTTAAACATCCCAGTAAATACTTCTTCATTTTTTCTCCTGATAATGTGATATCTTTCGAAAGAATTAATGGTAAATATTCTGGTAATATTTCATTTGTTAAAATATTCATTATTTTTGCATTTTCGCAACTAACAATCTCCTCTTTCTCTTGAAATCTAAAAATAACTTCTAAAACACTTAACAATTCTTGCAATGACGGCTGAGAAGATAATGTATTTAAAATCCTTTCTATATCATTCATTTTCTTTTCTAACTTCCCTCATAATATAAACTTTAATACCAAACTCTCTTTATAGATCCCAATTAAAATTCAAAAACCATGAGAAGAAAAAAGTCATTCAAATCAATAAAAATAAGTCATATTCATGTCTAATTATAAACTGATCAAGATCTTATCCATCTAATCACTGATGATCACGTGAATATTATAGTAACGAGTCTAAAAATAAAATTTAATAAAAAAATTATTAAAAGTCAATTTATTCTTGTTAAACAACCATCAACCCATATATTAAAAACCTCCGTTATATTATCTATAATTTCCATATTTAAATTACTTATTCAAAAACAATAAAAACCTTTATTCCTATGTCTAGGTTATGGTCGTTTCATGATGAAGAAGAGATACGAAAAATTTTTATGAAAAATTTAAATATTGCATGTTATGATGTAATTAAAAGTTATCATTCTTTATCATGCATTTAAAGAAATTATTGATCAACATAGAATTTGCCGAATGCGCATCAGGTAAAACTTTTTCTACTCTATGGAAATGTCATTCAGAAAAACAATCTATGAATGAATGCATTAGGTTAAAGTATAGGACAAGCTATATAATTATTTTTAGTACTTATATATTTATTATCAGTGCACTTCCTGAAAACTACGATCGTGCTCGAGATATATATATGGAAAGAATTCAAATGAACAGAATATTAAAGGAAAAAAAGCAAAATTCAGAAATATATCAAGAACGAGAAGAGAAAATATATAGTAAATAAGTCTCTTAGCAATAATTTAATAATTTGTATATGTTTGTAAATTTAAAACTTATATTTTTCTGTAATAAACTATTGTTTTTATTTGACTAGAGTTATTCTCCCGCTAATCCTATTTTAAAATTTATTTTTTACTCGTAGATACATACCTTTCTTTCTGTTGAGCAAACTTTGAAAAAAATTTGCCAATACTTCGTTCTGTTCTTTAGCAGGTAGTGGCGATATTGCCTTTAAAGGGGATTTATAGCATTTTTCTGGTGTTAAAACAGGAGAATTACTTTCAGAACGCGTATCCTTTGCTTATAAAAAAATATGAATAAAAGAAATAACTTACTCTTAATTTCTTTAATTTTTCATCTACTTCTTCAGCATTTAGTTTGATACCACCTACATTTAGTTGAGGTGAAGCCACATATGCATTTGCTATATTAATCCTATCCTCCGGGACGTTTTCTTGTGCCTCAAGTTTTGTTTCTATAATATTCAAATGATTTAAAAGAAATTCCTGATAAGGAATTGTGGTCACAAAATCATTCGTCTCTGAAATATCAAAAATATCATTCTAAATCCTTTAATCTCTGTTTACTACTAGGATTTCATTACCTTTCTACAATCTGCTATCATTTCTTCAAAAATCTTTTTAGAATTAAGTGTCTTATTTTTATCTGTATTAAAATTCAAATCAGCATCCCATGCCTTAGCAACTCTCTCGACATCAAAACCATCTCGAATAATACGAATTTTTCCCCATGAGTCCCAGCCTGGAGGAACAAATATTTGATTTCCATCAATTACATTCGCTTTTGGCGGAGAATTAACATCCATATATATCTGAGGTGAAAATGAAAAACAATCAAGAATACTATATAACAAATTGTTCAATGTATTTGGATATAAATCAGATGTATAGTAAAGCGCGCCACCATCTAAAACCAAATAAATATATATCATATAAATATTTTGTACATAATTACGCTTCATAAGTATAGTTCTAAGAAATTGTTGTATGAAATCAAAATGTTCATCTTTTAAAAGCTCATCTTTTTCAATTGATAACATATGTTCCGACTACTCAACTCATTAATTTAACATTTATTTATTAAAATGAACATTACATGATTACATACACATATAAATGGTAACCCCAAAGGCTGATCATATTGGCCTATTTCCAAAGGAACCGCTACTTGATCATTCCTATTAGTATCATGAGATACCCATGGGGCATTTTCACTATATGTTCTAATTTTATGTTCCCCTAAATCATTTCTATATCACCATAAGTATATTAAGTCATCTTTCATGCTTACAAGTAGCTATAATATCAGAAATAACACGATTTCCCGCTTCTAAAGATTTAAAATTTTCAATACTTTTTCTAATCAAATTTATCCAACTATACAATTCTTCAAGCCATTTCCAAGGATTTCTCCAATCTAATAGAATACAAATCAAACAGTTTTTAAGAAACTCCTGTGTAAAAAGCTCCAAAAGCAATGATTCACAAGAAACATGCCGTTCTGAAATTAAATATACCTCAATCACAGCAAGCCTTTCTTTTTATATTTATTTCTTAAATCATTTTTAAAATGAACGCATCCTACCTCCTTGATCTTGATCCATCCATTCAATATATGTATAATCCATAAGATACGTAGAATCTATCTCTTCCTTATTTTCTTTAAAAGAACGTCCTGTATGAACTCCAATGGCTGCCTGTTTTAAAGATGAAATCCATTCTCTTGCATTTCTATTCCCCCCACCTATATATCAATTGGTCAGAATAAATTTTTCTTCAAGAATCAAAAAGAAAAAAACCCAATAAAAGAATATATTTTGATGGAGCTTTCTTTATACGAGATACACCATTCAATAAATTAGACCATAAATGATCGTCCGTGTTTATTTCAGTCGTTGATTGAGCCAAAACTGATTTATTCATAGTATATAACGTTATAAAGAAAAAACAATTAAAAATATTAAATTTTTATGAAAATAAAAAGGATAAATCTCAATAAAATAAAAAACCAGAAAATAAAAAGGGTTAAAAAATAATAAAAAGCAGGTATTTCTCAGATTTATTAGTTGAAAGAGTTAGGGTAAAAACCTTAAATTGACGGGAAGATAAAATATATCAAGATTAGATAAAAATATAAAAATCTTAGGCAAAATATTAAAAAATGATGGAGAATTAAATATAGTCTTATTTAAAATAAAAATGGAAAAAGAAAGTAAGTTTATTTTTAAACTAAAAGATAAAATAATAATAAAAGATAAAGTAAATCGTTTAATTTCAGCATTATCAGTAGTTTACTCTATTAATACAGATAAAGCGGTAAGAAATGAAACACAAAAGGTGAGACAAGAAAAGTCATTAAAAAGACTAAGAAATATAAAAAAAAGTATAATTGATACAAAACTTAGTATCTTGATAATATTAAGGAAGATCCAGAATCATGGAAATATGGGATTGAGTTAGCATCATTTAAAAATGTAAAAATGGATGTATTGCGATATTTTGGTTTAAATTTAATTGATCAAGGAATATGTTGCAATTGGGAGATATATACGAATGAAGATAAAGTATATTTACGCAATTCTATGATTAATATGTGTTATAATGTTGAGAGTTGACTAAAACTATACTTTGTTAATATTTTTAGGGTGTTCGTGATGGTACGTCTGAAGATCAAAATGAAGTTCATTACATTAAACAAAAAATTTCAAAAATCCTTTTTGAAATTATAAAAAAAGACTGGATTTTTATTTTACAAGATATGGATATGGCTTTTAAAAACATGTTTTTAACTTCTGTGTGTTTTTTAATTGGAAAAGAAAAAAAACTTATAAATAATAGCCTACAGCTCGTTATATTTCACTAAATACATTGTTAAATCTAATTGAGAATGCATTTCAGTCTATGAATGATAAAGACATGTCAAAGATGTCAGTATTTTCTGTTGGTATGATTTCTATTCTTTGTTCTTCAGATATTTTAAAAGCTATATATCCAAATGGTCTTCCTTATTCACTTAAAATTTCAGAAAATAATTCAGGGTGGCTTGATATTTTTGAAAAAAGCATAAAAAGCTATTTTGGAATTATTAATACATGTTTTCCAAAAATAAATGAAATTGAAATAACGCTTATTTTAAATTGTCTAAAAGGTTGTTTATTCTGGATCCCTGCAAAGTAAAAAACAATATTTCAAATAGGTATATAATTTAATCTTTCTAGGTCTATATTAGAATCAGGAATTCTGAATCAATTGTGCTTTATTTTATTACAGGGAAACATAGAAATAAAAATGGTATATTAATTTGTGTTAAAATTTAGATATAACATTTAAAGATTTCTTCTGATTGTCTTCATGCTCTTTTTATTCGTCCATTGTTACCAGATGATGAGCTTTTAGAGATTGTTTATACATTTTTTGAACCTGATAACTTAAATCATCTACGTATTATTACTGAAGAAATATTTTCTCAAGTTCAATATAATGATTATAATGATTTTGATGAAAAAAAATATTCTTTTCTTAAAAAAATAGTTGAGGTAAATATTAGTTTTGTTATTTATATTTATAATTATTTTTTAGACTATTGTCGCACTTGGAACATTTCACATTTTGAATCACAGAAAATCCAACACTTTGCTTTATTTGAATATATATTTGGATCTCGTTTTGTTTACTGCTAGACATCCATCACTTATTGTATCTTCTATATCTCAATCTTTTTGGATAGCATTATTAAAATCACCTTTAAATAAAGAAAATGCAGTTATATCAATATTACCTCGTTTACTCGATCTTATATCAAATAGACTAATAAGGGTATCAGTATTTAATTTTTAATTTTTATTAAATATTTTAGTATGAAAATGCTCAAATAATTTTAAAGGATTCTATTGAAATAAAATTTTTAAACCATGACATTGAAACAACTTCAGAAATACATATATTTTGTGAAAACTATCGAAGACATATGGTGGATCTTGTACAAATAATATTTTCTATGCCTGTAAAAGCCATTTCTTTCAAAATTATTTTCTAATAATGTAGACAAAGAATTGTTTGTTATATGCACAACAACATATTGAAAAGTTCCTCAAAAAGTGCCCTGATTTTATGACTGATCAAATAGTTTTTCATAAAAAGAAAACGTTGGATTATCATTTTTATGATAGTAATTATACTTTTATAAAAGCTGTTCTAAATGGATATAAAATATTAAATGAAAAGGATCAGCATTTAGACGTTTGTAGAATATTTTTTTAATATTTTTTTTAATAATTATAGAATGATTTAAAAGAAAATTTCTTATCTCTTTTAATATATTGGTTTGAAAAAATAATTCATATAGATATTAAGGTTTTTGATTAAAGAATTAATTCTGTTTCTGATAGTTTAGGCGCCTTTAATATTGAGTCGCCAAATTCAAATATTAGTTACGTTTCTTTATTCTTTAGGAAAAAAAGAATTCCTTATACCAGTTTTAGAAAAAGTATGTTTTAGTTATTATTTCTATTAACTATATGTTTATGCTATAGACAATATCTGCACTTGTATATCGTTATCATGATAATATATCTGATGATGCAATACAAACAATTCACGATTTACGTGTAAAATGCAGTCATGAACTTCTTAAACTTGCAATGGAATTATCTGATTCATTATGGGTATCTTTACAAATATGTTTTTTTTTAATTCTAATAAAGTTAGAATATATATCCACAGCTTGAAAAAATAGTATATGAAATTATAAATGAAAAATCTTGTGAAAACGAAAATATTGTTTTTATTACTTTTTTACTAATCATTAGGTTTATATATAAAAAACATTTAATTAAATCTATTAAAATATTATAGTCAAAAGCCAAATAATACTCAAAATGAAAAAACATACTATTTTCAGCTTATTACTACTAAATTAATAGATACATGGAATAAAACTAAATCATTATTCAATTTATCAACTTTTAATGGATTTTTTGATCTTTTGGGACTCCAAAAAATCATGCAATATATTCGTATATATATATATATATTAAATGTTGTTTTAAATAATTATAGAATCAAAAAATATTTATTCTATTCAAGATTTAAACACCACGTACTTGGATCTCGAAGGAAAACAGTTAATAAATGAATTAAAGGAAATTAGAAAATTAGTAATACAATAAATTTATTAGTATGTTAATATTAACTTCTTAAAGATTTGGCCTATTCAAGGGTTTCGAAAATTTGTTGATTATCATTTAAAAATTATGTTACTAAAAGATAATAGCTATGATTTTATATCAGAATTATGGAAACCTATTATTGAATTTATTCTTCCTGATATTTTTAGTATAATAAAGTATTATTTATTCTACAAGGAATATAATTAATAATATGATAGACATATTCATGCGTTATGTAATCCAGATAATTGGAATTCATTCGTTCCTGAATTGCAATTTATTATTAGCCAAAGCATTTCAGAAAGATTTTGGTTTCATGGTATTAATTTAACTTCTAAAGATGAATTTTATGAAGAAATCTCAAAATTTAAAGATAAAGTTATAGAATTAATATATAATCTTAGTCATTTTTTACGTAAAAATAGAGAACATTGGTTTGCTTCATAAATTTTCATTTTTTTTTCTAACGTTTTTAGTTATATGAATATTGGATTATTCTCTAATTTTGGAGATTGTTTTTATAAAATCCCAAATTTATCGCAAAATATAATTGAATCATTCTTTACTAATACTAAAGGTCTTTCATTGTACGTTTGGTCCAGTATTTTAGATTTTTCTATTTCTCCTATAGTAACAAGATGTCCTCCTCAATATCAAGATTGTTTTTTAAAGATATTACTACCATATTTATTTATTGAAATTGATAAAAAGCTCGTATTTGAATGGTCACAAATCTCAGAAAAAGAATTTATATCTGATAATAATTTAAAGTATAACATGTTATTTTTTATTCTTATATTAATATTGGTAGTATGCCTTCTTGTCGAGATGAAGATTTGTCAAATGAGATGATAAAAGAATCATTACTTAGAAATTTGTCTTTCGTTGTCGTCAAAATGTTAACTGACTTATTAGTACCATCTTCAGATAAATGTTTTTTAATTTAATATTATATTTATTTTTATTAATAAGTTAATAGCTCAATTTACAAAAAATATTTCAAATTTAAAAACAAGCAATATGCTATATATTTTAAAAAATGAGGTTTTTTATTAAATAATATATATTCTAACTAATTATTTAAGGATATACTTAAATCTTTGTTTCCTTTATTATTACATTTAATTATGTTTCATGACACTCGTACTTGTAACAATACAATTCGTATTTTTCAAAATATCATACCTATATTAATGGATGATTCAAATATTCATGTCTGTGCTTTTATTACTAACGATTTGTTTAAAGCATGCATAATAGCAATAAATGATACATATCTAGCATCTGTTCATTCTGAAATTATTCAAATTTTAACCCAAATATACACTTTAGCGCATGAAAAAGGGTTTCAACAGTCTAAAGAAGTTCTTTTATCTATTTCAACATTAAATTTAGAAAAAGTAAATGAATTAGAAACAAAGCTGTTTAATGTTAAAAATTCAAAATCAAAAAGAGCCATTATGATGGATTTTTTATCTACATTTGGAATAAAACCAGAGATTGATGAAGGTAAAAGCTTAAAAAAAACTACTAATGATATCAATACCTATAAAATAATAAAACATTTCAAATCTGATATGAAGAGTTCAAATGAAGATATTCTTCAACAAGAAAATATAGGGATTAGCAATCTTTTTGAGTAAAAAATATTATCTGCTTCAGATATAAATTATTGAAATTTATATTTTTCATAAATTTAAATATTATATAAAATTTAAAAATATTTATATCAAAAAATATGAAAATTATTTTTAAAATTGTTACAAATATATGAAACAAAAATACTAATAATATGAAATTAACGCTAAAAGTAATTGTTATTAAAAAAGGGTTTTTATTTTTAATAAAGAATCCAAATGAATTTTTCCAAGTTCTCTGATCCAGGAAAAACTAATTCAACAACTTTCTGGATAGATAGTGAGATATCTTTTTTAGTTCAATTGCCTTTAGAATTATCTGAAAGTTTATTAGAATTTACAAACTAGAATAATAGCTATCTTTATACAAATATGAAATATCTACAATGTGATCGCCTTTTTCATAATTTTATAATCATTTTCTTGACAATTCTCTATTGTGCATGGGCGATCGTTTAGATGAAGATGTTTCGGACGACGAGAAACGTCTTTGACGATAATAAGATGAAGTGCTTCCATAACTGTCCTCATTAGATCTTGATGCAGAACTGCTAGATGAATTGCTACGACTTCTGTATTTATATCTGGCTTGTGGACTATTATGACGTGAGCTAGTTCTTCGATATTTTTGACTATGTGTATGTCTATCCGAGGAATAAGATCTATCTCTTTTGTGTCTATGCCTTCGTACACTATATCTATCTCTTTCTCTAGAACGATTTCTATCACTTCTATGACGTCTATCATATGAAGATCTATTCCTAGAATGCGATCTATTCCTAGAATGCGATCTATTTCTAGAATGCGATCTATTTCCTCTATAATACCGATCATTATGCACATGCATATCTCGAGAAGAAGACCTATTTCCCCTATGACTATGTCTTCGACTATTATATACTTTTCTGTCACGCGAACGAGACCGACTATTTTTATAATCATGTTCATTACCATCTTTACCATGATAACGAGATCCATTTCTCTCAGAATTATATCTCCAGGATTCCTTTTCCTTACTAGAATCTACTCTTTCATTATGTTTTTGATCATCCTTTTGTTTTTTTGTATTTTCATGTATACGTTTCTCTTCCAACTAATAAAAATAAGTTTAAAAAAGATTTTCAAAAAAAAAAAACCTTTTTTGCATGAATTTCAGCCTTTTTTTCCTCAAAAAATTTAGAAGGTATACCTCCTGTACTTTGTTGTGCTGATTGCAAAAGGGCCCAAAGTTCTTTAGTAAAAACTGATGCTTTTTTTTCCAAAAAACCTGTCAAATTTATCTGAATTCTTTTAGGATCAGGCTTTCTTTGTTATATTCTCTTTAAATTCAACGAATAGAAACACTTACAAAACGCGTAGACTCAATCATTTGAAAAGCATAATTAATAACCACATCATCTTCAAATCCCAAAAGATCAATCACTTTCTGAGTAATCCATGGCTTCATAACTGATAAATTAACCTTATCCATATCAACCTATATCAAAAAATTACACAAATCATTCCACTATAATCTCCAAACCTTAACTGAAAATTCATCAGGAAATTTAGTATTCCTCAAAAGCTTTTTCTCTGCATTTGTAAAACGGGTATCTTGCTCTGATGATATTCCCTTAAATTTACTATTAGAAATTAAGCTTAAAATATATCTTTTTATACCTTATAGAAGCCTGCTGACATATTAATTATTTAAAACTAGTATATACGTTTTTTTAGCTCGTTTAACTTCGCACTTTTTTTTAAAAAATATCTATTTCTATCATAAAAGGTTCATATAATTACTATTAAAGGCTTAATTAATCAAAAATAGCTTTTAAATAAAATTTATATTTTTTTTAATAAAGTAAGGTTAATATATACTCTTAATATGCTTAATATTATAAAAATTAAAAAAGATGAAAAATTAAAAAAACAAGGTAATTCTTTTAAAATATAAATACAAGTGTTAAGGAATTCTTATCAAATTGTTATTTTCTTTTTAATTCTTATCTTTTTTTTTTCTAATTTTTATAAAAAACCAGTAATTAAAAAAATGTCGGTGCTTCGAGCGTGTTTAAAAAAAAAAAGTTTAAAAAAAAGGTATAATATGCTTTTTATTTTAACAAAAGACAAATAGGGACTTAAACATTACTGTATATTAATAAATATACCTTTTTTTCAAGTTTTAAAACTATAAAAATTACATATCTTTTAAAGTAATATATCAAACAAAATATTTATAGATTTTAGATATCTTTTGTTGTTTAATATTTACTATTTTAATTAAAATGCTTGAGGCGCGACTTCAACAAGCATCTATTTTGAAAAAGGTATTTTTTTAGGTTTAAAAGTGGTATTTAATAAATTTATATGATAGACATTAGACGCTACTAAAGGTATTAATTTGTAGAAATATTATATAGATTGAGATTAATACATTTTCAATTAGAATTGGTTAGTGATGCAAATTTAGATTGCAATGAATCAGGGATTGCACTTCAAGCAATGGATAATTCGCATGTTGCATTGGTAGCGATGCTTTTAAGAGCAGATGGATTTGAACCATATCGTTGTGATCGCAATATTTCTCTTGGAATTAACTTGAATTCTTTGTCTAAGGTTCTTAAATGTGCTCAAAACGAAGATATTATTACTCTCAAAGCAGAAGATACACCCGACACTTTAAATATGGTCTTCGAAAGTCCAACAAATGATCGTATTAGTGAATATGATATTAAATTAATGGATATTGATCAGGAACATCTGGGTATTCCTGATACTGAATATAGTGTTGTTGCTAAATTATTATCAATTGAATTTCAACGTATTTGTCGAGATTTACTTGCTCTAAGCGAAAGCGTCCATATAGAGGCAAATAAAGAAGGTATCAAGTTTAGTTGTGCAGGAGACATTGGAAATGGAAGTATCACTTTGATTCAAAATCAAGATACAAAAATAGACCTTAATGAGCCTGTTTCACTTACTTTTAGTTTAAAATATTTAGTTAATTTTACAAAAGCCACTCCTCTTGCTGATACTGTTATTCTTTCTATGAGCAATGAAGTACCTCTCATGGTAGAATATAAAATGGAAGGAGGCTACCTTCGGTTCAATAATTCTTCTTTTTTATAGTTTCTAATCCTTTTAGTTTTTATTTAGCTCCAAAAATTAACGAAGAATAAACATATATTTTCTCATTCTTAAAATCAACTTATTTCATTCTTTCATTTTCATATATTTTTCATTCATTTTATATATATTTATTTCTTTTTTATCTTTCCTCTATATATTTATTGGCCACTTAATATTTTCGATTGTATAAGAAACCTCCGGATTCTATAGATTAATCTAAATTTTTAAGAAAGTTGGGAGACTTAGTAAATGGCTAGCAGGGTCTCAGAAACATGAAATACAAGAGAATTGGAGCATCATCTTTTCAGTTAGCGCCCGATTTTTTATGGGTTTCGTCTAATATACCGTCATTAACAAGTAAGTAAAGATTTTGAAGATTGAAAAGAATTTATCATAAGATATAGTTTCGTTATACGCAAGAACCATATTAAATCGTAAACCATGGATAGCATCACTTAATAATGTCCGTCAACATTCTATGGAAACGGTTAAATCGACATATCAACGAGGATCTAGTATTTCAAGTCAGCGATCATCACTTTATGAACAGGTATTAAATAAAGAGAAAATAGGACAGAATACAGGAAAAATTGCATCAGAAGCTGAGAAGGGGTTCATACCAAATGTGGAGGAAAAGTTGTTATCAGAAATAAATTCACAAGTAAATAATGGAAAGAACAAGAAAAAAACGATATGGCAAAAAATAAAACATGAAGCACAGCATTATTGGGATGGTACTAAGCTTTTAGGAGCGGAAACGAAGATTTCATGGAAGCTTGCATTAAAAATGGCGGCAGGTCATGAACTAACTAGACGTGAACATCGACAAGTATGTTATGCACATTCAAGATTTTTTAAGAAAATTTAATTTACGATAAAATAGCTTAAACGCACAGTTAAGGATTTGGTCCGACTTGTACCATTTTCGGCTTTTGTTTTGATTCCTTTTGCAGAATTTCTCCTCCCAGTAGCATTAAAATTATTTCCTAATATGCTTCCTTCTACATATGAAGCAGATAAGGATAGAGAGAAAAGACAAGCCAGATTAAGTGATACACGAAAAAGTGTTTCTCAATTTTTGAGAATGACTTTACAAGAAAGTGGTTTGCCTTTTAGTACAACAACTAAACAACGAGAAGAATTTACAGAATTCTTTCGAAAAATACGAAATGGAAATGAGCCTCCTTCACAGACAGATGTTATTAGTGTGTCTAAATTATTTAGAGACGATGTAACATTAGATAATCTTTCACGTCCTCAATTAGTTGCTATCTGTCGTTATATGAATTTAAATACATTTGGAACAGATCCCATGCTTCGCTATCAAATTAGACACAAAATGCGTCAGATCAAGTCGGACGATAAAGCTATTTGGTATGAAGGAGTAGAAACACTTTCAGTACCGGAATTACAAATAGCTTGTGCCAATAGGGGAATTCGTACTCATAGCGTAAGCCCTGCAAAGTTAAGAGATGAATTACAGCAATGGCTTGATTTACGTCTAAAACATGGTGTACCAAGTACTCTTTTAGTTTTATCAAACGCATTTATGTATGATCAAGATAACCAATCTGACAGGCATTATAATGCTTTAATTGCTACATTATCAAGTTTACCTGACGAATTATATCATGAAACAGAGTTGAGCGTAAGAGATAAGGAAGCAACAAATAAACAAAGACTTGAAGTTATTATGGAACAAGAGGTTAGTTATATAAAAGTATTAAATTTCAGAATATTTATTAAATTTTTAGGAGTTAATTGCTTCTGAGAGTCGCCAAAATGAAAAAAATGACTGTAAAAATTCAATTAAAAACAATGGAGATTTACAAGAAAAAAATATAAAAAAACAGGATCTAAAGGAAAATAGTTCTATATAATTATAATTTTATAAAAGCATTGTTAATTTATAAAACTTGGTGTATTGATTTTTTATTTATTTTGTTTATAATCATAATATTTTTATCATTTTTTTGTATTTCTAGTTTCTGAAAAATGTATTTGTAATATTTGATCTATTTGATATTGAAGTTTATCTAATGTTTTTTCAATATTTTTTAATGTTTTGTTTGATTGATATTCATGTATTTCTTGCTCTAAAGTAGCTAATTTTTCCGCTTTATTACACCAGAATATCTCATTCGTATATTCATCACCGGATCCGTTTTCTGAAGTCAAAGATGAATTAATAGAAGGAAATAATATAGAAGATGCAGATTCTTTTAAAGTATCAAGTTCCAATAAGAATACATCAAATGCAGTGTTTACCATTTTTATTTCATTATATTTAACTAATTTTTAAAATGTATATTTTAACGATGTATAACAAATATATATAAATATATTATGATAAAACAACAGCTTTAAATTCAATACTAGGATTTTTCAAGCAATCTTGAGACTGAATAATACGCAATTCACTTAATTTAGCCATTTCTACTTTTGATAATTTATCTTGATCAACAGAAGCATCCTGAATTGACTTAAGTGTATTTCGTATAACTAACTGCACAGATGAAACTACAATTTCAAGAGCAATAGTAAGAGGGAGACTAGTTGCAGGAATTTCATCTGATGGAAATAATTTAATATCATTATTAAGTCGACCAAGAAGGAGTGCTGAAAACAAATCCCCAACCCCCGAAAAGACTTGTTTATAATAGGGAACCGTTATTTTAACAGCACGAGGTGTATAATCTGATTTACAAGATGACCCAATAACATATAAGTGCTCTTTGTCATTATCGAATTGAACCGATGTGATTACAACATGTTTAAGTGTATGATTTTTATGTAAACGTTCCAAACAAATCATTAGACTTTCGATTGATGTAATTTTCTGACCAGAAAGTAATCTATTATTGTAAAATAAGTTTATTTTTTTTTAAATATAACTTTACTCTGCCTAGTTATAAATTAATTATATACAAACATATAAATAAATATTATACTTCAAATTGATTAGGTGTAATCAAATCGCTCATAGGAATAAGTTGTTTATATGTAGGAATAACATCAGGACTAACATAAAAACCTCGTTCATCCCCAAGTACTGGATCCAACAACCATCCAATCTCTGGATTCGTTGTTTTTAAATCTTTTATAATATTTGTAATTGTTTCAATTCCTTCTTTTCCACGCACATAACCTGTCAATAAAAAATCAAATTCCTTAGTAAAACCATTCTCCTTTAACCCTTCAAAAAGATCCATTATATGTTGACCTTTAAACACTTGACCACGCCAACGTCCATAACCCGTATGATTAGAAAATTGAACTGTATGAATAGTTGACACCTCAAATCCCAAAAGCTGTAACGGAAATGTTGCACATCGATTTCCACAATATCCTTCACTCATATATCAATAATATACCTTTCTTATATTCAAATATACCCGAAGAAACATTTGATTGAATAGACAAAATTTTCTTAAATGATAAATTACTCATAAGTAGTTTACTTTTAAATTTCAAAAAAAAGACTATAAAAAACTTAATTCAGAGAACTATTTAAGTACTTTTTCTTGCCTTAATATATTATTTTATTTACTTATTATACATGTTTTTTTATAAATTTTTGACGTCGAAAAAATAATATTTAAAATACCATAAAATAGCCTAGAAAAAGCTATTTTATGATGGCAGAAACAGTAATATTCAAGAATACTCCTCTAGGAGATTATCTAGAAGGTTATATTTTATAGAAATCTTTTTTTTTTCAAAATTTGATGAAATATAGACGTAAAACAGGGAGATGATGTTGAGAGTAAAATAAAAACGATTTTTCAATCTTATTATACATCTCAAGCACGACAACTCTCAAGAAAACGTAGATGTATATCTTCAGAAGTCGAATATTTTTCAAATAAATCATATGCATTACTTGTAAAAGTATATTCTTTATTTTCGGTAAATAAAAACAGTGTTGATTGGTGAAAAAAATGATGAAAATAGGAGTTTTTGAGTATATATCTTTCAGAAACAGAGAAATCTCAATTTATTGAACGATTTCGATATATTATTTGTACTTCACAGCTTTTAAATGAAAATATATCACCATCTCTATATCATCCTCAACAATCGTCTATAAACAATAAAAAAAAAAAAAGTATATTATTTGGAATAGTAACTTGTGATGCTCTTTATTGGTCTATTTCTGGTATTTGTATTGTCGTATTAGCATTGATTATAAATTGGAACTTTAAAAGCAATATTCATGGAATTGATAAAAGAGTTCGATATTTTTTTGTATTTATTATATCCATTGTCGTGGCACTATTTCTTTATACCTATCATTTTAGGATATATTCTAAATATATTCAAAAAAGGGCTATATTTTTTATGAAACGCTTTGTCGATACATCTCAACATTTTGACATTACAATTAATAAGACACTATCATTAATTCAAGAAGTTGAACTTATTTCTCGTGGTTATTTATTGTTAAGAATCCATGTTTTGTTTTGTTTAAATTAATGATATTTAGATCATCACCTTTGCCTCCTATTACTAGAATTGAAGCAAATTCGCAGAGTCGACGTTGTAAAATGCTACGTTTATTGCTTTCGACTTTATTGTCTCAAGCATTTTTGTCATATAATCGCACTTTTTCTTTGTTACAAACATTTTATTCAAAACGAGAATTTGATACGTTACAAATAATGTATAATTTGCCAAATTCTCAAGATTTTGATTTTCTTCCTTCTTATTTTAAAGAGGATCATTCTGATGGATTACCTTATTTAAAAGCTCTTTTTTATACAATACACGAAAAACGACGTCAATGTCTTGTGTCACTTTTATCAATGTCTACATCAAGTCTTAAAAATATATCTTCTTGGAGATGTATTATCGATCAATTAAAAAGTTTATCTGATTTGATGAGTAATTTTGATAATGAAATTGAAGAATCTTTGGAAAATAATGAACGTAACAATTACTTGTATCTATATATGAACTATTATTAATATGATTAGGAATCTCGGAATTATCTGCATCGAAAATTAAAACAAATGGAAAAAATGTTAGATGGAATGATTATACACGGAATATTGGTTTGCTTTTTCAGGTTTTGCGTAGATTTCAAGCGAAGCTATATATTTTGAAAGAAGAAACCAATTGTTTAATACAAGGTAGATATCCTTTTATTAAATTAGTAATTCAAATCAATAAGGTGACTTTGATGAAAACATTAGGGATGAATTCTTATGTTATTATGATTCTCTTAAAGACGATTTAAAAGTGTTAATGGAAAAATGGGAATCTGGAAGAAATTGCTTATTAAAAATATGTGTTGAATCTAATACTCAAACATCAAAAAGCTTACATTCTAATTTGCAAAAGATGGAAGATTCAAATCCTACTTTTCGTAAAACATTAAAACTAGATTCTGATAACTCTATAGATGAATCTAAAAATAATAAAGCTCTCTCCGAAATTACAAATGATTGGGAGATATCATCATCATATTCACAATGTCCGCAATCATCGGAAGGAATGCCTTCAAGTACCAATGAAAAAGAAGTTGTCTTTGAGACGGTTTCAAATAATTCTGAATTAGATATACAATTGCAAAAACCAACAAGAGCAGAAAGGATTGAAAGAATTAAGAAAGAACGAGAAAAACATTTAAAAATAAAGAAAGATAGGGAAATAGGAATGAAAGTGGTTTCAGAACTCAAAGATGTATTAGGAAAAAGAAAAATAAAATCCTTAAATGGTGAAAATTGACTTTGAAAAATCTCGAAAATAGAAATATTGTTTGTTCTTAAAAACCCACCGTATAGGTGTTTAATATTCATTTTCATTTATTCATGTATTGTAGATATATATAAATAGCCACTTCTGATTGTACTTATGATTCAAAGATATCGTATTAAGACTATAGTAATGCAGAGCAATCCTTAATTTATTCTCCTAAGTCTTTCAGCATTAACATGAATTTCGGCATTTAATTTATGTCCCTTGAAAAATCAGTAAAAAATTAAAATGTTAAACTATTAACCTTGTCAGATATCCTATCAAGTCTATTGTTTTGGCTTAAAATTTCCTCTTGAGTAGCAGTAGCGATTGCTTTAAGCTGAGCAGTAATGTTGCCAAGCTGAGTTAAATTTTGATCAATTTCATTTTCAAGCTCATTATCTTCCTATTTAAAAATATTAAAACAGTATCTTTTTATTTAAAATAAAGACCTCATCTGGTTCAAACCGATAACGCATACTATCATTTAATGTTTGTTTTTCAAACGATTTAGCTTTTTGTTTACAAAGAACTTCTTTAATACGTCTGTTACTTTCGTTATCACTTCTTTTTGTTCTTTCCCTTTCCATTTGTTCCAATTCATACTGATCACGAATATATTGCTCTCTTTCTTTAAGCCGTGTCTGCTTTTTCCACGGGTTTGAAAAATGAGGGATAAATACACTTCTATTTAGTTGATTAAGCATCTTATTCTTTTCTTCCGCCATTTTAGCAGTAACATTTGCAAGATCTAAATGCTTTTCTGTATTCCCTATTTTTTCTATAATATATTATAAACAAAAACCTAGATAAATCATTCATTTTACCGCTTTGTGTTCCTAGCCTTTCTAATGTCTGTCTCCCAATTTCTTCAGCATGAATAGCAGTACGAATAGCGTTTCGAGTACTACTTAAACTATTCTGCTTAATAAATCGCATTTCCTGTTTAATAGCATCCACATCTTCATTATCAGAATCCTCCAAATTATACGGAGTATATTCATCATTAGAAGAAAATTTATGGCTGTTATTCAAATTTGATGTATATTTACTATTAAAGGCATGTTGTTCATATTTAGGCGGCAACGTTTCAAATAATTTGCTTCTAGACTGTTCATATGTATCATTAGTTTCAAAAAGACCCGCATTACGTAAAAAGTTATAAGAATTTCCTGAAAAAGTCGGATTTCTTGAACCAAATGTTGATTTCTCCGATATATTAGATTCCGATTTATTATTCTCCATTATATCTACTGTTTTCACAAATAATATTCAAAGTTTAATATAGAATAATCTTTTAAACCCTTTTCCTTATAATTTCTATAATATCCCTTCTTTTATAGTTCTTTTAAACATATAAAATTCCTAAGATTACTCTTATATAATTTATACGATCAATCTCGTCTTTTTTAATCCTTTAAAGGCCCAAAAAAACTTAAAAAAAGCGTCCTAATATATTTCTATATATAGAAAAGACATAAAACGTATAAAAAACGCTTATCAGTGTTATTATTTCTAATATTAATCTATAAATTATTCTAATCTTTTTTAGTATTTTTATATGTAAATTTAATCATTTTTTACCAAAAAAAAAAGGAAATATAGGAAATAATATCTGTATTTAATGAAAACTTATATCTTTTCTAATAAAAAATGTCTTCTTCCCTCTTTCTTTTAGTTTTACTATCTTTTGAAAATATAGTAAAGACCGATAATTTCCGCCTTAACTGCAGTTTTTTTCAACGTCGCTGAATGGACAGAAAGCGCCAGCCTCTTGGAATAGCTGCTAGTCATAGAAAAAGAGCAAAAGAAGCACAAGAAAAAGTTAATGAGGCTTTACCTAATGGTTGGAAGGCGAAAGCACTATTAGATTTGGCACAACTTGCAAGCGAAGGAGTAGATATTGACATTGAAGGATTGATTGAAATTGATACAAATTTTGATAAGAATTTAAATAATGATAAGGACATTTCTTATGTGAATAAGGAGGCATTTGATGATTTAGATGGTCCAGTGTCAGGTTTAAGCGCGGAATTGACGGATTCATTTATTTCAACGACATTTTTATTGATAGATGCAGCTATTAAATGCTGCAATGCTGGGTTAAAGGCAGATCGACCAATAAATAATGAATCATCTATTGAAGAAATGGATCCAGCATCTATTCAGTGTCTTCGTGGTCAAGCTAAGCTTACAAGACTTATGCATCAGCCTCAACGATGTTATGATCTGATTAAACCGACATTAAAAAGTGCGATGAAAGATCTAGATGCATCCAATTCGGTAGAGATTTATCGTACAATTACTCCTTTGTTCCATTGGATTGCAAGGATCGGGGATGAATGTAGTGAAAATGTAGAAAAAAAGATGATCAATGATTGGATTGCATCAAAATGGCATCTATTATTGAAGGGTAATATATATTGACGAAACGGGTATATTTTTATATTTTCCAGATAATGAATCTGATGTAGAAGCATTGGAAGGGCTAGGATTTATTGAATTATCTATGTCAAACGCCTATCTTGAACCCATTGAAGAAATGGGAGAAATAAAAGAAGAAACCGAAGCAGTGATCCAGGCAGAAATTCATTTAAAAAATGCCATCGAGTATTTTATGAAGGCATATGATATACAAAAAGCGAATGGTATTTCAGAAAATTTATTTATGATGGTATGTTACCATTTTTTTGTATTCTGTAATATATAATTTATTGGTAAATAGCTAGCTGAAGCAAAAATATCATTGGCAAATTTGAAAAGTAAAGATAAACAATCAGAAGAATATAAAAATGTATTGAAACAATTAAGAGAGATTGGTTTAAATCAATCTGGTCAATTGCCAGATCATTTTCAGGATATTTTAAATGAATTTGATACATTGTAAATATTTTGAATCTTTTAACATCAAATTCATCATTTAGATACATTAAAACTCCTTCCTGATGCGGTCTTTTTTTCTTTTTCTGTATTCTCTAATTTAGCTCGATTCAAAACTTTTAAAAATTCTGCTACTCTTGCTCGCATCTAAAAATATAAATAGGTTAATTTATTTAGGGTATACACTTACACGTTCATGCATATGTACTTTAGATGCCTTAATATGATAACATAACATATTTCGAAACAATTGAATTTTTGAAATACAGTTTTCTTTTTTTTGAGGTGTATAATGTTGAGGAAATAAAACTACAGAAAAAAATCAATCTAAATTTAGGTTTTTATACATAATTTACCAAATGTTACATAGCCTATATTATCAGATAATTTTAAATCACTTAACGATTGAATTTCTAAAGGTGGATCACGATAAGAATAAAAAACTTGAGGTGCATTTTGAATTGCTGGTCTTCGACGTGCATCAACGAATTCCTAATTTATAAATTATGAACTGTTTATTGTATTTTTAATATCTTCCCTGCAAAAATACTTTTCCCAGAATTATATCTGTTTCTTCCTTAAAAATAGTACTAAAAATAACTGTTACTCTATCTGAAGATGGAATAATAAAAATAGCTTCTTCATCTCTATATGGTATTTTTATAATTTCTTTCTCTGTATTTTTAATCTTTTGTTCATTTTTCTGTTCTTTCTCTAGAAGTTGTTGTAAATAAAACGCCTTTTCAAACGGCGCTGAAAGTATATTTCTCTTAAGCAAGCCAATAGAACGAATAAGATCCTTCTTTTCCTTTTCATCATCAAATATCTTTTCAAGATCAATATATAGTGAAAAATCATATTTTTCTTCTGGAGAAACAATTAATTCTCCATAATATCTTTCAAGAACCGTTTGTAAATCATATTTCATTAAACTCTTATAACAACCAATTTTCGTCGAAACTAACATCTTTGTCTTTGTTTCTGGTGTTGAAACATGATATAATACCCCATCAAAATCCGATATTACTTGGTCAATCGCTGATGTTGTTTTTCTATTCATAAGTTATCAATTTTTATCAAAAAAAAAGCTATTTTTTGCCTGAAAATCCATTGTTCAACAATATGCTCAAGAAGTATGTGATTACTTGTTAAATCCTTCATTGATAGCTAATTAAGATCTCTTATTTAATCCTTTTTTTTTTTTGTACCAAGTATAGACGATTTAAATATGGCCTTTTCCCGAGTTTTTAACTTCATTAAAAAAATAAAGTTCTAAGTTTGAAAGAAATAGTGTTTTTAGCAGCTTAAAATGCTAATATTTAATAGAATATTGATATATACAGATATATTTCATGGTTAAGAGCTATGAGAACTATGAATTTGGTTTTTCCTGGGGTATTATTGCGTCATATTTGTCTAACAGTGTACTCGTTGATGATAAGGAAATAAGTGAAAAATTTAAGGCAAAAAATGGGCTAGCAATAGTTCCAGCACTTGAGGATGTTATTATTTGGGACATTAAGAAGGGGGAGGAGGTGTTACGTTGGAGCGATTTTGATTGCAAGGTAGAAACGACGTCAATCAAGAGAAATATGGCAGATAAATACATGTTCGCAGTAGGGTAGTATGAATAGTTGGAGAGGATTATGTTTTAAAGTATAATAATTCTGTAGATATGAGGATGGATCAATTCGTCTTTGGTCTCTTGAAAAAAAGCAAGTTTTGATGAAATTGAATGGACATCGATCAAGTGTCACTGTACTTACATTTGATATTACTGGAACAAGACTTGTTAGTGGGTCTAAAGATACAGATATCATTGTATGGGATGTTGTTTCGGAAACAGGGATGTATCGTTTACGTGGTCATAAAGATCAAGTTACAGAATGTGTATTTCTTCGTACACCTCTTAATGAAATAGGATTTGTTGATCCTATTAAAGATCATGGTTGGATTGTTAGTGTATCTAAGGATTCTTTTATTAAAATATGGGATTTGAGTACTCAGCATTGTGTAGAAACACACATTGCACATCAAGGTGAATGTTGGGCGTTGGGAGTTAGTCCAGATCAAAAAATATGCGTTACAGCAGGATTGGATGGTGAATTGAAAATATGGGATATTCAATCAGATGTTCTTGCTATTAGATCTGAATCGGTTCCAGAAACAAACTATCGATTAACTCTTAAATGTACTTTAACAAGACAAAGTAAAGAACGCCCAATAACAATTGCATTTCATCCCATATTTGATATGTTTGCATGTCATGGTTCAGACAAAATAATTGAAATATACAAAAAAAGAGACGAAAAAGAGCTTAAAAAAGTATTAAGTCGAAGAAAAAAGAGAAATAGAGAGAAACATAATGATAGTAATAAAGATATTTCATTGCTTCCAGAGGACGAAATCGTTTTATATACGACTATTAGGACTTCTTCCAAAATTAGATCTATTGATTGGGGAACTTTAGGACAAAATCCTTTTAAAAAGAAAATTTTACAGGTAGTGTTATTAAATTATGTTTTTATATTATATTAATTAGTATGTAGTTACTTGTTTCGTTTTCAAATAATGTTATAAGAATATATGATATTCCTATTGTAGCTAAAATCGATTATTCTGAGCCACCAGAGTATTTACAAACGTTTTCTATCGAAATGCAGGGCCATCGTTCTGATATCCGTTCATTGTCAATAGATTCAAATGATGAAATGTTAGCATCTGTTTCTAATAGAACTTTGAAAATTTGGAACATAAAAACAGGAAGGTGTATAAGAAATCTAGATTGTGGATATGCATTATGTTGCAGTTTTTGTTTAGAAAATAAATATGTAATAACTATATATAAAATGATTTTTAGTGTTGATTATGTCTAGGTAATTGTTGGAACAAAAGAAGGTTATTTAGAAATATTTGATATTCCTTCTAGCACTATGGTTGAACGCATTTTGGCGCATAAAAGATCTATATGGTCTCTTAAAATTCACCCTAATGGTCAAGGATTTGTTACCGGAAGCTCGGATAAAAGTGTGAAATTTTGGGATTTAAAAATTATAAAAGATCTTTCAGATGTAAGAAATATTTATAATATATATATATATTTTATAAATTTAGAAGGAAATAATGAAACTTCATATAAAAGAAATGCGTATTTTAAATCTTACAGATGATGTTTTATCTGTTTGTTTTTCTCCTGATGGTCGTTTAATTGCTATATCACTTTTAGATACTACGGTTAAAGTATTTTATACTGATACTTTAAAATTTTTTTTATCATTATATGGACATAAACTTCCTGTTCTATCCATGGATATATCTTCAGATAATAAGCTTTTAGTTACGTCTTCTGCAGATAAAAATATAAAGCTATGGGGCTTAGATTTTGGTGATTGTCATAAAAGTATTTTTGCTCATCAAGATAGCGTTATGCAGGTTGCATTTGAAAAAAAAAGGACACAATTTTTTTTCTACAGGAAAAGATAAATTAATTAAATATTGGGATGGTGATAAATTCGAAAATATTCTTAAATTAGAAGGGCATCATAGTGAAATATGGGCTTTGGCAGTTAGTAATGATAACAAATTTATAATTACAGGTAGTCATGATCGTAGCATAAGAATATGGAATCAAACAGATGAGCCAATTTTTTTACAAGAACAAAAGGAGAAAGAATTAGAAAAATTTTATGAAAAAGATTTGGTTGAAAAAATGGATAAATATGAAATGAATGAAAATAAAAAAATAGACGAACTTGCATCTGCGGGAAAACAAACTTTAGAATCTGTAATGGCAGGAGAAAAAATTATTGATGCTCTTGATATTGGAATAAAAGATATAGAATTAATAAAGGAACATGAAGAGGTTTGAACTTAATTATTTTATTTAAAAAAATAATATTTGATAAAGGCAAGAAAAAATAATGATAAATTGAAAAATCCAACAAGAAATCCTATATTTGTTGCTAATGAAAACATTTCTGCAGAAGATTACGTTTTAAATATACTTGAAAAAATTGATTCTAGTCATTTAGAAGATGCATTACTTGTACTTCCATTTAAAAGCGTAACATATATGTTAACATTTATTAATCTTTGGGCAGAAAAGGTATCTATATATATCTACCTAATATAATATCTCTATATGTTAAAATATTTTAGGGGTCGAATATTCAATTAATATGTAGAATTTTATTCATTCTTTTAAGAGTACATCATCAACAAATTGTTGCAAATAAAACTATACGGTATATGTTAGATTCTATTAGAATTAAATTACGTGAAGAACTACAAGTTCAAAAAGATATGATAGGTTATAATTTAGCGGCTTTAAAATATATTCGTCAAAGTTGGGAAATTCATCATACAAAAGAGTTCTATAATGAAGAAGAATATAGGAAACAACTAGAAAGTGGCAAAAAAAGAGTATTTTCAGCATTAGAACTATAATAATTTTACAAATTAATTTATAATCATAAAACATTAAATATAAACTATATTATATAAATAATAATTTATCAAAAAAAAAAGGAAATTACCATATACTAGACTATATGAAAGAGTACAACTCAACATAAAACTTAGCAGTCCAGAAAAGACATCTTTTGTCCATATTTCTCTATGATAAAGAAAATAAAAAGATGGATGCCGTTTTGTTAATATAAAAAAAATTAAAAGGCTTACAAAGAATGTTCCAAAAATATAAAACAAAAGTCCATAATATGATGTTAAATTTAAAATACCTGCAACAAGACCAAAAAAAAATAGATGTTACACTTCGAATATGTGAAATAATCTATTTTCATTCATTTCATTCTTCTAAAAAAATAACCATTTACTTTAAAATTATGAACAATAGCATCTGAAACTATTGGATGGATTTGATAATATTTTTCGTCCATTTTTAACTAATTACTCTTTTTTTAGGGCTAAAAACATAAAATATTTTTTAAAAGATAATAAAAACGAATTAAAAAATATTAAATTTATTTGAATCTTACTTTTAGAAAAGAATAAGATTAAAAAAACAAAATAATCTTCATTTTAATTCTTTTATTCTTTAACTTTTTTCATCCTTTTTTAGTGTGTCCCTTAAGTTCTTAAAGGTGTCGAAAAAAAAGACTTTAACCTCCAAAATATTTAAGACAAGATAAAAATTAAAAAAAGTAGTTTTTGGGTGGTAAAAAAAGCATTCAATCTATCTTTCTGAGAAAATTGTTAATTATTTATAGGAATTTAATTTTTTCTGGAAAAAATTACTTTTTTTTGCTTCCAATAAGTATTAAACTGATTGTGTATTTATTTATTATTGAAAAAGATTATTTTTTTTCTAAATGAAACACAATGGTACTAATTCATGTCTATTATAGCGATTAATTGTTTTTAATTGATATTAATTAGATCTCAATGGTACTAGTAGAGATAGACGTGGAGAACGAGATGAAAGAAGAGGAGATCGTGATCGATCCCGTAGAGATGGTTTAATAGGACGAGAAGAACGGCATCATCATTATTCTGAAAGGCCATCAAGGCATGAAAGAGGGGATGAACGAGATCGGGAACATAGTCATCGACGAAGTCGAGAAGACGAACGACGACGACGTCGTCGTGATGAAGAATATACACAAAATGGAAGGAATCATGATGGGGGACATTCTAGTGGAGCAGGGCGCTCTGAAAGAGATGAGAGGATGGATCGCATGATTCGTGATAGACGAACAGGAAGAGAAGAATGGCATAGACGAAGTCGTAGTCCACGATATCGTGGACGAGAACCTACACCAGATCTTACAGATGTTGTGCCTATTAATGAGCGTCGACGTCGAATGAGTATGTGGGATGTAAAGCCTACGGGATATGAAGCAATCACAGCAGAGCAAGCAAAGATGTCTGGTAAGAATATGATTGGAAGGGTTTTTTATTTTATATTAAGATATTTAGGATTGTTTCCGTTACCAGGAGCACCTAGGCAATCGATGATGGATTTATCTAAGCTTTCTACAGCAAATAAAGGGCCAGCAGCTATGAATATTCCTACACCTCTTGCATTGCAACCTTTGCAATCTAGACAGTCTCGAAGAATATATGTTGGGAATATTCCTCAGCCTATTGATGAAGAACATCTTGTGAATTTTTTTAATGATACGATGAGTTCTCTTAATGTTACAACATCAGGAGATAATCCTGTTGTAAGTGCTCAAGTTAATCATGAAAAAGCATATGCTTTTCTTGAAGTATTTTTTTCTTATTTTCAATCTTTGTGTTGATTTATATTTCAGTTTCGACAACCTGAAGATGCAACTGTCGCTATTGGGTTTGATGGAATTTCATATATGGATAGTTCATTAAAAATTAGACGACCAATGGATTATATTATTCCACAAATGCCATCGGATGATGGTTCATACGTTCCGGGAGTAATTTCTACAAACTTTATAGATACACCTAACAAAATTCATATCGGGGGACTTCCTATTTATCTTGATGAGGAGCAAGTTATTGAACTTCTTAAATCTTTTGGAGAGTTGAAAGCATTTAATTTAGTTAAAGATGCAGTAACCAATGAATCAAAGGTTATTTTATAAAACTGATCTTATGTTTTAATTGATATAAATAGGGTTTTGCATTTTGCGAATATGTAGATCCTGACGTAACAGATATTGCGTGTGAAGGTCTTAATGGGATGGAATTGGGTGATAAAACTTTGGTTGTAAAACGTGCAAGTATTGGGAGTAGACAAAAGGCTATTTCTACATCGGGTGGAGGTATTTCTAGTATTACTATGTTAGCAGAAGAAGAAGGTCACTTTCGACCAACGCGAATATTGCAAATGTTTAATATGGTCACACCTGAAGAACTTCAAGATGATGATGAGTATGAAGGTTAGTTATTCAATATTATTTGTATTTATTATTTAAAAACATTAGAAATTTCTGAAGACATTAGAGAAGAATGCTCGAAATACGGAAAAGTATTGGATTTGAAGATTCCTAGAGGTATTGGCGGCAGTCGCTCAAACTTTGGTGTAGGAAAGGTTATATTTATAATTATCAAAAAAGTAATATATTAATTACTTTTAGGTATATGTACGGTTTGAAACAGAAGCATCGTGTTTAAAAGCAATGAAGGATTTAGCTGGTCGGAAATTTTCTGACCGTACTGTTTTAACAAGCTTTTATCCGGAAGAAAATTATGAAGTAGGAGCGTGGTAGATATAATAGATATCATTAAACATAATAATTAAAAATTATTAATATATTCTTGTCTCTATTATTCTCAATGTGATTACCTTTTATAATCAAATTCCTTGTATTCTAATTATTGGCAATATTTTAATTTTTTAAAAAATATTTTAATATTAGTTTATACAAAAGCTTAGCATATTGAATATTATAAATAATAAATGTTTAATTATAAATTTATTTTTTTTCAAAAATATTAAACAATAAAAATAATTTAAATATTTTTTTTGTAATAAACAATTAAAAAAAACAAAAATATAAAAAGTGTTTTTTCATTGACATAAATTTAATGCAATTATAATTAAATGTATTAAGAAGGTTTTTATAGATCAAAAGCAAAATTATAAAAAAATATCTATAAAAAAAATCAAATAATCAAGGCACTTTTTCTATTGCATAATATTTATATTAATATTTTGTATTATTTTTACTACTTTTTTCAAAAAAATATTTATATTTTGATTTGATATAAATGCATATTTTAATAAATCCTTTTCTTTCAAAAATATTTCTTTTAATATTATTTAGAATGCATTCCAATTTAAAACCATATTTATATTATTTCCATAAGGTTTAATAATATTATTAGTCATCTGTACGAAAAGATATTCTAACTCTTTTTGATACATATGGAAGGTCTTTAGAACTACCCGAGGAATCACCATCCAATTTTCTACGTTTTTTCTTTTTTTGGGATGTTGATGTATCAGAATCGTCCCCGGAGTCATTTTTATGAAGAAACTACATACTATTTAATAAAAATATAAGAAAAATTATAAAACACTTTTAAAAAAGTTCCTGATGAAAATGAAAAAAGTCGATCATTATCTGTATAATCTGTACGTTTTTTATAATTTGAGCCCTTTAAAAACCCATCAAATCCTCGTATGATATTCCCCCCTTGAGATGTATCTTCCAAATATGCACCTTCAAGCTTATATATTTTCTCTTCTAATGCTGCCTAAAAAATTATTAAAAAAAATAAAGGATAAATATATATATATATAATTTTTTACAAGAGCCCTATCTACTGATTGTTTCTTACTAATTAAATCTCGTAATTCTTTCTTTTTATCTTCATAATATTCCATTGTTGGCTATTTTTATCAAAATACAGCCTTTTTTTCAAAAAAAAAAAGAAAATACCCATTCTCCTTTGTTATATCCATTGTTTAGAGGGGTTTTTTCTAGTTCATTGTCTTTTATTTCCTCAATTCCTGTCATTATTAGCTTCTATAATTTTTTTTGATGTTTTCGTTGCTATGGTGACGTATATTTTCGTTAAACAAAATATCATATTTTCATTTTTTCTATTATATTAGGTTATTTAACCATTTAGCTGTTATATTCTTGTATTTATTTCATAATTTACTAGAAATCATGGACTCAAATCAAAAAATTACAGAAAAAACGTTCGAAAATTTAATGCAATCTTTTCGTCCGAAAAATCGATCTACAGCAGAGTGGGAGACCTCATACAATCAATTACGAAGACTAGTTCTTTCAGAAGGACTTCCTTCCTCTCAAGAAGGATCAGTATGATATAAATTTGTATTTTAAAGTACTGTTTATACTATTAGTCGTCAATACGAGCGTATGTTTGGTGTATATTTTTAGGAGTTGAACCAATAACAGCCAATTCATATTTAGCATTAATACATAAGGGGGCATCTTCTGGTAATATTATAGTGTATTATTTTATTATATATATATATATATTGTTAGTATACAATAAGATTCGAAATGACACATTTCGTACTTTAGCTACAGATCCACTTTTTCGTCGAAAAGTTTCAGAAGCATCACTTATAAGACTTTTGAACTCTTTCGTTTGGTATATGGAAAGTCATAATTCATCGATATCATATATACAGGGAATGAATGTTTTAGCAGCACCTTTTCTTTACACATGCAAATCCGAAACAGAAGCATTTTCTCTATTTACTGCATTCATTTCAGTACAATGCCCTTTATATGTTGTTTCTACTTTAGAAGGAGTGCATCGTGGCATTAAAGTATAGTGATTTTTTTTTTTTTTCGTCTAATATGATTAGCTTTTTGACAAATGTTTGGAAATTATTGATATTAAACTATATTCATATCTACGATCAAAAAATCTACAGTCGAAAGTCTATGCATTTCCATGTATTAATTATAGTTGTTTCATTATATAACTAATAAATATATAGCCATCTTAACTTTTTCTGCATGTACTCCACCTCTTTCAGAAGTTATAATACTTTGGGATTTTTTATTAGCTTACGGTGTTTATTTAAATATTTTGTGTGTTGTTGCACAACTTCTAGTTATACGTGATGATATTTTACATCATCCTAGGTAATAGATATTAAATTTTCGACATATTTTTAAGTTAATAGCCCAATAAAACTTTTGAGGAAATTTCCTCACTTACCTGCTAAAATAGTAATTGGAATTGCTGTAAGTCTTATAAAAAAAATACCTGCTGAACTTTATGAATTATTAATAAGACATTCTTGGGACAATTCTGCTGGAACAGAAATAGATGAATTGTAATATTTTTATATGATACCTTATATAATATGCAATATATTAGTTATTGAATGTTTCTTATTTGATTTTTTATATTAAATCTTATATAGTTTTTAATATTTTCATATATAAATTAATCTATAGGTATATTTTATAATTCATTGTTTTTAGATATTTTGTCATAATTTGTTTCTTCTTGATCTATAAGTTTTGGTAATTTTCTTTCTATTTCAATCCTATTTTTAAAATTTGAAAGATCAGAAGTAAATAATACACCTTGTGCCCAGCCTGCATATTCTCCCCATAAATTCCTATAATAATCACCAATTGTTTCATAAAGTGTCTTGTTAATTGTTTTATATTTTTTCATATTAAATCTATAATCTCTCTGAGTAATTTGCAATACTATAACTCTTGAATTTAAAAGATAAAACATTTAACTATCTATACCATGTGTATCTATAGGAACTGCAGATGGTTGATCAAGAGACATTAGGCACTAATCTGATTAAATACATCGAAGTAATCACGTATATCTACCACACAATCCGCAACTTTATATCCCACTCCCATTAATTCACAAAGACTGTTTTTAGCTTCATAATATGACTTATTTCTAAGACTTTCAAGCCATTTCTTCGGCCTTTCATTTTCAATAATCCATGCTGTCTTTTGTACAAATTTTGCTCGATATCCAAAACCCAATTCCCTCAATTCAAATTCAACTGAAGGTCCTGAAAGTTTAGATGCAGCAGGAAAATCATAATAATCATTTTTTCCTAATCTTCCAACAAACGTTCCATATTTATGACAAAGTTTTTCAATCTTATATCATAAATATATTTATCCTGTAAATAATTGAGCCTCTTACCATTTTTGATATTCGATTAATATTATTATTACTTGAACATATAAAACATATCAAATTTTCCCAGGGATCTTGTCTTATAATTCTAATACCCTTGAATCTTTCTGCCTGTTTTTTAAAATGATTATCTCTAAAACTCCATTCCTTATATAAATCTGATAGACAAATTGAAAGATTAAAATAATCAATAAGAAATTCCTTATTCTTCTCTTCGTTTCCCTCCAATTCCCCCTTTAATCCATACACACGATAATATACATATGAAGCTATATATTTATTATCAAAAAAAGTCTTTTCATGTATTTTTTTACAATCTTGTTTTAATGATATCAACTTGTTATTTAACGCACAAGACCATTCATTATCGGCCGATTGCTTCCAGCGAAAGGTTTGCCCTCCTTTTAATGTAGTTTCTAAGCATACTGAAGTTCAATAAGTCATTTATAATATTTTAAACAACATATTTTACATTCTTCAAGTTTAATTTTTATTTTTTTCCAATCAGACATCTTAGACTTAATTCCAAGTAGGGTTTTTAATTAAATATTTAAATAAAATAAAATATATTTTTTAAAAGAAGTATTAGATTCTAAGCAATTTTTAAGTATGATAAGGTTTTTTTAAGTGAGAAATAAAAAAACAAGTATATTTTTAATATGGACTCTTTGTCTTTAAGAGAAACACAAAATATGGAAAAAAGCAAAAAAACTGAAGAAATTACAGAAAAAAATATTGAGACAGGATTATCTGAATTAGAAACACGTGCTTTAACTCAAGAAAACTCTATAACGCATTTATCTTCTCATTCAACTATGATACCAAATGTTTCATTATCGGAATCTATTGATACGAACGTGATAAAATAGCATGTGGAAATAAATAAAATTAATATTAAACTAGGTATTACCTTTGAGAGAGACAATAGCAACAAATATACTATCGCAAAATAATGTTATTTCTACCGTTCCTACACGAGTTTATTTAAATGAAAATATAACACCTGTACTTTTGGAAGGTATGAAAATGATTGCAAGAGAAAGGTAAATATATTGAATGAAAAAAGTTATATTAATAAAAATAGACCACCCAATCCATTACAAGTGCTTGGCGAATATTTAATTAGTAAAAGTAAAAAATAAAATTTTTAAAAAAGTGAATTATGTACATATTATATTAATATTAACTACACTATATCCTATTGCATGTAAATGTATATTTATGCAATTAAAGTAGATGCAGTTGCACTTTCGTATTTCCATACGGGAGGAAGAGAACCTATTCTATAAATATGTGAGATTAAACGAAGTTTTTAAGAAGAAAGGGAACCTTTTATAGTATCGTGCTAAGCGATGAATTCTGCTTTCAATAAGAATCAAGCGAAATTTAGAATCTTTGTCTTTCCGATTACGTTCGAGATGTTTTCGAACTGTCACTGCCTATTTATAATTTAAACCAACAATCTATTCAAATACAATAATATACCTTCTTTATTAAATGATATAAGTCTTCAGGTATTTGAGGTGCTAATCCTTTTCCCCATTAATATTTTTTTAAATATATAATACAAGCAAATTCAAACCGTTGGATTTAAGAATTCTTAAAATTTTATTACCTGGATATATTTAGCAATATTTTCACACTTCTAGATCTTTACTAACCAGTAATAAATCTTATTTGAGGAATTCCATGACTATCACGCAAAACAACCCCAATTTGACTGGGAGAAAGCCCTTTTTTCGCATATTTAAAAATCAATTCACAAACCTCCTCTGACTCCACCTTACACCATGAAGGTGGCGCACGAGAGTATGGCAATGCAGAGCTTGAAATACCCTTTCCTATTTCTTTTTAATATTCTCTTTTTTTATAAAAATATATACCTGGAGTATGCATACGACCCATCTTGAATTATTGTATTTTTTTGAAAAAAAAATACACTTATATATATAAATAAACTAAACCTTTATCTTTTTTTCGAAAAGACTCTTTAACTCTTCAATTAGGTGACCTTTTTACTCTTTTTTTTTTTCACAAAGAAATTTCTTAAGATCAAGTTCGATCTCCGTCATAAGCCCGATATACAATTTATCTGATTCTTAAGTTTAATAAGATGGTTGAATATACTTATATATTGAACTATATTACAAAGGTAGAAAAAAACAAAAACTATCTTTTATTTTTAAAAGATAGTTTTTTTAAATTTTATATTTATATTTTTTTAATTTTTTAAGAAAAAAATACAAACAATTTGTAATTAATAGAAAGTTTAATAAAAAACTAATATTATTAGAAGAAAAAAAATCATTTTTTTATTATTTATAGATATTTTGTTTTTTTTTTTTTTTTAATTTATTTTTATAAAAACATTTGATCTTAGATTTAAACGTTTAAGAGAGCGATTAACCTTCATGAAAGATTATATTTGAGAAAAAAGCAGAATTATTAGGATGATAAGTAATATAAGAAGAGTCTGTAATATAGAAAAGTAGAATTGATTAAAATAGGGTTCTTTATGTGAAGAAAAACGGATTTTTTTGCTTTATTTTTGATGAAAATAAGACGGAATTTTGGAAAAAAAACAAGCCTGCTGGATCAGAAAAAAAGAATTAACTTTTTAAATTAAAAAGAATAGAATACTAGATTTCACAAATGCTTAGATTGGTGTTAAAGATAATTTTACTTTTTTTTTTAGTAAATAAGGCAGTTAGTGTGACTAATATTACAATACCAGATATAGATCTTTCGAAATATGGGCAAACAGTAATTACAGGAGACTTTTCGGGGATTAGTTTATATGCGTATAATGAGAGGGGAAGAATTCATGAAGAATCAAATAGATATAAAAATGAACTTTTTATGCAAGTACCAAATAGAACGTATATTTCTCTTGGTATAGTTAATGGTTTTATTAATGTGATATCCATAATCAAGGATGGAAAAAATATATATGCAGTTATTGCAGGACACTTTTCTCGTATAGGAGATGTAAATACGAACAGTATTGTTTTTTATGATTTAATTGAATCGAAATTTGTTACTCTCAAAGAGGGGATTTCAAATGGCTATATAAAATCTATATATTACGATGAAAAAAATAGACATTTATATGTTGGTGGAAGTTTTCGTTATAATAATTCATTAAATGCGATTATATGGGATTTATCTAATAATGAGTGGATAGAACTTCCTTTCAAAGGGTTCAATGGAATTGTTAATACTATAACTCGGATGAATAATGGGAATATTTTGTTTGGTGGTCAATTTGAAGATGCTTTTTCTCATGGAGGAGGAACACATTTTGTTCTTAATAATTATGATAGACAGGTATTAAATCTTCATACAGCTATGGTAACTGAGTATTTTAAAATTTATATATTTTATCTTATTTATCTAGATTTTATCTGAACATTCTTCTTTAAATGAAAAATATGCTAATCCAAGAAACATTATATGTACAAATACCTATAAAAATACTACTTCTTGGCTTTTAGAAAAATCAGAAATTGGAAAATGGCTTGCACTTTTTCGATATGTTTTCAGACCTCAAAAAATTCGATTTAAAAATTCAGATGTGCAAGATTATGCAACAAAAATTTTTAGAGTTATTTCTTTTCCAATTCATGGGATTATGAATTTAAGTTATACTGATCCGGTTACAAAAAAAATAGCATTTTGTGAAGCACTATGTCCATTACAACAATCCTCTTTAGAATATCAGGAATTTGATTTCGTAAATATTATTCCTATGACTGGGTTTCGAATTGAAATTATAGATTGGTATGGAAAGGGCGGCGGATTAAAGGAAGTTGAAGTTCTATTGAGCGGTTTTATATAAGCTTTTTTTGTATGTCAATATATTAATATACTTTTTAGATATTCAGACATTTGCTGTAAATACTTTTAATGAACCCATATGTGTTAATGAAAGTTTACGTTCAAACTCATATGTTACCGGCGGACCATGGGAAGTACTAAGAATTAATGATCAAAGCTATCTTTCAGCAAATATTTCAAGATCAGCCCTAGAAAAATCATCTGTTGTATTCGAACCACGATTACAGAGATCTGGATATTATCATGTTCATTTATATACACCAGGATGTATTCAGGATAATACATGTTCATTTCGGGGAATAGTACAAGTTAGAATTTATTATCAAGAAAATGTAAATCCAGTGATAGTGATTGTTCATCAAACTCAAAATTATGAAAAAATTGACAATATATATAAGGGTTTTATATCTGGAATAACATCAACATTTAGACCTTGTGTAGTTATAATTCCTATCCAAGGGCAACGCGAATATATTAATGTTGTTGCACTGGCTGTTAAATTTATTCCGGTATCTATTTTTAGCAGTTCTAATGGGCTTTTTGAATATAATCCTTCTAATTATTCATTAAACGCAGAAAAACAGTCAGAATCGAAATCAGTTGTAGACATTGCTAGATCTTTATTATCAAAAAATGCAATTATCTCTTCTGTTATCCATGATTCGTCACAAACTATAATAGCAGGACGCTTTACTAATAATGAAAAACCCCCGTTTTCCAACATATTACGAATAACACCTCAAGTAAGCTCTTTAGCATATGGAGGGGTAAATGGAGAAATTTTTTCGATGCTTTTGCATAACAACATACTTTATATTGGTGGAAGATTTAATAAAATTCTTCATTCTTCTTCAGATGCAATTAACAATGTGGTATCATATTCTATTATAGATGATTCTTGGACATCACTCTTATGGGGTCTAAATGGTGTAGTATATAATATTTATAAATATGTTGCTTCAGTAAATAATACTTTTAAAATTTATATAGCATTTTCTGGGAATTTTAGACAAATCTTATCGTTTCAAAATAGAAAATTATCTGATGTAAATGGGTTTGCTTTATGGGATCCAGAAGACAAAAAATGGGAAACTAATATAGATTTATTTATAGATGGGCAAATACAAAATTCTGTATTGGTTTCGAATAATATATCATTAGTATCAGGAAACATTAGAACATTACACTCTTTAAGAGCATTAGGTGCGACTGCTTTACATATTTCAAAATCTGCTCATTCTCTTTCCCCATTATTTTATTCAAAAGCTATTACGCCTTTTTTCAATTTAATAGTTAAACGTGATATAGATAAATCTTCTAAAAATTCAATTTATACGGGAGCATTTTATAAATTTCTTTCTCGACCTTTAATAATTCTTGGTGGTCAATTTGAGTTTGAAAATGATGAAAATGAATTAATAAAAAATATTGCTATAATATATAATTCAAAGATTTCGGGTATCAATATAAATTTGGATCCTCAAAGTGTTATATTAAGTCTTGTTGTATACAACAATATTTTATATATTGGGGGGCGTTTATACCATAAAATAAATAAGGAAAGCATAAATGGAATATTTGCATATAATTTAAAAGAGAAAAGAAGTTATCAATTACTTCCACTTTCCGGTATATATTTTTTAAAAATTGCTAATGTTTATTAATTAATTAAAGGAGATGATACTCAAGTGAATATTCTTTCTATGCGACCAAAATCGAATGAGCTTATTATTGTTGGAAAATTCGATTCAGGAAAATCATCATCATGTAATGGTTTTTGTATATTTGAAACATCATCAAACGAATTAAGATCTTCTTCATCTGGGTTTTCGGGGGAAGTAACAGCTTTATATTGGATCGATGTATTTTTTAATTCGAATTTATATTTTATTAATTTTATCTAGGAAAAATCAGTTTTGATAAGTGGAAATATAAAAGTAAATGCAACCTTGTTAAACGTGGCAAAATACGATTTTGATACTTTAACATGGTCACCGGTTTTACCCGAAAAAATTTATCTTCCAGGGCCTGCAACATCAATTATATATGATAAAAATGATAAAAATTCTATATATTTTTCTGGAAAAAAAAGGAATGGTAATGCATATTTCAATAAATGGAATGGAAGAACTCTTCTGCAATTAGGTAAAAATAATTATGTTTTATTCAAATAAAATCTAAAATCTAGATTCTGAATTATTGCCAGGCTCAATAATAAATCATATGCGTATTGTTTCATTAAAGCAAAGACACCGTCGAAATAATGTTGTTCCAGAAGATGTTACAATCTTGGTTCTTGGTTCTTTAATTTTTTCTTCTTTTGGGACTGTAACTGCAGCATTTTATGATGGAAATGCCTGGACACCATATTTAATATCATCAACATTAACAGGTCAACCTGGAATAGCAAATTCTTTATTTTTTGAACATGAAATTTATTCATCATCTCGCAAATACCTTGCTAAAGGTTATGTTGTTTTGATATCTCTCTCTATTAGCTTATCTATCATATTTCTAATGACATTATACAGAGCAATTTTCACTAACTATCAAAGAAAAAAGGGATCATTGCAAATACCTTATTTTCCTAAAGAAAAAGAACTACATAAAACACCATTGACTGGCATTTCTAATGATTCTGATAGGGATAATTTATAAATTTAATTCTTGAGTTTAGTTTTGGTAAAATTTTGATATTAACTATTTTTTCTTATACTTTTTGCAATCTTGTAATCTAGTTTTATTTATTGCAGACTTATTAACATGAGACATAACTAAATACATATTATTCATTAATATCACATAGATATACATTGTTTATACATTAAATTTAATAATAAATTTTTTAGTTTTGAATGCTTCCTAAATAAAATATTTATTTATTCAAAGAATAATAGCTTTTATCAACAATATTATTTTTACAAATATTTTAAATAGAGTTTTTTAAATTAAAATAATCATTAAAATCAGAAATATCTTTAAAAGATGTAAAATTGTTTTAATTAATTTTTTTAAAGATAAATATTTAATTTATATTATCTATTTATTAATTTTAGCTTTTTATATAATAAATTTAACACAACATTTATAATTAAAACAAAAATTTAAAATTATGCTTTTTCTATTTAATAATTAATTTTAGTAGTTTTTTAAGCATAAAATATAAAATATCTAAAAATATATAATCCTTTAAATAAAAGGCAATATTTGTATTTATTTTTTTAAAAAGATAAATATCTTTGTACTTTCTCAACTATATTTTGAACAAATTTAACATATAATATTAAAAATTATACAATTGACATTAAATTACTATTTCAATAAATTTCCCAAACTTTATCTAATAGATCAAAAACCATACATAAACCTATTTTATCAACACTAATCTTTAATACCAAATTAATACTTTTTTCGTTATTTTTATAATCTAAATCAACAAAAGTCATGAATCTATAAACTTATTTCCGTCAAAATTACAAACTCTATATCAAATAAAATAATTAATTCATTATTTTAAAACAAAAAATACTTTTTTCTTAATGTTTATAATATATTATATTATTCATCATTTTACATTTCTTAAATATTAAAAAAATGAATTATTAAGATACATCATTAGTTTTTCCACATGATTTGCATCTTCTGAGCTCAATATTGTTTGAATACTTCTCAACAACGGCTTTAATTTGTGTTCCAAGATCTGTACATCTGAAAATCTCTAAAATATTCAATTAATATCCAATTCTTTGAAAATTTACCTTCATAAACAATAGATTTACAATCAGTACAATACCATCTTAAACGATCCATAGAATCTTTAGGTCTTTTCTGTTCTATCACAATACCAACTGTATTTTCATATCTTATAGGACAATGAGGAATATTTTCTAATATTTTAAGAAACTTTTTCATGTTTAAAATGATTATACCAGGAAGTAAAAACATCTCATTTTCTTTAATAAAAATACTTTTAAATTCCCCTTCTTCATCTATAATTTTAAGAGTCATTGGGCCTTTATATTGATAAAAATATTCCTTTAAATATTAATATTTCTTCTAATCAAAAAATGCTTCTACCGGAGTCTCATTAACATGATAATCTGCACGGGAATTGGGACCACCAACAACCATCACTGTAAAACCTTCATTCCATAAACAAAAATTACTTATAGGCGGTTTAAGCTTATCAGCATGTGCATCAAGCCTAAATTATTAATAAATATATGAAATCATATATAAAATACCATGTTTGAATATTAATAGGAGCAGACAACATCTTAAATAAGATTTTATTTAAAAAAAGTCTATATTTTTATTATAATCAGTTTCATCTAATAATTTTTTTTTAAAAAAATAAAAATCTTAAAATTTTATTAATATTAAATAAAAACAAAGATCTCATTGTTTTCTTAATTATGACATGCCTCAAAAAAAATCTTCAAAGAATCTGGATGAGTTGTATGTAATATACCATGACCAAGATTACAAATCAAATACTATAAAAAAAATAAGAAAAAATAAAATAAAGAAAGAATATACTTGTTTACCACCCCCAAAACTTTGAATCATATTTTTTGTTCTCTGTGTAATTGTATTAATATCCCCAAGAAGTATGCATGGATCCAAATTACCCTGAAGTGTACATCGTCCACGGTTTATTTTTTGTGCATCTTCAGGATCATGTTTCCAATCTAAACTAACGCAATGATATCCAAGACTGCAAAGAGAATCTAATGCATACCAAGCACCTTTTGCAAATACAACCATAGGAACCAATGATTGCTCAAGTTGTATTAAGCGTTGAGGTAATTTTTTTGCAATATCACTAAGATAAGGTAAAGAAAAGTCCTTAAAATCATATGGAGATAATTCTCCTGCATGAGAATCGAAAACTTGAATAATCTCAAAGAAACAGTAAAACAAAATCTAACAATATTAAATTATTTACCTGCGCACCTGCTACAACTTGCTGTGCAAGAAATTCAATCACAATATCTGTTAAACACTCGAGTAATCTTTTACTAGCTTCAGAATATTTGTAAATCCATGTTTTTGACTTTTCAAATGTTTTAGATCTACCTCCTTCTATCATATACGTCATTAATGTCCATGGCGCTCCTGCAAATCCAAAAAGTGGAACCCGTCCATTCAATTTTTTTCTTGTAAGTGTAATTGAATCCATAACATACCCCAATTCCTTCTTTATATCAATCTTCAACTTTAATTTTTGAATATCATCAGGTGTTTCAAGAGGATTTAAAAAACATGGGCCTTTTTTATCCACCATTTTGATAGCCATGCCCAAAGCTTGCGGTATCACAAGAATATCACAAAAAATAATAGCTGCATCAATTAATCCATCATATCTATCGACAGGTTGAATAGTTATAGCTGAAACAAGTTCTGGAGAGCGACATTTAGCAAAAAAATCAATATCTTGCCCGATTTCATGGTATTCTAGCCATAAATAAGCAATTTTTTTACTTCAAAAACTCATACCAGGCAAATAACGACCTGCCTGGCGCTAATAAACCATAAGAATCATATAAAATAGAAAAAATAAGAATAATTGCCATAGTCCAGACTGGAGGGCGTTCAACCTTTTCACCTAAATAAACCATATTAGACTTATTTCTAGAGCTTTTTCTTATAAAAACCTCTTGCAGCCCTGAGAAGAAGATCATTCTTTAATGGAGGAAACTCTATAGACATTTTAAGGCTATTTCCATGTAAAATATTGAGATTCTGTTATTTTTAATGATTTTTGTATGTTCGAAAGCTTATACTTGAACTACAGCAAAATCAATGAGGCATCCTATTCAACTTATACTGGCAAATACAAAGAAAGAAGAGATATATATAGGTGTTGGAAAGAATGTCTATATATTAGATTCGAAAACAGGGAAAAATTTGGCAAACTGGACGCTTCCAGAGGCAAATAATGTGCAATTAAAAGAAACACCTATAAATCAAATACAATGTATGAATCTTAGTGCAGAGAAGGATCTTCTTTTTATATCTAGCAATGATAAATTGCTAAGAATATTCGATATTTCAGAAGGATTAAAGATTCAGAATGAAATGTAATAAATATTTTAAAAAATGAACAAAAATTGATATTGAATAATAGACGTTGTAATAAACGTCCTTGCGTAATAACAGTAGTCGAAAAATTATCTAAAGTTTTTGTTGGAGATAAATTTGGTGATGTTTATTCATTTTTATTAAATGAAAATTCAACAGTAGAAACAAATACAGGACCCATTCCACCAAATCTTGTATTAGGACATGTTTCTATGATTACAGATATGATAGTAACAAAAGATTCTAATTATTTAATTACATCAGATCGAGATGAACATATTAAAATAAGTTGTCTACCAAAATGTGTTGTTATCAAAGGGTATTGTTTGGGTCATCAAGAGTTTCAAAGTCAAATAGATATATTCTTAACTAATAGAATTTAGATTTGTTTCAAAACTATCTATATTATCGTGGAACCCAGATATTTTAATATCAGGAGGAGGTGATCCATACTTATTTGTCTGGAACTGGAGAAATCAAGAATTGCTATCAAAAATAGATCTAATAAAACTTTTGTATAAGAAAGATCAAAAGAAATATGTTTTAGATAATGAAAAAATTGCAATAATTGGTATTCAACAAATATCTACAAGAAAAGAAATAGCAATTATTATTCAGAAGTAAATTTTTTTCTTATTATTATCTGTATTTTTAATATTTATTATAGAATACAATTATTATTTATATTTGGAGATTTGGCATCAGAAAAACCAATCTTAAAAATAATAGAACCGCTTCCTGGAGACCCTTTAAGTATTACTTTGGATAAAAATGATGTATTGTGGATATCTTTGGACAATTCTACTGATTATAACATTCCTTTTATATATTTATATCCAAAAGTAAAAAAAATAATTTAAATTTTCTTTTTAACATAATATTAGAATGAAGATTTCAAAAAAATAGTACAAGAAATTGATAAAACTATAAGTATAGAAGGTAATATATAGTTCTTTCTATAAATTACAACTAAAATTAATAGTCGACTATAAATTTTCTCCACTTTATGATTTTCTACAAATTAGAAAATCTAGAAAAAACTAATTAAAAAAGATATTCCAAATTATTTTATCCATTACATATAAAAAGATATAATTTAATTATCATATTTTATGTATTTTTATATTGCGAATTTTTTCAACCTCAAAAATTATTAAATGAGACAAAAACGCTTAAAATCATATAAAAAATTGATGCAAATATATAAAATAAGCTTCGGATTTAGAGAACCATATCAAACATTAAGTATATCTCTACTTTTATTTATTTTTTTTTAATTTATAGTTGACGCCGATTATTTACAAGATTCTATAAAATGCAAAATGGATGCAATAAAATTACTTGAACGTATTCTTCAAGGAAAAGTAAAACCAAGTTAACAAGGTTTTCATTTATAGATTTCAAAAATTAAAAAAAATAGTGATTACTCAATGTTGCATTCAAAAATTATATGAAACTAAACAGCAGGATATTATTTCAATAGCAAAAGCCTATGAAAGGCGACGATGTAATCATAAAGATAATCCTTTGCCACCTGAAGACTGTATTTACAGCATCGTTAATATCAATGGCAAAAACAAACATCGATATATCGTTGCAACACAATCTATACAAATTCGAACAAAACTGAGAGATATTCCTGCTGTTCCCCTTTTTTACATCAGCCGATCTGTCGTTATTCTTGAACCATCATCATATTCAACAATTAGAGCCAAACAAATCATTGAACAAAACAAACTTGGTCTTAAAAAGGAAGAAAGTGAAAAAATTCTCGGCACAAAAAGAAAAATAAATAATGAGGATTCATCTTTACCAAGAAAGAAACGAAGAGGTCCCAAAGAACCAAATCCATTGAGCGTTAAAAAAAAAAAAACTAATTTAATACAAAAAAAACAAAATTCTTCTAAAATTTTAACAAATATAATTTCGCATCAAAATACAACTTTAATCAAGAAAACAAGACGTCATTCAAGGGGAAAATCACACAAAAAATTATCATGAAACTATAAAATATTCATCATAATCGTTTATTCAATTTTTTAAATATTCTCATATCTTTAATTCAACAATTATTAAACATTCTTTCACTCATTTTCTTAGAAAATATTATGATTTCATTGTATTTTATTTTATTTACTCCTAATTTTTATATTTTTTAATTTTTTTTTTTATTTTTTATAGGGTTTTTCAATTTTTAAGATCTAGAAATTTTATTCGGTATTATATTAACTTACTATTAATAAAACATACAAAAGCAAGGTCTTATAAAGAGGATTTTGTGTATAAAAAGTCTCAAAATAAAAGAAAACACGTGTTTATTTGAATAATTGAAGTATAACTTTTTTTAACGGTCAAATGGTAAAAGATACCAAGTATTATGATATTTTGGAGGTAAATCCACAAGCAGGAGAAGTATATAAAAGGGTTTAAGAAAGGAGGAAAAGCTAATGAAATTTATCTTAGAATGATTTAAAAAAAGCATATCGAAAATTGGCTTTAAAATATCATCCGGACAAAAATCCAGCAGCAGGAGATAAATTTAAAGGTAGGAATAAGGATATGAAGGGAAAGGAAGAAGATATCTAATATTGTGCGACTATAGAAATAAGTCATGCGTATGAAGTGCTTTCTGATCCGCAAAAACGGGAAATTTATGATCGATATGGAGAAGAAGGACTTTTAGGAGATGGATCAGGTGGAATGGGAGGCATGAATGCAGAAGATATATTTTCTCAATTCTTTGGTGGTAGTATGTTTGGAGGAGGATCGAGTCGTGGGAATACAGGGCCAAGAAAAGGCAAAGATCTTGTACATTCATTAAAAGTATCACTTGAAGATTTATATAAGGGAAAAACTTCTAAACTTGCATTGCAAAAAAATATTATGTGTCCAAAATGTGATGGACGTGGTGGAAGAGAGGGTGCTGTTAAACAATGCAGTACCTGTAATGGCACAGGCCATAAAACAGTTACACGTCAAATGGGTCCTATGATTCAACGTTTTCAAACAATTTGCCCGGAATGTAATGGTGAAGGGGAGCAGATTAGGGATAAAGATAGATGTAAAGAGGTATTGAAATAAATTTTGTAAAAAGTTTTGTTTAATTTTTTAGTGTAAGGGCAAAAAAACCATTAATGAACGTAAAGTTCTTTCTGTTTATATTGATAGAGGAATGAAAGAAGGTCAAAAAATTGTATTTAACGGGGAAGGGGATCAAGGTAATTATTGTATAAATATGATTTTTTTCTCAATATTATAAGGTCCAAATATTATTCCTGGAGATGTTATTTTTGTGTTAGAACAGAAAGAGCATCATTCATTTAAAAGACGGGATGATGATCTTTATACGGTTATAAAGATTGATCTTATAACGTCTCTTGCTGGAGGAAAAGCCTTTTTACAACATTTGGATGATCGATATCTTGAAATTAATATTCTTCCGGGAGAATGTATTAAACCAGGTAAGATAAAACATTAAATTAAATAGTTCAAGTAAATTTTTATAATAATTAGGCGAAATAAAAGTTGTAGAAGGTCAAGGTATGCCTTCATATAGACATCATGATCATGGAAATCTATATATTCGATTTGAGGTTGAATTTCCTAGACCTCACTTTATTTCTGATCCATCCAATTTTAGCATTTTGGAAAAAATTCTCCCCCCTAGAACTGAACAAAGAATTCCTAGTAATGCTATAACTGAAGAAGTAATTATTAATGATGTTGATCCTATGCAAGAGGCTCGTGCAGAAGGTGCTGCCAAGGGAGGACGAGGTGCTAATGGTATGGCCGAAGACTGTGACGATGACAATGCACCTCCCGGTGTTAGCTGTGCTCACCAATAATTTAGCATTAATTTTTTAATAAATAATTTTATACTACTAATTTCATATGTCTTAAATATATTTTTTTATATAAAAAATTAATCCTTTTCATAATTAATTGTAATTCTTTTGTTCTTAAATATCTATTATTTTTAACTTAGTATTTTTTTCATCAGTTCGAACCGTCTTGCTATGCAACGTATACTACAGATTAACTGGATACAAGGTATATTTGACTCAAGTCAAAAATATATTTAATAAATAAACAGTGCTTAAACGCTATAAACATTCTATATCGTTGTCAAGATATGAAATTCGTCCTTTACTTGTAGATCAAAATAGTTTAAATAAAAATATAAGGATAAAAGATAATTTAAAAGCTTCAATAGAAGAAAAGCCTTCATTGGAGCCATTAATGAATGCATCAGGCCCAGTTTATACACAATTACTTGATCAAGTGCTTTATAATCAAAAAAAATATGCAAACTGTGTACTTTTAACACGTGTAGGAGGCTTTTATGAGGTTTTTAGTAAATTTAATGTATTTGATCAAACTTATATTAGCTTTATTTTTCTCAAGCAGAAAAATATGCACCAATACTTAATCTTAAACTTGCACGGAAGGATACTAAGGCAGGACCGGTTCCTATGGCGGGATTTCCATTTTATCAATTGGATAGATATCTTAAATGTTTAGTTGAGGAAATTGGAGAATATGTTGCGATTAGCGAAGAATATAGACGTCTAGATCGTTGCTCAACATACAAAAATATTTACGAGCGCCGTGTTTCACGAATTGTTACACCAGGTACATTAATTGATGAAAAATTTATGAATCTTTATATTAATAACTTTCTTTTGGCTATACATATGAATGAGAATATAATGAAAGAAAAAGGATTAGTTCAATCTCTCGAAATAGGCCTGGCATGGCTTGATTTATCAACAGGGGATTTTTTTACTCAAACATCTAAATTTGAATATATTTTAGATGAATTAGAAAGAATTAATCCAAAAGAAATAATTATTGATAAAGAATTTCAAGAGATTTTTATGGAATACATTTCACCGTATGTAAAGGAACGAGAATGCTTTGTAACCTATGAAACATTTGAAATACCAGATCGAATGATTCAAAAATGGGAAAACATTAAAAACAATAATGAGACATCAATTTTTTCAGTTTTGGAAGAACATGCATCACTTAAGATTTTATCTTATGTAAATGATAAATTACAAGGAGAAGAATTTAATTTACAGGCACCAGTAAGAAGAAATTCAGAAGAAAACATTTTTATGGATATACATTCTATACGAGCATTAGAATTAAAACAATCATTAAGAGAAGGAGGAAAGACAGGAACCTTATTATCTGCTATTAAACGAACAGTTACCAGTTCCGGATCAAGATTACTTACCGAATGGATTTGTAAGGATAATTTTGCTTTTTATGATTAAATTTTAATATTGAAGGCTCCCCTATTACATCTATTTCTTTAATAAACAAAAGATTGAATTTAGTGGAAATATTTTATAATGATTCGCATCTTAGAGCTGAAATTGTACAATTATTGAAAAAAATTTATGATACTCAACGTGTTATACAAAAGATTTCTTTAGGTCGTAAAAATGCAGATGATTTATTAGCATTATCAAAAACAATAGAAATTACAAATAGAATATATAACTGTTTAGAAAAATTATCCGACAAAGAATCTGTTAATTCTCTTTTAAAAAGAATTATTATTCCTCTAGATTTATTCAAAAAAATACAAAATACAATAGATGAAGACGGTCTTATGCAAAAACAAAAGGAAAATGAAGAAATAATAGCAGATGCTATGGAAAAAGCAATAGAAATCGAAAGAATGTCTAAATCTCAAGATTTTTCTAATAATGATTTAATTGAATCAAAACTTAAAACTAACCAGGACTTTAAAAATAACGATATTTGGATAATAAAAAAAAAGTATAATTTTTTATTATATAAATATTATGCTAACTCATTAGTGCCTCTTTACCTTTAAAAAAACTTCATGAAGAATTAAATACTCTTTATGATCAAAAAGATAAACTTCAAGAATCTTTAAAACTATTATTAGGTAATAATTTGATTAGAATCATATTTCCTAAAAAAAATAAAGGTACAACTAATCTAACATTAAAAACAACACATTCTTTAAATCATATCATCCATCTACGAAACAAAAATACAGAAAAAAGTATATCAGAAATTAATGGAGCAAAAGTTCTTAGTACTAATAAAAGCACCAAATCAATTCAAATACCTGTATAAATTTTTAAAAATTGATTTTATATTAATTGATTTAGGAATGGACTCATCTTGGAAATATGATAGAACAAACAAAAATAAAAATTAGACTTGAAGAATCTAATACTATTGATAATCTCCGAATAGAGGTATGTTTTAACTTATTATAAATACATATTTTTCAACATCAAAACTAAATTATAGACACTTAAAAATCTTTCAATATTACGAAAAAATGCAAAAGTTCTTGATGAGTTAGATATTGCTTCTTCGTTTGCAACTCTCGCTCTAGAACAAAAACTTGTAAGGCCTATATTAAAAACAGGGTATATTTTATAAGAAATCGTTAAAGATTTAATTATTTTAGAACTTACCATAAAATTATATCAGGGCGTCATCCAATTGTAGAAGCTGGCTTGTATAATCGAGGACTTGTATTTGTACCGAATGATTGCTCCTTAGGAGAAAAAAAGCGTATATGGTTTATTACAGGGTATATTTTATATAAAATATTATATATAATTTAATTTTTTTTATAGACCAAATATGGGAGGAAAAAGCACGTACTTGCGCCAAAATGCTATTATTTCGATTCTTGCACAGATAGGATCATTTGTACCTGCAGCATATGCTGAAGTTGGTATAGTAGATCGAATATTTAGTAGAGTATATTATAATATTATCATTTGCATTTAATTAATTGTTTAAGATTGGATCCAATGATAATCTTTATAAAAATGAATCAACTTTTATGATAGAAATGTTAGAAACTGCTAGAATTTTAAAGAGGGCAACACCAAAATCTCTCGTATAAATAAAACATAATTTTCTTTTCTTCTCACTAAAATATAGGTTATTATGGATGAAATAGGTCGAGGAACAACGTATAAGGATGGATTAGCAATAGCTTATGCATGCCTATATCATCTTCATTATATTAATAAATCTAGAGTATTATTTGCATCTCATTTTCATGAATTAGTAAATATGATCTCCTTGTTTGACAGTGTATCAATGTATTGTACAAAAGTTATAGAAGAGGGTGTAAGTTTATTCTTATGTAAAAATAAACCTGAAGGCTAAAGGACGGATCATTTCGTTTTCTTCATAAAATAGCTGAAGGAGTTAATGATAATTCTCATGGTCTTAAAGTTGCAATGATGGCAGGTAAAGAACTAAATTTGCCTAGCGTCTCTTTTTAATAAACAGGGCTACCACAAAAAGCAATACAAGTGGCAAAAGAAACACTTAAAAAACTAAATGGAACATAAATATATATAAAATATTTCCCTGATATTTAAATCATCAAGCTACAAATATAATTACAAGATAATGTAGACATCCAATTAGTTAATATTAAATTGAAAACGTAACTCGATAATTATTTCTCAAAAATATATATAATTTTGTTTCTTTAATCAAAAAGACTAAGCCCCATATCCTCATCTTCATCTTCCTCTTCTATTTTCTCTTCTTTGGAAGGTGCTTCAGATTCAATAACAGGTGCAGACACAACAACATAAGCATCAGGGTTTTCAAGAATATTTTTAATCTATATAAATATGTAAGTACTTCATTAATAGAGATTTTTTTATGAAAAAATCAATATACCTTTTGAGTTCCTTCAAATATATAATCTGAAGTTATAGAGACTGCTTGAAGATTTTTATAACTATTAACCAAACTATGCAATACTGAAACAATCGTCGGATAATTCAAAGCTAATGATATACTTGCTACATTCTGAATAGCTGATTTGAGATATCCAATAAAGGCTTCCTCTGTAATATCAAGAATAGATGGCGAAAATAAAACCCCTTGATCATATACGTGAAGAATTGTTATTCCATATGTAAAAGGTAAAATATTTAACATATTCAGAAAAGTAGCCTCAGAAGCACCAACTTTTGTTTGAGCGTGAATGAGATGAACATCGCTTATAATTTCAATGGTACCCCGTGCAATTTTTGTAGGTATACCAAGTGCTTGAAAAAAAGATGTCTAAAATAAATAAAAAATATATCATTTTCCCCATAATTAATTTTACCTTTCCAGGTTCCATACCCGTATTACCTGCCGGAACAATAACATCGGATGGTGCAATTATACCTGCTTTAGCTGGCGCTGAAACAACATTTTTCATAATTTTAGATCGAGATGACTTTAAGTCATCATTCGTAAATACAAATGCAATGTTTCCATGAACCACAGGAAGCAATGTCTCTAAATAAGGAAGATCATATAAAAAATCATGCATTGCTCGTCGAATCATCGTGTTTTTTCCGCAAAAAATCACTCCACTTCCTCTTAATTCCTGCCGAACCTTGTGCATCCTTTTAAACCCTTAAAATACCCTCTTTTTCCATCATAAAAAACTTACTGTTGCGATCCAACATTATCAATATTCACTACAAAAATAGACTTATATTCACTAAATAAATCATACAATCGAGAAAAATACCGTTTCTAATATTCATTTATTTAGAACCTCTTATTTCTCTAAGATTTCCTTACCTTCTGATCCTTATTTTTCTTCATTTAACCCTCTAATAAATTAAAAACTTCAATATATTTTTTTTTTGACGTTAAAATCTGCTATTAGATTTAAGAGGGTGGTGTTTACGATCAATTTTGACAGTCACATAGAAGTAAAAAAAGAAGTAAAAAGGACTATAAAAGACCCAAAATCTTCCATTTTTATTTATTAAATAATAAGAAATTAAAAAAATTTATTTATTTTTTTTTAAAAAATTAATTTTTAAAAAAAAATAGTTAAAAAATGGGTATTTTAATATCACATTTATGGAATAGTATTTTAGGATCTAAAGCAAGATTATATATTCTTTTTATAAGTTAAAAACTGATTTTTAGTCAGGAAAGAAAGATAGTAATAGTTGGGTTAGATAACGCAGTAAAAAATAAAAAAATACATAAAAAAGCAAGAAAACTGAGTTATTATCTAGGGAAAATCCACAATATTGTACCAATTGTTTGTTAACCAAAAAAAAAAAGGATTTTAAATAATTTTTTTAGGCTTTTAGGTCAAGCTATTCAAATTCAGCCTACAATTGGAAGTAATGTAGAAGTATTTTTTTGAATAATAAGATAATTTATAGATATATCTAATTATTTAAAATTAGGAAATAAAGTATAAGGTTTTTTGAAATTAATTATATGAAAATTACTGATTTTTTAGAATATTAAATTTATTATATGGGTATTTTATTATTTATTAAATATTTTTATTGAAAATTTTTGAATATGGATGTTTTTTAGGATTTAGGAGGTCAAACATCCTTACGTCAGTCTTGGAGTACATATTATAAATCTACAAGTGCAGTTATATTAGTTATTGATTCAACAGATAAAGAAAGAATAGAAATTTCTAAAGACGAGTTATCAAAGATAATGAATGATGATGTTAATATTTTATTTTTTTTTTTAAAAAATTAATTATTTTTTAGAGTTTAAAAGATTCTTTATTATTAGTTTTTGCAAATAAACAAGATATTGAGAATTCTATGACGCCTAGTGAAATTTCTAATTTATTAGGCCTTATTAATTTTAAGGATAGAGCATGGCATATTCAGGTTATATTTATTTATTAATATTTTTATATCTAAAATTCTAAACTAGGGATGTTGTGGATTAACAGGTGATGGATTATATAAAGGACTCGATTGGATTGTATCATCATTGAATAAATAATTTTCAATTAAAGTATATTATTATTCAGATTATTTTCACTTAATTTTTTTAAATTCAAATGTTACAATTTAGTAATCAAAAAGATTATAAAATACTTTTATATATGTCAATTATTGTTGGGATTTTGATTCATTATAAAAGACAAAGCCATAATTGTCTGAAAAGTTTGTAAAAAATTGGCATATCATTCGATACTTTTAACATTAAATCTATATTTTTGAACTCAGGTTTTTAGTTTACTTTGATTTAACTATTTTAAAACATTATATAAATAAACTTATCATTACCAAAAAAAGAATAGAGTCCATTCAAAATCTCGTAAGCTTTTAGCCTTAATTTATATGTTTTGTAATAAATATCTATAAAATTATTTTTTTAATATTTTTTTATAAATTTAAGTTCGTATAGTATTACAAAATTCGCAAGAATATTGTTGTTTTTCGTTAAGATTTGAACATATGATACAGTTCCATTTTTTATTAAAAAATTCAAAAACATTAAAAGAACGCTCAGATAAACATGCTTCGCATTGTAAATAATTCCCATTATTTTTAAACGTGCAGAATGTGCATGACCATAAATCTTCAGGTATAATATCTTTTTGAAAAAACTTAGGCTTTGAAGTTAACACTTTTATTTTTTTCTTTAATTGAGGATTATTTAAATCAGAACCTGATTCCAATAATTCCGAAGAAAATATATCATTTTTAGGTCCATCATAAATTTCATCATCTTCAATTACAATATTTGATTCAAACATACACCACTTCAGATTTTTAATCCGTTTTTCAGTTGCCTATTAAATCATTAAACAAAAACATTTTAAATAAAATCAGCAACTTCTCGTATCAAATCTCTTAAAGGTTTATTATCAACGTTTCTAGTTCCTCCCAATCTCGATCCAGAACCATTAGTTAAAGTATTTGACAATTTTTTCTCTTCTAAAACCCTTGTCTTGTGATATAAAGAGTTACGAGAAATATTCTCGCCAACTTTATAATCTTTGGAATAAAACTGATTTTTAATATTACCAGAACAGAGTAATTGATTGAACTCCAAATTTAACTCATTTAACATGTCTATATAAATTAATTCAACTAAAAACACAGAAAAAAAGCTTTCCATAAAATTTTGCATCATGAGATGAATAAACTACTAACAATTAGACACAAAAACTCTAAAATATTATATTAACCATTATGTGTTAATCTAAAAAAAGTATTAAAAAAATCGTATAAAATAAATATAATACTCATGTAGCATTATTTCAATTAAATAATCTAAGGGATAAAACATATTCTCGTCATCTTTCATTCTTAATCTAATACAAATCTTGGATCCTCTATTTATATTAAGACCTAAATATTATTTAATTAGGGATAAATCCATTTGAAGATGTAATATTATAAACCCAACAAAGCATCATTTTTCGGAAAAAACTCTGCCAATACAGATACTTCTAATGATCTAGATTTCATAATAGGCATAACTAATGATTCTATCTTCTAAAATATCCTTATTTATTGACTTAATATATTTTTTTAAATTTACTTTTAATAAATCATATGCTTCTTGATTTCTATGGGATTTAATATTTTTTACTCACAAAAAAACGTAAAATTATACCTTTTCTTAGATTTAAGGGAGACGCATTTATCTATAGGAGATAATGAAGGGATTCCCTTTAAAAATTCCATAAATCTGAATTTTCAAATGTTGATAAATCAACCTTTATCGATCACAAGCTTAAAAATATTTAAAATCCGAGAATAAAAATCTACTAAAAGTCTATTATTATGCAAAAGAATTCATTAATTTGAAGTATATTTAGAAATAAATAATATATATATTATAACTTGAAATTTTAAAAAGTAAAGATTGATCATTAAAATGATTTTATAGAAAAAAGATAAAAAATCAGCTTTTAAATGAAGAAATAAACACAATTCAATGAAGAATAATATATATTTAAACAATAAATATGTAGACAATATACATATATATATGGAAAATATTAGTTTATAGCCCTTTACCAAATATAATATATGATATTTTTAATATTTTAAATAATGTCTTGAAACCAAATATCATGAATATAAAAATTATAAAAATATATTAAACAAGTATATTATGTGCTTTAGATTGATAACAATGATTTGCATAATGACCCATCTGCCCACATTTAAAGCATTCTACTTGAGATAAATCCCGATATGTTCTTTCGTTGCGTTCTTTTACATTTTCATTTTGATAAGGACGCTTTATATATTAGAATAAATTAATATCTACGATATTAGATACCTCTTCTACGTCTTCTTTAGCCCCAGAATCAGGCGCTCCCTTTTGTTTAGAAGGATGAGAAGGAAATACATGTTTAGGACTAAATAATTAAATAATATAGAAAAAGAATAGATAATAAAATACTGAGCATTCGGACAATCTGGCCCTTTTGGACAAAATCCAGTTAAATATAATTTACAAAGAGTTCTTCTAATATGTTTTTGTTGACAATTTGGACCTTAAGTTATGTAAGAAACAGATTTTATAATAATAAAGCAACCTAATTGACAAAATCCCATTGTATACCAGGCACAAGAACCTGCTTTTAAATCCGGATCTATATGAAGATATAAGCATTCTTCTCCATTACTACAAAATCCGTGTTTTGCAAAAAAACGACCTTTATATATTAGTTTATTTAACATTTTTCTATAAAATACATTCTGGCATCTTTTTAAGATTATATTCATGCAAAAATTCACATTGATCTCCTTTTTTACAAAGTCCACGAAGCCAATGCTACTCTTCTTTAATATATATATTATTTTTTGGTTTAAAACTCATTATAACCTTGCAGACAATACTATTTGCTCGTCCACTATTTCCATCTTTCAAAAAAAAGTGTTTGTCAGGACATGTATTTCCAAGAGGACAATGTCCTTAACCAAATTAATATATATAATCATAGAAGATATATTAATTAACCTTGTATATAAAAACGACATACTGGTCGGTCTTTATAGAACTTAGTTTTAAAGCAAAAAAAAAAAACAAAAAACAAACTTGAATCAAGATTAAATCGAAGTTCTGTCTTCAAAAAATGGTCGAATGAAAACGTTGATCCACTATAGTCAGGTTTAAGCACTTTATTAATAATAGATGTCATTTCATAATTTTTAAGTCTATCGACTACTAGATAAATTTACATAAAAATACATATCTTCATCTATATTAGCAACATATCTATAAGTATCTATTTATCTAATCTACTTGTCTAATTTATTCATCTAATTCATTCATTTATACTTGTTTATGAATATCCCTATATAACTACATATAATATAAACAAACATAGATTTAGTAACATTCATCTATCTGTAAGATATAGAAAGAATTACAAAACAATGATTACTTTTTTCGAAAATATTCCCATCTAGAAAATCAATATAAAAATTAAAACATATAAATACATACTGTCCAGCTGGAGGATGAACTTCTAAATCTTCCCAACTAAAAAAATCCAAATTTAAGCTCAAACTTAATTTTTTTTAAATACTTACGATTTCCATTCTAACATTTTCTTAGCAAGACTTAATTCATCTTTTGCCTGAAAAATCACTTCTTCAATCAATCCACACCCAATTTTATTTTCAATATCTTCTGTAATTTCATTTTCCTTGACAATCATTTGACGTTGTTTTGTTAATGTTTCTGTAGCTTGACGATATACTGAATGATCTGGAATAGACGATAATACTTTAAGTGTTTCTTGATAAATCTCCAGCAAAACTGGTCTTGGATTTAGATGTCCATCAATACCCTAAATAATTTCTTTATTTCAATCAAAAAAAAAAGACTAGATCTTTACTGTCAATCCAGTGGCAAGTTTTTTTGCTTGACTTAAAAAATGTATTATTTTCATTTCAATAAAAAACCTTTAAACATTCATTGAGAAAAATATGTGTACATATATCAAAATTCTATAAAAAATACCAAAATACTGGAAATCTCAATTCAAGACCATGTAAGCTTTTTTTGAGGTCCCGAGATACTCGAAAACTAGTCATTTCATCAAGAAATATTGTTATGGTAAATGCAATACAAATAGAAGATTATAACCTTCTAGAAGAGCTTAATAATATTATTAATGAGCCGATATTGTCTCATGAGGTTGTTGCACCTTGTTTGTCTCATTTGGAGAGATATAAAAATCAATTAAATTATGAACTTGATAAGGCTAAGAATGAACTGGAATCAAAGGAAAAAGATACGTCTTTTAATGAAAACATTAAAGAAAAGTTAAAGGATTTGACTGAAATGATAGAATCTATGCAGTTGCGAGCATTTCAAGTAGAAAAACTAGTTACGGAAATTACAGTAGATATTAAGCAATTAGATTATGCGAAGAGAAATATAACATATTCTATGATTGTTTTAAAGCGCCTTCAAATGTTGAGTAAGTTTTTTTAGAGGAGTTATTATTTTTTTAAGTGAGCTAATTATAGCTGTTGCATATGAACAATTAAAAATGTTGATTAAGACAAAACAATATGAAGAAATTACACATTTGTTGCAAGTAAAGATATTTATTTTAAGAAATGATATATTTATGAGTTTTTGTAGGCTATTTTTCAGTTGACATCATATTTTAAATCATTTAGAAGTGTAGATCAGATTGCTACACTTTGTAACAATATTTCTGAATTAAAAAGGAATTTGTTTGAGCAGGCTTGTTTAGATTTTGAAAATATATTTATAAATCCTATGGACTTGAATAAAAAGGCATCTCAATTATTAAATATATGTAATATGTTAGATATTCTTGGAGATAATGCAAGGTTACATCTAATTATTTAAAAGTATAAATAATTTATATTTCATTTAGAGAACGTATTTTATTATGGTATTGTAATAGTCAACTTAGAGAATATCGTACAGTGTTTCGAGGAAATGATGAGGTTTGTGATATAATTATATAAATTGTATATTTTTGATCTTTAGGCTGCTTCTTTGGATAATATTTCTCGAAGATATGCATGGATGAAAAGAATGTTAAGTCTTTATGACGAGAAACATGCAAAAATGTTCCCTAAATCATGGAATACGGATGAAAGGCTATGTCAAAACTTTTGTACAAATACAAGGTAAATAATGTTACATTTATATAAAGTTATTATTGAGATATAATAGTGAAGATATTCAAGAAGTGCTTTCTAAATCAGGAAGAAATATTAAAATCCCTATACTTTTCGAAGCATTGCAAAAAACACTAGAATTTGAACAATATTTAGAAAAACGATTTATTTCTGATGTAAACGAATTTAAAAAAAATATTAGTAAAATATTAATATCAAGCAGTATTATAGTTTAACAAATACATTCAATCCAAAACAAAAGTCTAAAACAATAACATTTCATAAAAGTATAAAAAACGCATTCGATTCATATTTACATATTTTTATTCAATTTCATGAAAAGTATATATTATAAACCATAAAAAAAATTCTAATAATATAGTGCATTATCTAATATGATTCAATCTTTCAAAAAATTAGACATAGAAAACGAAATAAAAAATAACCCTCAATTAATGGTAACATCATCATCAACAGAATTGTTTCTATTTTACCAGCAAACTCTAACGCAGTACGAAAAACTGTCTAATGTGCAACTTCTATTTGATTTTTCTTATCTTTTTGGAAAATGGCTTATTATATATGCTGAAACAATTTTGTTGCCAACAATGGATGGAAAACATGCATCAAATATAAATATTTGTTGCTTAATTTTAAATACATCAGATTACTGTTATAAAACAACTATGCAACTAGAAGAACTTATAAAAAGCAAAGTATCAGATAATTTTCGAGAAAAAATAAGCTTTGATAAGGAAAAAGAAATGTTCCTAAATATTGCTGGAATTTCTATTAAAAATCTTATAAAAATAATAGAAACAAATTTATCTGGTTCATTTAAGGATATGATAAAAATTGATTGGAGTCAATTAAAAAATATAGTAGATCAAAGTGCATATGTTACTAGTATGACATCAATATTAAAAAATATGTCAAAAAAAATTATAGAAAAAATATTAATTGAAAAATTTACTAGAATATTTTGTGACAAAATGGTTGAGTCATTTTTAGATAATTTTATGTTTTACATAACTCGATGTCGACCTATTTCAGAGGTTGGGGCAGAACAAGTAAGATTTATTCTATATAAAAAATACTTACAACTTGCAATAGATGATTTTGGATTTATATTCAATTAAAATGGTTCTTTTAAAACTTCCTGTTATTACAAATGAAAAAAATATTCAAGCACATATATCGTAAGTATGTATATTTCTTTTTTCTCTAAAATGATAAAAGGTATACAAAATTTGTTAATAAACAAGTATCGAAAATAGAAACAATTTTAAAGTTATTATTAACACAAATTAATTCTTCTGAAGAATTTGTAAAAAATTATTTTGTATTAATTGGAGATAAAAATACATCAAATTTTCTAAAAATTTTAGAGCTTAAGGTAGTCCAATATATTAAAATATCAATATAATTGATTATTATTAGGGACTTCGTAAACAAGAACAAAGTCAACTATTAGAAATATTTAATATTCAAGCATCTCAGTATTCAGATTTGATAGATTCGTCACCTTTTTTAGAACCTCTTGTTTTATCTCCACAAACAGGAACAAATATATCTCTTCCATATTGTTTTGATGCTTCTAATATTAATTCATCTATTTTTTCTGCAGCACGAGAGAATTCTGAACGTTTATATCGAAACTCTATACCAATAAATTCAGAATCATTCTCAAGTTCACGATTAAATGAGCATTTTAAAGGGTTATTTAAAAGGGATTCATCTCTAAATGCGAGTTATTTAAAGTAAATGTCTTTATTTTATCAGCTCTAATTATATTCTTTAATTATTATTTGCTATAAACTATATTTTATATATAAAAATTTCAGATTTTAAAAAAGGACAGAAGAATTTATTAATTTTTTTCATAAGGAAATAATAGTGTAAGTTTTCATAATATTTTTAAGTTTAAATCTTAAATTTTTAGATATATTTTAATATTGATTTTAATATTTTTAAAGACTCAAATTAATTTCATATTTTTCTATATTTATAAAGATTTTTAAACGATTGAAAACTTCTTATTTTATTATTTAAGTATCATTATCTAAGGTGCTACAGTTTTTTCAAATCTGTCATTATTTTATAATTTCTACTATTTATTATCTTCCAAATTTTCATTTTAGAACCTGTTTATAATTCACTATTTTAGATTATTTTGATTTAATATATTTATTATCTAATATTTCACTATATTTTATAACCAACTTAAATTTCTACAAATTATTAATTTTATTTTGCAATCCTATATACTTTCTCGTCTTTTTTTCTTAAATCTCTAAATTCTTCTATCTATTTTTTTAAAAATATTAAGATTTTTTATTAGTATTTAAGAAAATAGCATTTAAGCAATAACAATTGTTAAAATAATTAAATAATGAATTATTTTCAATTTGAAATATTTTTAAGAATAACTATTTTAAAAACTAGAAAAAAAGATTAATCTAAGATTTAGATTATACAATAAAACTATTAATATTTAAATACATATATACAATATATGTAAATACTATAGATTATTTTATAAGTAAAAAATATGATATTAAATTTCAAAATAGAAATTTAAGTAAAAGAATGATAACTTTTCTGAATGAAAAAATAATAAAAAAATATAAATCAATTATAATCATTAATCATTATATAAATATACCAATATTATTTTTTTTTAATAATTTTTTTCTGAAAAACTTTATCAATTATTTACCTTTACTATTGCAAATTTCAATAATTTCAAAAGTCAAGTAGGTAGAAATAGCCTTTAATAAGCCTTCTAGAGATATAATATATATTTATATAAATAAATAATAAAGAAAAAAAATCAACACCATTTAAAAGAAATAACATTTGAATAATGAATCTAAAGATTTTTCTACATTATAAATGATAAATATAAAAATTAGAACTAAAAAACATATGTAATTATCATTTAAAGAGAGCTGATATGTTCATAAAAATATAGGAATTCAATTCGTATTCCAAAACGAACATTTCACATTCTTAAAGTCTATTATATTTCTTTCCCATAAAAACAATTTAATGCTTATTTTAGTCTAAATATAATTTATAAATTATGCAAAACAAAACCCTATTATTTAATAATAATATATAGATTTTTTCATTTAATGATCCTCTTCTTTTTTTCCAGGACAATACGTTGAAAGCTCTTCCTCATTCTGGTAGGCATATCCACACCAAAAACAGTAATTATAATTTTGACGAAGAAAGTCCAAAATTTTCTCCAACCGAATTCCAGGCTATTTTAATTAAGTATAGGTTAAAAAAAATACATATTTCTCACATCCAATTGATTAAAGGCATATAATTCCATATCTTCATCTTCATTCCATTCAATATGTGTGTGACGAGGCGGTTTAATTTCATCTGATAAAAAATCCTGAGAATCTTCAGGTCTATCAAAAATCCCATGTCTTCTACGTTTTTCCATCTCCTTCTCAATTCTTTGTACAACTAACCCTCTCCATAAAACATTAATCTTACGCGGCTCATCTAGAGACTCTTTTTTATCTAAATTCTCACAAACTTTCTGCGCTTCTAAAACTTTTGCTTCAAGATACTTTTTTTCACGCTCCAAACGCATTCTTGATTCATAATCTATTTCATTCTCCCGTATCTTTTGAATTTCTTGTTCAATCTTTTGTTTTTGCATTGTTTTATGACCAATACCCAAACGATCTTAATCTTATTAACAAGAAAAAACACAGAAAACCAGCACATACCAGTTTTCATATTTATCTCAAGAGGTTCTAGTTTTCCTTCAGATTGCTTTTGACCTAAAGCTTCACCTTTTCTAATTTCATTAAAAAATTGCAAAAAAAATAAAAAAAAACCTATAACCCATTTTAAACATCATTGTCATAGCTTTACTGGGCTTTTCAAAATCCATTAACGATGAACTAAGAGCCTCTTTCCGACGTTCATGTTCTCTCACTTGATACGATTTACATATACCTCTTTCTCTTTGTGCGTAAACCTTTCTCTCTCTAGTAGAAATTAAGGAAGAAGATAAATCAGGAAGCGCCATAGTCAGGTAATCATCATCATCTTCGTTAAGTAGAGTTGATTCATCCTGACTATCCATAATTTGATTTTCAAATTCCAATATTTTTAAAATTATCAGATTAAAGATTAGATAAACCCTAATAATCAGATGAAAACAGCCAACTCAAAAATAACTAAAATAATGATTATTTTCCTAAAAAAAAAAAGAGAAAATATAAGAATCAAAAGCATAAAAGAAAAGTAGCTAATGTAGTGGATCTTTATTCTCTTTAAAGCAAGTTACTTTCATGAAGAATTGTTATAAGTGTTTGCCAACTTGGTGTATCTAATAAGCTATATATATTTGTAATATTATTTTCTCTAATACATTTAATAAAAAGTGAACCGTCATCCTTTATTTTTTTTATAATTTTTCTAAAAAAGAAAAGGTTTTACCTTATTTAAAATTCCAAGAGTCCATAAATAAGTCAAAAAATGAAAATCACAAAATGTTTTTAATATATCTCCATCAGGATGTTCAATAATAGGTTTAATTTTCTCAGCCAAAGCATATATATTCTGTACTTGTCCAATAGAAGTTCTATTTTCAATTATAAAAGTATTAAATGTAGGAGGGAAAATAGGATCAGGATTCATCGGAAAACCATGAGTTAAAGTGATTAAAAGATATTCTACAGGAAATGCTGATTTTGCATTTTCTTGAACCTGTATTCCATATTGATTAATTTTTTGAAAAAATACCTCTGGTATATAAACATCAGGTTCTTCTTTTCGAATTAACATTATATTTGGATCAATACTAGGCTCTATAATATTGGCATCCACCATTGCCATGGCAGAGTTTGATACTTGATAAGCAAAAATATCAATATCACCATCTTTATTGGCCGAAACAACACACGTTACAAACTTTGAACTAAATTCACCTGTTTTACTCCATTTGCAAATATTTTTATGCTTTAACTGCATTTTTGAAGCAAAAACAATCTCTAAAGAAGAAAGAAAAAAAGAATTCATATGCCGTTTACAAATTACTGTTCCTTTTCCAGATCCATCATCTGTTAAATCAGTAAATATCATTCCAATCTGAATATAAATTAATGAATACCATATAATATTAGATATTCCTTACCTTTTTGAGTCCAAAAAAATGAGCAATTTCATCAACAGTATTTTCATCATTCCATGGAAGATCTAAAGAAATCCCATTCGTTTCGTTTTCTTGTGGAGGTTCATATATTGCCTCTACAACTGCTTTTATTCCTAAAGGGACTGAATCATAAGGCTTATATCGTCCATAAAGAAAACCAAATCTTTGATGTCCTGACAATCTCCAATAATTTAAAAATGTATCAATTATAGAGGAATCAGAAAATTCCACATGATCAACCATTCTAAATTCCTGTGGCTGAAGTGTCACAGCAGAGGGTTGACATTTCGTACAAATTCCATGAGGCCATGGTTTATGTCCTACCTGACAATCTTTTTTAATCCCATAAAATGGCTCAACCAAAAGAGCTCCTGGTATTGAATTTTTATTATTTTTATATATTTTTTTAAGATATGAATGAAACGATTGGTGCTTAATCTTATTTTGTTTAAGATAATTCGCATCATATGGCTATCAAAATTTAATCCTTTTTTTTAAAAAAAAAACTAACAAACATCTAAAGGTACACAATTATTGCACATCCCTTTCGATCCATGTTTACATAATGCACTTCGGGTATTTACTAATTTTCCGTCTTGTGTATCAAGAAAATCATCCACAGCATCCTGAATAACTTGTTTACATGCATCATAAGACAACGAATACATTTCTTCTCCCATCTTCTCCTCTAAAGAACAAAAATTCTCCTCTTTCTCCTTTATATGAATATAAACAATATCCCCATGTCTAAAATCCCATCAATTGTTCCTTTTTAATAAAAAAAATCAGTCCTACTCAAACCCTAAACTCTTCACTGTCTTTCCATTTGATAAAGAGGAAAAGCAACGTTTTTTATACGGATCTTTAGAAATTTCGATTTTCTCCAAATCTTTTTCTCCACAGATCTCAACAATCTATAAAACGAAAAATAAGTATAATCAATCCTACTATTAAATATACATTCCTTCTCCAAGACAACCTTCATATCTGCCTGTTCATCGACTGAGATCCTTTGCATCCCATCTTTTGAACGAATTCTTAATATCATTCTTGCTTGTTAAGAAGAAATCTCAGAATATCAAAAGGTTGTCATGGTGACGGTTACCTTTGAACTATTCCTGTGACAACTTTAAAAAATATCAATTACAAGAAAAAATTTAATTAATTTTTTTGAATGATTTATCCTTTTTAAGCGCCTGAGATTCATGTCAAGCGTTCCATTTTATCTTCCAATCCTGTATTTAAGTATTCTTCTTGGATCTCTTAGTCTTTTTTCATTTTTTTATACAAAATATAAGCGCTGTAAGAAAGAATTTTTATAAAAAAAAAATAATAAAAATAGTAAAAATATCACCACTAGAAGAATGGTTTTCTTCTAACATATCAAGAGATATTTATTTTTCACTACTTCATCTTTCAGATTCAGTTCCAACAAATATTCTTAAAGCAGCATTATTAGAAGTAAATTATTTTAATATGATTCTTTTTTTAATCTAGCTAAACAATGTTTTTTATATTCTAGAGAGCAAAAGAGAACCTGAAACGTATTCATGAACTTCGTCTGAAAAAAACAGTTCTTAATCAAGCAGTTCAACGAGGTTTATTATCAAATGATTTATGGAAACAATTTCGTTTATTGGAGAAAGAGCTTGAATTAGAAGTAATGGATATATCAAGAGAAGCACAATCCTTCAGGAAGGACTGGGGCCAACTTATTTTTCAAACGGCTAACGAAATGGTTCTGAATGAACAATTACGACAAAATATTATGCAAATTAGAGACATGGCAGAAAAAGAGGGGAAAAGATATGAAAAATTAAAAAAAATCTCAGAAAAAGTTAAAGAAGAACAAAAACGAATCGCAGAAAGCGAATTACTTAAAGAAGTAAATTCTTTAAGTAGTTCTCAAAAGAAAAAAACAAAAATATAATTTATATTATTATTAAATCAAATAATTCATTTTCCCTTTCATTTATTCCTTATTTTTTAAAAATAGAAATATATTCTTTTTGATTTCGCTTTTTCTCTTTTTTTTTCATGTAAAAAAGATGTTTCAAGATGAACAATTTTCTTCTCATTGGGAAAATCCTTCCCAAGAAACACCCGTCTTATGTACTAAGGAACAAAATGATTCCGATATAATATTTCCATCTCAACTATCTAAAGAACCTAATGAATTACGTTGTTTCTGCCGAAATCCACAAAAAGAAGCAGAAGGGACAAAAGATATGCATATTTCTTACCTTGTCATTACTCAGGAACATAAAAGAAACACGTTTGAGTATTTTTTTCTAACTTTTTGCAGAGTAATATGTCTTTTACTCAAAAACCTAAATCAGCAGTACGCAGACGGTTTTCTGACTTTATTTATCTTTATGAAACCCTTACTGTAGAGTTTCCTACATGTTGTATTCCTCCTCTACCTGATAAACATCGAATAAGTTTGTTTTTTTCAGAATAAAAACAGGAATAATTAATTTTTTTGATAGAATATATCAAAGGGGACAGATTCAGCACTGAATTTACAATGAAAAGAGCCAATTCATTAGAAAGATTCCTTCAAAGATTATCAATGCATCCGGTTTTACAGAAATCATTACATTTATCTCATTTTTTTGAATCTCAAGATTGGAGTTCTTATGTTCATAATGTTATTCTTCACGATAAGACACACTATATCAATATTGGAGGAGTTTTCGAAGGATTAAGTGATGCATTTTTGAATTCTTTCACTAAGATTAATAATCCAAATATGCTTTTTATTGATATGAAAGAAAAAATAGATAAATTAGATTATGGATTAGTACATATAGAGAAATTAATATCAAAGATGATTAAACAAAAAATAGATCTCGAAATGGACTACAGTGGAATGGCATTTCTATTTAAGCAATTAGCTGTATTGGAACCTTCTTTAAGTCGAGAATTAACAATGTTTAGTGAAGTAATAGAAAATACAGAAACGAACTTAAAAATTTTAGTAAGTAAATATTTTAAAACATTAATTGTGACTAATTCTATGACTACAGAGAGAATACATAGATTCTGTTTATTTAACCTTCATACATGATTTAATATCTTATACTAATACACAGAAACAGCTTTTAAAACAACGTGATCAAAAACAAATGGATATTGAAGGACTTACAGAATATCTTATGAAAGTTGATTTAGAAAAAGAACGAGTCATACAGAGTTCAGGACTTTTATATCTGCGAGAAAAAGTAGAAAACTTAACAGGCATTGATCATGAACAAGCTAAACAAGATCGACTTAAAAAACTAGAAAAAAAGAAAGATAAACTTCAAAAAGAAATTGAAATATCTAAAATAGCTGGCGATACTTTTGATGAAGAAACAATACGTGAAAATAACATTTTCGATAAAATTAAAACAAAAGAGATACAAGAAAGCTTTAGCACATTTGCAAATGAAAATATTAATTTTTATAAGCAAGTATTTTTCACTTTTGTTCCAAAACATCATTAATTGATTTTAGGTCATAGAAAATTGGACAAAAATTATTCCAGAATTAGAACATGCTAAACAAAAAAATATCATTAACCAATCCTTTTAAAAAATACATGCATAATTCATTCCAACTTATCCTTTTCAATATTATTCTAAACTCAATCTATCAAACACCTTTTATAAACCAAATTTTTTAAAAAACTCATATATATAAACCATTCTTTATAAAAATGCTTTCAAAAAAAATATTGTTTTTCAATTTTTTGAATCTCTTGTATATAATCTTCTGCTGTAAATTTTAATATGCCTTCTGATATTTCTGTTTCTTCGATATTCTCTCGTTCTTTTAAAACATTTTCTTCATATATGCTTGATCCACAACTATGATTATTTGATTGATTATAATTCTCTCCAAAATTATTACATGTAAATGATGGAATAGAAGTATTACAAACTTTAGATAATTGAGGCGCTGATTTAGATTCTAAAGGTAAAGAAATACCACTAGGCGTAATTGTCCGGTTTTTAAATGAAGTGTGACGTTTTATATTTAAATCCCAAAAATTTAACATAAAGACTATTCAAAACAAATATATCCACAAAAAAACAAACAATAAACCTAACGTATAAGTGCTATATATTTATTATATACACTTTGTCTAAACTTAATAAGTCCTAACTTCTTATTTAAAACTTAATATCTTCTAATCCACTTAAAATAATCTTAACTTTTACCCTTTGTTTGTATTAAGTTTTTTATACATCGAATTCTCTATATTTTAAAGCTTTAAGCCTCTTATTAAAAAATTATTAAAAAAAAAGTAAAATAAAAGCAAATTCTAAGTAAAAACATAAATTATTTGCTTAAATATAGATATTTCAAGATAAATATTGTATTTATTTCAAAACCCTAATCTTAACCCATTGATATTTGAACTTATCAAGTCTAAGGTTTTTAAGAAAGTTCAAAAATATCTATAATAAAATCCTAATAAATATCTTTGGATCCTTTGTAAATGAATAGCTAAGAAATATATTAATAGGATATTAATAAGGGTTTAACACGTGCCTTTAATTTTAATCGGTATCAAACGTTAAAATTAAAAGCTTATCAGTGAATATACTTTTTTATAAATAGGTCTTGAATATAATCGCTTAGTAAAATATTTTTAGGAAATTTGATTGTAATAAAATTTAGCTTTATTAATTGGAATAGATTTAATTTTTTCTATATAAAATAGTTATATTGGTCTATCTATTTATAACATTATATCTTACGGTTGAAGACTTTTGATATGAAAAACAGAGATAGCGATGATTGAAGATTTATCTTCTATTTTTCTACAAGATTCTTTGAAGCAGCTTGGTTTAACAATGCATAAAGAAGGAAGTCATGGGATTTTACCAACGTCAGAATTACAAAAAGATTTTTTGTATAATGGACATAACAATAATTTATCCAAATGCCCTCAATCAGAACAAAAGCAGGGTATTTCACAATCTCTTGAAATTTGGGCAAAAAAAATATATTATCAATCAGATGATTTACAAAGATTAATTCAAAAAAATTCAGAAAAATATTTAGAACGTCATGAAGAATTGGAAAGATTGATAAAAGAATTTCGATCGGATTGTTATGCATGGTTAGAATCTGCAAAAGAAGAGCATAAAGCCCGAGAAAACGAAAGTAAGTGTTTTTTCCTTATTCCTCGAATTGAAATATGGTTGATTAATGATTTACAAGTAATGGAAAAACAAGAAAACTTTAGACGAATTTGCAATATAATTTCTGATACTATTAAAGCCAACGAATGTAAGATTCACAAACTTGAATCGATGGTTGAACAATTATTATCAATTATCATAGCTCAAGAAGCTAAATTTTTAGTATATCTCTTTTCTTGAAAAAATACATTTAATGTATTGTTATATAGACTTTTGAGGCTAAACAATCAGAAAATCTAAAACCTTTACATCTAACTATGGTAATTTTTCTTCTCTTTTTAAAATAAAAAAAATACATAAAAAATATATTTAATAATTATATAGAATCAAATCCTCAATGCTATCAATCAACGTCAAACAGATCAACACCAAAACGACCATTATCCGATGAATCCACCCTCAGAAAAACAAAATACTGGAAATAAAGATACTATTCCATCTTTTGTCAAAACAAATACACGGAAGAGAATACTCTTAACATCAGACGAATTAAAAGATCTTGGAAAAACCCTAAACGAATATAAAGAAGACAAGAAACAAGTAATTCCTCTTCGAAAAAATATTAACAGGACACATTCAAAGAGAATATAAATATTTTAAAAGAAAAAAATCTTTTATGTCATATTTATATTTTTTAATCTTAAGTACAAAATTTAGCAGATATTTCTTATATACTTTGAAAAATATAGAAATTTTTTTATTTTGCAAATATTGAGTAGACATTCAACAATTCAAAAGGAGAATGGCAGAAACAATGTTACAGGAAGTTTATCTCAAGCATATTTTATATTTTTATTAATATTTTATTTTAGGAACTTGGATATCTTCGTATACTTCGTGCTACACTAGAATCTTTACGTAAAATAACAGAAAGAATTTCATATGATATCCAAACAACTTGTGAAAATTATCAAGATATTATTGGTATACTCTCAATTTTCCATAATGTCTTATTTATAATATGAAAATAGAATTAAATAAACGCTGGAAACGCATAGCAGATGATACAACTGGATAATATTAAAAAAAAATTATTTTATTTCATTTTCCAACAAATGAAAATAGATAAAATATATGAAGGATTTTGCCAAGTTACCCATTTCAAACTTTTTAAAAGCACTGAATCAATAATACATAGATAATGCCATTTTACTTATCACAGCTTTCCTTTTCTTAGAAAAATATACCTTACAATATTAAATTATCACTTAAACCACTTCACTCTGAGCAAATTCTTTCATATTATAACGTGTATTATTTTTTTAATATTATATTAGCCTAATTTGTTTTTAAAAAAATATTTTATACTATAAAATAGACGAAAATTTTTCATTTCTATTACTATTATTATCTTTTAAAAGAAAAATAATTTATCATTAAAGTTTTTCACATTAGTAATAACACTAGAAAACATTATCTTGCATATTGTAGCATGTAAAATATTTCTTTTCATAAGATAAATAAATTCATTATTTTATTTAATCCCAAACCTATAAATACCCTCTTAAAATATGCCAAAACATTTGATATTTATAGAATATTTTATATTTTCAATCTTAACTAGAAAACACTAACCCTGACCCTAACTTATCTTGAAAAGGGTTAAACTTAACCAGTCAAGAATCATCGATCTAGAAAAATAAATAAAAAATAATTTAAATATTTCTAATAAAATGTCAAAAACACATAGTAAATGTAGGTATTTCTAAGACTTAATCTTCCTTATAAAATGGATAATTTGAATAAATAAAGCCTGTCTATATATTCATTTGATAGATAATTTAATAAATGATATAATGTTTTTTTTACTCAAGCTAACTTTAATTTATAGTATATGTAAGAGGACGGCATCTTTCGTAAGTTGATGGAAACAATAAGACCCTTTTTCCCTCTAATTTTTATCAGATATCAGCGTGGAAAGAGGAATTCTAATCCAAATGTTTCAATTATTAAAATCGGTAAATTTCCAAAAATTACTGTTCTATTACTAACAAATAAGTTAGAAGGTGTAAACAGCAAAGGGGAAACACAGTTTTACCTTGGTAAACGGGTTGCATATGTATATAGAGCAAAAAAAGAGGTGAAAGGAACAAGAATCCGTGTTATTTGGGGAAAAATTACCCGTCCACATGGAAATTCAGGCTGTGTTAGAGCCAGATTTCGTCACAATCTTCCTCCCTGCACATTTGGTGCTTCTCTTCGAATAGTAGGTTATATCTTCATTTTCATTATTCTTTAACTCTCAATAGATGCTTTATCCATCGAATATTTAATATTTAAGAGTGATATCAAAACTTCCTTTATTATATATTCATGTTCAATTTATTATTTTTTAAAATCCAATTGTTTATCATCTAAAAAAACGGTTTATCCATATGTTTTACGTCGCCCCATTGTTCTCCATACAGGATGATTATCCATCCATCTTTCCTATACATTATTTAATTATGGAATCATTTTCCTTTTATTCATGCTTACCAGTGATTCCCAAAGCCGACTAACGACTTCACGATCAGTGTGTCTTCGAAATCGTTCAATCCGAACTGATTCGACATTCCATTCTTTTGTCGCAGGGTGTGGAGGATCGCCCACATATTGTATTATAAAACCTTTAACATGATGAAATAATTCCCTCGGCTCAGACCATTTATATTCCTTAAATTGCCAAGCCTGTCCCGTCGTAAACACACAAACCACTCGATCCCTTGATTAAAACATTAGAAGAAATAAATATATATCAACTTTAATACCTACCAATAATCTGGTTTAAACTTATCAACTCCTTGTACAATTACAAACCGATACGACAATCCCTTTGCAATCCTCGAAGTATGGGAAATAGCAATCAATTCTGAAACACGATTACCACCATTTATTTGCAATGCTTCTTCTGGAGGCACAAAAACACCCTCATCTAAAAAACGCTTAATATTGTACATTGTTAAAAGCGATGAAGCAGAAGGCGAAAGTAAAATAATAGGATCTCGATCTAATATATTACGGTAAATATTAATACAAAATTCAAATACAACATACGTCTAACTTTCAGTTCCTTTCCAAGTGGTGGAGCTGTTGTATTTCCTGAATGTTTATTTCTCGATTTTGAAATAAAATGTTCATATGCATCTTTTCGTACAGCCGAAAAATCCTATTTTTCTATGTTACAAAAAGACTTAAAATTACAAAAAAAAATCTACAATTGGTTTTAATCCTCGTAAAACGGTATGTCTAGAACCAACTATCCTTTCCTGAGCATAAATATTCAATAATACAGGATTTCGTTCTGGATGTTCAAATCCTGTTCGTCGTTGTATTGTTAAAATTGCAGATTTTTCTTCTTCTAAACAAATTAAAAACAATTATTCCTCCTCTTTCACAAAAACAAGTACCTAACGGTTGAATATGCTCACTTTCAGCTGCTCCATCTAACCATGTCACCAAATCTGTTTTTTCAAGAAATGAAAGATTTTTAATATCTGATTCTCCACAACGTTGAATATATTCTGCAACATTAGCATCTTTAAGCTGCCATGCAAAAAAAATTGACAAAAGATTAAAAGGTTCTCCTGTTTCTTTACGAATAAATCTAGTTTTCTCCTTAAGAGAAACAATCACTCCATTTGAAAATCCAAGATATTCTGCTTCTTCCAATCGAGGAACTACTGATTCTATATTTTCTGAACTTAAAAACTTAGGAGGACATGATTCTAGAATTGATATTTTAAGTAGAATCAAAGGATCTTTAATAGAAATAGTACTGGCTGAAGCTATTTTATTTTCAATATTTTCAGACATCAACTCTGTAAAAATCACGTGAAAGTAAAAACTAGATAAAACTTAATCTTAAAATTAAGGACACATATGTGTTCGTAATTTTATTTATATATAAGGGTCCCCCAACTTTTTGCAAAAAAATAAATTATTATTTTTTATAATTAAATTGATTGTTTCCCATGAAAATTACATTATAATGTATAAAAATCTAGGGTTTTTTTTAAAGTTATAAAAATAATTAAAAAATTCAATCCAAAATTTCAATTGTTCTACACACGTGACATAGGCACACCTGTGTCCACATGGACACTTAAATTACTCTTTACGATATGTCATTTCGGCACAAATGCTCTTGAAAGAATTTTTTTTATTAATATTATTTTTGTATACATCTGCTCGAATTAAAGCGTACAATTCTATCGGAGATAGAGCTAGATTTTCTTCACATAACTTATCTGGAGAAGAGTTTTCAGTTTTTTTTTCAAAATTACCATATTTATCTAGTAAATATTCAGTTGACCTTAAGCCGGAATCATTTTACTCAAGAACTTCATCTTTATGGTTTTTTTTTGGATAATTTTTAGATTTTTAAAAGCTTATTTATTTAGGTTAATTAGATTTTATTCGTCAAAATGTAGTCATTCTAAACTTTTCGGTATTTTAAATATTGTTTTGGATCTCATTTACTAGTAGTAGAGCCTTATTGGATAGAAGCTACAAAGAAAGCTTTTGATTATGCTGAAAACAGTAATTTTTATTTCGGTAATGTCGATTGTTTTTTATATGAAAGTATAAAATATTATTAAACTTAACCTTATGAACTAATATAGGAATAGAATTATGTTCAGAATTCGGTATTAAGTGTTATCCTAAAATATTACTGTAAAAAAAACACTTTAATAAAGATGTATTGTTAAAAAATAATAGCTTTGAGGATGGTCAACTAAAAGAAGAATTTAAACTTAGCGATATTTCGGAAGAAAACATTCATGAAATCATAAGTTATATGAAAAAAAAAACAGAAAAAATATCTTTATCTCAAGTAAAACGATTTTTAAATAACAAGATCTGAACACTAAAAAAGACAGAATAGACCTCAAAAAGAATATTGGAAAGATCTGTTAATGATTTAAAGTTGAGGTCAGAGTCGAAGAGATTTTTCGTTAATCCTAACGGCAAATCTATTGATCTTACCCCAGAAATGTTCTCTCAATTAATTCATACAGGGAAAAGCGGATGGTTTATTAAATATATCCTTCCTTATTGTCCTTATTGTAAAGAAATGGAAGGAGATTGGATTAGATTTGCAAGTTATATGAAAGGTCTCCTGAATATTGGCGAAATTGATTGTTCCAAGTATCCCTCTTTTTGTAAAAAAATGGGAATTTCTGGTGTTCCCATGATGTTTTACTATAAAGGAAACTATAATATTAAATATATTGGTCCTAGGAAAACAAATAGCTTTAGAAAATTTGCACAGAAAGTATTTCTGTATGTTTTTTTATATTCTTATTATTCATTTTAATCTTTCAATAGATCAAGATCTGCCCTGGTTCAAAATTTTGATACTTATTCAAAGTATTCTTCTAGATTTTTGATTTTTTTTATCTATTTTTATCACCAATTAACTCCAGAAAATATTGTAATTATATCATTTATACTTCGCCATAAATATTGGCAAGTACTTTTTTATAAATTCTAAGACTATTTTAGGATATTCTTGATTGGATGTCAATAGTTTTGATTGGAAAGGCTCCTTTACTTAGGATCCCGAATTCTGCCTCATTTATCAAAGAATCCTCTATTAATACTCCGTCTTTACTGGTCTTTCGTGAAGGAATTACATTTTCTTATCCGTTTAGGGATTTGAAAGATTTAAGAAATAAAACTCAAATTTTTAACTGGATGAGATCGTCGTGGCTTCTTCTTTTCCCAGAATTAACAAGGCATAACTTTAATGATATTATGAGACATGATTTCGTTATTTTGGTAATTCTTTATAATACCGAAGAGTATAAAGCAAAAAAACAAGAAATTAAAGATACTATATACACATGGAAAACTAACTATTCTTCCAATTTTACAAATAAAAGATCAAAACAGCCTTATTATTCAATACAATATGCTTGGGTAAATGCTAAACTCATGAGGACATGGTTACATAAAGCATTTGGCATAAAATATGGTAAAACAAAAGTTATCATTCTAAAAAATGTAATTTTACAATTTTTTAATCAATGTCACTAATATATTAAGGATGTTTTTTGGGATAAAAATATAGATGGATTGTATATTCAATCAAACAAAAAAGATATTTTGAGAACTCTTAATGCAATAATGCAAGATACGGATAAAATTAAGCCCTCGAATCTAACTAAGCAAATTGCTCTAGAAAAGCCTCGTCCTAAAAAAAGTTATTATTATGTTTTGATTATAGTCTTTATAATAACAACGATATTATTAATGATATCTTTGGGTCTTATTTTGAAAAAAATAAGGGAAAAAAGACAAAAAGAAAATGGAAAAAATGAAGAACCATTGGAAAGTAGATTTGAATAGTTTTTTTGTATTTTTTTGAAATTCATAACATATTGACTAGTTCAATTCTTAATTATCCTTTATCTTTGCCAATGATATCGACCCATTTTTCCCCTTTTAATTCATTAAAAATTTCATCTTTTAAACGTCTAGGGAATCTAGGCCCTTCATAACTAGTCCATGTTAAATATTAAATATTATGTACAATTGCAACTTTCCCAAATGCAGTACAACATTGAGTTAAAGAAGCACCAGCACGAGCATACTCAATAGCATCTTTACCTGATGAAATCCCACCACAACCTATAATAAGACAATTTTCAGGTAGCTTTCCTCGTAAAAATCTTATAATATCTAATGCTAATAGCTTTAAAGGAGGACCTGAAAGACCTCCTTGTTCATGCAAAAATTTATCTAATATTAATTTAATAAATATTTTGCTTATAAATTCAAAATACCTTCTTTAAGATTTTTTGGTCTCTGTATTGTAGTATTTGAAACAACTACACCATCAATTGGTATCTTTAAAATAACATCAACAATATCTTGTAATTCTAAATCTTTCAAGTCAGGAGATATCTTTATACATAATGCAGGTTTTGGGTCAGGTAAAAGATCCCGTTCTTGAACAACCTTTATGTATTAGAAAGACATAAAACCTATTATAAATTTACGGCAGATAAAAGTGTTTCAAGGTATTTTTTTTGTTGCAATAATCGTAATCCAAATGTATTAGGACTTGATATATTAATAACTAAAACATCTGCATACTGGCCCAAACGACGTACACCTTTTACATAATCATCTATTCCATCAGAATTTTTGTTTCTCCCTAAATTAACAGCTAATAATTTGTTTTTTCTAAGACTTTTTGGAATATTTAAAAAATTCACCAATTCAATATTTCTTGCAGACTGTACTAAAAAATGTGGAATTTGTCCTAAATCTGGATAATTTTTAAATACATATTTAGAAATGCGGTCATGTAAACGTCGTGCAATCACATCATGTCCATCTGAATTGAATCCATATCGATTAATAACAGATGCGTCCTTTTTCAAACGAAAAAAGCGAGGAGGTGGATTCCCAGGCTCATTTTTTCAGTTTTTTTCATATAAATATTAAAGAAAATTTACTTGAGCGCATGGTGTCACTGATCCAACTTCAACGTATCCAAATCCAAGGTCAAAAAGTCCATCTATTGCTTCTGCTTGTTTATCTACACCTGCTGCAAGACCTACCGGATTACTTATTACTTTTCCCCATACCTTAAGTTATCAAAGATGTTATTATCATTTAAAAAATATCATACATTTAACATTAATGATGAATCATCTATTTTCTTATCCCATGGAGCCAAACCCCAACGAATAGCTTTAATGGCAAAATTATGAGCCAATTCAGGCGGAACAATCGTCCTCAATAATAAACATGTGCCATACGTATGAATTGCTGCACGAGAATCCGTATAATAATATAAAAAAAGTCCAGAAAAACTTGCAGCAAAAACTCCTGTTGTTACCCGTTTTAAAGCGAAAAAAAAAGGATAATACCTATAATCAATCAATACATTAAACTTAGATCCTTTTATAGACTTAAAACTTGGTGAAAATGCAAAAAAACCTGTTTTTATCATAACTCTTATATATTACGTTTCCCCAAGGCTTAAATTATATAAATATACATTTAAATTCAAATATATATAAAAATATTAAATAACACAGATCCAATACAAATATAAAAAAGAGATACATTTATCTTAGACAGTTATTTAAGAAAAGCATCTTTTTTATTCAAAATAAGACGATTTATATTGATTTAAATATATTTCTATCAAAAAAAAATAAAAAAAACAAAAAATAGATATAAGAGAATTTTAAATACTACTTTTTTGAAAATAAAGGCTTTAGAATTTCTAAAAAAAGCTTATTTTTCTTTATCAAATATAAAAAAGTATTATCAAGGGTTATACAAAATCGGAAAAAAATCGATGTTTTTTATTTAACCAGGTAAACAGAAATAATAATAAATGGATTAAAGAGTAGATTATTTCTGTTTTATAGCTAAAGAAATAAAATCTCCCATATTGAATGAATGTTGGCCCTTTTTTTTGGAGTAAATTTGGGCTATTTTAAGGAATAATATAAGAATTTAATAAACGAAGATAAATAATAAAAGAATATCTTTTGAAGAATTAATAGGGAATCAAAAGGAGCTAAAAATAATGGAAGAGTCAATAGAAGACGATAAAGAGTTTTTTTTTTGGAAAGAAAACCAAAAAATTTTGAATAAAAATGAAAAAATAATAAAAAATAAAAATGCATCATTAAATAGCTGTATTACTTGTATTAATGAAGCAAACGAGGAGGATTATAAGGAAATGAAAGAAAAAAAGATGTCTAATACATTTGGGGAAACTGAAAAAGATGCAATAATTGAAACTCAAAATGGTTTTTTAGGAAAATCAAGTAGAAAATAATTTTTTACTTGATAAAAATGACAGTTTTTAGACAATATTCATGAGATCTATAAAAAATTCGAAAATGAGTCCATAGGTGGATGGAAAACAATGGAATATGTTATCTCAAATAATGAAATTACGAAAAATAATAATTCAAATTCAAGAACTTCGGAAGATGATGAATGGCAAAAAATAAACGCAAAAGGGTATATTAAATTAAATTTAGACGAAGATAGTTTGTCAGATACGTCATTAAATGAAAAAACATCATATTTATTTTCTCAAGAAAATTTTAAAAATAATGAAACAGCAATTCTTTCACAAATGAAATTTACAAAAGATCTTCTTACAGAAGAACAGAGAATAGCGTAACCTCCCCAATTATAGTTCAGAAAAAAAACTTACTTAAAGTTATGTGAGCCTTTGTAGACTAATTTTTGTAGAAATGATTAAAAAAATATCATTATTACCTTTGCAAAAAGAAAATGACAATACGCTTATGAATGCCGTTCAAAGTATGGAGTTATGGGGCCAGAAGGTATTAACAAAATTGTATTCTCATATGGATATTTCACCAGATGGTATATGTTAATAAAAAAATATGCATTTTTTTTATTAAAACGAAAAAAGAGCAGGTAATGATCGAGCAATTATCAGAACATGGTATTGAAACGAGTGATATTACATCAGTGCTTATGGCAACAACTCAAATACATAATCCTTTTATTAATATTCCGGAAAATTGTGATAATTCAAATGATGACAAATCCCCATTTTTTATATCGAACATTAATACAGATGAGGATAAGTTAGATATTAATGATAAAAAAGTTTTAGATTTAGATATACGTTGGGCAATTTTATGTGATCTTTTTCTTATACTAGTAGCGGATTCTATATATGATTCTCGTTCAAGAGTTTTTTTAGAAAGAGTAGGAAAGGCTATCTCCATTTCAGCATTAGATATTACAATCTTTGAAAAAAAAATTACAGATGAATTAATTATTCAGGAAAATTTTGAGGCATCTAAAAGTGATCAAAGTGTTCTTGAATTGAGGGACAAATCATCAAGAAATAAACGTTATATACTTATGGGCCTAGCAACTATTAGTGGGGGTTTAGTAATTGGACTTTCGTCAGGTATGTTAGCACCTCTTATTGGTGCAGGTTTAGGAGCAGCATTTTCAACTATTGGTGTTGCCGGAACTACTGGGTTTTTGGTAGGAACTGGAGGAACAGCTTTAATAACCACAGGGGGTATGGTTTGTGTTTACTACATATTTTAATTAACTTAATATTTTAAGGTGTTGTTACCGGAAGTACTATTGCAGTTAAAAAAATGTCTAATAGAATTAAAAGTATTAAAGTTTTTGAATTTAAACCTCTCTATGATAACAAACGCCTTAATCTTTTAATAGCTGTTCCTGGGCATGATATTGTTAATATATAATTCTAATATCTAATTTATCTAGTTGGATGCTTAAAAATGATGATGTTAGACTCCCATTTTCCACTATAGATCCAATTATGGGCGATGTTTATTCGGCAAGCATAATATACAAGAATTTTCTCTGTAATAATTATTTTATATAGATATTATGGGAACCGGAAATACTTCAGTCAGTAGGAAAAACTATTAATATTATTGCAACAGAGGTTTATTATATTTTTTTAAACATTTTTTTATTTAATTATAAAAGATTTTGACACAATCTTTGCAACAAGTTCTTGGACAAACAGTTTTAGTTACTTTAATGAGTGCTTTACAGTGGCCACTTATACTAACTAAATTGGGCTATTTAATAGACAATCCATTTGTAACATCTTTACAACGCGCCAAATCTGCAGGTTTTGTAGGTTATACTCTATTATATGTAGAGCTTAATTTTTAATTTATATAAGGTATTAGCAGATATTCTTCTTCATCGAAAATTAGGAATCCGACCTATTAGTCTAGTTGGTTTTTCATTAGGCTCTCGAGTAATATATTATTGCCTTTTAGAGCTAGCTAGAAAGCAAGCGTATGGTATTATTCAAAATGTTTATTTGTTCGGTACACCTGTTGTTATTAAAGAGAACAATTGGATTTTGGCATCATCGGTTGTAGAGGGCCGATTTATTAATGGTTATATCAAAAATGATTGGATCCTAGGATATTTATTTCGAATAACATATGGCGGAATAGGACATATAGCTGGGTTGCAACCTATTCAAAAAATATCTACTATAGAAAATATTGATGTGTCTGATTTAGTTGACGGCCATATGGTTCTTATTTTTCATATAGCTTCATATATGGCTAATATTTATCATTAGAATTATCGTGAAGCAATGCCAAAACTTATGAAAAAAGTAGGATGGCTTATTGAAAGTGAAGAATTTCAAGAAATTGAGGTTCCTGATCCGGACAAACATAGGGAAAGACAAAAGGAGCTGTTAGAAAGTATAGAAATGGCAAAAAAAAATTCGAAAAACGAGAAAGTAACTAAAAATTCATATCTAAAAAAATTTAATTTGTTTCAAAAAAAAAAAAAAGTAGATATGAACTATAACTCTAACAACGACAAACCTATTCGATTTAATTCATTGAATACTCCTTCAAAAGCATATGATTTATTTTCTTCAAATGTTAAAGAAATATAGGAAAAGTCAGATTATAAAAATACTAATACTGATGTTAAAATTACTTTTCCGTCTACTAAGTCAACATTTATCAAAAGCTATTATCTGAAAGGCTATGGTAATAGACTCAAAGGGCCAAAGATTTTAATTATCAAAATCCATATCAAATATTTTCAACAATTAATGATCAGAAAAAATAATTCCAAACACAAAAATAATTCACTTAATCAGAAATACATAAAAACTGAGAACTCATCCAATGAAAGTGATGAAATATAATAATAAAATTTCAATGATAATTTTAATACCTATTTCCTACAAATTTAATTCAACAAAAAATATTTTTTTACAAATCTGAATAATTATACCATTATTCTTTGTAAGAGTTATAAATAATGAAAATCATTTCAATATTACTTTTAATTTTCAGAGATTTCTTCACCTAGTCATATTATATTTTTATTTATAGTTTCATTTATATTACATAAATCAACAATATTTCCATATATATTCTTAACAGCTTTACTTTTCAAAGTATTCCATACTCTAACAACTCCTTCACTTCCAGCTGCAGCCAATGAAAACATCGTTTCTTTATCTTGAGAAAACTTAACAGAAAAAACTTTACCAACATCTATATTTTTTGATATAATAATACTAGGCCCCCCATCTTTTCCATGTTTATTCCATAATTTAATTGATTTATCTGTTGATCCAGTTGCAAAATATCCTTTGACGAAACAATTAATATCGAATGCAGAAACTGGTCCATCATGAGCCTGTAAAGTCCATACTGGATTTAAATATTCTGAATTGCTTGGAGGATTTCTGACATCAAACAAATAAACCATACCAGAACTTGTAGATACCTAAACCTATTAATTTTTAATGAACCAAATTATTTATCCTACATAAAAATAATGAAAATCGTGTAAATCCCATCTTGTAGATTCTATGTCGCTCTTTATATTCCACTTAAATGCATCTTTTGAAGAACGCACATCATATATCATAGACGTATGATCAAAACTTCCAGACAATAATAATGTCGCCTCTGATGGATGCCATTCAATATAAGACACTTTATCAAGATAATGAACATATGAATCAGTACAAACACATGACTCCAAGTCCCATATTTTTATTGAAGTATCTGCTGATCCAGAAGCTAATATATTTTTACGAACTTTATTTTTAGATAAACTCAAAACTGAATCTACATGATATTTCGAATTGACTTTTTTGCTCTTTTTTTTTGTATTCTTCTTTACTTTAGGATTTCCAAGTATAGCAACAGGATAAAAAGGATCAATAATATCTAAATCCCAGATTTCTATATCAGGATCTAATGTACCTACAGCTGCAAAATTTCCAGAGCTGCCAGACTCAACACCAAAATTATAATCAAGCCATTCTAAAGACAAAGGAATTGATGGAAGCATTATATCATGATGTACATATAAATTATCTTCTGAAGCTTCATAGACATATATTTCAAGATAAGAAACATCATCTTCAGTTTTAGTAGCTAAAATAACATCATCACTGGATAATATTCGAAGTTCATCCCTCTCCTCATCTGATTCATCCTTTTCATATATTAATATGAAAAAAAAATATATTATTTTACATTTTTTAAAGTAATATATGGGTCATCTTCTTCATTTTCATAATATATTAAATCCTTCATATCTGTAAACATATTCATCTCTAGAAAGATTAGTATAGATAATCACGTCTTAGATTATCAAACGTTGATTATCATATGATTCTAGATCATAATTTTCTAAATTATATCTTTTAATCATTTCTTCATCTTCAGACATATTTTCACTATTTAAGATGTTAATTATGAAAACTATTATTCAATGAAGAAATATACGCTGTATATTTTTGATTTTTCTTTTTTTTGGTGTCATTTTTTGCAGTTTTAACTTGTAAATCAATTAACTTATTTATTTTTTTATATTCATCATCATTAAAAACATATTTCTTAGGAAATTCAGCCGCAACTCCTCTGGATATAAAGCAAACAGATGAAACCAATGTTACCATCTTTATATCTTCATTATTTCCCCTTTAAATAAGCAAATCATTATCATTATTATATCTAACGATTAAAAAAGATTTATAAGCTCAATATTAAATATAGCTCTATAATAATATGTATTTCAGCTTTTATATCTAAGATTTAAGTCATCCAAAAGATATTTTTAATAAACTAAAACTTATATAATTAAGCAAAATACATACAAAAAAAGAAAAACAGAGAAATCAGTACTAAAAAACATAAAAATATAAAATTTCAAAACAAAATTATCCTCTAAAGGAATTAACAAACTATTATCTATATCAAAATAGTATTCAAATATGTTCAAAAAGATTTTTATAACGTCTACGACGGATCACTTGTTCCTTTCGCATAGTGACGGGCCGTTGTGTGTTATGTATTTTCTCATAAAGACGGCATGCATTGCAAATAGGTTTCCCGAGTTCATTTTTCCTCCATAAAGATGTTTCAGTAACTTCGCAATTTACACAAACTAATTTAATAGATGATCTTTGTGAACTAGATGATTTTTTACGATGAAATCCTAAAGGCCGCATATATTTATATTGCTTCAAATAAAGCCCACATGCATTACTAGATAAATTAATATTCTCTAAAAGATAAATCCTAATCCTACCATAATAAATACTTTTTATCAGGACTTCTTCGCCATAATGGAGTTTCATTTACGCCACAATTAAAGCAAACATTTTTCCTAGTATTAGGAGGAATAGAATCATTTTTTTCAATAGTAGATGCATTGTCCAATGAAGAGATCTCTAAAACATCATTCAAATTATTGGAATCACCCACAATAATTTTATTAGGACCATAAGAATCATTATTAGAACGTTCATTGTATATATCTTCACCCAAATTAACCACACCTGGGATATCTAGTGTATCCGCTATATTGAACGTACTATTTGAAGGAAAAAAATGTTCGCCTTGTCTAAAAATTTGATTAATATCAACGAAAAAACTATTTGATTCTGAATATTTAAGAAATGGTGTTGCCAATGAATCGACTAACGAACATTCAGAAGCCGATGCCGAAGATAATACATGATCAAAATATTCTTCATTCTTCACTTCTGAGACATAATCATAATTTATATACATATTATTATCTCGTGAAGAAAGAGAAGACCTGCCCTTAATATCCATGTATGGATTATGAACATTATTTTTATTTACACTTGTATGATTTTCTCTAGAAAATTTAACGTCAACGCCTAAAGTTTTATCACTCTCTTTCATATGAATAGGATATTCTAAAAATATAAAATACGACTTTGCCATAACTTCAATACAAAAAATATCTTTATAAATACAAATCTTATAAATAGTATATTTTTTATATTAATCAACATCATTTCCTACCTAAAAGATCTGTTAACTTCATTAAAAATATATCGTTTAACTTCATACGTGATTCAATCCAGTTCCGAAGAAGAAAGTCATTATGGGAATGTATTAAGAACCTTAAATTCTTAAGTTCTAAAGTAAAAAAATAATAGAGTTCTCCATTTAAATCTACAAATATATATCTTTATAATGCTTAAAAAAAATACGAAAAAAAAAAAATCATTACTTCGAAAATATATATAGGGATAAAACCCTTTGTGTATAAAATATTAAAAATTTTAAGATTTATAGGTAATATAAATAAAATTGATATCTTATGAATTCAAGAATAATTTGAAACGATTTAAAAATGAAAGAATTTTTAGAATTAAAATATTGTTGAATAAAATATTGTAATATTTTATAAAGCTAAATATTGTTTAATGATAAATGTAAAAAAAATAAGTTAAAATTTGATTAAAAAGTCAATAAAGATTTATAACATTTGTTTAAAATATAAAAGAATATTATCTTTAAAAATTAATATGTATTTAGCCTTCAAAGATGAGTATATAAAAGAGTAATAGATCAAAAAGGTTTAATAATTATCTAATAAAATATTTTTCTTTGTTTAATATGAGTTGCTTTAGAAAAAAATAAATAAAAAGTTCTAAGCTTTGAATATGAAAATAATAGAGTTAATAGTATGCTTTAATTTTATTTTTTAAAAATGAAAAAAACATAATTTCTTAAATAGATTCAAGAATATCTAAAGAAAGTTTTAATTGAGATATAGCGGTATTTATATCTTCGAAATTAAGAGCACTAATTGCCCATCGTGCATGTTTTTGTGCTTTTTCTATTTTTTCTATTTTATCTTCAACGACTTGTATATTAGAAAGATAAGATGTATCAGGTAAAGTTGATTGATTATGTTCAGATTTAGTCATTTTATGAAAGGTATCATTGTTAATTTCGATTTCCGAACTTAAAAGATTATTTGATGTATCTTTTTTTTCAAGATCAAAATTAAATGTTAGAAAATTATCAAATGATGAATCATTAATTATTGAATCTTTTTCTTTTTCAATAAGATTAGATGGAATTTCGGGTTTTGATATAGATTTCTCTCGAAATAATATATCATTTGGATCTTGACAATTTTTACATGCTTTGATAATATCGACAGCACAAATTTTAGAATATTTTAACTTATAAAGTATCTATTTTCATTAAATTAATAACAATTATTTAAAAAATACATACATCTGGACTCAATTCTCCCCATATTTTTAAAACTTCAAAAAAATTGACTGCAGCTAAAAACTTTTTAGATGTTTGACTATATTTTACCTAAATATTTCAAATATATTTATATAAAACTTACAGCGAAACTCGTTTCATTCGAATGTCTTCATCTGCATTTCTTAAAATTTGTTCCGCAAATTTCTCCATATATATTTTTCCTGATATTTCATCTTGAATTATTGATTTATACATTGGATCTTCTTTAACCTAAAAAAGTTAGAAATATTAAATTTAAATTTTTATTTATTTTTTTATATATTTCTAAATTAAAATACTATTTTTCTCCATTATTAAAATATATAATCATAGAATATATAATTCATAAATCTTACCGATTCCAATTTTTCCATCATTTTCTCTAAATATATTTCTGATTTTTTAGTCTTCGGTTGTAATTCAAGTCCTCGTTTTACTGCCCAAAAATAACCTATTCATATTTCTTAAATCTCTTTCATTTTCATCTTTTTATCTTTTATTTATTTGCTTACAATAATAAAATACTACTTTATCTACTTTTTTCATTTCTTCACCACGCCTTACAAATGGATAAATAAATTTTAATTCCACTGGAGGCTTTTCCATTTTTTAAAATTCTAAATTTCTTTTTTTTTTTCTATAAAAAATATTAAAAAATATAATTATTATTCATTAATATTTTTTAAATATTTTTATTTTTAAATATATAAATAAGCCTTTTTTTATATTTAAAAATTTGAGAAAAGCCTTTTGGTATCAAAAACAGTCCAAAAATCTTATAAAGATATATATTTTTTTTAGGGATGAATCTTCTAATATATTTTCTTTTTTTTTTTAATCTTATAAAAAATGTAATATCACTTTATGGTTCAAAAGATCAAATTCAAGTATTAACGAGTAAAAATTTTTTTAATTTTGTTAAAGATTCAAAACATCTTTCAATTGTGGAATTTTTTGCTCCATGGTGTGGTTATTGGTAAACTATAGATTAAAAATAATAATAACTAAAATATTCACAATGATAGTCGAGAATTAGCACCTATATATAAGAAATTTGCAGAAGAAGTATCAGAACTTATAAATGTGATTGTATGAAAAAGAATATTTTAAAGAAAATTAGTAATTTTTGTAGGCAATAGATTGCAATAATCATCAAAGTATTAAAATATGTGAACGTTATGAAATTAAAGGATTTCCTACAATAAAATTTTTTATTCCTCAAAAAGGAGCAGAACCAAAAGTTGAAAGTCAAATAAAGTTAATGTTTTTGTATTTTTCTTATAAAATATAGATTATGAAGGTCCAAGAACACTAAGAGATTTGATGTTAGTTTCTACATCAAAAATACCGAATTATGTTAAAAAAATAACAGATAATATTGAACTTTTTTTAGAAAAAAATGTAACAGTCATTGTTATAAAGATTAAAAAATCTTATAATATATTAGAATATGGAAAAAAAAATTATATTATTTACTAACAGAATGGATCCAAATGGTTTCTTTAAAACTCTTGCATTGGATTTCTATAATCAAGTACAATTTATTTTGATTCATCAAAGTTATAAAAAGGCACTAGAATTGTTTGAGATAACCAAATTTCCAACAATTATTTTCCTTCATAAAAAGGATAAACCAGTAGTATATTCGGGTATAATTTAGAAATAATATTCATAGAAACGTATATATAATATTGATTAGGTAAATTAGTTTATAAAGAAATCTACGATTTTATCAAAAATTATGTGTTAGGTGAAACACAAGAAACAGTGAATAGTGAACCTGTAGAAGAACCTAAAGAGAAAAAATTTTCACGTATAATACCCTTGGTTGTTAATATATTTATCACATTAATAAAAAATAGTAACGGAATTAAATTCAGAAAATGAAATATTTGAAAAATGTATTTTTAAAAAGGGTATTAGTATAGTTGTATTATCCAATTCTGCGTCAAATTTTTATCTCCTTAGTCAAATTGCTAAAACTTATAATAAATTTTCATATTATTTCATTGATAAATCCAACGTGGTTTTTTCTTCTTTATTAGAATTAATTCAAATATCATTTGAGGAGTCCGAAATTATATTACTCAATGGACAAAAAGGATGGTATGTTACACTTCAAGGAAAAAATGCAAATGAAATTTTAAAAGTAATATCAACAGTAATGACAGGAGAAAATATAGAAAAGAAAAAGTTGGATTTAAATTTAATTAATATGATATCTAAAGTCAGAAGAGATGAGCTATGATTAAAAATTATAAATGCTTATCTAATAAAAATTCATTTAAGGTAAAAACATTAGAAAAATTTATTAAAAAGATTACTTGCTATTCTTTGAAATAAATTAAAAGAATAGTTAAAACCCGATAATCTTTTTGAAAAGTTTTCTACCCATTTATTTTTTTGATTTCTATTACATCTACAAAACTATTAATAAAAATATAAAAAATAAAATTATTTCATTCTTTGTAAATGCCAATGCATTTGTTCCACTTAAAGAAAAAGCAATAATCACTGTAACCAGCCATATAAAATTAAATCTTAAAATAGCAATAATTCCAAAAATACCCCATATAATAGGTGTTAAATAAAGGACAAGCCAGAAGATCTTAGAATCAGTAGGATTTTGTTTATTTTGAAGCTATAATAAAATTAACATAAAAAAAATACCAAATAACAAAAAGACATTCGCATTTTCAAAAACCCATATATTTTTACCCTCCTTAAAAAAATAAATTAGAAAAATAAAAGATAACAAATATAGTATCTAACATCATCTATTTCATTCCTCCATCGTAGCCCAACCAAAAGTCTTCCTGAAACATTCTTAACCGTCCAAAAATCAAAAGCAGAAAAAATGACAATTAAAATAAAGACCAAAATACTAATATTTAATTACAAAATTCATTTCTCTAAAACCTTCAAAACATCTTACAAATTTCGAAAAATAAAAAACCCAAACAAGTATAATAATATGGCTAAAAAACGAAAAAAAAAGAAGAAAAAAAGTGCGATTGGATGTGATGATAACTCAAAAATAGATGAATCTTTATTCTGACCAATAGATAAATTATTATTTAAATGTAATTCATGAACTCCTCTATCAATCTTTAGGTTTTTAAGAGAGTTAGACATATAACAAAGAAAAAAGATATGTTTATACCATGGATTGAATTTATATATAAAATATTTGTCGTTGAATTAAAACGGATAATCTCGACTACGTGGATGATTTCAAGGAAAAAAAATCTTAGAAAGAAGATTGAAAACCATGATAGATCCATCAAAAACAATCAATGAAATAGAATCAGCAGAGGAATATGAAAAGTTTATTTCTTTATATGGAGATCAAATACTTGTATTAAATTTTTATGCAGATTGGGCAAATCCATGTAAATACATGAATAATGTTTTTAAGGAGCTTTCAATTAAGTTTTCTAATATGAAATTCGCAAATGTTAGTAAGATTTCAAATATATTATAGAAAATTAATAAAATAAAGGTTAAGGCAGAAGAACTTGAAGAAATATCAGAATCATTTGGAGTAACAGTTGTGCCATTTTTTGTGGTTTTGCAAGTAAGAAAAGAAGAAAAAGAAAAATAAATTTAAAGAGAAAAGTCAGGAAAAGTATTGGCAAAGTTATCGGGAGCAAATCCATCAGAATTAACAGAAATGATTACTCGATTTTCTACTCAATTATTTTTACCATTAGAAAAGCAAGGATTAACAGTTTCAACACAGGAAGTTGAAGAACAAAATTTAAATTTATCTACAACATATGAAAAGGATCGAAATATTGATTTAACAAGTCGATTAAAGAAGTTAATTGAGGCAGAACCTATTATGCTTTTTATGAAAGGAACACCAACAAATCCTCAGTGTGGATTCAGTAGACAAATTGTTGATATTCTTAATCAACATCATATTAGATATGGTTAGTACATTTTTTATTATATCATAAAAAAATTTATTTTTAAAGGTTTTTTTAATATTCTTACGGATGAAAAGATCAGAGCTGGATTGAAAGAATTTTCAGACTGGCCCACGTATTTAAGTACTAAATAAATCTACTCAATTTAATCATTTTAGTTATCCACAATTATATATTCGAGGAAATTTTTGTGGAGGACTTGATATTGTTCGTGAAATGTTTAATACTGGAGAAATTCAACAACTACTTCAACAAACAGACATATTATCTACTTAGGCTTCATTATTTTAAAAATATATTTATTATAATTAGGACTAAAATATATAAGAAATAATATATTAAAATTAAGCTTGAAAAAAGCATTAAAAATTTATCTTATTAAATTTGAAGAAAAAATATTATTTAATAAAATAACATATAAATAGATTATATTTTAATTACTTTCCAATAATCTTAGAGTCTATCATCTCTGATCGATATTTTTTAACATGTAACGTCTTTAAAAAATGGCTAAATCTCAACTCAAACAATTAAAAACAGCTTTAAGAGATGCGGGAATTTCTACTAGTAATAGACGTAGAAAAAGGAAGAAACCTATAAAACAAGAAGATAGAGCATCCATATTAGAAAATATCCGATCTCAAGTAAACATATATATATAAATGAAAAAAAGATATTGATAATTTTAGTTTAATCATTATGAAAAAAAGGTTAACAAGGTCAAATATGAAGTTGGCGGCCGAAAACTTAAAGGAATTGAAGGGTATCCAGGGCTAAGTCGTCAAGCAGGTGAAGAAAAAGTAAAAAATTAAGAATATATATATATTTCTTTAATATAATATATGTAGAGGAAAAACACAATTCTTAAAGATATGTTAAGAAGAAATAAAGAAGGATGCTTTGTAGATAATCGTTTTGGAGAACATGATACACATCTTTCTTTAGAAGAAAAAATGTTACAGAGATACGCTGTAGAAAAACAGGTTTTATATTTCTTTTTAGGACTAAAATTAAAGATTAATCTATAAAGAAACTCTATGAAAAAAATAGTATTTATAATCTTGATGAAGATATTGAAAATTTTGGTAAATCTCATACAGAAATTGAGGATTTTGAAAATGTTACAGAAAATGATTCGGGTAACTTATGAATCATTTATTTTTTCTTATATTTATTTAAAATTTTAAAGGAAATATTGATTTTGAAACGGTTAATGATAAACATTTTGGAGGATTTGATAATTCAGAACAATTAAATAATAACATGAAAAAAAGTAAATCAGAAATTATGAAAGAAATAATAGAAAAATCAAAACTTAGAAAATATGAAAGACAAAAGGAAAAAGAGAATGATGAAATAAAAAGAGAGATGCTAGATGCAGAGTTTAATGATTTACATTCATTACTTGCTAAAAATGACGGATTTATATCTTCAAAAGCAGATGAAAAACAAACGAATAAAGACATCCAGTATGATCTTTCTGTAAAGGAGTTAGCTTTTGAGAAGCGTGCATGTCCATCGAGTAGAACAAAAACAGAAGAAGAAATTGCACAAGAAAAGGCAGAAGAATTACAAAGATTAGAAGAAGAACGATTAAAAAGAATGAAATATGAATATTTTTTAGAAAATGATATAAAAAAAACTAAATCTGTTTTTTCTAAAGGAGACGATTTGGAAGACGATTATATAACTGATAATGATAATGAATCCGGTAATAATACTGATAATGATACTGAATTTCATTCATTTAAAAAATATAAATATGAAAAAATTAATAAAGTTGTCTATTCTATGAATAATACCAAAAATGATTTAAATTTGAATAAAAACGAAGCAACAGATGATTTTACTACATCTAATAATCTAGGGTCTGAATCTAAAAATATTACTTTTGAATCATCAAATGAATCACGAGATTTAGGCCTAGGAAAAAAAAAAGAAACTGCTTATGTTTATCCATGTCCAGGTTCAATTTCAGAATTCCTTTCTATTTTAAAGCATATCGAACAAGAGGATATTCCAAAAGTTGTTGATCGAATTAAAGTATTGCATCATCCTTCACTTCACCCATTAAACAAAGAAAAACTTCAGGTGACTGGACAAATTGTTCTTTATATCTATTAAATCCTTTAAATAGACATTTATTCTAGTATTACTTGACCTTATTCTTTATTTGTCAGAGAAAAAAAGTGTTTCACTTGTTACTTTAGATATACTTTCTGAACATTTACGAGATCTTTCATATAAATTCCCAGAAGCTTCTTATGATGCTTTCCATAAAAAGTTGACGAATGCAAGGGAAAGATTTAATCAATTAATATTTTCTGAAAAAAGTAAATATTTTTTGTCTTTTTTTTTTTAATATATAACATATATAGCTAAATCTCTTCCTTTAATTCAAGATTTAGTATTTTTAAGAATAATTGGAGTAATTTTCCCAACTTCAGATCTTTCTCATGTAATAGTTACACCAACATTGCTCATAATGGGGCAACTTCTTTCTCAATTAAAAATTATATCATTAGGAGATATAGTCTTAAAACTTTATATCATAACACTATTTGCAGAGGTCTTTTTTCTCTTATAATTATTATTTTTAATGTTATTAGTATATTAATTTATCAAAAAGAATAGTTCCAGAAGTAATAAATGCATTATTTAATATATTAAAAATATTATTTGAGAAAAACAAAAGAAAATCAGACAATAAGAAAACATCTATTGATTCTGGAAATATTCTTTTTGGTTTATTTTGTAAACCAAGGGCTTTAAAAATTTTGGATATATATTCTAATAATGATAATGATAAAGAATTAGAAGTTTCTCTTTTTAAGACAACTGCTCAATTAATTGATCATTATGCGATTTTATGGAGCGAAAAATCTGCTTTTATAGAGATTTTTTCTCCTTGTTTAAATTTATTAAAAGAATTTTATAATAAAATATCTTTATCTTCTGAACTTTTGGTAAATTAAATTCTTTGCTTAGGGTTATTAATTTTTTAGGATGAAATAAATTCTATAAATCAACGTATTACAAAATTGCTTCAGTTTTCCTTTGAAACACGTAAGCCATTAATGTTACAAGCACATAAACCTATCCCAATTCCAAGTTTTATTCCAAAATTCGAAAAGGAATATTCTCTTGATAAAAAATCATATGATCCAGATCATGACAAGGCCAAATCAACAAAACTAAGATCTCAATATCGTGATGCAAAAAGAAGTGCTATTAGAATGCTTAGGCTTGATAGTCAATTTATAGCTCGAGAGACAGAAAAGATGCAAAGAGAAAAAGATGCAAAGTATGCAACAAAAATAAAGAGAATACATGGACAATTAACACAAAAAGATTAATTTTAAAACTTTATAATAAACAATTTAATTATCTTTTATATTTTTCATTTCTTCTTCTTCAGCTAATAGTCGTTCTGCTGCAAGTCCAGCCATACATCCACTTCCCGCAGATGTCACTGCTTGCCTCCATATTTTATCTTGAACATCCCCTGCTGCAAAAAAGCCTTTTACATTTGTTTCAGGACCTCCATTTTTTGTAATAATATATCCATCTTTATCGCATTCTACTTGACCTCTAACTAATGTTGTTGCTGGTTCATGGCCAATTGCATAGAAAAGACCATTCACTTGTAACTCTGAAACCTCCTGCGTTTTAAGATTCTTAATTTTTAGAGAGTTCATCAAGTTATTATCCCCCAATGACTCCAAAGCTACTGTATTCCATAAAATTTCAATCTTAGAATGATTTAATAATCGTTTAGCCATAATTGGTGATGCTCTTAATTTGTCTCTTCGAACTAATAGATAAATCTTGGCTGCATATCTCGTTAAAAATAATGATTCTTCTGCTGCCGAATCCCCCCCTCCTACAACTGCAAGAGGCTTTTCTCGAAAAATAGGAGCTGCACCTTAATACGTAATTATCTAATAAAAATCTATAATATTTCTCTATTCTTTACCATCACAAATTGCACATGCAGAAATACCACGCTGCCAATATATCTGTTCACCAGGAATATGCAATCTTCGAGCATATGCTCCTGTTGCTAATATAATCACATCTGCTGTGTGACATACATTTTCATCAGATTCACACCAATATTTGAATGGACGCTCAGACAAGTCAAGCCTCGAAACCGTATCTGTTATAATTTGCGCTCCATATTTTTCTGATTGCTTTCTAAAAGCTTCCATTAATGAAGGCCCTAAAATACCATCAGGAAATCCTGGATAGTTTTCTACATCTGTCCTATATTTAAGATATTAATATAGATCTATTAGATCCTTTTATTCTTTCATTCATACGTTGTTGTTAATTGTCCACCAGGTGCAATACCATTTGCTAACATTCCTTCATAAAGAACTGGTTTTAATTCAGCCCTTCCAAGATAAATAGCTGCTGTATGACTAATATCTTATAAATAAAACTCATATTTAATTAATATTTAATTAAAATATACCCAGAAGGCCCTGATCCAATGATTACTACCTTTTTTTTATCAGAAAAAAACGTCTATCAAATTTACTAATAAATAATACCTTAGAGTGCATTTTTCTCTGGAAATAATTCAAGAAAATATTATAAACTGACAGATTAAATCCTTTTCTAAACAATTTTGATTTCTTTATATTTTTAATATTAAGATACATCAAGAATATCTCGAAATGAGAAGTTATATAAATATAATATATATATTCCAAAAAAACAGGTATATAAATACAATTAAAATTATCTATTTAACTACGAAGAATACGTCGTTCATACATATTAGGATCCTCAGTATCACTTAGATCAGATGAAGTAACTTGTTGATTTCTTTTTAACATAGTTGCCTTCTCAGTTTCTTGAGACATATTTGGATCAGACTCATAATTAAGCGTCTCGGTTACAGGATGCCCATTTGTATAAGAATCCCGTTTTTTAAAGAATCTTATAAATAGAAAAAGAAATCCAAAGATTAAAAGAATAATAGAAGCAATCAAAATAGAAATAAGCAATAGATTTCTTTTAAAGAATGAAGTATGAGAAGCACTCTGAGTAGAGGATGACCGTCCTGAGGCGCTTGTAGGTGAAGCTTTTTGAGTGGTTGTTTTAGTTTTAGTTGATGAAGATATGAAAGATGAAGATGTAGATGTTGGTTTAGATGATGATTTAGATGGTGCTGGTTTAGGCGCTGGTTTAGGTGGTGTTGGTTTAGGTGCCGGTTTAGGTGGTGTTGGTTTAGGTGCCGGTTTAGGTGGTGCTGGTTGAGGTGCTGGTTGAGGTACTGGTTGAGGTGTTGGTTGAGGTGATGGTTCAGATGTTGGTTCAGATGTTGGTTCAGATGTTGGCTCAGATGTTGGCTGAGGTGGTGGTCGAGGTGTTGGTTCAGATGTTGACTCAGATGTTGGTTGAGGTGCTGGCTCAGATGTTGGTTGAGGTGTTGGTTTAGGTGGTGCTGGTCTAGATGGCATTGGTTGAGGTGGTACTGGTTGAGGTGGTACTGGTTGAGGTGGTGCTGGTTGAGGTGGTGCTGGTTGAGGTGCTGGTTGAGGTGCTGGTTGAGGTGCTGGTTGAGGTGGTGCTGGTTGAGGTGGTGCTGGTTGAGGTGTTGGTTCAGATGTTGGCTCAGATGTTGGCTCAGATGTTGGCTCAGATGTTGGCTGAGGTGTTGGTTGAGGTGTTGGTTTAGATGTTGGCTCAGATGTTGGCTCAGATGTTGGCTCAGATGTTGGCTGAGGTGTTGGTTGAGGTGTTGGTTGAGGTGTTGGTTCAGATGTTGACTCAGATGTTGGTTGAGGTGATACAGATGGTGATATGGTTGCTGAAGGAGTTGGTAAATATACAGTAGGCTCTCCTGGTATAGGACTTGGAGATCTAGTAATAAAAGGATATACAATAGACTGTGTTTTTGTTAGATCAGCAGACTCTCCAAAAAAATGAAGTTGCCAATTATAAAATTCGCCATCTAAATTTGGAATTTTTTGATCTTCAATATCAATAGTCCATTCACCTACAATGGGTTCTCCCCTAAAAATCATTAGTTATTATTTTGCAAAATGAAATAAAATACCAATGTTTTACAGTTGAAAAAGTCCAATGAACATAACCATAATTTTTATCATGAAGACGCCTATGTGTTAACATTGAAGTAACTCCACTAGGACTGGTAATATTAATCTCCAGACTACCCCTTTTTGCGTGTTGAAAATATAATGTAACACTAACACGTTCCAATTTTCCAAAGTTATAATAGTCAGGATACGCTTTAATAAGATTAAATTTGTCTGTGATATGTCCATTGTTTTCAGAAAATTTCTTATTAACAATTATCATTGGTACTGAAAACCTTGCCTGAGGATTTAAATGTTTAAAATTTCTTGCTGCTTCGACCATTCTATATGCATCTAGTTTCCCATAACCAAAATAATAATGATAATAACGTCCAGAAGGCAATTTTTCCCAGCCCGGATAATCCAGACTAAATGGAACAGCTGATTCAACAATCAAACCTTGAATATCATGCCATGTAAGATTAGGACTAATTTCTAAGTTAAATAACTTTAGTGGAATTCTTACCGTACTGAAAGAACAAGAGCTATAACGCCTGCTGCAATAGGTGTGGAAGCAGAAGATCCAGAATGTACAGTGCTGCATCCTTTCTCACCAACATCCGTAGTATACTAACAAGATAAATTTATTATAAAAAAAAAGGAAAAATTACAATGCGTGCATTGGTTACAATAGAACCCGAATATGTAGAAGCAAGAACGGAAGAACATTGCTCTGAAAAATAATGTCTTATTCCTCTCACATCTATAGAACCGATAGTAATAGTATATGGACTAACTACATATCCATCGTAATTGCAATTATCATAATAGCCTCCATTTCCACTTCCAAAAACATATATAGAACCAAGACCTTTCCTTCCAAGATTTATCCCATTAATAATTGAATTATATGCACTATAAGGAACTCCTTCAATTGTTTTTCCATCATCACGAGGTCCCCAGCTACAAGAATAAATATCATTAATATCGTATCTATAACTAAGAGCCTTTCCCTCAAGCCAAGATGAAAGAACAGAAGCTAAAAATCGTATTCCTTAACAATATTAGATTAGTGTCAATCAAAAAGAAAAGATACCTGAAACTTTAGCATCATATGCAACACCAACCCCGCAAAATGTATTCTTAGCAGCCACTATCTCTCCTGCACATCTAGTACCATGAGTATCATCACTGCGTTTAGGTGATGGATCACTAGTTTGAGTATTAAAATCATATGAACCTTCAGCGCACTTAAAATTAATTAAAATAAAGATTTTATAGTAATTTTTTATACATAATTTTGAATTAAATCCTCGTTTTTGTAATATAGTCCATCATCCGTAACCCCAACTGTTACACCTTTTCCTGTTATTCCTAAAACCATTATAAAGGCAAATAATAATATAAATGCCAAACCCTCTAGCCATAAACCTGTAACATTTATATCTACTCCAGGATTTTTTTTATTAAACTAATTAAAATTAAGCTTCAAAAGAAAAAAAATAAGAGAAATTACCAAATACCATTGTTTACCAAAATATTTATCACTTATATTTAACTTTTTCTTAATTTCTTCAAATTTCTCCTCTAATAATTTTATCTGCTGATCTTTTTCTCCGCTATTGACATTCCCAGTATCGCCGGAATTTTGGCTAGTATCAAGATACATCGGATCTCTTATCACATTCCTCTTTTCTCTCCTTAATAACTTTTGCTTCTCATAATAAAAAAGCTTATCACTATTAAACCCATCTATTATATTTCCTTCAAGACCAAAATAGTCTTTTATCTTCTCCTCGATTTTATCATCTGAAACACCCTTATCAATAGAAAAAAGATAGTGTCCATCCAGATGTTCTAATGCCTCTTCATACTCAAATCCTAATTCTTGTGAAAAAGCATCAAGATCTACATCTTTTGAAAAATGAAAATGATAATAATCTTTATTTTCAAAGTCTTTTGGTTTTTCTTCAGATTTCACCCTTATTAAAAAGATCCAACATAAGAAAAATGCTAGAAATATCTTATAAACCATGGTTTAAAATTAAAGAAAAAAAAGTTATTTTTTGATTTTTATGAAAATTTGATAGATTTTTAAGATGGGAATCACGATAAAATTTCAAAGTCCGGATATCGCTAAAACATTAATAAACTATATATTATAGTGAATAAAATGGAATATCCACTTATTATAGGTATTTATTGCTAAAAAGAGGATATTGTTAAGTATTTAAACATATTTATTTAGGGGGGTCGGGGTTTGTTGGGGAATCTCTTGTTTCACAACTTGTCAAAGAAAAAACGTGCAAAAAAATTACAGTTTTTGACATAAATATTAAGGATAAAGGGTTCACATCAGTTAATTACTATAAAGGAGATATATGTGATATTGAAAGATTAAGAGAAGTGATTCGTCAGAATCATTCGGATGTAATTTTTCATATGGCGAGTCCGATTCATGGACTAGGAAAAAAGATTTATGAAAAGGTGAATGTTGAGGGTACGAAGCAGGTTATCCGTGCAGCGCTATATGAGAATGTGAAAGTTATTATATACACTAGTAGTGCAGGGGTTGTTTTTAATGGAAAAGATTTGATTAATGTTGATGAAACAATGCCTATTCCTAAGGGTACTATGGATGCGTATAATGAAACGAAAGTAAGGGATTTTTTTGGGAGGGATTATTTTAAATAAAATAGGCAGAAGCAGAACGGTTGATTCTTGAAGCAAACGGAAAAAATGGATTAATGACAGTAGCAATAAGACCGTCGGGAATTTTTGGGTAAAATTTTAAAAAAGGGTTAAAAAAAGCTTATATTGTAGCCCAGGAGATGCACAACTTATACCAGGGATGATTTCTGTTTTAAAAAATCGTCAAACAAGATTTAGAATTGGAAATAATATGAATCTGTTTGATTTTACGTATGTGGATAATGTTGTTCATGCACATCTTCTTGCGTCTCAAAAGTTGTTTTCCCCGGAAGCAACAAATATTTCTGGACAAGCTTTTTTTATTACTAATGGAGAACCTATTTATTTTTGGGATTTTCCATCAACGGTATGGGCTTATTTGGGACACGTCCCATCAAATATTATTCACTTTCCAAGATATCTTGGAATTATTATAGCATTTATTTTTGAATTTTTTTCATTTATTACTCGAAAAGAACCAGACTTTACAAGATTTCGAGTAAAGCTTAGTTGTGCAAATCGCTATTATAACATAAATAAGGCAAGAAGACTTTTAGATTATTCACCAATTGTGAACTTGGATGAGGGAATAAAACGTTCATTAAAGGTAATAAAGTTTTAAGATGTTTAAAACATAATACACTAATATTTTGAAGTGGATTGAAAGTAAAAAAAATGGATTAGGTTTAGAATTATGAAATAATTATTTAATAATTTCAATTTTAGATTTGTAAGATACAACATTTCTATGTAAAAAATAGCTTTTTATATTTAAAATAATTAATTTACAATAACTTTTTAATCATGAATTTCTTCATTTGAAATCTAGTTAAATTAGATTATTTCTAGATAAATTGAAATATACGATTTTATTGATATCCGAGGTATAATAGTCTGTTCTTTTTGAAATATATGGTATTAAATATTTTAAATTAACACGACCCAATATTCCTTGATTAAGTAATGATCCTAAAATATCCGATCTAATTTAAGTTAATTGTTATTTGTAATGATTATTAAGCTAATACCTCACAATAAAAATATTGCCAAGTTCATGAAGTAATTTGAATTTCTCATTTAATTTAGGAATTCCCCAGGCTCCAATGCATTTTTCGTATTCAGTTAAATCTCTATTAAATATTGTAAAAAAAATAAAGTAAAAATATATATCAAAAATACTTTGTTAATATTAATCCTCCTGAAGGACTTACAAAAAATTTCTTAAAATGTTCTAATAAAAGCTTAAGAAATGACATTCCAAAAATAACAAGAAAATTTTCAAGATTCAATCCAATAAGATTATCGTAAGCAATGTTATAAACTTTAGAAATAAACTGTACAACTAATTTGCATGGCTAATTCTTGTATTAATTTTCACTGTAAAAATGTTCATATTAATTAAACCTCAGTACTTAAATTTTCCATTCTCTGATCATCATCTCTAGGTTTAAAATCGTTTTTCTTTTGTTTACTGAGCAAAACATTTATCCAATTTAAAATTACTAATGTCAAAATCAAATGATAAATAATATGCAGTAATTTTTAAAAAACTCACCATCAACAGATTTCTGAATTATCAAATCTATTTTATTTTCAATTTTTAAAATGTTACTATTAGTAGAAATAATTACGTCTCTTTTTAATGTAAGAGAAAAAGAAACGATAGGGAGAATAATAATATTAAAATATGTTGAAAGTAAATTGACAATTATAGTCATTTCTTTTAATTCTTCAAAATATTTTATTTCTGGCTCACTTTTTCCATCATAAGACTCAATAGTATCAAGAATTCTATAAAAGTTAACTTTTATTATTTTAACAAGTTAGATACGTTTCTAGACTTATATCTAAATAAACGGAAAAAACATATTCAAAAAGTACTCTAAGTACTGAAAACGAATCTTTTGTACTAAAAAATTGAATAAATAGATATATTTAAAATATAAACTTACAGCTCGCTTTGCGGAAATAATTCAACAACTCTACCGATAGCCTCTGCATTCCACTTCAAAAACTTATTAATGCAATTTAAAGTACATTTTCCATCATTCTCAGTGGCTTCAAATTCATCTAACTTAGAAAATTCGCCTCTTTCTTTACGATCCCTATAAATATTTGATTTCCCTAGTCCAGTTATTTTAAAGAATAGTAATTTTGATTATTTCATACTATAGTTTCCATCATTATCTCGTACAAAAGTTAATGTTGACTGAGTTGATATAGTAGCTGCTTGAAAACGACTTACAACTCTATCAAGCATTGTTGAATTTTTTAAGGACTTTCTTTGAGCCTAAATCAAATAAACATAAAACTCGATATAAAAAAAATATAACTTACATGATACAGATTAAAATTACAAAGGAATGAGCTGTATAATTCATTCAAAGATTTCCTTTCTTTTTCGATATATCGAGATCCTTCTAAATAAGGAATAAACAAGTCATTTAAACATTGTTCTAATGCATAACTAGCTAAGCCAGAAAATTCATTAGATAAATCAGATGATAAGGACGTTTGTTCAAAAGACTTTAGATCCTCAACAAGATCTGTCAAAGAACTGTGTGTAGCTTGTAATACACGAAGATAAGCCAAAGTAGAATTTAATTCGGCGTATTTAATAATTTCTTCTAGTCGTAATTGTATCTAAATTGCAAATTAAAATAGAAAGCAACATCATAATAGATAAACCGATTGCGCAAATATCCTTTGTAAAAAAACCTGAAACACAACAGAAGGATTAGGAAAAACACTTCGGATAATGTTATATTCTGTTTTAATGGTTTTTCGAACTAAATCAACAAGTGACTGAAAATTCGATTTAACTAGAAAATCACTTTCTGAAATATTTATATCAGGATCAGACAATTCCTTCCATCTAAATAGATAAATCATCTTTTTTTAAAAAGTAGATATAAGTTACATTTCATCATTTTTATTAATTCCTTGTTCTTGAAGATTTTTCGGTACAATAAAAAAATCATGTTGATTAACAAAATTTCTAATCACAGAACCACCTCCATTAAAATCAAACAAAATTTTTGCATATTCCTATTCATTTGTAAAAATAATATCATTAAAATTTAATTAGATACCGCCATATCATTCAAACTTCCTTCTTTATATGCTTTATCAAAACATTCCAAAAGATCTTTTTCAAGTATTTCTGAAAATTTCTCTAATAATTCAATTGTTTTAGAAGATCCAAAAAGATTAATATCTTTTCTTAGAAAAAGAAGATTTTTTGTCAAAGATGCACAAAGTGCCTGCGATTCCATAGAACCTTTTAAACGAAGCTTTTCCAAAGAATTAAAATCGCCTTTTTCAGTTTCAATATAAGATTGAATCAATAATTTGATTTCTTGTGCTTTAGAATTTTGTTTATTAATATTTTCAAATTGTTTTCCTTTTCAAATATAGGTATCATAAACATAATTCTAAAATATAAAAATACCTAATTTAATTGCATGTTCTCCTGATGTATTTATTTCATTTTCCAAAATATTGAATTCTTTCACTATATTCTATTATAAAATCATTAATAAATATAAATATCATATCATTTTCTTCACATCAAATTTTTCTTTCACTTTTCTGACTTTTGAACAATGATCAATATCAGCTTTCTTAGCTTCTATTTCATTTTCCTTTATATTTGACAATACTTCTGAATTCATTACAACTAAACGATCAAGAGCCGCTTCAAAAACACGAATATATGGCTTAGGATTAAAACCTAGATTCATCCCATAAAAAACGCCTTTTTAACACTTTTTTCATACTATCTGAAGATTCTTGATCTTCTAAATTACATGATTCACTTAATCTTTCAATGAATGCAGTTAACGAAAAATTATTTGCCTTAAACAATTCAGCAGTTAATAGTTTTAATATACCATGATCAATATTATAAGGATCTCTGTCATACATTTTAAAAAGCCTTAATTAATTTTCTAATAATTTTTAAGAATTTTTAAAATGGTTTTTAAACGATATTAAGATAAATTTTAATATTCTTTAATTTAGACAGAAAAAGAGATAAACCTCAGTTATTAAAAAGATATTTTTGCTTAAATTTCTTAAAACTTTTTATATTAGAAAAGTTAATATCTTTTTAATTATAAAAGACATAAAGTCTAATAAAAAATATCATCTTTTTATTATATGTGGAATCCTCCAAGGTCACCAATAGCAATTCTTCTTTATAAAGCTGTCCTTATTTTCCTTCAAACAACGTTTGCTATATGGTTTCGTTTATATAGAGTGTGTTCTACAGTGAGTGAATATATATCAGCAATTACAAAACATCATCATCGTACACCACAAATCATTAAGAGAGATGTTGGAAGATTAAAGAAGATTCCTCATCATCTAGCAATTATTTTAGAATATAAAAAAGATGGCGGACTGGAGCTGCTTATTCATCAAATTGCAGAATTATCATGTTGGTGTTTATCTTCTGGGATTAGGATTTTGACCATATATGAAAAAGAGGGTAAATTTTATTTGAAAGAGGGAGATTTAAATTTATTTTTAGGACGTATAAAAGAATATCAATCAACTACATATCGTATAATATCTCAAAAAATGCAAAGTTATTTTGGAAGATCAATGCATAATATAAAAATTCGTTCACCTTATATTTCTTTTTTTTCTAATGATAATTTTAATGATAATGAAACAAATTATCTTGTAGATCTTGAAATAAATTTTATTTCTCAAGAGGATGGGAGAGAATCTTTGGTTGATTTAACAAAAACATTATGTGAACTTTCTCAATCCGATAAATTTTCGATAAAAGATATTAGTGTTGAATTAGTAGATTCTGGAATGAATGGTATGATTCTAATTAAAAGCCAAATATATCTCTTAATTTTTTTAAGCTTTCCTTTTAACAGAACCACAGTTATTAATGGCATTTACATCAACATGTACGCTTCAAGGATTTCCACCATGGCAAATTAGATTTACCGAAATTTTGTTAATACCTTTTTAGTTTTCTATTTATTCTTTCTAATTATATATTAGTTTCGTTCAGAGCGAAGATTCTGTAGACTATCATGTATTTATAAAAGGATTACAACTTTATGCAAATGCTGAAATGCGATGGGGAAAATGATATTTTGTTTCTTAATCTAAAAGAAAAAAAGCATGTATATTTATTTAATAACAATCATAAAACACATAAATTATACAAAATTTATTTATTATCGTTAAAATTCATATTTTTTTATTTTGTAAAACTTCAAGTTTTTCACACAAGCATAATAATCTTTCCTTTACTTTTTCAATTTCTAATTCTAAATATTTTTCATCTTAATTTGTAAAATAATTTAAATATAAAAAAAAATATAAATTATTTTTTACCTTCTTTTATACATCGAATTGTTTCTTCAACTTTTTGTCTCATAAAAAGGTTATCTACATTGACCCATACTTTATCCCTTTCTTTTAATCTTTCCAGTGCCTTTAATCCCTCTTTATTATCTCTTTTTCGTTGTTCATAAATTTCAATCTTTTCAAAATCAATGAATTAATTTCTACTTTTTTATACAGAAAAAATACATACAAGCTTCTTATCTTGATAAATCTCTTCTTCCAAAGATACTTTAGTTTCAAGATCTTTAATATTAATATATCTATCTTTTATCTCCAGCTCAGCGTTTGATTAAAAAAAAAAATTTCAAAAAAAAAAGCCTATTTTATTTAATAAAACATCATAAAAATACAGAAACACGTGTGTTTTTCTATTTTATATATTTAATATATATATATTCTGTATAAGGCGTTCATTAGTTTTTAATGTCTACATAAATTTTTTGATATTGAGGGATAAGAAATGTTAAAAATTAAAGTAAAACTTGGGGGAGGGTCAGAAAAGAAGCCTATACAGCCAAAATTGAGGGCAAAATCACCTGGTCAAAGTCAGTTAAATTCAGGAACAAAGATTCGTTTAAGAGCATATCGAGAATCAGGGCTTGGATATGACTCAGAAGCATCAGATAGAGAGGATGATCCATATATTGAGCAGCAATTTATTCTAAGAATGTGTAATGGAGAAGATTTAGAATATTTAAGAAAAGCAGTTGAAGAGAAAACAATTGGTAATGGGGCAGATTTTTATATAAAATTTAAAGGTAGTTTTATATATACGAAAAATATAAAATATTGAACGATAACGAGACAATAGAAGGGCAATTGTTGTTGTAAATAATCATATGTATTCAGCAAAGATGGCAGATTTGCCATGCATTATTGAATCAAGCAAGACATTTGATAGAAAAACGATTTATAAAGTAGCAGATATTTGTCAGGTGTGTTTTAGATATTAGTAATGCTAAAAGTCTGAATTGTTAGATACTTTTGGTTGAAAATAGAATTGATGATGAAGAAACTGTAACAACAATGCCAATAAAACATTCCGAATATATTTATCCTCATGGTTTAACACCACCATTAAAATGGGTAAGGAAAAGACGATTTAGAAAACGGCTTTCGCATAAGGTATTTCTATTACTAATATTTTTTTTAAAAGAATTTTTAATGAAATATATTAATTTTATATTATAGACTATTGAAATGATCGAAGCAGAGGTAACTAGACTTCTTTCTCTGGATGCAATGGCAGAATTGTCAAGTTATGAAGTTATTCCAGCATCACTTTTAAGTAGAGAAAATTCTTTTGTTTTAGAAAATGAATCGTTGTTTGATACATCTAAAAATTTATATAAAAAAGAAGAATATTATGAAAATGTCAATACAATGGATATAGAAAGCGAACATTATGATGATGCAGATGAAGATTATCTTGCGGATCAGTTAGAGCAAGCAATGATGGAACTGGATAATAGAGAAGCAAGTCAAACACCTGCTTTTATAAAAGAAACAGAAACTCCTCAAGATGGTTCAGGAAGCGATGATAATGAAGATTCGAGTGAAGAGATAGGTAAATTATAATTATTCTGGGATATCTTTTCCTTAATAATTATTAGATGAGGAAACACGATGGGCTGAAGATCATCAAAGATTATTAGATGACGAAATAGCTGAACTTAATGCTACAATTGCTGCAAACTTGGAAAAACTAAAAACAACAACAAATCCAATACTTCAAAAACGTTTTGAGGATATTATTAGAAAACTTAAATCTGAATTAGATCTTAAACAATCTCAAAATGATAAAAAAATATAGATAGATTTTTTTTTTAGTATTGAGGAACTTGTATTTAAGAACTTAACACTAAACGACATATGTACAGGTCTATTATTATAATTAAAATACTTCTTTTATGATATATGACTATTTTCAATATTATGATATTATGATAAATTTAAACAAATTTTATATTACATCAAGTGTGTCCTTTCCAACAAAGCAGAAATATTTGTTCTCGCTTCTTTCTTTATCGGAAATTCGATTTCCTTTTCTTCTATATGGTCAAGATTCTCATTCAAATCATCTGAATTTTCCAGTTCAGACGATTCTCCTATATTATCTGACTCAGAAGGCTCTTCCATATCATCTAGGTCATCCAGCACGCCTTTTCCTCGTTTTTCAAAAATATTTCTAATTTTTTCTACTGATTCATCTTCTTCTGAAAATACATTGCCATTTAATTCTAATAACTCCAAGTTTGGTAGTGTTCTTTCTATTGCATTTGCTAATATTTCTACACCTTCTTCGTCTATTCCATTGTATTGTAATCGCAATATTTTTAATCGTATAAAATTACTATCAAATAAAGCTTGAGCTAATAATTTCCCCCCTGCTCTTGATAAAAGACAATCACTAACTCCAAGCTCCACAAGGTGTGGCCACTTCGGAAGCATTCTTGCTAAAGTTTTTGCACCTAAAACTGTAAATGTATTATCTTGCAAATCAAGAGTTTGTAATAGTGAACATGCTGATAGCCCTGTTTCAAGCAAAATACGAATCCCTTCCGGTCGGATCCCATTTTGTGACATTCTTACGTGTGTTAAATTCTTCTGCGCTCGGAAACATGCCGACCAAGCCTTCATACTCGCATTTTCTAAACGGTTTCTACCACATACTAGAGTTTCTAAATATATGGATGGTTCCACACTTTGAATTTTTGCCAGTTCCTCTAATGCTCGAGCAACGCATGCTCCTGCAGATGGTCCTAGTCCATTATTTGTCAGATAAAGATGTTTAAGTGGCCGATGCCGTGATAAAAATGCAATTAATGGTTTAGATGCCGTAGGTCCAAATGCATTGTCACTTAAATAAACAGTATTACATTTTCCAGATGAAACAAGCCCTGACAATAAATATTCTAATGCAAAAGGGATTTCTTTAGCTGATCGACCCGTAAAAATATCCGAAAAGTCCACTACCTATATAAAATTTTTTCAGCATCTATAGATAGCCCTTATAACCCTTAATCTTATACCTCCAAATCTTTCTTCGTCCGAATTACCTCTCCTAAAATTCGACATGCTTCAACGCTCATAGTATTCCCATTTAAATAAATTTCACGAATATTTTCCTCTAAAACCAATTGTTCAATAGCTGAAAGAGTCTCTTCTTTACTTTCAAGCTTTAGTCCCCGTCCTGAGAGAGAAAATATATGATTATTGGCAGCCATTCCTTATAAAAAAGGGCCTTAAATTATAAAAAAATTTAAGACTCGAAAAAATCGGTATAAGTCCAGAAATCTATAGACCTAAACTTAGAGTTGAAACCCTTAGTTAAAAACCCTATAAAAGCCCAGAAATTTAATATCTAATAATAATGGCAGAAATTAAGAAAAAGTCAGATATTTCTGAAGAAAAGCCTAAGCCATGGTAAGAAAAAACCAAAATAATATAGTATTAAAGAAGAAATACTGAATCTTTATTTTTTTTTTGGAATTTCTAGCATTACTAAAAGCAATATAGTTGTGTTTGTTTAGAAACAAGAAAAGCAAGAGATGATTGTATGGTTTCAAAAGAAGGAGATCCGTTAATAATATGCCAAGAATTAATAGAAGCACATCGCCAGTATGTTCTGATATGGATCGGCTGAATGAAAAGTTTTATTTGTTATATTTGAGCTTTTCATTTTAATGATCCATTGTTGATTATTTTTGTAAAATAGACTAATCGTATTCCTTTTTAGATGTATGGCAAAATACGGATATTATATTTAAAGATACTTGCCAATGATTCCATTGGTTTTGTTTTGCATTTTGGTGATACAATTTTTTAATTCGATTTTTTATAAGAGTTTTTTGATGTTTATATTCATTTTCTGATTTTTTCTTCAAAGTTGTCTATAAATAAAATTGAGTAATATTATTTCAGAAAACTTTTTAAAAAATAAGTAAATGTTATGTTATATAAGTTCTCTTTAATGTATTTTTTCTTTCTGCTTTCAATTAGTCTTTTGTTAAAATTGGTGCAAATTCAAAGATCAGTATACCAGCTTTTGAAAAAAGTAAATATAATAATATAAATAAAATGCTATTTTTGTTTTGTTTTTATACTCATACAAATTCCAGACTTTAACCATAACTTCCAAAAAGACCATAACCAAAATATTCCAAAACATATGAAACTCAATTTCATGTTCAACAAGATCCACAAATCTGGAAGATGCAAAGGAGGAGTTATGAATGCATCTAAAATATGTATTATAATAAGGAATGCATATGACGTCTATAAGATAATAAAAAAATGGAAATATATTTTTTTTTCAAGAAAAACCTTATGAATAAATTTTTCGAATTTATTTAATGGAAAAAACATGAATCCCCCAAGCCATAACCAATAAATTTGTAAAACAGCATACTGTAATTCTAATCCATCTTTTTTTAATAAAGGCCACATACTTAAAAATGTTAAAAAATAAAAAAAAATAGAAATCAAACCTAAATGTTGCTATAATATTAATCCAACCTATCCAAGCTTTCATGTTTTTATTTGGAATAAGAAGCAGAATTGTTGCTGGCATTAATGGAAGTAATATTGACTTTTCATGTACTTGATATGAAAATAGAAAAAAACCAAATGCAGAACATGTAAGACCCCAAGGTAAAAGACATACTCTTGGCTTCAAAAAAATGATTAAACAAGGAGGTAATATAGAAATTAAAGTTGCGATCGAACTACATTAATTAATCATGAATATTTAAAAAAGTAAGCTTTCCTTAGTTTTATTAGATAATCAATAAGATATCTCTGCTTAAACTTTATAAAGATGTTCAAGACACACCATACATTTGCAACTTTATCTTCCCACAATCCTCTTTCAAAAGGGAATATTCTATATATACATTGAAGAACACCATTATAACCACTATAAATATAAAAAGGAAAAAAAATAATAGCAAATGTAGAAACCGTTGTAATACTTATATAAATGAATCGACGAATATTAAATTGTGGTTTAGTGCAAAGACCAAGAAGGTAGAAAAATATCAAAGGTGAATAATATAAAGACATCTGTTTAAAACAAATTGAACAAACAAAAAAAATAGAACCAAGAATATATCTATCATTGATAAAGTAACATAGTGACAAGAGTACTAGCCCAAGCATAACATTATTATATTGAAAATGACCATGATCAATAAGAATAAGTGCTGGTTGCAAAAGTATTAGTGCAATTGAGGAATACTATTTAATTATTAGCAAGAATAGAAAAACTGTTAAGTAACTATACAGTATTTAAAGCATTTCCTTTTTCTAATCGCTTCCAATATCGAGAAAAACGTATTACAGCTGGGAAATATATAATAAAATCCGAAACAATTACCGTCATTCTCATATAAAATTTTAGATCTTGTATTTGTAAACCACGTGATGTATCTAAAGCAAACCATGAAGGTTCTATAAGATTCCCACTATTTTTGTAAATTTAACGTTATATATTTAAACAATCAAACATTTTTCCATATATGTATGATAAATAAGCACTTAAAGGTGGATAATCCAGTCCCCACCATTGTAAATCATAAAAATACCATTCTTTTATTGGTAAATGTAACGTTATCTCCATCCAATGTCTCTGTGCTTCAAAATCTCCATATTTCCCCCCCGAATTTCCCCCTAAAATACTGTTCAATTGAAGTTCTATAGATTAAAAATCTATTATTTGCCTGAAAATGTTCCGAGTGCTACAAGTGCTCGTACAATAATTGCAAAAAGTAAAATAACTGGAAGAATTAAAAAGCGAAAAGAACTCCATTTAACCACATAAATCATCCAACAAATTGGTTCCCATACATCATTTGATTCTTTCTTAATGTTAGTTTGTGTGTCATATTTTTTCAAAGTTTTTTTATGATCCATATATTTCGGCTTTACATCAATTTTATAAAAATACTAAAAATATCTTATAAAATTTATTAAGATTTCCGAGAACCCTATTAATAAAAAGAATGAATTGATTCTATTTCTTCAAAAAAAACCAATATATTTTTTTAATATTTCTAAAATATAATGTTAATATTTACGCCCTAATTTTCTTTAATCATTAATTTAAAAAATAATCATATATTTAATAACTTAATAACTCTTAAGATGTCTATAAAGATAATATATTTATTTATCTGTAAAATACTTTATTATTTTCAGTCGATTAAAATATTTAAATAAGAAAAAATTAGCAATAAAAACATGTAGTATATTCAACCCTAATACAAAAGATATAAAAAATAATCTTAATTATCTTTTTTTTTTGTAAATCTTATCATACTTGTTTTTCTTAATATTTTTCCAAGAAAAAAGTAATAAAAAAAATTAAATATTTTTAACATTTTCTAAAAAAATATTGAAAATATAATGTATTCTTATGCTATAAAGTTATTTTATCCCTATCTTTTCCAGCTTAAATATTTATGAAAGTAAATCAAATCTTATCATCTCTAAATAGAATTAAGTATAAAATCAAAAAAAATCTTAAATAAAAAATTAACCATTACTATTTTTACTCCTTTATTTTATAAAGCTCTCTCTTTTAATCTTTAGATGGCAATACATCACTTAAATCATCCTGCTTAACGGCATAAATAGAATAAAAATCTAAACTCATAAATAAAAATATACATAAAAATAATACCAAAACTTACATACGGATCCAATAAAGACAAATAATAAGGCACCTGTTATTCCATTTCGAAAAGTATATTGTTTACGAATATGTCGTAAAACCTCAGAATTTTGATAAGAAGTAGAATAAAAATATTTCATATTCTTGGGAAAGGAATATATAAATCTGTTTCTCATATTTCTTCAAAAAAAAAAGGACCTTTAATTATAAAAGATTCATTTATAATTCTTAATCTTGGTTCGTTAAAAGCTTTATGGAGCGATCGAATTATTGGAAAAAAATTTTATAGAGAAAATAAGGTGTTTTTATAGTATTTTTTACATAAAAAGTATTTAAATCCGTTGTTTATTAAGGATTTGAAGAAATCTTTAAGATCAGAAAGGATCTTGATGAACGAAGAGACGACTATTCAACTTTCTCAGTTAAATACGATATGGGAATTGGTAGAACAGGATGCATCATTTTTTATGCAAATAGTTCCAGGGATTTTGCCTATTGCTGCAAGATCAGAGCTTGTAATACGTCAATGGATTGCTAAATTTTTTGCTTTACTTTTTACAACACCAAATTTATCTATTGATAATAAAGAAAAACTTGGATTACAATGTCTTGATACGTTAGTTAATTATGTACAATTTGATGATGTTGTATTGTTAAAGAATATTATTCAAAGTTGTTCAGCATTTTATCCTATTATATTTCGGTATATGTAAGTTTTTATTATGGAGATAACTTTTTCTGGAAAACTTATAAATATATATAGATGCATGCAACATAATATTTCTATTTGGAATCAAATGATACTTATTAAGAACAGAATATTACAGTTATGGGATTCAAAACATAAAGGAATTCGTATTTCATGTATTAAATTTGTTCAAAAAATAATACAAACCCAAACATTTGGTACAAAAGATCCAAGGGTAAGTTGTATAGAATAATCTTTTTAATTTAATTATGATAGCTTATTGATAAATCGGATATTTCTTTGAATTTGATTCCTCCTAAACATCCTTTTTTACATAGTATTGACCTTGAAGCTGAGGCCAAAGGTTTTTTAGATAGACTTATTGAAAATATATATGAAAAACCATTGTAGTGAACAGTAAAAATTTTATCTGAAATATTGATTAGTTTAGGGATCCCTTTATAATTAGCGCTACTTTAAATTGTTTGACCGTCTTGGCTAAGCATAGATTAGATACTAATACAAAAATCATAAATGGAATTTTAGGTTTTAATCCCATAGATGATACCATTAAAGCATCTGATGATATTAAAATGCAAATTCAAATACGATCTTTAATTAAAAATATTACGATTGTTTTAACTAATCTTCTAAGGTTTTCTTTTTTAAAAAAAGCTTTTTATAATTATATATTAATCAAGTCTTAGAAATAATTCTACAGGATCTTTGGCTTCAAAAGTTAGCCAGTACCTTTCTACACAAGAGAAATTTGATATGCAAGATGATGTTTCTCGTAAAAGATTTTTTTCTGATATCACTCATTTTTCTGCGAAAAGAATAAAAACAGAGAATTTAAATACACAAAAAAACATAGAAGTCCATCATGATTTATCTATTATTTCATTATTTACACTTAATCAAATGAAAAAAGACAATCCTTTACTTTCTATTGATGTTACTCAACTTCCTCACGAACTTGTTGCAAGAATTACAATTGAAAATCTTCTTTATATTAAACATGATCATTTTGAACGCTGCATTAATGTAGGATATAAATATTTAATTTCGAATGCTAATTGATTACTAGATATTGCGATCAAAACTATTAGAACATTCTCATCAGATTACATCTAAAATTGAAGATAATAAATCAGTTAAAGAAGCTTTAGCAAATATTACTGATGTCGAAGATGATGATTTTGAATCATCTGAGGCATCTATATATCAATCGAATAAGAATATCGCAAAAATACGTGATCTACAAGTTAAACAAGAAAAAAATTATCAGGAAAAAGGCATGAAAACAATTTCCTTTGAACTTCCCGATCCACAACCGCTTACACCATCTCTGATAACAAAGCATTTTCATAATGTTATGGATAGATTATTTTTAAACGCCTTTAAAAATACAACTTCCGATGATCAGAAACCTACTCGAATTCTTGACCTTGAAAATTTAAAAACCAATAAATGGAATAAACAAAGCTGGATTAGGCTCATTTCCCGTCTTTGTACAAGAGGTCTTGTCACTTCAAATGATATTCACAAAAATAATTATAAAGATCAAATTTCTTTTTCTCATTTTGTAAGAAATAAACTTTTAGAATATGTCCTATCGTATTTTAAAGAACGTATCCAATTTGCTGTAACATGGTTAAGCGAAGAATGGTATAATGATCATTTAATGCTGCGTAAAAGCAAAGAAGAACGCTTAACTTGGGAAGGCCCTCAATATGAAAAATGGACACTTATGGTTCTTGATGGAGTTTTGCCCTTTGTTGATGGCTCTAATAAAGCTTTTTTACGGTTTCTTTCTGATCTTCCTGAATTATCTGAGACATGTATTCATCGATTACGAATCCTCTGTTTAGATCCTGATCGAAGTAAACTTGGTTTTGCTGCATTACAGTATAACCAGTTTTTTTATATTTTAATTTATTAATCTTTTACTAGATATCTTATCATGCTTAGGCCTCCTGTTAGATCCATTTGTCTTGATTTTATTCAAAAATTAAGTTCCGAAAATCGTAAGTTTACTTTTTATTCATTTTTTCTCTAATATTTTTAGCAGATTCTGATTTCGTAATCCCAATAGAACGAATTTTAAGCAAATATCGTACATATCTTATTCCTTCACAAACACTTCAGATACCTATTAATTCTAACTCTTCGATCAATCATTCTTCAGACTCTTTTAATATTTCTCCCTCGGAAATAACTTTTCCTCAACAATCTCAATAAAATATAATAAAACCTTTTATAATTCATGTTTTTTTACACTTTTTTCCTTAAAAATATACATATTTTTTTAATATTTTTTAAGTATATGTTAACCGGGAGTTCTATTCGAGACATCAACGCAATAGAACTTAAGATGAGATTATTTTGAATAGAAATAAGGGATAAAAAGCACAGATATATACTAATAAAATGTCAGGAGACGATGGTGTTTTAAGAAGCCAGTTGCATTCTTTGCGACATGAAATTGGTAGGAAAAGATAAGAAAAAAAAGAACGAAAATTGATAAAATATGAAAAGCAGGAACTAGTGCAGAATTGCAGCGGTTAGAGAATTTAACAAAGAGTGTTCGTGAAGAACCAATATTAGAGGAAGAATCGGTGTATGAAAAGTCAACTCCAAAGCAACAGATTTGGATGGGCACATCGCGTGTAATTGAAAGTTTGCAGAAAGAAATTGATACGTTAAAAATGTCGCGAAATGCAGCAATTACATCATGTGAATCAGAGAGAAAGGCACGTGAGGCGTTATTGAAACAATATGTTGGAATCAAGGAAATTGTTGAACGATTACAAGTAGAAAATGAGAATTTTAGTAGCATTTTGGCTCGAAAAGAACGTACGTTTAAAGAAGGAATAGAAAGACGTAGAGAATTGGAAATGAAGCTAGAGAAGTTGGAGAAACGTAATTTGGAATTGGAAGATGAATGCAATGGGGATCGTAAACGGATTAGGGAAATGAATGATGAAATTATTCGAAAAGTATCACAGTTATATAAAGCAGAGAAAGAATATGATGCACTTGGAAAGGAAATAACAGTATTAGAAAAGAAATATAGAGTAGAATTGGAATATCTGTCCAATCGAGTGAATATTTTACAAAAACAACGTGAAGAAGATGGAAAACATATTCGACGATTTGAAGAAGAGATTAAGCAATTATCATCAGAAAATATAGCAGAACGAGAAATGATTCAAAAAATACAAAAACAATTAGAAGCATCACAAGAACAATATGTAAGTCATTTTCAAGAAATATTAGATGCACTTCGAAAACGTGTTGAATCTTCAGAGAAAGAAAATGAGAAAAACATTGATCAAGCCAATGAGGTTCTTAAAGAATTGAATACATTAAATAATCGGATACGTCTTGTAAACATTCAAGGGTTAAATAGATAAACAAAAGCATAGAAAAAACTATCTGCATTTTTTTATAAATAATTTATACTTTTACTATGTTAGATTATTGGAAAATAATGGTTTATTTACGCATTGGATTTTTAGCATAACAAATTATGAAACTTGGTTTTTCATAGATATTTTTTATGTAATTTTAAAGAATAAATGAGATCATTCTTCTGTTAAGCTTTTTATTTTTAAAAAAGGTACTTATATTAAAGATGAATTCATCAATTTTCATCTTTTTTTTTTGAAAATATATATATATAAATAAAAAATTAAATCTAGTCAACTGTTTTTCAAATATATTTATTTATAAATTATGTATAATGTAATTTTTCTATTATTTTATGAGATATAAAGCTATTCTACCATGCGAGATTCAACATAACCTTTATTTTATATTATTAGACTATATAAGAGATTTTTAGAAAAAGAATCATAAAATTTCTAATTATTAATATTAAATAGGCGTCTTTTTTTTCTAATAAAAAGTCATTTAATATTCTTAAACAAAGTAAAATTATAAAAATGGGATCTTTAGAAGATATGATTCCACTTTTAAACAAGCTTCAAGATCTTGTGTTTAATACTGTTGGAACAGATAGTATTGATTTGCCTCAAGTATTGCTTATTTTACTCTAAAAGACTTTATTTAAAATAATTAAGGTTGTTGTTGTTGGAAGTCAATCAAGCGGTAAAAGCTCTGTCTTGGAAAATATTGTCGGTAAAGATTTTTTGCCTCGTGGATCAGGAATTGTGACTAGACGTCCTTTAATATTACAGCTTATTAATATATCTCCTGCGGCAAATACTAAAACAAAAGGATTTATAGATAAAGAACAAGAATGGGCAGAGTTTTCTCATAATCCAGGGAAGCGATATACACAATTTACAGAAGTTCGCAGTGAAATTGAAAATGAAACGTTTAGAGTTGCAGGAAATAATAAAGGAATTAATAGATTGCCTATTCAACTTAAAATATTTTCTCCTTATGTTTTAAATCTTACATTAGTGGATCTTCCAGGATTAACAAAAATTCCTGTTGGTGACCAACCATTAGATATTGAACGTCAAGTACGTTCTCTTATTCAAGATTATATTGCAAAACCAAATTGGTAACTTTTTTCATAGGAATATATTAATATTGGTTAAGTAAATAAAATAGTATTATTTTGGCAGTAACTCCTGCAAATGTAGATTTGGTTAATTCAGAATCCTTAAAACTTGCACGCCAGGTTGATCCTCAAAGAAAAAGAACAATTGGGGTTCTTACAAAACTTGATTTAATGGATCATGGTACCAATGCACTTGATATTTTATTAGGGCGTGTATATCCTTTGAAACTTGGATTCATTGCAGTTGTTAATCGTAGTCAGCAAGATATCATAACAAATAAAAGCTTAAAAGATTCATTGCGTTTTGAACGTGATTTTTTTTGTAATCATCCTATATATAAAAACATATCACATTTATGCGGTACCCCATATCTTGTTAAATCTTTGAATATTGTTTGATTTTTATATTTGTTTTAACATAATTAATGAAAGATAGATTCTTATGCAGCATATACGAGAAAAACTTCCTGATATAAAAGCAAAGCTTATAACACTTATGGAACAGACACGACAAGGGATTTCTTCTTCTGATAGTCAATGTCTTATAGCAAAAAATAAAGTATCTGTATATTTAAATTTACTGGTTTTAATTAATCTTATAGGGTTCTGCTTTACTTTACCTTATAAATGGATTTTCGAATGCCTTTATTTCTTCTATTGATGGATCATCTTCTGAAATTTCAACAAAAGAGCTTTGTGGTGGAGCTAGAATTTATTACATATTTAATAATATTTTTAAACATGCTTTAAATATGATTGATCCAACAGAAAATTTAACTGTTCAAAATATTAGAACTGCTATTAGAAATTCATCTGGTCCTCGATCGTCTTTGTTTGTTCCTGGTCTTGCTTTTGATATTCTTGTAAAACCTCAAATTAAATTGCTTGAAATACCAAGTCGGAGATGCGTTGAACTTGTTTATGAAGAATGTGTAAAAGTATGTTATGCATGTTGTAATAATGTAGAATAAATGTATTTAATTCAAACGTTTTAATCGCTTTTAGGAACTTGAGAGATATCCACGACTTCAAGCTAAGCTTGTTGAAATCATGTCAGATTTATTAAGAGAACGACTAGAACCTACATCTAATTATGTTGAAAGTTTAATACTAATTCAAATGGCATATATAAATATTGATAATCCAAATTTTGTTGATAGAATGGGTTTGATTTCTTCTATTTTTCAAGATTCTAATAAAGACAAAAAAAATATAAAAGCAGATAAAAAAGAAACAGATAATAAAAGAAGGGTAAATATAAATAAAAATTATGTTTAATAACGTAATTTAAGGTATCTGGAAATATAATTGCGACTAATGGGATATTGGAATCTTCACGATCAGTTCCTAATGATTTAACTAATAACATAGTACAAAATAATACGTGTTCTCGTGAAACAGGAGTTCCTGGTTTTGAATTAAATAGTGATTTCGCTTTACAAAGTGGGATATTTTCAAATTCAATAGGACATATTAATTCATCTGATATTAAGGAACTTTTTTTTAATTTTTTTAGCAATGATAAAAAAGAATATACAAAAACCCCACGGTCATCAATTCCATTTTCAGAAAAAGACCTGAATACACTTAAATATCCAGATAATTCTATTTCTCATGATATAGTATCTCTAAATAAAGATTCTTTAGATATTGTTGATGTAAGTTCTTAAATACACATTCATTTGCTAATTTACCTAAAAGAGTGATTATGATGAAAATATGACTGAAAGACAACAATTGGAGGTTAATTTAATTCGTAGTTTAATAATATCCTATTTTAATAGTGTACGAGAAACTATTCAAGATCAAGTCCCAAAAGCTATTATGCATTTTCTTGTGAATTATTGCAAGAAATGCCTCCAAAACAAGCTTGTTACTGAATTGTATAGAGAAGAATTCTTTGATGATCTACTTTATGAAGATGAAACATTGACGATGGAACGAGAAAAAATTCAGAAGGTAATATTTGTTATTATTGAAAAAAATAACACCTTTTAGCTGTTAAATGTATATAAACAAGCTTTGAAATATATTAATGAAATATTATGAATTATTGTAAATTAGGATCGAGTTAATATTGCTTATGATTTTTAAAAATTTTTACAAACTAATGCTATTCTTTCAGTTATACATATTTTTATCTCTAGACTTGATTTTGCTGAAATGACTTTAAATCACATGTTTTAAAAACATGGCTAATTTCCTTTATATTATACTTTTTCGAATCTGTTTTTTAGGCATAAGATATTTCTTCTAATTTGTTTATATTTCAAAGTCTTTTCACATCAAATATTGGAAAACTAATATATTACTAATAAAATATATTTATAATTTTATTTTTTAGACTTAAAAATTAGGATAACGTAATTTTTTTTAATGTTATGAATATTATAATTTAAAATAATTTTATTAGAAGAAAATGAGAACTATACACAATAGTATTATTTAATTATGAATATTGAAAAACCTAAGAAAGATTTGTTTTTTATTGCAGAAGCTCTTTCACATATTCGAGTTATCAATCTTGTTTTAGAGTTTTCAGAAAATATATATCAACCAAGCTCTTTAAAGCTTTTTAATACACATTCTATTTATATAAAATCCAATGAAATATCAGAAATTATTTTTCTTCCTGATGAAACTGAAAAAGATGTATCTATACAAGTAAATCAACAACTTAATACTTTATCAATCCGTCTTCCATTAAGTAATTTTTCTATTAAGAGTTTGAAAGAGATATCTCCATGGTCAGCAGTATATATTGATCCTAATTCTGATTTTTGTTGTGGGTTTTGTTTGTGTTTTTTATTGAATAAAGATCAAATAAAACATTGGAGAAATCTTCCATCAGATAACTGGGTTGATATGATGGATTATTGGGTATGTTGCAAAGAAAAATATAATGCATTTGGGAATTATGGGATGTTACAAAAAATTAAGTCTCTTTCTGATTCTGGTATTATTTTTGTAGGGTTATCATATTTTCTGATTTCTGAAAAAAATCTACAAAATATAAAGGTAAAGATAATTTTTAGGATAATTGAGTGATTATTTTATATTTGGCTTAAAGAAAGTATTATATGACTCTATGTCTTTGTACTGATACAAAAGCCGTACATTAAAATATGATAAGATATCCTCAATTAAAGATGGATTTTTATCATCTCTAGACTCGTTATTTCATTATGCAATTTAAAGATACTATTGGATAAGATTTATGAAAGTCAACATTACTAATTATTTATTAGGTTGAAAAAAATAAAGCGTTATGTAATTTTTGCCATATGAATATAGGTATATTAATTGAAGATGGAATAAAACTTTATAAATGGAAACTGGCTGAAAAAAATATGGAAAAGTTGTTTATTAATCTTAAAATAATTTATTCTGATTTTTTTTCAGAATAATCTCTTTTGATATTGATATTTTTATTTCTGCTGAATTATTAGCTTTGATTGAAATATACCCAGATCATAAATTTGATATTTGTAATGAAGAATCAGGAAAATGCATATTAAAGGTATGATATATATATATATATATAATTTTTATTTATAAATAGATATGGGTATTTAATTCCGATTTAAGAATAACAAATGGTTCGTTTTATACATCTGATGTAAATATTAGTAACAAAACATACAATAAATTTCCTGGAGTTCGTGTAATGAAAGTATTTTATATGTTAATTCAAGATACTAATATAAAATTGAATTTTAATAATATTTCATTTCATTCAGAAATGGTTGAAAGTTTATTATATTCACTTAAAAAAAGCAATTCTTTAATTCCTGAAAGTATGAGACAGTTTGATATCTGGAATATTGGGTATTTAAAAAGATATTAATTATATTTATTAATAAATTTTTTAATTTTATTTTTTTAAATAAATTATTTAAATTGTTTCTTTTTAAAAAATAAAGTTAACTTTTTTTGGATTTATTGTTTATAGCTTTCTTTTTATGTACTTCAATACTGTACCATATACTGCCACTAAATACTAAAATTATTCCAGATATAGTCCCAAAATTTCTTTTGTTTTCAAACATATAAATACTCAAAATTAAACTAATAAACTTTCGTAAATTAAGTATTATATTTGCTGTTAAAGCTGTAGAAATAACATCTAAAATATGTTTAAATTTTATAAATTATATAAATATAATACTTAATCTATTTATCCCTTGAACACATAATGATTGAGTAATTATATTGATGTAAAGATAAAACAAATAGTTAGAAGTTTTTGGAATTTTAAATTTCAAAAATATGTCTAGATATTTATATAAGTTTGTGCTAAGATTTTTTTGTGAAATAAATGGTGTTTGAAAACAATTAAATAATTTAGTTTGTGAATATATTTTTGGAAGCATTGGTATATAAAATAAAAAAGAAAAAAAATGCTTATAAAATATGAGACTTCTTTTCTTCTTTTTAATGCACTAACCATATAAAAATTAACTTCTTTCCAGTTTGGAGAATATAATTTAAAAGTTTTTTCCATATATATACTCATAAAAGATCTAAGAATTTGAGAAATAATTAAAATAATTATGCCTTTAGTATATTCTGGCATGGACAAATCTGAAGAATACTAGTTTAAATTAAAATATTTAAAAATAAAAAATCATTTTTAACCTTTTTTGAAATATTAGAAATATTAGCAATAATTACTCCAGATGTAAGAATCATGATTGCTAATATTTCATAAATATTAGGTCTAATGTTCATATAAATTTAAAGAAAAATAAAAATTTAAGTTCTTACTTTTTATTTATATATAACCATTCTAAAATAACCAAAATAAATATTCCTCCACTCTGGGTAATGATATGCATAGGAACAGAAATGCCATAACTATATGCCTTGTTATTTAAAAAAGTTGCCATAAAAAATAAAGAAACAATAATCATCCAAGAACGAATGGGAACATTTCTTTTTATTAATAATGTTGATCTTGTAAAAAAATTATAAATTAATCCTTCAATTGTAATATATAAGAATTGAAAAAAAGTTATTAATAATCCTTTATTTATTATTTTTTTTTTTTATAACACTTCATACCTGAATTTGGTTCTTTCCTATAAAAATATTAATCTTTAAAGTATATTTTTTACTTTTTTTACTTAATAATGGTTTCTAAAACAAAAATATTTGAACAACTTAAAAATATTAAAATTAAAATGTCTATAAATAGTTATTATTACTACCATCCTCCAAATATTAATAATAAAATCAAAGAATATTGTGATAAAAAAATCTTATAATTAATTATTATTCATAAAAAAAAAAGGATTTTACATGAAGCATTAAAAAAATAATCTTGTTTTTTAATGTTTTTGTTTTTATTTAAAGTCTGATTGTTTCTTAACTGATTGATAATATAAAAATTTAAAATTTATAAATTAAAAAATAATTTGGATTAAAATAATTATTTTAAAAATTAAAGATTAGATTTTTAAAAAAAAAATATCTTTAATAAAAATCTTATATAAAGATAAATTTTTACTTTATATTCACATTAAAATAATATATTTTCATAAGATATTTATTAACTCGTTTTAAAAATAGTTAAAAATTTAACGATAATATAAAACCTTTAATCCTCTAAAAACCTTAATTATTATGGATCAAAAAATAGATAACTATTTTTCTTTAGATTCAAAAGAAAATTATAAAGAATTGGTAGATATAATTTCAAAAGGTAAAAATTTATTATGTAGTATATTTCATCATTAATATAATAGATATTGATAATAAAAATATAAAAATTCTTGAATTTATCGAATGTCTTGGGAAATATTTAACAGAAAATAAGGAATTTAGAAGGAAAAAAGGTATGTATATGTATTTATTATATACGCATTGTGGAGTATTTAGTTATTATTTTGCTTTCAGGCGTAATTGAATCAATATCTAGAAAAATACTTGATTCACAACAAAGTAAACTAAAATCAATTAGTTATTAGATGATTGAGTTGACTATTAAGTACATGTTTTAACACGATTTTATTGTGATTGTCTTTGTGATCAATCATGCGTAAAAGAAATTCTTTCTGGTCTATATTCTTTACAAAAGATGGATTTTTTTGATGATAAAGAGGCAGTATTTATGTGCGGAGGGTAAATAATTTTTTATTTTTTTTTAAGTATAATTTAATGGCAAGGAAGTCTTTTTAAAAATTTTGATTCTGAAAGTAATATACAATCTATCAGATATGTTGTATTTCAAATTTTGAGTGAGTTAGTAATAAAACATCAAAAAGGTATTATTTTATATATTTGTAATATTCTAAATTACATTGATAGCATTAAAAAAGATGGGGCCGGAATTTATCAAAGGGTTAATTAAAATTATAGGCAGAGAAAAAGATCCTAGAAATTTGATTTTGGTATTTTCTATTATGAATACAGTTATTTCTGAATTTGATATAACTTCTTATGCGAAGGTTGAGATTTTTTCTATATTAATATTATAATAACTTTATATTTTAGGATATTTTTGATTTATTATTTTGTTATTTTCCAATTACCTTTAAACCATCAATTAATGATGTTTTTGGAATTACTTCAGATGATTTAAAATTTTGGTTAAAGTGAGTCTTTTTTTAAAATAAAAGCTTTCTAAATATTTAGTAAATGTCTATCTGCGAATGATATTTTGTCGCCGTATTCTATCCCATTATTAATAAATAAATATAATTTTTCTTCTGTCAGTATAAAAGTAATTTTTTTCAACTATTTATTACTTTTTTTAATATTTAACTAGAAAGATATATTAGATATCCTATCCTTCTGTATGAAAACATATTCACCTAATGTTATTAAGATTTATGTTTTACAAATATGGAACACATTAAAAAATGATTTGTTCGAAGGCACAGATGATGATTTTCTGAAGAAATCATTAGATTGTCTTTTTATAATATCAAAAACTTTGTCTAAAGAAACATCAGAGATTTCGAAAAAAAATTCATTATTGGAATTCTTTAGTTTTATTTCAAATGAAATCAATGATCATTTTAAAGAACCAGATACAAAAACTGCGAAAAATGGTATAAAAATTCTTTATGCTCTTTCATCGTCATCTAAATATGCTTTTGAAATACTTTCTAAATTTTGTGTTTCTGATTTAGTCTCAAGATTCGAAAAAGAAGATTCAATAAATACTAAAACAGCTATTTTGGAGCTTTTATCATTTATTCTACTTTCAGGGCTTCATGTTTATGGTTCTTATGAAAAAAAAATAGATGAAATTCCTGATGATTCTATTTTAATTCAGGAAAAAGATAGATTGTTGACTATTTCATATAATTCATTAACAACCTCATCTTTTTCAAACAAATATATAAAAGCTGCTGCTATACGCTTCCTTCTAACTTTTAGTCAAATACATGATCTTTTGCAATATAATGAACTGAAATTAATAGTAGAATATTATAATGAAATAATTATTAAAGAAGATAGTTTAAAGTATGATTAAAAGATATCTATTATTTAATTTCTTATTAAATTAGGGCAGAAGCTTTAGATGCACTGGTTAAGATTGCAGAAATCAAGCCTAATCTTATTTTTGAAATAACTTTTCCTAACTTTTTAAAATTGTTATCAGAAGAAAGTTATTCATTGACACTAAATAACCTTTTTCAGTCTCAAGATGAAGTTATTTTAACAACATTGTCTTATCTTTGTGTAGAAAAACGATTATTTACTACTCTCACTACTCATTTAATTAAAAAATTTGATGATATTATTTTTGGTAATTATAATATATGTTTTCAATTTTATTAATAAAATAGTTAATGACAGAAAAATATTATATGGAAGAGCACTTATGTTTACACTTTTACTAGCAATTAGGACAAATTTTACCAGAAAGAAATTAGATATAGGTTCATATATTAATCAATTATTACCTCAACTTTTTACTCGTGTAATAAATGCTTGTATTGATTCCAAAGAAAATATAATTATAGATTCAAAAATAATAAGCATTATTTCTCAAATAACTAATTTAATAGTGCGTTCTTCAAATTTTCAAAAGCAAAAACTATTTATTGCTGATTTAATTAATTTATTTATAAATGGAAATTCTAATTTATTATTTCTCTCAAAAAATACTGAAATACTTAAAGTTTTTAAACCTTTTGATAAAAATTCTACTTTATATCAAAAAAAAACACTTCCAATTTTTATTAGCGCATTTGCAGGAATTCAAAAAGAGGTTTATTTTTTATATCCTATTATATCTATTGCTTATTTTAATTAGCTTTTACCTCTAGATTTGAAACTAGTTTTTATAAAAACAGCAACAGATTTAATTTTAGAAAATCAATTAGAAGATGAACAACGCATTTTCTTATTTAGATTTATATCTTTGATTTATAATAAATATAGCGATGAACTAAATTCTGATTATTGTGAAATATTCTTAAATGAAATTTCAAAATTTTCTGAAAATGACATTTCAAAAAAAAAACTCATGATATTATATATTTTTTGGGTAATATTTTCCTAATTGCAATTTTTTTAATATTTTTAGGTTATAAAGGCGTTGATTTTGAAAACAAATAAATATGGTTATGTATTATTAGATAAACTTATAAATTTTTTAGATGATAAACATCTCGGCGAATTCATTTCATATAATTTTGGAATAATTTTGGATGAAGATGAATTAATTAATAAGGAAAATTATGCATCTGTTCGACTTTTATATAAACAGAACTTTTTCTATTATATATTACCCAAATTAATTAAAATAATAAATTCTATAGCTCCAGGAAAGTCCTCAAACATTTAAATAATACCATTAATTGATAAATAGATCTTAAGTCTAATTATTTAGTTATCTTTTCCTATGTCATTCAATATATTCCAAAACAAGTTATTTTTCCAGAATTAGTTTCTATTTTTCCTATACTTCTTCAATGTTTTTCTCTTGACAATTGCAAATTAAAAGCATCTAATATTAATACTCTTTATACTATAACATTAGAATCTCCAGATTTGGTGGTAGAACATCTTGCATCTATTATTCCTTTTCTTCTAACATTTATTACCAAAAAAGACAATTCCACGGTGAATTGAAACCAATATATTTATTGATGTACTTATTTTTCTAGAATATTCAGATTACAGCGCTTCAATGTTTAGGATTGTTCCCAACAGTTTTAAAAACTGAATCCATATATCCTTTTAAAAATAAAATTATTCGTAAACTTACAATGGTATTAGATGATCCTAAAAAGTATTAATTGGATATCATTTATGCATTATTCTGATATCAAATAGAGATGTTAGAGAAGAAGCCAGAAAAACAAAACATAAGGTAATATAGGTAGAAATAGAAAAATTGGCTAATATTATCTTAGTGGCATATATGATTCAATTATATTTAATGTTACTATTTATATATAATCTTGTAATATTCATGAATATATCTCCATGTTTTGATACTTTTCAAGTATTCTATCTTCTACATCTTCTAAAATCCATTTATGCATAACAAGTTCTAAATTCTCAATTTCTATTGAAAATAATTTATCGGGATCAGTTCCTGAAGGAATATATGATTGAAGATCTGACATATTAGAATTCGATTCAATCATGCCTGGTATTGCCATTTCTATTCCTGTTGTTTCTCCCCCACTTGCAACTAAAAATATATATTAAAAATTTAATTATTAAATTAAATACAAACAATTTCCGTCTCCCAATATAAGATCATAGATTGGTTTCAATCCAAAAAAATTAAGAAAATACCATGACAGTGATGAAACCCATGAAACATCAAGATCATCTGTAGCAACACCTGACTGCAACATTGATTTAAATCTCAATGTAAGAGGAAACGGAAGTTTTACTAAGATCCTTATTTATAATTCAAAAATAAAAATAATAATTAAATATACTTAATATAAATCCATTAAAAAAAAAATTAATCCATGCCATAATAATTGTTTGAGGAATAATATTAGCCATATTACTTTTAAAAATTCTCATCATTTGATCCATGTTTTTTAGATTTATCATAGGATTCATAAGTTGAGACCCTCTAAGCTCCGGATTTTCTAGATATTCCCCATTAGAAAATGCTTTAATTAAAAATGTTTTTCGAGCATAAAACGCTGCAAATGGTATATGATTACAATTAACTCTCAAAATCTCTGACCGTTGTAATGCCCTTCTAAAAATATATTACTACCAATCAATTCAATTAACAAAAATACATCTCTCTTATCTCTTTAACCGTCATTTTCCTAGGTGTTTCTAATAATAAAATACTAATATAATGTTTCATAATTCCTGTTAAGATCATAACAATAAATATAGAAAAAAGAACCCAATTTCTTAAAGATTTGTCAAGATATAGATCTTGGCTATAAAAATATTAACTATTTCTTAAATTTAATTAAAAATTCTTAATAAAAACCTCTTTTTTAAGTCCATTTTTTTAACCTTTAATAAAAAAGGTTAATATCGTCTTTTAAACCCGCAAATTTTTATCTAAAAATATAAGATAAATGATGAATAAACTAAAAAAAACTAATTTATCTTCAATTCAAGAAGTAAAATATACTATAGACGACTCAGTTAGTCCGGTAATTAAAGATAAGAAGTAATTAAATTGGTCTTATTTTTAATAGTTTATGACTACAATGGGATATCAAGAAACTTATCTTTTAATGAATATAAGATTTATTCTTGGATATACACTTGTTATTATATGTTCAAATGTTGCTACATGTAATTATATTTTTGGTTTTAAGCCTTCTAAAACATATACTTTATGGGGAGTTATTGGATATTTTATTTTATATGGATGTTATACTTTATGGAATTGTACAGCAGGCAGAAGCATTATTTATCAGGGAAGAAAAGGCGAGATTCGAGTATAAATATTATATATATATATATTGGTTTATTAAAAAGAGTATAGTTGAGTATTCGTTCATCTATTAATAAAAAAGGGCCTACATATACATTGACTATTGAAATACTGAAGGAAGGTATTCTAAAAAAGTTTTTGGCTAAAGAAATGTTTAATTTATGGTTTACTGAGGATGGAATTTTTGAAAAAGATCAATTTGATATATGGCTTAAAAATATTATTAAACAAATTGAAGAAGGGAAAGGAAGTTTTATTATTGATATATCAAATATAATAAAAAAAAGAAGAGTAGATAATTAAAAATATAGAAGATATTTTTCGAAAATAATGTATGAAGATTTTTAATTAAGTTTATCAATTGATAGAGTCAACATCGCTTTTTATATTATATTGTGATAGATCAATTTCTGTTCCTACTTTCAAATTATATGAACTCCCTTGATTAAGTTGTCTATATTAATCTTATTAAAAAATATATTTAATTTTTTGGAAATTACTCTGGAAATTTTAATCTATAAATAGATTTTCGTTTAGAATCTTGTTGGTGTAAACGTTCTTTTGCTATTTCTGATATTTTTTTAAGATTTTCAATATTAAGTTCTCTATATTTTTCTTCATCTTTTATAAAATATTCAATAACTCTTGTAAAACCTCCTTTTCCTTCATGATGTAGACCATACCATTCATCTATTTTATATACTACTAAAAGACAAAATACACATAATATACTATTTCTCCATATAGGTGCTGAAAAGTCTATATAAAAATCAATTATTCCTCTCGGCTTGTATTATATTCTTTAAAAAAACCTTCATCTTGAGATTTTGATACTATTTTACTTTTAGAATTGTCTATAGACATGTTGGTTAATTTTCTTTTAATATTTCTTAATAGCAGAGGATTTATAGCTTTTTTATATTGATAAATCATAATATTTAGATTTTTTACATATAAAATAATGTTCTTTTTTTAAGGGTAGATGCCGACTATAAACATTATAAAGTATAAATTAAAAAATATCAAAATTTCTTAAAAACAATTATTAAATATTAAAAAAATATATAATAAATATTAATATTTTGAGTAAAATCAATGTTTTTTTTAAAAAAATAAAGAATTTTAAAGGGAAAAAATGAAATGGAAAAACTATTTATTATTGATATTAATTTCAAAATTTATTTATGCAGATAAATCAAAGAAAATGATATGTCATGGTAAAAAAGAATGTTATCCAGAGGTTTTTGAGGCAACAAATGTGTTTCAGGTAGTTCATGAAGATCAAATACTTCCTCCAGGTAAAAATTATATTTAAAGAGAGATATATTGATATTTTACGAGGACTTCATATCCGTCTTGATTTTAGTACGGGTATAAAGGAAGCTAAGATTATAGATGAGAATGAAAACGATAAAAACAATGTTATTTTGGTTTATCAAGATGGACATATTGAATCTACAAATATCATTAAGGAAAGCCCAGTTTTTTCCCATATTGCTGAGATAAAACCTAATCTTAAAATATCTCAAGTAGAACATGAAGAGTTTTCTATGGCTTTAAAGCTTTTAATATCGGATAAATATAATGATTCTACAGAAGAATTGATTAATGTTCTTTCAGTACTGGAGGAATTATCACATGAATTTGAATTTGGAATAAAAATATGTAAATCTAGGCTTGCAGTGGAACGTCTTATTGAACTTTTAGAAACGTCAAATTCGATATTTATTAAAAAGTTAGCAATTACAGTTTTAGGATCATCTGTTCAAAATAATCCTCAAGCGCTTGTATATATTTCTGATATGAAGCTTACAGAAGTTTTGCTTAATAGATTACAATATGAAAAGGATGATGGAATAAAAATAAAAGTGTTATATACATTATCTTCTATTGTTAAATCATCTAGTGGAATGAATGAATTTTATATGACGCATGGTGATAAAATACTTTATGAGATATTTAAAAAAACGCAAAACCCTGCTTTGATATCAAAATGTGCAAGTTTTATAGAGGATAATTATTTCCAAGATCAAAATTATAATAATGATAAATTTAAAACAACATCGCTTTCTTTTTCTATGTATATTGATTCAATTATTAAACATTGGTGTGAAGATTTTCAATTAGTGCTTTTTAGGAATGAATTAGATACAGATTCCAAAGAAAAAATATTATCTGCATTGAGGTAACATTTGCTTATTTTTTTGTTTTATATTTGATATTTAATAGTATTTTAAAAAAAAAACATTATAGTATATGTAAGCCTGTTAGTGGGTTTTTAGAATTTTTAAATCATGAAACTACATTAGTATATGAAAAAGGACATCCATATATAGGTCTTCTTGAATCCATTCAACATTTATTTCAAACTTTTGGCGAGGAAGATAGAACATAGTATTGAAATGTTCTTTTTTTTGAACAATTCTTATAAAAATTGTGTATAAACTTTTATTAAAATTTATAATTTATTATACAAATCTCAATATATTTTTTTACTTCTGAAAGAAAATTATCTTCAATTCTTAAGCATTCTTTTTTTATTTCAAGATTCTCAGGGTCATCTTTTAATATTGATTGCCAGTATTTCCCCCAGTAATAAACACTAATATCTTCACCTGTCTTTTCAAATGTTTTTTGCAACCTTTTTGAAAATCTAGAAGATGATCCATGGGACTTATAAGATAATTTAATAACATCATAAAGTAACTTGTACGCATATATCATCATATCTTTTGCATTTATCTGTTTAAATTGTGTTTCACAATTCTCTGATGCCTGAAAAATTATTAATTTAATAAGAAGAAACTTTTGTATGACATATACGGGATTAAAATCGACCATATATTTATTAAAGACTCTATTTCCAATAAGATGAATAAATAGTCCATGGCAAAAAGCATTATAAATCTTATTTTCATCAAGGAAATACATCAATGCCAATTTATGAAGCTCATTAAGTGGATATAATGCAGAATTCCATCCTTTTAAACGGTGAAGTATAGAAAGAACTCGGAGAATATTTATATTTTTTTCAGATAATGCTTTATTAATAAGCATTTCAAGATGAGAAAATGTTTCTATACTCATGTTATTCTTTAAAACAAGATAACTTTCATCTTTTTCTGGGAATTTGCAACGAATACATTTGCATAAAAAATAATAACGTGAAAATAGTTCATTTTGACGATTTTTTTGTGTATTATTTGCATCAATGTATGATATAGTAATCTAAACAAATATAAAAAATTTATAACAATATAATATATTATATACTTCTTGATTCATAGATATTTTTTGAAGTGATCTAAGCGCTATCTTGTTTCTTTCAAAGACAAGTGTAGCATTAGGATAGCATGAATGGTCAATTCGTGAAATAGTTGGGTCTAATGCTGTACCAATAGTATCATATGACGACGTTAATAGTGAAAATGAATTAATCATGATCTAAAATCATAAGATTTCTTTATTTCATAATACGTTTTCTTTTTTACTTTACAAAGTAGATTTAATACTAACATCTCATTTGGTTCATTTGTAAAGTTCTGAATACCTTTTGATAGTATCAAAATTTCCTCCTTTTTTTCTGAAGACATAATTTCTGATAAGTGACTCTCAAGTTCTTTGATAGTGTTCCATTCTAAACTAGATGGATGGTTACGTCCATAGAAAATCAATCTCATACATATTCTCATAAATCCTGGGATTATTTTAGGCCATTTTGATGAAAAAAAAGAACACTCATATTTATGAAACATATTCCAATCTTCTTCCATGCATTTCTTTTATTTTTATTAGATCTTTTAAGACCTATTTTCCATATTCATACCTGACAACAATATTGAAGAATTTTACAAGCCTTACATGGCATTAAATAAATCTCTGAATCATCCTTATCTTCTTCACAAATAAAACAATTACTACATCCATTTGAAATATGTTTTTCATCAAGAATTGCTACCAACGGCTTAACCATAAAAATTTGTTCGCCTTATTTTTAAACTAAAGCTCTTTAAAAACAGAAAAATTATACCTTCTTCAAAGTCTTTTTCTGAGTAAAGTCCATATTCTTTAGAATTTATATGGTTTTTAACTTTTACTGGGAAATTTTTGGTTTTTTGTAGATCCATTTTGATAATTTAAAATGTCTTTCAGTTTTAATTTTGAAAAGAGCAATGAAAGTTCTGAAGATGATGATAAAATTAATAATATGGATGCGTATAATGAAGATACATCCAGCAATATCTCTTCTTTACCTCCAAAGAGGCACACTCTTGAAGAATTAGTAAGAAAGAAATGTTAATGATTTTTCTAAAAAAACCGATATTTAGATTGAATTTTTGCCAGAAAATATTAGCTTTGACGTTCTTAAAGTTGATTTTAAGGAGTATTCTTCTTATAAAACTCTTTTACCAAAACGTGCAATTTGGGATATTCGATTACAGCTGATGGCATATGATTATGATACATCTCAAAGCGAATTATTGTTTTTAACTGGTTCTAGTGATATTATACCAAATGTTTATGAGGTATTCTATATGAATATTTGTTTTTTTTTTAAAAAAATACAAGGGAGGGTATAAAACATGGGAGTGTAGTTATGATTTGGTAGAATATCTCTCAAAAACATCATTAAAATACAGTAAAGTTCTTGAGGCAAATATTATATAGACTTTTTTTATAAATTATTCATATTTATAGCTTGGTTGTGGTTCTGCTTTGCCTTCAGTAGTATTATTTATACAAACTCTTCTTTATTCAAGAAATCAAGCAGTAAATTTCACTTTTCAAGACTATAATATTTCTGTTTTGAAATTTTTAACTATACCAAATTTATTTTTGGCTTGGGCAATCATAAAAAATCAAGAAATTGCATCTATGAAAGAAATGAACATAACAAACACAATAAAAGAGGAGTTTCTTTCTGATTTAATAGAAAAAAAAATAACCATAAATTTCATTTCCGGAGGATGGTGTGATAAAATGAATCATTTAATTCTAGATAAACATGATTTAATACTTGCTTCTGAAACTATTTATTCAAAACAAAATTTAAATACTTTTATAAATATACTGGCATATAATATTGAAAATCATAAAGAAAGTAAAGCTCTTATTGCAGCAAAAAAGACATATTTTGGATTAGATGTTTCAATTGAAGATTTTATACGAAAATTAGAAGAATTTCATTTAAATTATTCTTATGTATATGAAAGTATAAATACTGGTATTGTACGTGTGATACTTAATATAGAAAGTTTTTTATAATTTTCTGAGATTTTTCTTCAAATTATTTCTGAAGTCTAAATTAATTTTAATAAAACATCAATTATTACTATTGAAAGAACATAATTATTCAATAAAATATAATTTATTGTATATAAAGTATAAATATTAGATAAATAGTTGAAATTATGAAAATTTGTAATTAAAAAATGGATAAATTAGGCAATATTTATTAAATATGTTAAACACAGTTTTTAAAAAAAAATTATAGAATAATTTATTTAATTCTTAAATATTATATATAGAGGATTTTTCCAATGCTTGTGATATATCATTAACAAGATCTTCTTCTTCTTCACATCCAACACTTAAACGAATTAAATCATCATATATGCCTATTTTTTCTCTTTCTTCTTTTGATATCCCAGAATGAGTCATCAAAGCGGGAATTTCACATAAACTTTCAATTGCTCCCAAACTTTCTGCAAGACAAAATAGTTTTGTAGATTGACAAAATTTTTCAGCTGCTGTAGATCCTCCTTTTATTCGAAAGCTTACCATTCCCCCACCTAAACCATTTCTATGCTGTTTTTCAACAATTTTTCTTTGAGGATAAGATTCGAGCCCTGGATAAAATACTTGAATAACTAATTCATGTTTTTCCAGAGCTTTAGCAATTGCTAAAGCATTGATGCAACATTGTTTATAACGAAGATGAAGCGTTTTTAATCCCCTTTGTGCAAGCCAACAATCAAAAGGACTTGGAACAGCTCCAATAGCATTCTGTAGAAATTTAAACTTCGTATATAAAACGTCGGAATTCAAAGCAATAACTCCTAAAATTACATCGCTATGTCCATTAATATATTTAGTTGCAGAATGTAGCACAATATCTGCACCATGATCCAGAGGATTGCATAAATAAGGCGAAAGAAATGTATTATCTATAACGACAATAATGTTATGTTGATGTGCCAACTTTGAAATAAAAAAAATATCAATTACTGAAAGTGTTGGATTACTTGGTGTTTCAATCCACAATAACTAATAGATATTAAAATTTCTTATAGTAATATAGAATTTATAAATAAACTTTTGTTTCTGGTCTAATATACAAATTAAGAGATTTCTCGTCTTTTAAATCTGCAAAAGTGACTTCTATACCATATGTTGACGCAATTTTTGTAAGATAACGATGTGTACCACCATAAACATCCATGGCAGAAATTGCTAAAGAATATTACTATTTTTTTTAAAAATTAATTATAGTAATTTTACCATGACTTCCTGGAGATAAAATATGAAAAATAGTCATTAAAGCTGCACATCCAGAAGAAAACGCTAATGCATATTTTGCATTCTCAAGTGTTTTAATAGCTTCTTCAAAATTTTCTCGAGTTGGATTTCCTGAGCGTGAATATTCATATTTCGAAACTGGATTTCCTGGGGATAATTGAGCAAATGTTGTAGATAAGTAAATAGGTGAGATAACAGCCCCTGTTTGAGGATCTGTACCAGATCCTGAATGGATAGCTAAAGTACCAAACCCCAGTTTATTATTTTTCATAATTTTTAAAAACTGAAAATTTTAACGAAAGCGGTACAAGTATTTCTTTGATATATGAATAAATAACTTATCTATAAAATGTTAATGTTCCTATATCGAAATGAATATAACTTTCCTAAAAAAAAAAAGAAAAAATAAAATTGTGAAGATAAAAATAATTATGAAATATTGAATTTTCTTTTTTTTTTAATTTTTCGTTCAATTTCTTTTCTTTCTTCTTCTTTATCTTCAATTTTACCTATTCTTGAAGAAAATTCTTCTTCTTTTTGTAATTGAGCTGCATTTGTCTCCATATCAGAATCAGAATCGTAATTATTTGAAATATAACTAAATTATAATTATTTAAAAAATATTAAAAATTAAAAACATACTCTTCTTTTCTTTTACCAAAAATTTTCCATATTTCAGATGATATGTTGTAATCTAATGTTTTGTTTTTCTCTGATGAATCTAGCTTAGCTTTTTTATAATCTATATTTTGTTTTGTTAGAACATCAACAAATAATATATATAATATAAAAAAACATACCAGAAAAGGAATTTTGAGATGAAATATTCCCGGATACACAATTATTAGATGGAATTTTACTTGAATTATTCGTTTCTGGTGTATTTTTATTTGTTTCCGATGTATCTTTATAAAGAAAAGGAAAATTCTTGCCCTTTTTTCTCCATATGCTATTTTGAATTTCTTCAATTGTCCGAGAATCACGCTTAGGTCCTGTATGAAGAAGAATTAAATCATTAGGATGGAATTCTGTTATAATTTTTGATTTTGTAAGATTCTTAGATCGTATAGGAGTTGAAAAATGATTCTTTTTTCCTTTGTTTATAGAAAATTTAGATGATAATGAAGAAGAGCCCTTATAATTTGACAATGAATCATTTTTTTTTACTAAAGGTACTTTCGTAAACGATACTGGCTGTTTATGTGTTTGAAAAGGTTTTGAGCTTGTTTCGTGCTTCAAAAGAAAATTAGCGCCTGATTTTACCAAAAATTTAGAATCTGATTCATCTTTTTTATTGGTTGTTGAACTCAAAGGAGAATTAACATTTGTTTTTGAATTTATTTTAGCAATTAAATTCATTTTTAAGATTTCAGGATTCATATTAGACGTTTGCGAAATAAATTCCTTAAATGACTTTAAATTCATCAGAGACATATAACAACAGGAAATATCCATATACTATAGATCTACTTCTTTTTTTAATGGAATCTTTTTCAATTCCTTGTGATTCATTTTTCATTTTTAATGAATTCGATAACGAATTCTCCTCATTTCTTTTCTTTTTATCTAATCCACATTCATATATCCTTTGTGCCCTTTCTTTCCGTTCTTTTTCACAGTTTTGAGATTCCTTTATTCTATTATCTGCTTCTCGAAGAGTCTTTGTCTTTTCAAGTTCTTCAAGACATATTTGTTGTTTCCGGTCATTTGATGATGCAATAGCTAACAAAGAATTGTACTAATAATGTAAGAAATATCCTCAAAAACTTAAACAAATCTCTTAAAAAACCTGACTTCTTGAATTCATCGCTGTAGGTCTACTATAATGAAGCTCGAGATCGCTGGACTATATTTGCTAAAAGAATGAAATGAAATAGAAAAGTTCAAATATAAACAAAAAATTCTATAAAATTATAAATAAAAAATATAGATTTATATATAAGAAATGGTTTTATTATAAACATGAATTTATAATTTTAATCAAAAAGACCAAATCCCATCTAAAATACATGAATCTATAGAATTTTAAGAAATTCTAAATAAACTTACATCTTCATCTGATTCTTCTTTTTCTTCTTCCTTAACTGGTTCCTCTACTTTTGCAGCAGTTTCTTTTATAATATAAATAAATGTTTAAAAATCTAAATTACTCACCTTGTACATTTTTTGAAGCCGATCCAACTGCTACCGATGATAATGACGCTAATTTCTCTTTACCACTAGCAATAAGTTCTTCAATTGATTGATTTTCTAGTTGATTCAAAAGTGATTTTAATCTTTTTTCTTCTGCTTCTAATCCAACTGATCCTAAAACCTTTTTAATATCTTCAGAAGTTGGTTTCTTATTTCCTCCAAGTTCTAGCAATAAATACGCTGCTAAATGCTTCATATTAAGTTGTTAGAACTATTAAAACTTCTTAAGTTGCCTTTATTTTTTAGATTTTTTACAGTAAAAAAACCCTTACTATCTTATAACCCTAACCCTCGTGACTGCTTATACATTTTTGAAGGTCAGAGTTTGTATTAATATTAACCCTATGTTAATATAGGGTTAATACAGGGCTATTTCTCGTCTTTAAAAAATTTAAAAACTCACTAAAGGTAATTACATTAAAAGAGAAATAAAAAAAGTTGTGAAAAGGATTATTAGGATTTGAAAATGGACTCGACAGGAGAGAAAAAGAAACGTACGTTTCGTCGGTTTACATATCGTGGAGTAGATTTAGAAACATTATTAGATATGTCATCAGAGCAGTTGGTAAGGCTTTGTTAGAATATTTTTTTATTAAAGTATGAAAATGAATAGATGGAATTGGTTCATGCAAGAGCACGTCGACGATTTCAGAGAGGATTGAAACGTCGACCAATGGGATTAATTAAGAAACTTCGAAAAGCTAAAAAAGAAGCACCTCCAGGTGAAAAGCCAGAAACTGTAAAAACACATTTAAGAAACATGATTGTAGTTCCTGAAATGATTGGATCAGTAATGTATGTATTTTTTTTTCAAAAAAAATATTGATAATTTTAAGTGGCATTTATAATGGAAAAGTATTTAATCAAGTTGAAATTCGACCGGAAATGGTCGGACATTATCTTGGGGAATTTTCTCTTACATATAAACCTACTAAACATGGACGTCCTGGTATCGGTGCTACTCATTCATCACGATTTATTCCATTGAAATAAAATATTTTAATTTATGGAAGAAAATACTCTAAAGTTTACATTTTTGATCTTGTTTATATAATCTCTATTGTTTCCATTTATTTTTAGATTTTTATATTTTAATTTTTTTTAAAAATTAATTTAATTAAAATAAATGAATATAGAAGAATATGTAATTATATAGAAATAAATGGCTAATAATTTAAGATTTGATGATTTTGGTAGAAGTTTATTTATATTTTCTAAAGAACTAAAATATTGTTTCTCCTTTATTTTAACATTAATCAAAGAAAAACCTAAATTTATTATTTTTTTAAAAAAATTAAAATATATTTTATTAAGCTTTTAATATCATAGAAGTAATGGCTATTGAAAAATATGATATACCTATCAATTCTCAAGAGTCATCAGATGAGCTTTGCAAGAAATTTGAAAAGACTTTGAATTTAAAAACGGAATATTTAATTATAAGTGCTATCCAAACAAATATTTTTGCTGAATGGGAAAAAAAGTTTTTGTTCTGCCCAAAGAATAGGTAGAAATATCGGGAATAGATATTTATTTAATCTATATGTTTATATATATTTAGACTTGCATTATCAGCAGTTTCAAATGGGGATTTATCAAGTATTATTTTTCAGAGAGAGGCAGCTATTTTAAATAATAATCATGTTTATTCTGATAAAATTGAACTGGAGGGATCGCCTGTTACGTACCAGAGAAAATCAGGGCGATGCTGGCTTTTTGCAGTAACAAATGTTATAAGAGTTGAATTTATGAAGAAGTAATTATAAGCTTCTATATAAATTTTAATAACAGTGAATTTAAAAAGATATAATCTTTCTGAATTTGAGTTTTCCCAGGCTTATCTTTTTTTTTATGATAAACTTGAAAAAGCAAATTGTAAATCTGAATATATGTTTATTTAAGCTTATTGGAATTATAGATTTTTTAGAAAATATTCTTAAGACATCGGAAGAAGCTCTTGATTCACGTATTGTGAGCTTTTTATTATCTGAACCTATCAACGATGGTGGTCAATATGATATGGTTGTTAATTTGCAAGTTTTAATTTTAAATTATTAGATAATTTAATGTTTTAGGCTTAACAAATATGGATTGGTTCCCAAACATGTTTATCCTGATGCTTATAATGCTAAAGATAGGTACTTATAGACTTTTGTTATTGATGATATGAATAAAATAGCGTTTCACTTAATCGTATAATTAAAATGAAATTGCGTGAATATGCTTTGATTTTAAGAAGTTTGGTTGCAAAAAATGCTACTACAACAACTATTTCTTCTTTTAGAGCTAAGATGATAGAAGAAATATATGTTATTTTAGCTATTTCTCTTGGTATACCTCCTAAACCAGACGATGAATTTACTTGGTTGTATGTTGATAAGGATAATAAAGTTAACTCATATAAAACAACACCTAAATTGTTTTATAGAGAATTTTCTCAATTTAAAGTGATAAATCTGAAATATTTCCTATTATAATTAATAAAAAAAGGGTGATGAATATATTTCTCTTATCAATGATCCAAGAAACGAATATGGAAAAATGTATACTGTAGACATGTTATCTAATATGGCAGGTGGAATTGTAAGATTACAATTTATATTATCTTATTTATTCTAAATAACAAGGGTGTACGATATCTTAACACCAAAATGGAAACTCTTAAGGAAGTTGCAATTAAAATGATTAAAGAAAATAGGCCTGTATTTTTTGGGTATAATTTAAAAATTTAAATTTTATTAATTAAAATAAATAGTGCGGATTCTGGAAAGTATATTGATCGTCAATCCGGTATCTTTGATACAGCATTGTTTAATTATGAACTTGCCTTTAACGTTAAATCAAATCTCTCAAAAGCTGATAGATTAAGGGTATATCCTTTATAAACATAATTGCTTTGCTGATTTCTATAGGTTGGAGAAAGCTGTATGTTTCTTCAATAAAATAAATGAATATCTAACAGAAAATAGTAATGACACATGCTATGGTTATTACTGCAGGTAAATTTAACTTTATTTTTTCAAAGACATCTAAGAATTTTAGTTCATATTGAAGACGGAAAACCGGTAAAATGGAGGGTTCAGAATTCATGGGGAGAAGATGTTGGACAAAAAGGATGGTTTATGATGACAGATGAATGTAATTTTTCTTAATTGTAATATTCAATACTTATTTACTAGGGATGACTGAATTTGTTTATCAAATAGTATGTCATCATAGCGATCTTTCTGAAGAATTGCAATCTGTTATTAAACAAGTTCCTATTGTTTTACCCCCATGGGACCCTGTGAGTTTAATTTTTTTCTTTATTTTTAATTAATAAATAAAAGATGGGCTCTTTGGCTCGAGTATGAAAATGAAGTAGAATTAAGCTTATTGATTCGGACTTATGTTTTTTTAATAAAGTATATTATATTTTTTTATATTTTTTTTAAGATCGGAGCTTATAAAGATTTTTTTTGATTTAATTAATATGAATCAGCAATATATTTATGATCCACCTCCTTCTCCTCCGCCTAAAGCTACCATGTTCTTGTCACCTTTAAAAACTCATTCGCCATTGCAACTTTCTAAAAAGAAATTTCATCGAGTTGAAAAAATATATAAAAATAACTATAATTCTGGCAAAAACAATTTTAAAAATTTCCTGTCTAAACCTGGTATTTATTTGTTTTAAGATTCCAGTCTTTTCTAATTTTTTTAAAGAAAAATCTTTAAAAAATATAAAAAATAAGTCTGACAGACCTGATAAACTTGAAAAATATTCTAAATGTACATATTCAACACTCCTTGATGATGGGACAATAAGTTATAAGACAGTATTTTATAATAAAGATGGTTATGCAATGAGTAGCACTGCGAATATTTGTGAAACAAATGATAATGAATCTATTGAAAATATACCCAAGTATAATGTTTTGAAAAGGTTTTATTAAGTGTTTATTTTTATTAGAAATGAAAAGACAGAAATACAAGAAGATATTAATGCATGGATAGAAGAAAGAAAAAAAAAATGGCCTACAGATAAGAATATTGAAAAAAAGGTATATTAAGATAAACAATAGAGAGAAACAATGATTGAATTATTAATAGAAAGAAGAAAAATTAAAGGAATTAAATAGAATTAAGGATTCTTTTGAGGAAAAAATAAAACTAGATTTTTTAGAAAATAATGATCATTTTAAACCAGCTAATGATAATTGCATAAAAAGTAATGAAGTTAAAAAGATAGAAACTCCAGAATTATTATTTGAAAATATTAATAGTCCACTTTCATATTTTTTAAAAGAAAAATCTGATGATAAATCTAATTATGGATTTAAACATGATAATATATCCAAGAAAAAGCATGAGAAACGTTTTACAAAATCTAATAGGAATTGTATTTGGCGTGTTAGAAAGTCGTTATATACAAAGGTATGAATTTTTTTTAATATTAGAGTGATTTATTTTTTTAGTTGGTTGAAAAAGAAGAACTACAAGAAAATATGATTATATTACAAGTTATTAAGCATTTAATAGAATTTTATAATATAAAATAGATTACATTGTGTTTGTATATATTTACAATCATAAAGGCTATTTCGAACTATTTTTTCGTCTTTTTTTCCATTGTTTAGTTTTATTTTTTATTTGTGGTTTATCTTTATGTTTTTTTTTTGTTAAAATCTTGATACTGTCTGATTTTGAAGCACGTTTTCCTTCAAAAACCATATTATTTATTAGCTTCTGAGTTTTTCTTTTATTTAAAGGGGCTTTTTGAATATTAATTTGTGTAGTTTTTTCTGTTAAATTTTCATTAGAACTTTTAGTATTTAAATCTTTAGTTATTTCTTCATATTTTGATTTCGATTTTCTTTTAGAAATGTTTTTTGCTCGAACAATACGTAATTTACGATTGAATGGACCCTTTTTGTCATGTAAAAGTAATGCTTCATCAATAGATTCTTGATTTATAAATTGAACATATGCAAATCCTTTTCCTACATTTGTTTTGCTATTTCGAACAATACGTACAAATTCTATTTCTCCACACTGACCAAAATAGGACCAAAGCTGTTCTTCTTGAGCATCAAATGACAAGTTTCCTATAAAAATAGATCTTTTTGAAACGTGTGGAGTAGGATATGCAACACTATCTACTCTTATGTGTCTGTTTAATAATAATGTACCATTTAATACAAGGGCATTTTTAGATGACTCTTCTGTTTCATAAACTATGTATGCATTAACCATATCTCTTTTTGGATGAAATTTCCTTTGAATATACGCAATTTTCTTGGGTAAAAATTCTGAAAAAGCAATTGAACGAAATCGAATAGATTTTATTTTCCCAAACTCCGAAAATTTTGTTTTAAATGTTTTATAATCACTCTTTATATAATAAGTTTTATCTTTAAACCTTATTTTTATATACCTTTAAAGAAATAATACTAAGAGGTAAATTTCCAACAAATATTGTAGATAAATCTTTCTTAAGACTTTCATCCAAATCAATTTCTTTCTTTTCTAAGGAATTCTGTTTATTATTGCTATCGAATTTGCAAATAATATTCTCATTTTTTTCTTTTTTTTTAATATTATCTTCCTTTTCATTTTCGTTTTCATCTTTTAACAATTTTTTAAAATATCTTTCTTCAATATTCAAATCTTCAAATGACCTTCTTCTACGCTTTCTTTTCCTTATTTTTTCATCTATCTTATCATCTAGGTTTATAATATTATTTTCCATAAAAAATCTATTTGATGTTTTTTTATCTTCATTTGATCTCTTTTTTTCCCTATTTTTTTCATTAAACCATATAAACTAAATAAAATTAATAAAATATATTCTTAAAAAAACAAAGAGAATTACATTAGTATCACTCATATTGACAAGCTTCTTATTTTTGCTAATTTCCTTAAATTTGAGTAAAAAATTCCGTTTTTTTTTTAATATTATATTTTAACGCTACATTTTATATCGAAGTATTATTTATTTATTCTTATTTCCTACTGTTTCACCTCTATTTTCCTTTTTTTTCCTATCCGGCAAAAAAATGAGGTTAGAAATTTAGCTTAGACTTAAGGTAGATTAACGATAGAACGACAAATAAATTGACAGAAATTCTTTAGATTTTAAAGATATCAGAAGAGAGTTAAAAGAGTGTTAGATTTTGCTTTTTTTTTTAAGAAACTGATTTTAAGGGTTAAAATTGAGGTTTAATTGTTTTTTTTAAAATGCCAAGAGGTCGAGGACGACATCATGATCGAGAAATAATAATAGAAAAAGGAATGGTTTCGAACCAAAATTCTGCGGGGATATGGTCCGGAAAACGCTTGAGAAGAGGACGTGGGAGAATATCTAAGAAAGGAGTATGTTTTTCCTTTTTTTTCGGGTTTAAAAGGATAGTTTTTGACGAAAATAAATAGGAAACATTATCAAGCCCCGTATTTTCAGGATCATCAGTTTTTAGGGAAAATTATCTTGTTGAAAATTCTATGGAAGGTCTAGGGTCTAGTAAAAATGCTTATATTTTATATGGATCGAAGTATAAAAATAGTGAAGAAAATACGTTGGTTGGAGAGCCTTTAATAGATACGAATCAAACACGACAGGACAACATGAATGAATTGGAAGCAATTTCTGTTTTGGATGGGTTTTCTAATTCAGTATCGGTAGTAGATTCTTCATATATTAAAAAGCCAAAAAACAATAATTCAGATGATGATTTATCATCACTTAGTGAGCTTAATGACTCGGAAGCCGAAACAGAAAGAATTGAAGATATTGATTCTTCTCTTGAAGTTCATATGATAAATAAGAAATTAATAGAGGATCAAAAGAATCCGGATATTAATGAATCGGAATCATCGCAACCATTTACATCATTTAATAAAAAATATAAGAAAGACAAGTCAGAATTATTTGGTCCGCCGGAATTTTTATCTTCATCATCTAATGAATATGTTTCTAAAAAAGACTCAAAATCTGATGGAGATGATGATAGCGTTCATAGTAAAACTATTCCAAGTCTTGATAATGAAAGTACAGTAGAAGAAGAAATAATGGAAAGTGTTTTCGGTGATGATGATATTAGTATGAATGTGGATGATGAGGGTTATATGAAGATTTTTTATAGAATATGCTAGTGTTAATATTTAATAGTAGATGAAAAAAAAGTTCAAAAGAGAAAGGACGCAATTGCAGCTTTAACACAAATTGAAATACAATTTGCTAAGCTTCGTGATAAGTATATTTATTGTTTTATGTAGGACTTTTTTTCTTATAATTTAAGATTATATGAGAATCAAATTAGCTGTTTAGATAAGGAAGTAGACTTAGTAAATAAAGGGATTCATCCTGAGTTATCAAGTTTAATGGAGAAGATTGCTGAAAGACGAGAAAGGAAATATAATATTGCTGTTGCTTTTCGAGATATGTCAATAAAGTTTATTAAAGATGAATTTATTGCTCATCAATATGAAATTCAAAATAGTTTTTTGGTAGAAAAATTATTATATTTAGACATAGATCTTATTTATTAATAGGAGTCTAAACGGAAATTAAGGGAAAAAATGCTTCAAAGAACAGGAGAAAAATGTTTTCAAATTTATCATGAGCGACGTCTTATGGAAACATTAGCACCGGGTATAGAGATTTTTTAAATATTATTTATATATTTATTGTATAATAGAATATGGATTTTCTATCCCTACTAAGCGTTTAGTACAATTAAAGAATCGTAGAGCACATGAATTAGAAGTTATGTTTTTAGTTGGTCTTAAAACATATATTGGGTTTCCAGCTGCACCTGAAATAAAAAATGCATCTAAGGAAGAAATAATGCAAGATTTATCAGAAATGAAAGTTAAACGGGCACCATTTGATTCATTTCGTAATTTTATTTTTCCTAATTCTACTCTTCAAAATACTTCATCACATAATCAAGAATCCCAATTAAAATCATATAATAATAATCTTTTTTCTCAATTTCTTTATCAAAAATCTTCTCAAAGTCGTCAATATTCGAATTGTATGACATCTCATTCTTTATCTGAGTATTCTTCTCTAAAACAGCATTCTCTAAATACATATCCACCTTATAATTCTGATCGAAATCAGCCATCCTCGCATGATCAATATCATTCGTCATTTTGCATGCAGCATGAACAAGCATCAGTGGATATGCAATTAATGGGTAATAAGCCATTTTGCCAATTTCCACTTAGTCCTCGATTAAATCAATCTTTGCAATATTTTGAGCCATTACAAAAAAAAAATGACTATATTGGAATGATTCTTCATCAGTAAAACATAAATTTTTGTTTTTTAATCATACAAAAGATATAATTAGTATCTCAAATTTTTTATTTAACTCTTATGAACTAAATAATGAGACTTTCAATAAAGCTAGGACAGGGACAAAAAATGAATATTCTTATATTTGATGGATAATAGATATATATGAATTAATGTTAATTTTTTTTATATTTTTAATTTTATTCCTTTTAAATCTTATGATTGTAAAGGTTTATATAATTGTTTTATGTATACATATTCAAAATTAAAACAAAGAATATTTTTGTTAAAATATATATTAATTGTCACTTTATTCTAACTTAGATTTTCATAAAATCATATAATGATTTTGAATGTTATAGATCTTATTTTTTCAATATTTATTTTTTGATATAGTAATATAATCAATATTAGATTTATAAAGTATAGAATTGGTATAATTAAAGATATTAGATAATAATCAATGTTTTATCGAAATTAGTAACAGATATGCTTTATTATAAAATCTTTTTGTTAAAAAAATCTTTTATTGAGATAAAAATAAAATATAGTATTTAAGAAAAAAAATTAATATTTATTTTATTTTTTAATAATATAAATATTCTTTAAGAAATTAGACGGGAAATCTAATCTAATTTTGTTTTTATTTCAATATTAAATAAATTTTCATACAATTACTTGATATTTAACTTAAATAATTATATATAGAAATTTTATCTAATTATTAATAATAATATTTTAATTATCTAATTTTGTTTTGAAAAATATATATTAAATTTATTAATTTTATATTATATATTTTTTTTGAATTAAAATAAAGTAATTTAATTTTCAATTATAATATTATAAAAACATAATTTACTACTATTTTAAATATTTATTTTAGTTCATTATTATTAAAGATTTTTGATATCTTAATAAAATATAATAATTTATATAAAAAAAGAACAAAGTTTTTAAAATGATTTTATTATATGTTATTGTTAATATTATAGTTTGTATATACTTGATTTTTTGAAAATTAAAAAGGATTATAATATTTTTTAATGCTCAAAAAACCAAGAAAAGTATTTTTAAGACTAAAAATTTATTAAAATATATAAAATTTCCTTTTTTTTTGTTAAAAATATTAAATATTAATAATTTTATGATTAAAATTTCTTCAAAATTATCATTATAAAACAAAATAGAAATATGTTTTAAAAAAAATCCAAAAAAAATTGTATGTATTCAAAATTGCTTTTATAACTTTTAAATATTTAGAATTTTATGAAACACATATTCTTTTTTTTTTCAAAAAAATAATAAATGTTTAGAGCTTTTAAAAATTAAAAAAGAATAATGAAAATCAGGTCTTATTTTTAAAAAACATAACCCATACTTACAACTTAATATAGAGGCTTAAAAGTAATTTTTCACAGAAATTCATTAAAAGACTAATAATGTCTCAAGAAAAACGAGAAAAATACAACTAATCGTCCATATTTTCAAAAAAGACAAGATAAATCATGGGAAAAAGTAATAATCTATCCCTTTATTAAAAAACATTTTTAATATAATTTAAATAAGCGTGCGCAACAGAGAAAGGCTATCCAAGAAATGAAAGAAAGAGAAAAAAAGATAATACAAGAAAAACAAAAAATACAAGAGGTTTGTAATTTATTAATTAAAAAATACTGAAAAAATTCATTTTTTTCTTTTAATATATAGAAAAAAAAAGAATTAATTAACAAAAAACTCCAGGCCAAAAAAGAAAAAGAACGCTTTGAAAAAATGAAAGAAAAGGTAATTTATTATATCATATTTCTCATTATCTTATCAAAAAAGATGCATATGAAAAGAATTGAACGCTTACGAAGACGAGAAAGAAAATCTAAACTCTCTCAAAAATAATTACTTAATTTATATAAAATTAATATTTATCACTTCTATTTCATTTTAACAAAGAATTTTTTAAAATAATAAACATAATTATTTATTAATTATGTTTTGAAATATAGCATTTAAAAATAATATTAAAAAAATATGAAAGTTCGATCGTTAACATGATCACTTAATCATTTTATACTGAAATTAAGTATAAAACTTAACACATATATTTCAGAGCCAAGAAGATTAAATGGCACACCTAAATTCATTAAATATAAGCAAAATTTTCTGTATTTTTAGTTTTTTATTCTTTGGTGTTCTTGGGGCAAAAAATTATCATATTACAGTTACATCATTTAAACATTCATTGTTTTCATTTTTTTATTTTGACAATAGTAAAGTAGGTTATATTATGATATATTTTATATTTAATATTGTTTAAAGGTTATTCTTGCTCATGATATTCTGGATAAAGTTATTTGGAAAAGCGACAACGAAGGTACATCATGGACTAAAATAAAAAGTATACCAAAAAATAAGGCTAAAATGTTAATACTTCATCCATTTAGTGATAGAATGGTAAACAGGAGAATTGAGGATTTTCAAAATAACTCTTTTTATATAGGCATTTGTTTTAGGAGAGGATAAGACACATTATTATACAGATGATCAAGGGTTGACATGGAAGAGTTTTTCTACAGAAAATCCTTTTTCAGAAGAAACTGCACCGCTAAAATTTAATTCAGCTAATCCTAATTACATTATTTTTATTGGCTCAGAATGTGTTGATTCGGCTCGAATAAATTGTAAATTTATGGTAAAATAATTCAACAAAAGCTATTTTTTATTAATTTCAGGCATATTATACCAAAGATGCATTCAATACTAATCCAAAGCTTCTTAAAGAAAATATACAATCATGTATGTTTGCTAAATCCTCAAAGGAATTTTCCAATTGCTCAGATGAATTGGTTTTATGTGTTTATATGCAATCGAATATTTATGCTTCAGGTATATATTTAATGAAGTCTGAAGATTGGTTTTCAACATATACGCATATAAATTTTGATGAAAAACCATTAGTTAGTTTAGAAGGAATTGGAACAGTTCAAACTTTTATTATAGCTGTTGTTAGATCACATAACACTGAACTTGAAATGTATGTTTCTAAAGATGGAAATACATGGAATAAAGCTAAATTCCCATATTATCATCAAAAAAAACTAAAAGAAAATTCATATACTATTATGGAATCGAAACCATATAGTCTTCAAGTAGATATTTTGACATCAGAATATCCCTTCTATGGCGGAATTTCTTTTAAATCTGACATTAGCGGCATATATTATACACCAAGTTTGGAACATACAAATAGAAATGATATGGGTTACGTTGATTTCGAAGATATTCGTTTTATTGATGGTGCCATTTTTGCAAATGTTATAGAAAATTGGAAAGAACTAGAAAATAATGGAGATTTTGATAAAAAAATTCAATCGAAAATATCTTATGATAATGGTAATACATGGAATTCTATTAAACCTCCTATAAATTCTGATTGTAATATTTTTGATTCTAAAATTTGTTCTCTTCATTTACATTCTATTACGGATAGATATAGATTTGATAAAACATTTTCTAGCTATGCTCCTGGAATACTTATTGGAATAGGTTCAGTTGGATCATATTTAAAACCTTTTCATGAATGTAATCTTTATATATCTGAAGATGCAGGTAAAACATGGTCTTTATCATTAGAGGGAACGCACATATATGAATGCTCTGATCATGCAAATATAATTGCAGCAATTCCTGATCAAAAGACTCGTAATTTTTACTATTCTTTTGATAGAGGTAGAAATTGGTAAATATTAGAAAAATCAAAAATTTAATGTTAACTATATAGGCAAAGTATTGATTTAAAGCATAACATTCGGCCATTAGCATTAATAGTAATTCCTAATTCTAAAACAGGAAAGTTTTTGCTTATTGCAACTGAATTCAATGAAAATGATATTGATCACTCGATAAATGCTATTTCTATTGATATTGGTGAAGCTTTTACTAAACAATGTATTTTAGATAAAAATGATTTAGAAAAGAGTGATTTAGAAAAATGGTACTCTCATACTGAAAATGGTATATATCTATATTAATATTATTATTTTTATAATTTTTAGAATCAAATTGTTCAATGGGTCGTAAACAATATTTCTGGAGAAGAAAGATTGGTAGAAAATGCTTTATTAAAGAAAATTATTCAGAACTTCAGGTCATTGAAGAAAATTGCCCATGTTCTAATAATGATTATGAATGGTATTTTTAATGAGCTTAAATATAAATTATTTTAACTATAATTTTAGTGATTATAATTTTATGGAATATGATAATAAATGTTTGGAACAAGTTCCACAAGAGATCCCTCCAGATGCATGTAAAAAGCCGGATGATGTCTTTTGGGCACCTAGTGGATATAGAAAAATTCCAGGAAATATTTGTGATAGCAAACGTGGTGTTATAAAAGATAAAAAAATCGAAGTTTCATGTAAAACAAGTAATAAAAATTAAAACAGAAAATTATTAGTATATATTTAATGTAAAATAGATACTCATTTGGATAAAATTAGAATTACATTAACGGATTTTAAAGGAGAATTAGTTAATTATTATTACCTTAAGAAAAATGAAGATGATTCTAATGATAAAAATGATGCAGATGAGGTATTTTATATTGATTATATTTTATTTCTTATAAATACTGTAGACTATTCTTGTTTTAACAAATCAAATGGAACTTCATGTTTCACACGACCAGGGTAACCAATGGAATCAAATTCTTGCAGATGAAAATATTCTTTTTATGTATCAAAATGTTTACACAAGCGAGCAAGTATATTTTTTTGGAATGAATAAAAAGGCCTGGGTAACAAAAAATCGATGTTTAACTATTGAAAAAATTCAACTTCCAATTTATTCACATATTGAATATAAACCTGAGTTTCATCCAGATAATAAAGATTGGATTATATATACTGGATGTAAAGATAATAAAATCATGCAAGAATGTGAAACGGAATCATATTATTCTTTAGATGGAGGAAATTCATGGAATCTTTTAATATCTAATACTCGTTCATGTTCTTGGATTAAAACTAAAGATTTTGATGCAGATAAAAACTTGATATATTGTGAAGTATATATATTTGATTCTGAAAAATCTTCAGATAATCCTGTAAAATTGGTTTACTCGACTGACTTTTTTAATACTTATAATGTTTTGTTTGATTCCATTACTAATTATGCGAGATTTAAAGAATTTATAATTTTAGGAAAAGTATAAAATAACAATGGTTTTATTAATTCTAATTATATAGTACAATTCTCAATTAAAGACTCTCGAGCCATATATATCATTAGATGGGTTAAATTTTACCATTGCTAATTTTCCTTCTCACTATTCTGGGCAAATATATACAATTCTTGATTCTTCCACAAAATCTATATTTGTACATGTTACTAAAGACGACTATAAAAGTTTTAAATGGGGATCTATACTTAAATCTAACTCTAATGGGACCAATTTTGTTAAATCTCTGGATTTCGTTGATCGTAATAGTGATGGATTTATAGATTTCGAAAGATTCAAAGGATTAGAAGGAATTATAATATCTAATATTGTAATAAATCCAGATGATATTGTTAAGGGTTCCTCAAAACGTGTTAAAAGTTTAATTACATATAATGATGGTAGTGAATGGTCTTATCTAACTCCTCCTAAAGAAGATTCAAAAGGAAATAAATATTGTACTGGAAAGGTATGTTAAAAAAAAAAAGGAAATTTGTAATTAATTTTTTAGCTTGAAAAATGTTCATTAAATCTTCATGGAGTTATTGAACGCATTGATCTTCATGGAACATTTTCCTCAATTACAATTCCCGGTTTAGATTTTGCTATTGGAAATGTTGGCGAATATTTGGATAATTATTTAAATAGTAATACATTTATGACGCTAGATGGAGGAGTAACATGGAAGGAAATCCAAAAAGGACCTTATTTATGGAAATTTGGAGATCAAGGTTCTATAATATTATTAGTTAGAGATAAAGACTATACAGATCATTTTCTTTACTCTTTAGATATGGGAAGTACATGGAAAACAGTTTATTTTCCAGAAAAAGAATCAATTTTAATATATGATATAACAACTGTTTATTCAGATACAAGCCGAAAATTTTTATTATTTTCTATTAGAAGTAACAACGGTAATAAATGGACTGCTATACATATTGATTTTACTATGCTTACTGATAGAAAATGTAATTTTTAATAAATTCAAATATTTTTTTAATTTTTTTCTTATAAACTTTAGGTAAATTAAATGAAGATTCTTTAGATAAAAGCGATTTCAATACATGGAGTTTTAAATACCCAAATAGCGAAAATTCATGTCTTTTTGGAACTATAAAAACTTATTATAGAAAAAAATCAGAAAGACATTGTTTTATAGGAAAAAGTAATATAAAACATTATATTTCAAAAAATTGTACATGTCAGCCACAAGACTATGAATGGTAATAATTGTTCTTAATAATAAGATTTTAGCTAAAATTTCAGTGATTATAATTATGAACGTGCATCCGATGGGAGCTGTCAATTAATACAAGGCCTTAAACCCCTAGATCATTTAGAGGAATGTAAAAAGCACAATCTTCTAGAATATAATAAACCAACTGGATATCGAAGAATTCCTCTTACAACATGCCAAGGAGGCAAAGAACTTGATAAAGATTCAACACCTATTCCATGTCCTTCAAAAGAAAAAAAATTTATAAAATTAGGAAAAGGTTTACATGGTTTCGAATTATTTTGTATTATAATTTCACCTTTTATTATTATTATTTTTGGTAGTTATTGTATGTGGATTTTATATAAAGATAGATTTTTAGGGTAAGTTTTTTATATCTCATTGAATATTTAAATTTATTTTTATAGACAAATAAGACTTGGCGAAGATGAAAGGCCATCTGGATTGATACAGTATCCTATAATACTATTGGATAAAATAACAGTCTTATTTTCTGCCATTCGAACTATTACAAATTATATTATAACTAGAATAATTTCTTTATTTTCTGGCTATAGATTTAATACAAGAAATTCTTTTTTTAGGAATAATTATTCCGCACTTTTATCAGATAGTCCTGAATTACTCTATGATGATTTTGAAAGTTAAAAGACAATTAAGCGTAATTATATATAGGTAATATATTTTATATCTTATTTTTTTAAAGATTCATTTAAATCTGTTATTTAAATATTAATTTTATAATTAAAGCGAATTTTGTATATCATTTGGTATAATTTATTATGATAATTTTTCATTTAAAATTTCAAAAATTATAACCAAAATTATCTATCATGATTCAAAAAAAGGTACTTTAATTGCTCATGAATAATAATTAAAAGTATAATTTTTCCAAATAATATAGTAATTTTAGATCTCACGTATTTATAAAATAACTATACAATTAACTATATAATTTTAATTCTTTAAGCAGTATCCCATGTATATGTCTTAAATATTAGATATATCACTAAAAGAAAGTTAGAGATAATATATTTTTGTAAACTTTACCCTTCAGATAACAATTCATATGCATCTCCTATAACATCCATCAAATCACTAGCTCTCATCGTTCTTTTTTTTCGTTTGAATGCAAGATAAGAACAATAACGTGTTGCAAATGCTGCTCCATACGATGCTAACATTAATAATTCATCTTCATTAAGAGATTTATCATGACTACCATTATTAACATAAATCCCATCTTTATTATCATCATACTCCCATAAATTTTCCAAATATGCCTTTCTCCATGCCAAAAATGTTGAAAGTATACCTGCAAGAACATCTCCCTGGCCACCACACCGTCTAAGACTACCTCTTATATTGACATTAAATATCTTTGAACCATTAGAAATATCGTCTATTCTTCCTTTTTTCAAAATAGTGACCCCACCAAGATTATTAGCAAGATTTTGACAAGAGCTATTTTCATCTAGATGAAATCTATGACAAAGTCTCGAAAATTCTGCAACATTTGGAGTCAAAACACAATTCCTATATCTTTCTAGATTCAGAAAACATATAAAGATATCATAAATGTAAAAACCCCATAATAATTTCTGGATTATCTTGTATACAATAAAAACCATCCTTTTTTTCATCAAATTCGTCCTTATAAAACCTATTAACATACAGCATCAATTACTATAGGAATTTTCCGCTTTCTAGCTTCTACAATTACACCAGATGCTGTTTCCAACATTAAAGGATCTCTTCCAAGACCTGGTCCAACAACAATAACATGTAAACGGTCTAATAACTGAGAAATATTTGACACTATTTTGCTAGAAACGTCCTTTAAATTACAAGTAGAGAGCCTCATCATAGGACAAACAATTAAATCTGGTGAATATGTCTTAATTACTTTTCCTGCACCAGGTTCACATATTATATATCCAAGATCTGCGCCAAAAAGCTATATGCAGCCCATAAGGCATATTTTAAAGAGAGAATATATTAAATTACCATAGAAGACATACAGGAAAAAAAAGGAGCGCCTGTATAACTGCCAAATATTAAAGAATTTCTTAAAAAGTTCCTATAAAACTTCTCTGAGCCACCAATAATACCAATTCTACCTGCTTGGCCCTTATGAAAATGATCCAGGAGTGGAGGAATCATTTTCCTAAGATCTGTCAATATTTTTTCTGGGATAAACATAATTATATGGGGATTTTTTAATTTTATTTTTTTTAGAAGTTAAATATAAAAAAATCTAAAATAAGACTTATTTAGATATTAAAAATACTAAGAAACTAGAATAGGAGGTAATTTCAATCTAATATACTCTTTTTGAGGGAGGAACTAAATGTATATATTAATTTATAATAAAAAAAATAAAGAAATAAACAAAACCTGACTTGCATTCATTTTCATCTAAAGTATGAGATTTAACGGGTCTATATCTCAAAGTAACTTTCCTTGTGATAGGATCTTGCCAACTTAACGTATGTTTCATCCAGTTTTTATCATCTCTTCTGGTAAAATATTAAAAAAATAAATTATTTATATAAAAATACAGACTCTTTATAATCTTCACGTGCATGCGCACCTCGAGACTCCTTTCTGGCTAATGCAGAATGTGCAGTTTGACATGCATTAGTTAGGAGATTTTGTAATTCAAGTGTTTCTATCAAATCGGTATTCCATATTAAGCCTCTATCCTATAAAAGGTGTTATGAGAAAAATAAGAATGTTTAATATTACATACAGTAGTTTTAACATCATTAAAACTTTCGTCAACTTTCATTATATTTTCTACACCTTTTTGTAAAGATTCTTCAGTTCGAAAAACAGAAACATCTGTTTGCATAACTCTTTGCATGTTTAAACGAATTTTTGCAGTAGGAATAGATCCATTGGCATTTCTTAATTTATCAAGATTTTGAATAGAAGCAAGACCAGCATCAGATGAAAGAGGTTTACATGAAGTTTTAGGTTTAAGTGTTTCTTTTATATGATTAGCACATGCTCGGCCAAATACAATAATATCCAATAATGAATTCGCGCCTAAACGATTTGCTCCATGTACTGAAACACATGCTGCTTCGCCAGCGGCATAAAGTCCCGGTACGACCTTATCATTTCCTTCATTATCCAATGTAATTACTTCTCCTGTGAATTTTGTAGGCTAAAAATAGTTATTAATAATGCAAAAAAAATAAAGCCGAATCTTACTATTCCCCCCATATTATAATGTACTGTAGGTAGAACAGGAATTGGATCTTTAGTAACATCTATCCCACAAAAAATTGATACAGTCTCACTTATTCCAGGAAGCCGTTCGCGCAATATATCTGCAGGTATATGAGAAAGTTGCAAATCTATATGATCTTTTAAAGGGCCCGTTCCTCTTCCTTCGCGAATTTCTATAGTTATTGACCTTGAAACAACATCCCTAGATGCAAGATCTTTTGCTGTAGGTGCATATCGTTCCATAAAACGTTCTCCCTTAGAATTCAAGAGATATCCACCTTCTCCTCTAGAACCTTCTGTAATTAAACAGCCAACACCGTAAATGCCAGTTGGATGAAATTGAACCATTTCGAGATCTGATAAAGGCAATCCTGCACGTTGTACCATAGCATTTCCATCACCTGTACATGTATGTGCAGAAGTACATGAAAAATATGCCCTTCCATAACCACCAGTAGCCAAAATAGTTTTATGAGAATTAAATCGATGTATAGTTCCATCCTCCATACTTAAAGCAATTACACCAACACAGGTATCTCCTTCCATAAGTAAATCAAGAGCAAAATATCTAGTTTTAATTTAGAAGATGCTAAATTTAAAAAATATAAGTAAACTCTATAAAAAAATTGGTATTATATTTTAAACTTTGCCCATAAAGTGCATGAAGAATAGCATGACCAGTACGATCTGCAACAGCTGCACAACGATATGCTTGTCCACCCTTCCCAAAATTTAAAGATTGACCACCAAAAGCTCGCTGATAAATTTTTCCATCTTTAGTTCTTGAAAATGGCACTCCAAAATGCTCAAGTTCGATTACAGAACGAGGTGCTTCCCGACACATATAATGAATTGCATCTTGATCTCCAAGCCAATCTGAACCTTTCACTGTATCATACTAAAAATATCAATCATTCCATATATAATGGATCTTAATAAACCATATGCCATCTCCAATCATCTTCTGTCATATTTCCAAGTGCTGCATTAATTCCTCCTTGAGCAGCAACTGTATGAGATCTTGTCGGAAAAAGTTTAGTAACACATGCTGTACTATATCCTGCTTCCGAAAGGCCAAATGCAGCTCTTAAACCTGCCCCTCCTGAACCAACAACAACAACATCATATTCATGATCAACAATTGAATATTTAGAACCAATAAATCCCTTTGCTTGTTTGGAACGTATTGTCTATTTATCTTTTTTAACAAAAAAAAATAAATAAATTAAAAAAAACCTGATTAGATATCGTCTTAAGAACAGGTTTAGATATATGTATCCTCCTTACTCTAATTTTAAAAAAATCTTTCTAAGAAAGTTGTTAGATTTTTATTTTAATCAAAAATCAATAAAGTAAATTTAATATTAAAAATAACTTACATTTAGAAGAAATGTATTCAAATAACACAATTTGTTCAGCATTTAAGAATGCTTTATCTATAAATATTTGCCCAGTCTTATTTTGTTGGTTCAGATTTCGACAGTTAAACTTTAACACTAATTTAATTTATATTTATAAATTATATGAGCTATAAAATTCTTTTAAATTATTCATATTAAATTAAATAAAAGTAATATATTTATTACCTTTTATATATTTTTATATAAAAAATAATATTGAAAATATTAATAAATCATTCATAAAAAATATTTAAAAATAACTTTTTTCTTGTAATGTATGTTTCATATTGGTCCAATATTTAAGTCTATAAAATTTAAAAAATATAAAAAAAGAATTTATGATAAACCGTATAGTTGCTTGTTTAATAATTTGAAAATCCATTGTTTTAAAACCAGATCTAATTTCCATAATTTCCTTTTTAATTTCTTCATAAATTGCCCTTTGTATGGATTGTATATCTGCTTGGCTTTTTGAATTTTCTATTTCTTCATTCAATTTCATAATTTTTGAAAAAAATGTAGTATCTTGATGAGTTTTATTTTCATCTAAAATAGGAATATTGTAAAAAGAAAGTAAATAATCTGCACGAGATAGTGGATCTACAAGTGTTGAATATGCAGTGTTTAGTGTTGATGTTAAAGATTCAGCGAGCATCCGTTGTTTCTTTTAATATTAAACTTTTAAAAAATATTAAAAAAAAGCGATATTACGTCTCCATTCTTTGCATGAATATCAGGATGTATTTTTTTTTGAATTTCTAAATATTCTTTATGTAATTGTTTTGTATCAATTTGAAAATCGCCATCTGGAGGTGGTTCTTTAAGAGATTTGGGGAAAATCTTATAAAAATGAATAGAAGATGGTAATTTCAGAAGTAGTAAACATGAAGAACATATAAGATCCCAAGAATTGCATTTTTTTAGGCAATTCTCGCATTTTTTATTCATTTCTGTTAAAGTTGAAAGTACTCGTACTTTGTATTGAGCTATAAATTGTAAGTTGATGTAATGAATAGTTCTATTGGTTTTATAGGCATTTTTTATACAAAAATACATTCTATTATGACTTCTTAAAGAATATTTAGACGTTTTAAAGGGCTAAAAAAGCATAATTTTCATTTTAAACGGGTTTAATCGTTAATATAGTTTAATAATATTAATAAAATGTTCTTTTTACACCTTTAACCGTATTAAACAGCTAAAAAATTAAATGAAAGTATTAAATAATAGTCTTTAAAAAATTTAATTTATTTTTTCAATTCTATTTCTTTAGATTTATTTTTTCAAAAAAAAATATAAATATATTAATTACAACATAGCCTTAACGACTAAAAGTCAGATCATCAACCTAAATAATTAATAAAAGATATATAAATATCAAAATAACTAACTTTTAATATCATTTTGCACGTTTCTGCGGATAATTCTAAAGCAGATGTGCTTACTAATAAAGGCTGAAAAATATTTTCTTCAAGAATATTTGTAACCATTCCCTTAAAAATAAGTAAGAGAAATTTTATTAAAAAAAAAAAACCTTTCGAACATTAATTCCAGCTGTTATTTCGCCTTTTTCATGTCTATTTCTTAATTCTGTAATTATTTTAATACTATCCAATCCAGCATTTTCAGCAAGTGTGATCGGTATTACTTCTAAAGCTTCTGCAAAAGCCTGAAAACAAAAGGCTTCCGTCCCACTTAACGTCCTAGCAAGCTTCATTAAATGTTGTGATGCTTCAATTTCAGGTGCACCTCCTCCTGCAATAAGCGCCCTATAATGATTAATTATATATCAAAGAAAAAAATAATACAAACCTTTTCTTAACCAAACAGCGAATAACACAAAGAGCATCATGAAGAGAGCGTTCTGCTTCTTCTAAAACAAGTTGATTTGCACCACGACACAATATAGAAACAGTTTTTACAGAACCTTTTACACCTGTGATTTTTACAATATGTTCACCATATGACTGAACTTCTTCTACAAGATCGGCACTCCCAAGTTTATCTTCAGTAAAAGAATCAATATCTGCAATAGGTTTACAACCAGTGCTCTATTATTATTACCAAAAATAAGTTAAAAAAATTATTAATACTTTACAAATAAATTCAATTTCATCACGTTCAATATCTTTAATAACAAGAATTTTTAATTTTGATAGAAAATGAAGAGAAAGATCATTAACAGCATCTCTTAAAATTGATTTCTGTATAAGTAGTACATTACACCCAGTTTTTTTAATTTTTTTACAAATATTAAGTATATATTGTCTTTCTTCTTTTAAAATTCTATCCATTTGACGATAATCGTTAACAATAATTTGATTTTCCAACTTTAAAAAGTCAGTTTAAATATAAAGAAAAAAAAGCATCAAACATCAGGCTTTGGAGGCGACAATTGAAATTGAATTAATCCTATTTTAGCCTTCTCTATTCGTATGGGTCCTCCTGTTGTTTTAATTACAGATTGTGATAAAACAAGTCCGTCTATAAGTTCTGTATCGTCAATAGTACCACCAACCTTTTTAACAATTCGGATATCATAAATATCAACATTATTTGCTGAAAAGGAACTAATGACTTTTGTAATAGCATCTACAGCGATAGGTGCCAATAATACTGAATATTGAGAAACAATCTTTTTGTATAAGATACAAAAAAATAAAAAATATAACATATATTTACCTTTGAATTAAGAGATGTACTTGCAACACGAATAAGTGTGTTTCTATCTGAAAGATCAATTTCTTTCGAACATGCTTCAAGAGCATTGACAGCATGAGCTGCCGCTCTTTGAAAAGATTCCGCAATAATTGTAGGATGAATTCCTTTTTATTAAATCAACTTATTAATATAAAATCCTTATAAAACAAACCCTTTGCCAGTAATTTTTCTGCTGCGCTTAAAAGACTACCTGTAATAACAACAACCGTAGTAGTTCCATCACCTGCCTCAATATCTTGAGAAAATGATACATCTACTAACTAAAACAAATATATCTTAATATTCTTCTTTAAAAAAAACTAATAAAATAAATATTCACCATTTTTGCTGCTGGATGTACAACTGATAAATGTTTTAAAATAGTAGCTCCATCATTAGTTAATATTACATCCCCTTTACTTGTTTGTATCATCTTGTCCATGCCTTTTGGACCTAAAGATGTGCGAATTGTATCAGCAACTGCTATACAATAGTTAGAAACCTTCTTATTAAAAAATACTAACCTTTGGCTGCTGTTATATTTGATAATCTTACTGAATTTGACTTTTCTTTATCTTGAAATTGTTTTGTAAGTTTTGAATCCACCATTCTTAAAGAAAATAAGATTCTTAAGATTTGATTAAGAATTTCTTATGATTTTAAATAACTTTTACTTATTTTTTTAAAATTTTTAATTTTAAGGTTGACGTTATATCGTACAACATAAGATTTTAATTAAATACTAGAATTTTAAAAGAAAAAGGGACAAAGAACATAGATATTCATAAAAATGCCTCCAAAAGAGAATTGGGAAGAATATAAAAAGTAGGGAATGTTTTTTTTCCAAAAAAAAACGACCAAAAATAAAAAAATAATAAGAAAATACTAATAATTATTTTAGAGTTGTAGATGATGATAAAGAAGAGGAGAAAATAGTTCCTTTAGATGATGGCGATATTCTTTTACTGAAAACATATGTAATTATTATTTTTTTTTGAGGAAAAAAGAAATTTTAATGAATAAATTATACAGGGAACAGGACCATATCATGATCTTTTATCTAAAATTGATACAGATATTAAAGAACTTCAAAAGAAAGTAAATGAAGTCCTTGGTGTTAAAGAAGCAGAAACAGGTGTTCTTGATAGGCGTTTTTGGGATCTTGCAAAAGATAGACAACGTATGTCAGAAGAACAACCTTTACAAGTAGCACGTTGTACAAAAATTATTCAGAATAAAGATGATCTTGAAGCAAATAAATATGTTATTAATGTCAAGCAAATTGCAAAGTTTGTTGTTAAACTTGGTGATAGAGTGAGTCCTACAGATATCGAAGAAGGAATGCGAGTGGGGTATAATTTTTATATTAATAAACCATTTATTTTTTTGTTTACAAAGAAATAGAGTTGAGCGACAGAAATATGCTATACAACTTCCGTTACCTCCAAAAATTGATCCTTCTGTGACTATGATGCAAGTAGAAGATAAGCCAGATGTTACATATAATGATATTGGTGGCTGTAAAGAACAAATAGAAAAATTGAGGGAAGTAGTTGAACTTCCTCTTCTTCTGGTATAATATATTAGTGATATTTCATATTTTTTTAATTATAATTAGCCAGAACGCTTTGTAAATCTTGGAATTGACCCCCCTAAGGGTATTATGCTTTATGGCCCTCCTGGAACAGGAAAAACACTTTGTGCTCGGGCTGTAGCAAATAGGACAGATGCAACATTTATTCGTGTAATTGGATCAGAATTAGTTCAAAAATATGTGGGTGAAGGTGCACGTATGGTTCGTGAACTTTTTGAAATGGCAAGAACTAAAAGAGCTTGCATCATTTTTTTTGATGAAGTGGATGCTATTGGGGGTACCCGTTTTGATGATGGCGCTGGTGGAGATAATGAAGTTCAACGAACAATGCTTGAATTAATTACTCAATTGGATGGATTTGATCCGCGTGGTAATATTAAAGTAATGTTTGCAACCAATAGACCAGATACATTAGATCCTGCTCTATTACGACCAGGGAGGATTGACAGAAAGGTTGAATTTAATTTACCAGATTTAGAAGGACGTACAAATATTCTAAAAATTCATACACGATCGTAAGCAATACTTTTTTATATAATTTTTTTTAACCAGAATAGAATGTCTGTAGATAGAGATATTCGATGGGAACTTATTTCTCGCTTATGTCCCAATACAACTGGTAATATACATTAATTATTTTAGGTTATTTAAATAAAATTCTATAGGTGCTGAATTACGTTCTGTTTGTACGGAAGCAGGAATGTTTGCTATTAGAGCTCGTCGAAAAGTAGTTACAGAAAAAGATTTTCTCGAATCTGTTAACAAAGTATTTTTTTTTATAATATTAAAATAATTCTAAAATTTCATCTTTAGGTAATCAAAGGCAATCAAAAATTTAGCTCTACATCTCAATATCTTCAATTCCAATAATTCAAATAATATTTCATATTTTAAAACATATATTCGTTTTAAAAAACTTATTTTCTATATATTTATTTTTTTTTACGTTCATGTGCGCTGAGGGGTCAACGTTCAATATTAAAATATGGAACCTGTTATACAGAATGTAAGAAAAGATTAAATCTAGCATAAATTTATCATGTTTATGTTTAATATTTATAAGGAAATAGGTTTTTAGATGGTCAGCCCTTGTAGCAGGTATAGGATATGGATATACACATCGTAATACATTAGCAGTAAAAAAGAAAAAAAAAGAGCAAGAAGAATTATATAAACGTAAAGAAGATGTTATACACAAGGCACGGATAGAATATGCAAAACTTCATACGCTATCTTTATTAAAAGCGAATAGTTTAGGTAAAAAAGAATTTAATAATATAATTAAATGATAATTATAACTAATTTTTGTAGATTTAAATGATCCAAACTTTGATTTAGAAGCATATTTAAATAGGCTAGAAGAAGAAAGTTTACATTAATATTTAAAGATAGTAAAGGATACTTATTTGAAAGAAAAAGAAAAAGAAATGATAACAAAATGTAAGATATATTATGCTTGGACTTTTCCAAATAAGGACTCTATGAAGTTTCACTTCCCCATAATTTTATTGTTCGATCCCAGCCTGCAGAAATAATCCAATGATTATCTTGAAATTCATTAAAAATGCTTTAATATAATAAAAAATACCTTTTGAAATATCTACACTCATTACTTTATCTGGATGACCAATTAAGCTTTTTATTAAAACCCAATCATCCGAGCTCCATATCTTATAATTGTATTAGTATATATATAAGTATTTTATAACCTACATTTACTCTTCCATCATAGCCACTTGAAACAAGGTAAATTCCTGAAGTTGTTGGAATTAATTCTTTGCTTTGAATCAATACTTCTTCATGAGCAGTTTTAAAAAATCTAACATCAGAGACCAAATTTTTATGTGCAGGAATCGTAGATATACATTTTATTTTTCGAACATCCCAGATCTTAATTGAATCATCTGCTGATCCTGATGCAATTTGGTAACCATTGGGAGAAAAGTCAAGGGATTGAATAGGTTTAATATGCCCATCTAAATTCATAATTGTACGACCTGTCCGTAAATCCCAGACCCTTCCAACAGCATCAAGTCCCCCAGAACATACTAATGCACCATCGTTTTGAAAAGAAATAGCGTAAACCTCTCTAGAATGTCCTTCCTGCCGCAAAAGTTCTGCAGTTGTTGTTATATCCCATAAACGCCATGTACCATCAAACGATGCACTTCCAATATAATTTCCTGATGGATGAAATTCTACTCTACAAACCCTATTTTCATGACCCTTCAGAATAGATATTGGGGTCTCGCTTTTTAAATTCCATAAACAAATATCACCTTCACCCCCTCCTGTGATTAAATTTATTGCTTCTTCTGAAACACCTCCAATAGTAGCCCCGGGATTCCATGATATACCTCCAATTTTATCCACATGGTAACGAAATTTGTGTTTTTCTTCTAAATCAGGAATCGAATAAAGTTTACATGTTCCAGACCATGATCCTGATGCAATATACTGAGAATTTGGTGAAAATCTAGCAATACCAACAGGTCTATCTGAACATATTTGAGATCCCAAAGAAATATAGGTTTTCAGTTCCTTATTTATTGCCTTTCTATGATTAATAATTTTCATCAAAGGAATACGAGATTCAAGTTTTTGTCGTGCTATTCTTGTTCGTGCTCTTCCTCATATAAACATATATAAAAAATTTTATCTATTTTTAAATACCTGTTTAATGAATATTCTGCAATCCTTCTTCTACAAATAAGAAGTTCTTCTGTACCACTTGTATAAAACTCTTCTTCAATCTATAATGTCAACTTTTATACATAAAAAACATTCCCATTTCATACTTCTTCTGTTTCTTTTTCTGAAAATGTCACTGTCCCATCAAAGTTACTTAATAATTCTCTTAACCTATCTCTACGATCTGCTGGTCCTTCTCCAAAAAGTGTAATAGGTTTGCCTAGTTCACGAAGTTTTGCCCGCACTTTCCCATCATCTGTAGGTATGTAAATACTCTTTATTTTCTGTCGCCGTTCAAATTCTGCCAAAATAATTTGTTCTTTCTCTGAATAACGATTATATTCATTTGAAGCTTCATTTTCTCAACAAAAAATAAGATTTTTCAATCAAAATAGATCTTTTATATTTCTACCAAGATTTTCTACTACAATTCCGTTATTAATAAGCTTATATATAATGTTAATAATGATTATTTCTTTCAAATAATTCTTTACCATTTTTTCATGTTTTTTAAAAGGTTTTTAATGTTTTTTCTTTTTTAAACAAAGATATTCAATGATTAATAAGACATTAATAAGATATTAAGCAAATATTAATAAATTTGTTAATATTTTTTGAAAGGTTAACTCGATTTTTAATAAAATATTTAAAAATTTTAAAAAATATAAAAATAAATTTTAATAAAAATAATAGAAAATAAAATATTTATTATTATTTTTATATTTTTTAAAATTTTTAAATATTTTATTATCATTATGGAATCATTTCTTAGAAACCGTATAAAAAAGACAGAAATAATTGAGAAAATAGAGGAAAAAGATGAAATTAAAAAGGTATATTAGTGAACTTCTTTAAATATTTATTGGATCATGGTTTTATAGGAAAAAAAATCTAAAAAGTTTTTTACATATGAATTTGTCTTTGTTATTATCTTTATATTAAGTTTTCTAACACGGTTTTATGATATTCATCATCCTTCAGAAGTAGTGTAAGAATTTCTTGGTAATTTTTTATATTCTTATACTTTATTAGTTTTGATGAAGTTCATTTTGGGAAATTTATGTCATTGGTTTTTTTTATAATTTATTTAATAATATTTAATAATTGGACAGTATCTTAGGAGAACATACTTTTTTGATGTACATCCTCCATTTTCTAAACTTTTACTTGCATTTTTTGGATGGATAATTGGTTATATTTTAATTTTTGTATAATAAAATAATAATTTTTAAAAGGATATGATGGCCATTTTCTTTTTGAAAATATCGGAGATTCTTATATTGAAAATAGTGTTCCTTATGTATATATTCGATTGGTTCCAGCATTTTTTGGTGCTATGGTAGTTCCTCTGGTATTCTTAATTATGAAACATTCAGGACATAGTCTTCTTTCATCAACATTTGCAGCATCTCTTGTTCTTTTTGGTATATATATATGTTTCTATAATAAATACAATTAATATCTTTTTTTATAGATAATGCTCAAGTGACTCAATCTAGACTTATTTTACTAGATTCTATATTAATTTTTTTAATGACGTCTACATTGTATTGTTATATTCGTTTTTCTAATATAAGATATCTTGAATTTTCTTTTGTTTGGTGGAAATGGCTTTTTTTAACTGGTTTATTTTTATCATGTACAATTAGGTAATTTTTAAAATTATTGATTTTTAAATTTTAAGGTATTAAAGTACAAAATATATTGGATTATTTACATATATGGCTATTGGTGTAATGGTTGTTATAGATTTATGGGACCTTTTAGATATTCGTAAGGGATATACTTTGGTAAATTTTGTAAAATTTATGATTTAATCCTTAAAAATATTTAGAATTATTTTACTAAACATTTTATTGCTAGAGCCATATCTCTTCTAGTATTTCCATTTATTCTATATTTACTTTGGTTTTATATTCATCTTAGTATTCTTTCTAAGACAGGACCAGGTGATAGATTTATGACTCCATCTTTTCAAGAAACTCTAGATGGCAATATTCTTTCTTCTAGCTCAATTGAGGTTAATTATTATGATAAAATTCTTATAAAACATAAGGAAACAAATGCTTTTCTTCATTCACATACGGCTAGATATCCTTTACGGTATAATGATGGTCGTATTTCATCTCAAGGTTTAATTATTATATATATATATATATATATATATTGATTTTAATTTAAAATATATAGGCCAACAAGTAACTGCATATATACATAATGATACAAATAATCATTGGATTATTGAACCAGCTTATTTATCTAATGAAACATTATTGAAAAAGCGTGTATTAAACAATGATTATATTAGATTGAAACACGTTTCAACAGATACTTATCTGTTGACTCATGATGTGGCATCTCCTAGATATCCAACTAATCAGGAATTTACTACTATATCAAATCAATTGAAAGATCGTTATAATGAGACTATATTTCAAATTAAATGTGAATATGACAAAAATAATTCCGTTCTTAAAACAAAAGGCAAAACATTTAAATTAATTCATAAATTAACAGGTGTAGCAATGTGGTCTAACAAAGATCCTTTGCCTGATTGGGCTTTTAAACAACAAGAGGTTAACGGTAATAAAAAAATAAAACAAGAGCATAATATTTGGCTTATTGATGAAATTGTTGACTTGAATGATACTAGTATGTTTATTTATGATAAATTATTTTTTAATTAATATAGGTCGCGAAATCAAAAATTATACACTTAGAAGTCTTTCATTTTTTAAAAAATATATAGAATTACAATTTTCTATGCTTCGACACAATAATTTGCTAACTAAGTCTCATCCTTATTCATCATATCCTATCGAATGGCCAATATTAAACAGGGGAATTAGCTTTTGGACTAAGGAATCTGAATTTAAACAAATATACTTATTGGGAAACCCACTTGGATGGTGGTTCACTTTCTCATTTACGATTATTTTTGTTATTGTTATAATTTCAGATCAAATTTTATTACGAAGAGGTTTAAACTTAATTAAAGAATGTAAGAATTTTAAAAATATTATATAAAAATAATATTGATTGTTAAATAGCTCGTGAATTGTTCTACAATTATACCACATTTTTCTTTTTCTCTTGGATGCTACATTATTTTCCATTTTATTTAATGCGCCGCCAGCTCTTTTTACATCATTATCTTCCTGCACATATTTGTTCTGCACTTCTATCAGGATCCCTATTTCAATTATTATTTGAAAAACATAGTAAATCATTGATTTCTTCCTATTTTTTTAAAAAAAATAAAGACAAAATAAATATAGGAAGAGAAAAAATAATTAATACACAAAACAAGGCTAAAATTATGTTCATGATATTGACAAGTTCTCTTTTAGCATGTTTTATTTTTTTCTCTCCATTTACATATGGTAAACCAGGATTAACTTCTAATGAATTATATAAAAGGAAATGGTCTCCTAACTGGGTATTTTAATTTTAAGATCTATAAATATTTCCTAATATAAATTTGTAGGATTATGCTTACTTAAAGTATATTGCTAAATAGACTTAATAATTTTTATAATTTTTAAAATATTTCTTCTATAATATAGACAAATTATTAGTTTTAATTGTTTTTAAAAATTATAGAATGATAAAAATGTATTTTTTTAAATAAATATTTTAAATATGTCAAATATATACTTTTATTTTATATGATTTAGTTTTGAAAATATAAAATTGAATGTGCATATTTAAAACAAAATAGTTTATAGATATCGAATTTCATTAATTTCTGACCCTGTTCTATCATGATTATTATTTTTATCTACTAATTTTTTCATTTTTATCCATTCTTCTTGTTTAAATTCTGTTCCTCCAAAATCGCCAATATCGATAATAGAAACAACTCCATCTAATCCTCCTATTGCAATTCTCTTCCCTTCATAGCTTTCCCAAGATAATTTATTTAATGCTTTGTTAGTAGAAGATGTTGTAGATGGAAAGATTTGTGCAACTGGCATCTAAATTCTTTTAGAAAATCTAAGAAGAAATTTTTATTTTTACCTCTGTATTGGCATCTAAATTCCAAATTTCAAGAGAACCACCACCATTTACAGATGCCCATATACCAGGTCTAATAGGACTCCATTTAATATCATAAATCATTTCACCACAATCAAACTCCATAATTGGAATATTAGAATTCAAATTGTGATCTTTATCTAAATGATTTGTATTTAAAACTGTTGATGGCTTTATTTTCCATAATTTAATACTCCAATCTAAACTTGAACTCAAAACAAGATTACCAAAGTCCAATGGTCCTTTAGAAGAATGAAATGAGATAGATGTTATCGGACCCATATGACCCTTGTATATAAGCCCAGGATTAATACCAGCTTTTACACCTGCTCGATTATACCTATTAACAAAATAAATATTCCCTTCATCAGTGCCTACGAGAAAAGTTGTTGGGTCCGATTCTGGAAATTCTATACATCTAGAACAAATATCATCGTATTTAAAAGATGACGGAGCGGTTAACTCAAGTATTTCTTGTGGCTGCGTGAGCATATCAACTGTCCAGGCACAAACAATTCCATCTGTACTCATACTGATAATATTGTTTGCATTAGACGTACCAACAATTTTTACACTATAGACAGGATGTGAATGACCTGTACACGCTAAAGGTGTCATAAGAACAGGAAGAGAATTTGCTCTTGTATCCCATAGAAGAATTTGTCCATTATAAGATCCACCAATAATCAAATTAGAATGAAAAGGTGAAAACTTTGCTGATAAAATATCACTCTTTATGAGGGTTAGATAATTATATATGATAATTCAAGATATCATATTAAACCTGGGAATTAAAGATATATTCAGGTCTATCATGTAGATGCAAATTCCATATCATAACATGACCATCAGAGTTTGAAAAAATTCCTTTATTTTTTGAATAACTAGCTAAAGATAATTCTTTAAAATGATTACTCCAGTCTAAATCAGTGATCACTTTTTTCGATGTCCATTTTTCACATTGAAATTGCATTACTTCTTTAATCTTTTTTTCTGTATGTTTGTCCTTGCTTAATGAATAATCTTCTGAATAGTCTATAGTTGGTTGATATTCCTCATCCAAAACTCGTTCAATTATTTTTGATGATTTTTCTATAAAATTTTGAAATAAAGTAGAATTAAATATATCATTTCGTTTTTCATCTTTTAAAATTTCGATTTTTATATCTATATTCTGTTCTTCTTTCCTACGAATTTCCTCTTTTTGAAGCTCTTCATCTAATGCCTGTTTTAACCGAATTTCCACTTGAGCTTCAATATCTATTTCTTTTTTTGGGGGGGTATTCAACTCAAACGATGTTTGAATCTCTTTATTATATGTTATAGGCTTCAATTCTTGTTGTAAAGGCGGTATATTAAAAAGATGAATAGGAGGCGTCACTGACAATGTATAAGCATTTTGAATACTAATTTTCCTAAAAAAAAACTGATTAATAAATTAAACTGGATTATACTATTGGTTTCTACTCTTTTGTTTCCCTTTTTTCAACTTTTAAGGGCATTTCTCCCTTCAAATCCTCTTTTTCCTCTATTTTTGTGTCTGCCATAAGACGTGTCACAAGATCATCAATTTCCTTCTTATTATCAAACATGTTTTTCTTTTCCTAATAGAACCATATTAATTTTTTAAGATAAACTAATTCAATTTCTTTACAACTTGTGACATTGTTTCATCTGATGCTTTTGAAAGTTCAAATTGTCCTCGGCGTTCTTGAATATGACGCCGAAATGCTGCAAGTTTGTTCCGTTTTTCTTCAATTTCTGCTTTTCGGCGCTCCATTTCAATTTTTATTTTTATTTAAAATCTTCTTTTTTAATATATTTTTTATCTTAAAAAACTGATTTTGACAGATATTAAGTATTAAAAATGATTCTTAAAATACATTTTATAAGATAAATATCATCTAATAGAAAGAAATTGCAGGAATTAGAAACACCAAAACAAAAATTTGTATTTTGAAAATGTTTTTATATCGGTTTTTTAATCTTATCGAGATAATCGGATAAGATTAGATATTAATATATATTGAAATTTTTTTAGAAAAAATATTTTAAAAATAAAGTTATACGCAAAAAAGAGTGTGTGGAAATAGAGTTGTTAGAAAGGAAGCATCTAATATGATTAAAACCAAGACAGTTATATCATCGGGCTTTCTATTTGTTTATTAGTTATCTGAAATGAATAATTAATGACTAATTGTACCCTCCTTTATAAAAAAAATGATGTTTTCTAGCTTCTTGAGCAAATGGTGTATCAATTTTTGTGTTTTGTGCAATTTTTTTTGCAGAAACAACAAGATGTTTAGAAACTTGTGTAGCGACTAATAATTGATCTTTTGAAATATTGCCTTCATATGGCAAGACATTTTGTCCTGATTTTAACCAAATTCCTGCATTAACAAGTGTTTTTGTAATAATCATTTCCATATTCTCAAAAAATAAATTATCTAAAACACCATCTGTTGCAAATACAATTACATCCCCATGTTTTAAATCATGATTATATATATCTGCATCATCTACTTCATTTTTTAAATATGTTTTCCCCCCTTCTTTACTTTGTTTTAAAAGATCTAAAGGAATCTTAGAAAGCTGAAAAGGTGCATTAAAAAAATGGGTCTGTATATTCGATTTGAATAAAAGAATCCCGTTACGATAAATTGAATATCCCGAATCTCCGAGACTGATCATTTTTATAAAGAGTCGCTCTCTTTTTAATATATCTTACTTTATGATTTTTATATTTCCTTTTTCATAATAAAATTGACCCAAACATACTGTTGCTCCCCCTCCAACTATATTTTTGTCCATTAAAACCTCTTCAAACCCTTTTTTAAGAGCTTCTACTATCGTATCTTCTTTTTTTGTCTGTTCTTTAAAAATATTTTCTGTTTTTTCACTTATTCCCCATGAAAAACATTTGACATCAATATTAGATGTTTCCCAACCCCCAACTCCATCAAAAATACCAACTGCTATTTCTTTTTTCCCTCCAATTTCTTTAAGTTCCGATACAAAAAATGAATCCTGAATATTCTTAAATCTCCAATCTATCTATTCTTGATCTATTCTTTACTTGACTTGTATTTCTTATTCTTTTTTTTAATGTTTCCCATGAATTATCCAATGAACTTAGTATAATCTTAGATGTTTGGGATTTCTTGCCAGGAGAACATGCTACTGAGATAACAGGAAGATATTGATTAATAAAAGATCTTGTAGAGAAGGCTTTAACTATATTAAGAAGAGGTTTTCTGAAGGAAATAAAAAAAGGCATTTTTAAGAACTTAAGAGTAGGGTTAGACCTACCCTTTATCAATGAGATTAAGAATTTCTTATCGAATCTTAAGTTTTTAAAAATCTTAGGATGTTAAGAGCTGTGTAAGTTTTTCTTAGTATTTTTTTCTAATTTCTGTATTAAATTGTTTAAAGAAAGCCGAGAAATGCAAGATCAAAAAGGGAAATTGAAAAACGGGAGCCTAAAATACAGGAATCTGGACGGACAGTTCTTTTTTTACGAGGATCAACAACAAACAGAGTAATTCAGACAGCACTTTTAGATTTGGTAGGAAAATAATAAAAAAAGAGAAAATCCCCGAATTCTCTGACTCAATGGTATTTAGTATTTGTTAAAGAAACCTAATGCAATCAATTTTTCTCGAAAAAATAAGATTTATCCTTTTGAAGATACAAGTTCATTGAATTTTTTATCAGAAAAAAATGATGCAAGTTTTTTGGTTATAGGAAGTTATGGAAAGAAACGTCAGAATACGTTAATCTTTGTTCGTATGTTTGACTATCAAGTTCTTGATATGCTTGAGTTGCGTATTGAAAATGCAGTGTCAATGATAGAATTTAAAGTATGTTTTTTTGATAATTAGAAAGAAATATGGGTTTATACTGATATTATAAGAATGAAAAATGTTTTATTGGGTTAAAACCAATGATTTTATTTGCAGGATCATTATTTGAATCATCTCCAAAATATCAATTATGTAAATCTATGTTTCTTGATTTTTTTCATGGTCAAACAACAGATCGGTTGAATATTGAAGGTATTCAGTATGCTGTATGTCTTTTAACTGAAGAGCCTACGGATGAAAATCCTTTTCCTCCTATTTTTTTTCGTGTATACATGATTAAATATTTAAAGGAAAAACAAGTAGGCTCAAAGATAGAATTGGAAGAAATGGGGCCACGGTATGATTTTTCAATTAAAAGGACTCATGAAGCAAATGAGAAAATGATGAAAGAAGCTATGAAAAAACCAAAAAAACATCTGCCTAAAATCAAAAAGAATATTGACATTGATAAAATGGGTGATAAAATTGGACAAATTCATTTAGAAAAACAAAATATTAATCAGCTTCAAACACGGAAGTTTAAGGGGTTAAAACGGAAGATTGAAGATAGTATTGAGGATGAATCTTTTAATAAGAATGGTAAAAAACATCATCGAGTTACTTTTAAAGATGATTTAACATTACATACCTAAAATAAGCAGTTTTAAATGTTTTAATACAATGTGCAGTATATAATTTTGAAAAGGATATATATTAAACTTTTATTTAAAATACTCTATGACATTTTATGTAAATATTTATAAAACTATATAATATTTTGTTTATTTAGGAGTATATATTATAATTGACAATAACATAATTACTAGTATCTATTAAGTTGAAAGATTCTTATATTAAAAATAGCTAATTTTCTGAATCAAAAGTAATATATTGAATTAACATAAATAACTCATAAAAAAATGTCTTTTTCCTAAAATCTAAACGAATTTTCGGTATATTTGTCTTCTTTTCATCCTGAAATTCATCTCCAAACCATTTTATCTTAAGTTTATATTCAAAACCACTCTGAAGAACAGAAGTGCGTGCAAGTTCACACATGTCTACAGCAGATAAATTCCAAATCTTAAATGTTAAATAGAGTATAAACTTATAAATTTCATACCTGAGTAGCAATAGCATATTCTTCAAGAAGTGGATCCTCTGTAAAATGAAATTGAACGGGATCATCTGTAGAAAGCGTTACATTTAATCCTCTTTTAAAAAAAAGTGGAAATGGGTTTTCATGAAACCTTAAAAATAATAAATTATTCGATATTGGAGACATAGAAATTCCAATTTGAGCTAAATAATATAAATATTGTATTGCATAATTTTTTTCTAGCAAAATTCCATGATTAATAGAATAACTTGTTAAAAATGAACATGCAAGATGGTTAATATCTCCTGCTTCTCCAGAATGTGGCCTAAATAGGAAAGTATTGAATCCTCTTTCTCTTCTCCAATGATTAAGAATTGCCGTATTCATATATATATAATAATGCCAATAAAAATATGGTGGATTTTCCAAATAATCCCAAGATGGAGTTAAAAATTCAGAATCTAGTTCAATTTCTGGCTTTGATTCATCATCTACAGAATCAAAACCAACAACTCTTTGTAAAAAAATATGAAGCTTAGGATTTTTAGATGGATCAAGGGTTATTTCAAAAAGTGGCTGAAAAAAATCTATTAAAATATAAGTATTAAAAATTAAATTTAGTCTTCTACTTTTTATATGTTCCTCCATGTTGTTGAGAGTCCCAATCTTTTTAAAAACATTATAAATTCGAGGAACTTGTATTATCCAGCGAACATTTGGTGAAAATAAATTGTTATCAATAACCCATTCTGCTAACTTATCCCATTCATCTAATGATCTACTTATAATTAGCTTTATATAAATTAATTATAAAACGAACATTCCAAAAATAGTAAGTCTATATTCTGCCATTTTATATTTATCAGCTTCCAATTTGTTAATAAGCTCTATACAAAATAAATATAGAATAAATAGTAAATAGCAGGTAAATACCGCGTGTAAGCTCCGCAAAATATTTTCCTTTCATATAATTATCTGTACTTAAGAAAATAGTTTTAAATATGGGTCTTCCAAATGGATTAAATTTTGAATTAAATACTTCAAAATGCTGAAACGTATCTTTATAAGCCTTTTTAGGATCAATCTGATATATAATTTCATTTTAAAAACTTACATGCATATCAAGAATATCAATTGTAAGATCATATGCAGTTAAATTTAAAGAATCAAATACATCTTTTAATGTATGATATTTTCCATCTTGATATAACACAATATCCTATCAAAAAAATTAAATAAAACATCTAAAGAATTATAAGATTATACATTTGGAGAATTTTCCAGTTTTCTTTTTATAAATTCCAACAAATGTTTTTGAGTAGCCTATTAATATAAGTACTATATTCATTTATATAAAATATTATTAACAGTTGCATCGTGATGAATATGCGTATCAACTTTTCTAATATTATAAAAGTCTCTATGGGGAATTTGCTTTTATATATTAGTATCTCATTTTTTAAAAAAAAAAATACTTTAATTCTTATGATTTCGTCTTTTTCATGAGATATTATATATTTTTCCCATTCATCTTCTAAATTTTTTAGTCTTTCAGAAGCAAATTTCTTGATTGATTCATCATTTATTACAATGTAAATTTCTTTAAGATTTTCGTAGAATTCGCATATTGTTGGAACAGTTAATACTGGATTACCAATATCCATATCTAAATTAAATAATTAAAGGCTTTAAATTTAATTTTTCCTAATAATTATACCATTTTGGGATGAATATGTTTGAAAAATTCCTGAACTTTCATATCTATATTTTATTTGATTATCTTTACCTGGAATTACACATTTCTCAATCTCAAATTTTTCATTATCTTTTGGATATATGTTCCATACTTTTTCATGTCTTGGGTTATCAATATGACGTTGAAGTGAAAATTTAATGTACTGATTGCGAAGTATAAGACATTTATATAAAGAAGAACATGTATTTTTTAAATTTTTCATTGACTTTAAATCTGTTGTATTAGAAATCAGATATATAAATAAATATATTTAAGAATTCTACTGCTCTCACAAATTGTCCTATCTTCATATAGATTTTGAGCCTCTTTATATAATGTATAATATTCTCGAAAATATAAACATCTATTAAATCTTTCTTGAACTTCCCTTGGATTTATATTTAGTTCAATTTCATTTTTATAAGAACTATTTGTACATTTTTTTATACATGTTTTATTTTCTAATGAATTTAATTTTTTAAAAGATAAAAGATAATTGTGATTTTCCTGCTAAAAAAGAATTAATATAATAAGATAATTTATATACACCTGTACATACATTCTTTTCTTTTTTTCCATAAGATAACCCTTTAAAAATGAGATAATCAATGCAGCAAAAATCATTAAAAAAATGAGCTTCTTCATAAGAATTTAAAAAAGACCTATTAGATTCCTTATCTTTTTGATCCATCTTCATTTTATCTTATTAAAAGTTTAGTTTTATAAAAATAATTTTTGTAAAATCTTCCTATCATTTGAAAAGTATTTATTTTTTAAAATATTTATTAGTGTTAAAATAGGTTTTTAAAATAAGCAAAAACCTATATACAGAAATGTAATAAAATGATTGAGAATTAATAATATTTTGTTTAAAGAATTAATAATCTTTTTTATAAAATTAGAATTCCCTTATTTTTATAGAATCATTTAAGAATTGTAAATTATAATGATAAATTGAGTTAGATTTTTTGTGTTTATTTTCGTAAGGTTTTTTGGATATTATTGTATAGTTAGTTAATTGATAATTTTTGAATTTGTATAGACAGTTAAGAAATTATTCATTTTTGTAGAATATTTACTTTTGGTGATTTTTAGTTTTCATTTTTATATATATATGAAGAATTAAATGTATTTCTATTTTTCTCAATTCTCTTCTTTCTTTTTTGTTTAGCAATATGTTTAACGTTGAGATTAGAAAAGAAAAGATCCAAACGTAAATTATTAGGTGTTTTCGGATATAAAACGTTCATCAATTCGGCATATTCATTATTATTCAATATCTTTTCACAACTAACAATATGTACGTTTTTATTATTTATTTGATTAAAAAAAGACTCTTTGCATAATTTTGACGTATGAACAATCATTTTATATGAGCATGTAGAAACTTCTGATATAAACATAATTTTGTCATAAGTATCAGGTTCACATATATACTAAAAAATTATTTAAATATAAAACTCTTATCTGAAAAAAATACCTGAATTTCAATATGTCGATTATCTTGAATAAGATTACAATATGTACCTCCGTGCATTCTCTGACTAATATAATAAGAATCTCCATTATATTCTATTTTAGACGGAAGTTCTGGTTCTTTTTTCTTTGTAGTTGCATTTAACTTTCCTAAAAAATAATAATTTTCACTTTGATTCTCTAACATACGAAGACCTCTTTGAGTACCATCCCATTCTTTTTGATGAAATTGTTTTGCATATTTATTATAACAAAAAACATATGTCCACCATCCTTCCAACTATTTTTAAATTATTTATATTTTAAATATTTAAATCATTTCCTACATAATAAATACATGTATTCTCCATAGAAGATAATAATTTTAGCCCTTTTTCTAATGCCTTATCTGCTTCTTGTTCTTTTTTAATTTTTTCTTCTGGAGTTTCTTCATTTTCTATTAACTCATCATTAACTTTAGGTATTGTGCAGAGATATTCCTCGTTTTTAAGCTTTAATATCTCATATTCTATATCATCCTTATGTGTCCTATTGTCAGTTAAAAGACGATCATTGACTATTCCTCTTGATATAGGCATTTTTTTAAAGTTTATTTGATAACGTGGTTGACTTAAGATCTATTTTTGATGAAAATGATTTTTTTAAATAAAAAAATATACATCATCATAAACAGAAAACCCGTAAATGTGTATGAAAGGGAGAATTATCCATAAAATTATGTTTTTCTTCATTTTTTCTTGATATTCAGAAAAATTAAAGAGCCGAATTATAAATAAAAAGTAATAGAACCTTGAATAAAATAATATGAAATACTTATTTCTAAAGGATATATTTATCTTTAAAAAGAAAAAGAATTATATATTTATTTTAATTGAATGTTGTTTTTAAGATATAGGTTATGAAAAATTAAAAATAAAAATGTTATATGAATAATTGAAATAATATTTTATAATAAGATTAAAATAAATAAAATATCAGTAATATTATTAGTAATTATGAAATTACTTTATAAATGATGAAAATGCAAATTTAGAGAGAAAATTTATATATGATGAATTATAAATAAGAAATATAGATAAAAATTCATTTATACAAGTAAAATTGCATTGACGCAACCTAAAAGCTATTAATATAAATGGATAAAAAAAGTTAAATACCATCGTTTTCAGGATTATTTGTTATTTGAGCATACTATATATATTATAAAATGAATAAAAATTATGTATTTGATACTTTTCCCCAGACTACCTTTCCTCCAGGTGTTACAAGACCCATTTCACTTACATTTACCTCAATAATCTATATAAATTAGAAGAACTATAGACATACTTGTTTTTTATTTACAGTTCCTTTTGTTAGAACACCTAATTGTGTATACATAGGAGATTGGGGATTTTTTTTAACACCGAGGATAGGAAACTGCATGGTTACTGCCAATTTTGGATGAGTAACATTGGCTTTTTTTTGTCGAAGAGCCATAGGTCTTAATTAATTAGATATTTATATTAAAAAAGACTAAAAAACCTTATAAATCTCTTTTCAAAAGTTAAATAAACATTATAAAAGACTTTTAAAACATATTTACCTCATATTTAACAGGTTTTCGTGTAAATCCTTCCCCAACAAATGTTGCTTTTGTAATCAATCGTTTCCATGATTTTTTCTTGCTTTTCCCTGTTTTAATAACCTTAAATATCTCCTCCTCTGAAATTCCACGAACTTTCGGAAGAGGAACAGAATATCTTCCTTCCTTATCTTTTCTTTTTTGTTTTACCATATTCGAAAGTATTTTAGCTTGTTTTTCATCTCCACGATCTAATAGATATGTCGGTACTGCTCCATCAGGAATGCTATTTGGTATCTTTTCTTTTATATTTCTCTTTTCATGCTCTTTAATTCTATCCGAAAAACTAATAAATAATCTTAAAATAGTAAAAATAATCTTACAATTTTCTCATTTTAATATTTTCCTGTCGCCGTTGTTTATTATAGATTTTTGCTTTAATTCCTCTTAATTTTCTTGAACATTCTGACTTTTTATGAACCAAATGAGCCTCTCTTTTACGTCTAAAATACCTTAATCTTATTTTATTTGATTATAAAATAAAACTACTTTCTTTCCTCAAAATCAAGACGGCGGCCTCTTTTTTTAATGTGATTTTCAATATAATCCCCTTGGGGCTGCTCATTTTTAATAAATATTAAAGAAAAATAAAATTAAAACCATTTTTTAAGTATAATTTAGACAAAATTTAAACTTTTTATAGATTTTTAGAAATATCAGACGTTAAAGTCCTAGCCCGATAACCTTCAAAATTATTAAAAAAATATATATTTATTAATTTGAAGGAAAAGGGTTTTTAATGAAGAAATGGAACATATTTAGTTCTTCAAGAAGATGTCTTTTATTATTTTTTCGAAAAAACGGGGTTTTTATAGGCAAGTTTGAGATAGAAATAAAGAAAAATAGTTATAAACTTCTTATGATTTTTATTTAGAAAGGAAACTTTTTTTTTCAAAGAATAAAGGACTACTTCCTCCGTTCTTTGCTAGGTTTATTTCCTTATCTCCTAAAATTAAATCATCAGTTGAATCTACATCATTAATTACTACGCCATTTAAAAAATTTCTATCTGAACCTTCTTTTTATGCTGTTATACATATATATGGCCGATCTTTTATTGTTACAGAAGGGGATGTTGTTACACTTCCTCAAAGATTGTGTGATGTTAAGCCTGGTGATATAATTAGGTTAAATTCTATCTCTAAATTGGGGTCAAGAAATTATACATTAAAAGGTCAACCGTATATAGATGAGAAACTTTATACATGTAGAGCTAGAGTTTTGGAATTAACAAAGGCACCCATGTCATATTTTATAAAAAAGAAGCGTAGACAAAGACGTATAAAAGTTGTAAAAAGCAAACAAGATTATACAGTATTAAGGTAAATAGATTTTGAAAAAAAAAAAAAGTTTAATTGATATTAGAATTTGTGAGATTACAATACATGATATACATAAATAGGAGTATGTACTTGCAATTTAAAAGATTTGATAATGAAATAGAAAGATGCCATTTCGGTAAACCCAACCATATTTTAATATTAATCTCTTTGGTAAATTTTAGAATCTTGAAATTTTTATAGATGGAGTATAAATAATTAAACGTTAAATATCTTTTCAAATATGGCTATTATAGCTTTTTGTTAGCCTTCTTGGATTTCTAATAATCTCGCAAAAGATTCCTATCATACGATTTTAGAAGAATAACATTAAAATAGAAAAGAACCCTACATTAGTTGCTGCTTTTAATTGTTCCAAAGTATGTTTTTCGGATTTTACTGCTTCTACTATTTGTTCAACTAATTGGATCATTTGTTCTAATGTTAGTCTGACAGTTGGCTTTTCATTTTGTAGATGTTTTTCAGGTTGCAAAAACCGGTCTTGTAATAATTCTGGTATTGTTTTTCTTTTTGTTTGATCTCTTTCAAGACAACTTTTCATAACTTTTATCAAATTTTTATTAACTCTAACACCATCTGGTTGACTTTGTCCATTATGTGCAATAGGAAATGCCATAGTTGGAAAATTGATAGAATGCTTAGGATCCGGTATTGCTTTGATTTTTTGAAACATTGTTAGATGAGCAAAAGGTGTTTTTCCATATACCATTTGATATAATATGCATCCCAGGCTCCATATATCACTTGCTCTTCCTAGTTTCATCACTTTTTGTTCTCCTGGTGTACTAGAATGTGCTTCAGATAATGCTTCTGGAGACATATAATTAATAGTTCCTATTTGTGAATCACGATGAATGTTTGTAGTATCATTTCCGATCGCTTTAGCAATACCGAAATCTATTAATTTAAGAGAACCTTCAACAAGCAAAAAATTCGCAGGTTTTAGGTCAGAATGAACAATTTTTTGATCATGAACAGCCTGAACAGCCTGAAGCATTTGATCCCAATATAATCGAACAAAGTTTATATCTAACGGTCTTTGATGTTGTTTTGCAAGTAAATGTGATAAATCGATTTCTCCGATTTCTAATATCTATAAATTATTATATATAATTATATAAATTTTAAAGTTTATATTTGTACCATTGTTAAATAACCTTTTGTATCATTAATTTCAGAATCATATAATTTAATAATTCTCTCATGCCCTGAAAGTTTTTTTAATAATTCAATTTCGTCTTTGAAATTAACAATTGCACTTTTGTCTGCTTTGTCGAAATGAACTTTTTTAAGAGCAAACATTTTATGATTTTGGTCCATTACTCTAAACACTTTACTACTTCCTCCTCTTCCTATAAGATCTAATCGATTGTAAGGTTTCGAATTTACCTAATAAAAATTAGAAGACGTGATATTAAAGGATATATATACATAAGTAATGGATTTAGATTTCGAAGAAACATTTTGCAATGATGATAAATTAGTTTTTGTGTTAGGAGAATTTGTTTGAGGTAAAACATTGTCATTTACATCTACTGAATTTTTCTTTTCAGATTTTAACATTGATTGCAAACAACATGAATCAGATTTCTTAATAGAAGAGTCCTTTGGAGAATTTGTTTCTATATTTTTCTGTAAATTTTCAAAAAGTGATGATTTTGATATATAAACTGGTAAAACAGATTCATTCTTTACACAATTTAGTATACTATTAATTCAAAAGATGAAGTTTACGACTTTATTTTGAACAATTAAATCTGTATCTTGAAGACAGTTTACTGGATTTATCAATAAAGATTGCATTTTTTTGAACTTCTTTGGGGATGTTTTTTGATTTTCTATTGGTGACGTTGAATTCGAGAGTACAGGAAAAATGTCAAATTGATTTTCCTTATTCATAATATGTTCATGTGGTATATTTTCTTTACCACCATTAAAAGTTTGTATGTCTTGCTTTTCTGCTCCTAAAAAAGGAAGTTTAGAATCTTCTTGTCTTACTTCTGTGCCATTTTCAAGTTCATCCACACTTTCACTTGAAAGACGCTCTGCACGTTTTGGTGGTCCTAAGCCTATTCGTCCAATACGTTTCCAACGAGCTGAAGACGATGCATTAATTCCCCAACTGTAGAATTTAAAAAACAAATCTTGAAAATAAAACCCCTTATACCTTTGTTTTAAAGCTGGAGTTTGAAATGTATGTGATTCTTGACTATGTTGATTTATTTTAGTTTGTGCTGTTATAAGTGCCATAGAATTTGAAAAAGCAGAAATATCAACTAACTCCTTAAATATAAATATTATTATATAAATAATTCCTACAAAACTCATACCTTTTGTGGCATTGACTGTAATTCTTCCGTATATTTAAGATTCTTATGGTAATTTATACTTTTTTCTATAAAATCATTCTAGACCCTAAATAAATAAAAAAAAGTAGATAAAATACTATACTTTTTTATCATATATATAATTCCTTCCTGCATTCTCCATGCTCCTGATTGTTTGTAATGTAGAATTAGATTCTTCTATATTTTGTTTTAAAATTTCATTTGGTGATTCCCTCTCTTTTTTAATAGATCTTTTTTTCCTTATTTTCTTAATATCATATTTATTATCTTCTATACAATTCCTTTCTCCTGATTTTCTATCTTTAGCAAATAACATTCTAGCATACGCGCTTTCAAATTCAAATTCATTATCTGATGCTTCTTCTGTAGAAAAATCAAGAGATATTTTTGATACTTTTCTTGAGAGATTCTGCGTGTTCATCTGTATATCCTGTGACTAATTCCTTTACTTAGTATATTTCTTTTAGATTTTAATTTCTCTATAAACCTTCATTTATAACCCTTAAAGATCCTTTTTTTCTGTTTCATGTAAATTATAGAAAGATATAGTTTTCTTATATTAAGATCTATTAGTTTTTAGTGTTTTTTCTAGGGAAAAATTCCATTAAAATACTTACTGGTGCTTACAAGTTTTTTATGTCGTTTATCTTGAATTTTATCAGAGCACGTTAAAATCGTGAACGTCAACATTTAATGTTTATGGAATAAATGACTATTTAATGAGTCTTTTTAAGTTAAATATGACTCAGTGAGTGGATTATTTGTGTTAATGATTTGTGGTTGTTTTTTCCCGGTTAATTTAGCTTTAAATTTGGGCTTTTTATTTGAAATTGAATAAAGTTGTTAAATATGAGAAAAAAAATGCCATTAAAGAAGCTAAAAATAGAAGAAACTGATGAAAGATTAAGTAAACATTTCCTTAGATCGTCTAAAGAGAGAGTTAGTTGTAAAAAAGAGAAGAAATGCTTTGGATTAAAGGATTCTTTGTTTGAATCAGAAAATAAATATCTTGAATGTGATTCTATTTGTATTGAAAGTGATTCAGAGGAAGAAAATTACTGTAGTCGTTTTGTTAGAAGTGTTGGTAAAAGATCAAGGAATATCATGGCGATTTTTGATAGGATAGAAAAAAATAAAATAGAAAAAAAGAGTAAATATGATGGTATATATCTTATATAGAATTTTATATCCATGATTTCTTATGGAACAAGATATTTTGATGTGGAATGAAAAATACAAACCATTAACTGTTAATGATTTAGCAGTTAATAAAAAGAAAGTTGCAGAAATTCGTAATTGGTTATCAATTGCATTAAAGCAGGATTTAGAAAAAGTAAGAATTTATGAGTTATATATTTTAATGATCTAATAGATATTAGAAATTAATTATTCTTACGGGACCACCAGGATCAGGAAAGACAGCTACGATTAATGTATTATCTCAGGAAATGGGATTTGAAATTTTGGAATGGCAAAATCCAATGACTATATTATCAGAGGATATGGGTTGTTATTGTTGAATTTATTTTATAATTTTTTCTTAAGGACTGTCTAGAGCTAGATCATCTATCATTGTTTTCAAAATTTGAGAATTTTCTTTTAATATCGAAGCAATATTCATCTTTAGATTTTGATGGCACATCCAATGTTTTTTCTGATTCTAAGATTATTTTGATTGAAGATTTACCAAACATTTATACATCGTCTCCTGGCACTCCTGATAAAGAGCATGATTTTCAATTGGCTATTCTTCGTTATATTTCATCATCTAGAAACAAATATCCTCTTGTCTTAATAATAACAGAAATGGATTTTAAAGAATTTGACGAAACAGATAATAAAAGAGTTAAAGGGTTAAGTTTGTATAGTTTATTAGGTAGGACTATTATTGAATCTGAAAAAACGGTACAAATTAGGTTGGTAATTCTTTATTTAAACTTAATAGTAATGCTATTATAGTTTTAATCCAATTACAAAAATATCTCTTCAAAAAACAATAAATAAGATAATTGATATTGAATGTCGTTATTCTCAGAAACCTAGTTTAGAATTAATAGAATCAATTATTGAGTCATCTTGCGGAGATATTCGTTCAGCATTAAATTCTTTACAATTTATTGTAGGAATAATTTTAGAGAATTCAAGCAAAGGTTTCATTAACTTTGTATTAGTGTTACAAAGAAATAATATAATTTTAGGTTTTTCTAAAGAGAAAGGCTTACTTATTAATTCGATTATAAATCGAGATATTACTTTAGGGTTTTTTCATGCTGTTGGTAAAGTTATATACAATAAGCGTATTGGGGATTCTCCGGAGGATAAATTTGAACATTTTTTCCCAAAAAATTCTTTACCTTTTCATTTAAAAGTTTATGAAAGACGAATATCAAAGGTCAACCCTGATAACATATTGGACACGATACCAGTTAGTTATGATATTTATATATTAGCACTTCATCACAATTATTTGGAATCTTGCAATGATATAAAACATGTTGATTTTATACTTTCTTTTTTAAGTTATTCTGATACAATGCTTTCAGCTAAAGTATGGCATTATTCTTTGCAACAACGGATGTCTTCCCTTGTAGCTATTATGGGCTTATTAATAGGTTTACCATCCCCTGTAAAACGTTCATTTACATCAAAAATAGTATATCCTGTTTATCAAAAAATCTTACAAGAAATGAAATTAAAAAATGATTATTTCATTGATTCTATTTATAAAAGTTATTGTAATTGTTACAATCTTTACTATAATACTATGAAATCTTCGATATCTATGATAACTGAAATTTTTCCATATCAGTCACTTATTTTAAAAAAAAAAACATGTATGATTCTTTTTAATATCTTTTTTTGCTAATTTTTTAAGCATTTTTCGATATTCCTGCCTTAATTGATAAAGATGAATCTCATAAGTTTTTATTATATGATATAAATGATGATATTGAATCTTTTGATTAATTTTTTATTCATTTATTTTCATTTCTTTATATAACATATCTTTAAGGAAAATTATATATATTCACTTAAATTCTTAATATTTTTTTATGTTTTACTTGCATTTTATAAATATTACCTTTGAAATTTGTCTTTGTTCTTTAGGGTTTTTTATGAGGTTTTTCTCTACCTCGTTTTTAAGTCTAGAAAAAAAGATTATTTTAGCGTTTTTATATAGAGAAAAAAGGAGTTTATTATAAGAACAATGATTGCCTCTTCTGCACGTATGGCTTCATTCTTTTTTTCTGGGTTTTTTAAGCGATCAGCTTTGAGAACGGTAAGTAAAACAAAATACTAATTTTCTTTAAAAGAATGGGGATTTTTTTGCAAAAAAAAATGAAAAACCTATATCTTTATAAATAAATGGACTAATTGATTATTATATGTCTTTTTTTTCTCTGGAATTTACTTGGATAGTAACATTTTTTGAGTGTTATTAAGAAATGATATATGGAGAAATATTTTTCTAAATAATGATTAAAATAAGCAATTTTTTGGCTGTAATTATAGGAATATCCTTTAGCTATTATTTTTATTGGATATATTATATATTTTATTTGAGATTTATTATTTTTTTTACGTTTTGGTGGATTGTTAATTTTATTGGTATTAGATCTCTGCAGAATATCCAATAATTCGTATAAATACAAGGGGTTTCTCTGAAAAGGTGTCTCCGACTGAGATTTCATCGATTTTGGAGGAAAAAATTCGAGGTATTTCTGCTGATGCGAGTTTAACAGAAACAGGACGTGTACTCAGTGTTGGGTATTTTGATTAGTTCTTTTAATAAGTGATATAATATGATTATTAGTGATGGTATTGCTCGTGTTTATGGTCTTAATAATGTACAAGCTGAAGAATTGGTTGAATTTTCATCTGGTATTAAAGGTATGGCTTTAAATTTAGAACCTGATCAAGTGGGTATGTTATTTTTTGCCATGTTTTATATTTTAGTTGAATTGGTTGAATAGGTGTTGTATTATTTGGAAATGATCGTTTGGTAAAAGAAGGAGAAATTGTCAAACGAACAGGCGATATTGTTGATGTTGCAGTTGGTCCTTCATTACTTGGACGTGTATTTAAAAACACCTTTAAAAGAGTATTTCTAATGCGAGGAAGGTTGTTGATGCTCTAGGTAATCCTATTGATGGTAGAGGTCCTATTAAAGCTACTGAGCGTCGACGTGTTCAAATGAAAGCACCTGGTATTCTTCCTCGACAATCTGTTAGAGAACCTATGCAAACAGGCCTGAAATGTGTTGATTCCATGGTTCCTATAGGACGTGGTCAGCGAGAATTGATCATTGGTAATCGGCAGACTGGAAAAACAGCGGTTGCTCTTGATACTATTCTTAATCAAAAACGATTGAATAATGGAAATGATGAATCTAAAAAGCTATATTGTGTTTATGTAGCCGTTGGTCAGAAACGATCAACTGTTGCACAGCTTGTACAAACGTTAGAGGAAAATGATGCTTTAAAATATTCTATAGTTGTGGCTGCTACTGCATCCGAGGCTGCGCCTCTTCAATATATTGCACCGTTTTCCGGATGTGCTATGGGGGAATGGTTTCGTGATAATGGACGTCATGCCTTAATTGTGTATGATGATTTATCAAAACAGGCTGTCGCGTATCGTCAAATGTCTCTTCTTCTTCGACGTCCTCCTGGGAGAGAGGCATATCCTGGGGAGTATGTTGTGTGTTATCTAAATTGCTTTATTTACTAAGAATAGTGTTTTTTATCTTCATTCTCGACTTTTAGAACGTGCTGCTAAAATGAATGAAAAATATGGGTCGGGATCTTTAACTGCTCTTCCTATTATTGAGACGCAAGGTGGTGATGTTTCTGCATACATTCGTACTTATTTGTTGTTTTATTGTTTTTTTCTAATGATTCTAGCTACAAATGTTATTTCTATTACTGATGGCCAAATATTCTTGGAATCGGAGTTATTCTTTAAGGGTATAAGACCTGCTATTAATGTTGGTCTTTCTGTATCTCGTGTTGGTTCTTCTGCTCAAGTTAAAGCTATGAAACAAGGTATATTATATGTTTTTTATTATTATTGAATTATTATTACATTATAGTATCCGGTTCTTTAAAGCTTTTTTTGGCTCAGTACAGAGAGGTTGCTGCTTTTGCTCAGTTTGGTTCTGATCTTGATACTTCTACAAAATTGACTTTGAATCGTGGTGAACGTTTGGTTGAGCTTTTAAAACAAAATCAATATTCTCCTATGCCTGTTGAAGAACAGGGTAATCATGAAAATATATCGTTTTAATGTTTTTAATTTAATAATAGTGCCATTGATATTTGCTGGTGTAAATGGTTTACTTGATAAATTACCTGTAGAAAAAATTGGTCCATTTGAGCAGGCTTTTTTGGTTAGTTTATTACTAAAACGTTGTAAATTTATCTTTTAATAAAAATTTAGGCTCATCTTCGGCAGAATTTTTCAGGTCTTTTGACAAAAATTAGAGAAGAAGGTTCCCTCTCAAAAGAAACGAATGAAGAAATTCGAACTGTTATTGAAGAATTTTTAAAGACATTTGTTTAAGTTTATGGATTAAATAACATGAATATATTTACTTATATCAATTAAAATTTGATTTATGTTATTCATTCATTGTTTTATTTTTTTTACTTAAAAGATATACATTTCAAAATTATCTTTAACTTTTTACTGTTACTAAGTTTATAATTAAAAAATATTAGATTTAGTAATATAAAATTTCAAAAATCCTTATATAGTTAAGTTTAGGAATAATTTATCAATCATTAAGCGTATAAGTTTATAATTTATTTGCAATGGAAAAAATTATTAAAAGTATTTTAAATATATAAAACTCTTAATATTATGTGGTTCTTTGAGCACTTAAAAAAAACAAATTTTAAAAATTATAATTTTAAAATAATTTTGGTGAAAATTTCTAAAAAAAAGTAATATAAAGATTTTTTAGAATTAAATAGTAATATGATTAAGCTGTAGAATTAAAAATATAGACTTTAATGAGATTTCAATGATTTTAGAATAATTAAAGCTAAATATAAAAACAAAACAGTAACTTTAATCATTGATAAAATATTAAGAAATCTAGGAACATTGTGTTAGAAATAAGTTCCTCATTAGAAACTTATAACCAAAAAATTCAATGTGCTGCCGCTTTTCGTGTTTCTGCAATAAGATGTGTCAATTCTTCTATTTTCTTCTTAGCACGCCCAAAAGTTCCAAGCTAAATATATTAAAGATATTAACAATACAACTGGAAAAAATACTCTTCGTTTTGCAAGTTTTCGTGCACGTTTATCTTTTGAATTACGCAATAGCTCAATAATACGTCTCTCATATGGAGCAAACCCTGCAACTTCACGAATAATATTTCGAATAAAAGAAACACGCTTAGATAAACAACCTTTCCTATGTGATATCCGAGGTGGAGGCTGGCGAAATGTTGTTTTATAGCCACGGTTAAGGCCTACTGCCAACCCTATAAAAAAATATTAGTTACAATTAACTAAAAAAGATAAATAATTAAAAATAAGACGATCTCTTATAAATAGCCATTTCTTCCTTATTTTTCCCATTTTTATCTTAAAAATTTGAAAAAAAAAAGATAAATTATTAATTACTTTTCTTTATCATTTTTAATCTGTTTAAATAGGATTTTTTTAAAATCTCATAATTACAATAGAAAAACATATCCTCTCCCCTATTATTAGAAATTTACTTACCGGTTCTTTCTTCCTTAGTCATTTTCAAATTTTCTTAATATTTTTGAAGTTGCTTATTTTTTTATGTTAAGATTTGAAGTATCTCCGCAACATATAAAAAAATTAGAAAAATATATAAAATGACAATAAAAATAAATAAGTTGAAATGAAATAATAAGACATGTATTTTAGTTATGATTTTGTTTATTTTAGTTGTGACTTTCATGTATTCGTTGTATATGAAAAAACTAGAAACCAAAAGGGTTTTCTGGAGCTAATAATATATTAAAAATAAGAAAAAATAAAAAGAATATACTTGCTGCAGCTATATTCGCACGTCTCTCAGTTGATTCAGGTCGTGATAATTTTGATGTTCCGAATTGAACAGGTTTAAATATTGGTGTTTGTTTAAATGAAGTATTTGGTGGTTGCGAAGTTGTAGAAAAAGAAGGATTATTTGGAGCATGTTTTAAAGTGTCAGAAGAAATAAAGTTGTTTAACAGCTGTTGTTGTTGAATTGAAGGATGGTAGGTATTTTGAAGGAAATTAGTTGATTGATTATAATTATTATATTGAGAAGCAACCGAATGACGAAATATATTTGCATTTTGAAATGGTTGTTGAATTGTTGTATGTTGAGGTATGGAATTGTTATGTCCATTATTTTGTAGATGTAATGGTAAAGTTGTATTTTGTTGTGTAAAAGGAAGAGAATTATAAAGTTGAGTTTGATTTGTTGAAAGTTGAGGATCTATATAAAGCGAATTATGTGGAATTTGTTGTTTAGTTTTCTGATCAAAGGTAATTTGGGGTTGAAGTGTCTGATGATATTGAAATTGAGGAATAGTAGGCTGTATAATAGGTGAAGAAAAGTATCGTGAAGCAACAGGAATATTTGTAATTCCATAATTTTGATAAGGCTGTAAATGTGATGGATTAGGATTCATATTAGTAAATGTGGTTGAAAACGGATCAACAGTAGTATATTGATTTTGTATCGTTGTTTGAGAAATAGGTTGTGCTTGTGGTAGAATATTTTGTTGAATTTGTTGCTATAATGAATATTATTAGGATAGAAGCTTTATAAAGATAAAATAACTAACCTTGGAAAATTGGGAAGAAATGGGTGACGTATGAGTAGGTTTCATAGGAGGAGTTAGTAATGATAAGTTTTTCATTGCATGAGCTAATTGAGGATTAGTAGTTTCTGTATTTGGAATAGATGGTTCATTTTTTTTGGTATTAGGTGATCTAATAGACCAGGCATCATCTTCAAATCCAGATGCTGAAGTTTTCTTAGTTTCTGAAAGAAATTCTTTATTTATACTTTTTGAAAAAGAATGTGTATCAGTTTTATTATTGACTTGAAGTGATTGTGATTTTTCATTTGGAAGTGATAATAATGAATCCAAATTATCCTCTAATTTACTTAAGTTTTCTGTTTCAGAAGTAATTTGGCTTTCTGTCTTATTTATTTCAAGTTTAGGCTCCTGAATATTTAGTTTGTTTTTAAATTTTTCCCTTATATTTTTAGTAATTCTAATAATATCATCATCTTTTATGCCAAGACTTTGCATATCTTCCCGTGTAAGATCTAATAGATTTGATTCAACTAAATTTTCATTTTCAAAATTTGTAGCATAAGTTTGACATAATTCATATTTGACACCAGATGATAAAAAAAAATCGAACCAGTCATAATTATTCTTAGAAATTGAGGTAGAAGAATTACGTTTGTTTAGGGAAGTTTTGTTCTTGGTTTTACTTTGTTTAGTATCACTAACTTCTGCATTTGTAGTTGTATTTTGTTTATTTTTAAAAGGCTCTGTGATACTTTCAACATAATGTATATCTTCTAATGACATTTTTGACATAGGGACTGATATTTTTATTCCATTAAGCTTATGTAAATGAATTTTGTTATCAATGATGCCTAAAAATTGTGCATCCACTTTAAATGAGCCTGTTCTATCGGTCCATGTTCTAATTTTATCTAATTGAGGCTCTAATCTCATTAGTTATAAAATCATTAGATTGAAAATTTTTTACTGTTTATTTTCTTTTCTACATGAACTTTTTTTTCTGATTTTTGTAATTCATTTTGATAACATTCTGTTTTTTTTTGATCCTTTGAGTCTTTTGAATTTTTTACGTTCTTCTGATTTCTTGAAACTTTTAGATTCTGAGGAAAATATCTTATATATGAGGCTGGAACCAGACCCTCGTGATCTCCTTTCTTTACTTTCCACCAATCATTATTGGAAGTGTCATCTAAAATAAAAACTTCTGTATTTTCTTTTACAGATAGCTCATCATCTTCAACAGCATCGAAATCATATAAAATTATCCCTTTTTTTTCTTCTAATTGTTCGAAATTAAATCTATTAATATTATTGTTATCATTATTATCATTATTATCATTATTATTAGTGGATTCATCGCCCTTGTAAGAAGTTTTTTCTATTTCCTTGACAGTTCCGGAACTGATATGCATTGTTGAAGCTGCTGTACCAGCTGCAGAAGCAATTTCTTTTAAAGTAGAACGTGAAATACTAGCAAGATTTTCGATAGCAGAATAAATTTCAGCTGCAGTTTCAGAGGATCCTGCATGAAAATCATAAGAAATTGTTGACTTAGATGAAGATACATCAATAAATACGTGTTTTTTCTCGACTGAATATTGAATAATAGAAGAAATAGGAAATACTTGCGGTGATTTTTTACCAGATTCACAAGAAAATGTAATTTTATCACTTCCAACGCCTAAAGCTCCTTTCCTCCTCTTTTTTTTATCAATTTCATGAACAGTCCATGTTTTAAAACTTTCATTGGAATTATCTTGAGTATTAAAAGAATAAGGTTCGCTAGAAATAGCGTAAGCATCTAAAGTTTCTGAATTACTTAATTCCTTATTTGAAACGGGCTTTTCTGAAAATGAAACGACGTTTTTCTGTAATTTATTTGTAAGTTGTGTATTTTGAAATGATGGAAATGTTTCTTTTGATACGTTTGATTTCTTCATAAATTCTGGAGATATAGAAGAGCTTGTAGATACAAGCTGCGATTCCGTATTTTCTTGAATAGGCGTTGATTTATGGCTAGGTAATGTTGTGTTTGTAATTTTTTCTAAATAATTGCTTGGCGCAAATCCGTATGATGATCCACATCTAGCAAAAACCCAGTTTTCACCATCTTCATCAAAAACATCAAGAATTTCCCCCTCATTAAACGATATTTCTTCAAATGATTGTTGTTCATAATCATATAAAGTTCTAACCTGATATACTGGTTTACACTTTCCAATTTAGTTATGTCTTATTAAAATATCCTTTTCACCTCTTCAAGATAATTTCCTGGAACTAATCCTATGTCTCCATCTTCTTGATCGCATGGTGCTTTTTTTTTAACTCTCCACCAAAGATCTTCACCTTTTTCAAGAATATAAAGTAATTCATTTTCTTCTAGTTCTAGTTCTTTGTTCTCTGCTACTACAAATTCTGGATCTTGTTGAGGTTGATAAGGATATAATGAACGGTATACTCCAATAAAAGGCATCTCTTCTGTCATTTTCCTTTAATTTTAATGATTTTAATCGTTTTTTGCTCTATTTTTATGTTTTTTGACCACTAAAAAAGATAAATTATATACTAACCCCTATTTAGTTCTTAAAATTCATTTATTTACTGAAAATCCTCCTTTATTTTCTCTATTTTTTTGCTTTTTCATTTGTTGTGTTTCTATATAACGTGAACGATATGTCGAACACCTTATTTTTTTTTAGTAAGAGTTTTGTGTTATTTTTGTCTAAAATTTATTTTTATCTCTTGAAGTTTAATTAGCATCTGTCTTATTAAGCTTAGAAGACGAGAGCTGGCAAAATGTAGTAAAAAAAGAGTAGTTTGATTATACTTTTTAAAAAGAAAATAGAAATATTCTGGATAAAGATTTAAAATAGGTCTTTTCTAGGGATTTTGCAGGATTAAGGCCTTTAAAAGATATTATTATCTTTATATCAGAAATTATGGTCTGAAGAGAGTTTGTTTTTAAGTCTGTTGACGTTTGGATAAGTTTTTTTTGAAAGATCTTACTTTACGAATTACTTTACATCCATCTTTCTTTGGTCCTCGGATGCGAGATTATCTTAAGGCGAAATTGCTTTCAGATGTTGAAGGGACATGTTCTGGAAATTATGGATATATTATTTGCGTCCTTGATAGTAACAAAATTGATATTGGAAAAGGGCGTATTGTTCCTGGAAAGGGAGAAGCAGAGTTTCAAGTGGGTTATAAGGCGATTGTGTGGCGTCCTTTTAAGGTGGGTTTAAAAATTAGATATTTTTTTGACTTTATGGCGTGTTTTTATGTGGATGGTATTGATATAATCATTTCAGGGAGAAGTTTTAGATGCAGTTGTTTCTACAGTGAATAAGATGGGTTTTTTTGCAGATGTTGGGCCTTTATCGATATTTGTATCAAGTCATGTATGTAAATGTTGCAAAAGTTATTAATTTTAGTCACACATCTTTATATAGTTGATCCCTTCTGATCTTAAGTTTGATCCAACATCGAATCCTCCTTCTTATGTTTCAGAAGATCAATTGGTTGAAAAAGGTGCTAAAGTTCGATTAAAAATTGTTGGTACGAGAAATGATGCAACCGAAATTGTAAGTTACATTATTATTTTTTTTCTTTTATTAATTTGATTAGTTTGCTATTGGGACAATTAAAGAAGTAGAATTTTAAATAAATAGGAAAATCCTTAATTTTTTCTAGGATTATCTTGGTTGCCTTTAAAAATATTTTATATTTCTTATGAGAAATTATTTTAAAATTTCTAGAATTATATTTTTAAAATATATGGAACAGCAATTGACATTTCTATTTTAATACATATCTATTATAATTTTTAAAAAGGTATAAATTTTTTTAAATCTTTTTTTATACTTTTTATTTATGCATAAATAATAGGGAATGGTGTTTAATTTTCGTTTTTAATTCAAAATGAATTATAGCTTTTTTCACTTCTAAATAATTTTATACTTTTTATCTAATTCTTTTTTTTATAAAATTAGATTTTTATTAATATTTATATTTGTTTAAAACATTATAAAAATACATTATAGAATTTATACATTTCTATTTATTTCTCTTATATTAATAAATTATATATGGATCTTTCAAACTTGGAAGATCTTATTTTAAATATCTTTTTTATTTTGGATTTATTTAAATATAATTATATTTTTATTATTTCAAAACTATTTTATAATTTAAGACTTATAAAAAATTTCAGACTTTAATAAAAATAAATTATCATTTTTCTCTTCAATTCAATAAGCATATTTCTTACTTTTTTTCAATATAATCTATCTCCTTAGTCTTTATAATAAACGCTGCTTTGAATATATAAAAATGGGCATCGACGTTAATGATTTTTGATATTTATAAGTAAAAACTTCTTTATAAACACTAAAGAAGGGATATTTATAAGAAATAATAGGAATAAATAGATGTAAGATATTTTTTTAATGAGATTTTCAATTTGAATGAGTAAATTTGGGTTAATATATGTCTAGAAAAATAAATATATAATAAGAGATTAATTAAAAAGTATATTTAGGGAAAAAAGGAATATAATAAAGAAATGATAGAAGGGATAGGAGGCTCTCAGTGGAAATTTGCTCAGTAATGGCCTTTTTTAGTTAGTTTTTGGCTAAATATTGATAATTTTAGATGTTTCGGAGACAAGGGAGATGTAGAAGATATTACAGAAGGTATAAAATTATAATATGAAAAATGAAGAATAATATGTTATTTTTTTAATGGAATATGCTTATGATAAATAGCGGATATTATTAGTACAGTTGAATTTGATCATACAGGAGATTATCTTGCAACGGGGGATAAAGGCGGAAGAGTAGTTTTATTTGAAAGAAATCATACAGTATGGTCTTATAACTTCTTCTACTGGAAAGTTTTAAGATTTTTTATTTATAGAAAAAGAATTGTGAATATCGTTTTTATACAGAATTTCAATCTCACGAACCAGAATTTGATTATTTAAAATCATTGGAAATTGAGGAGAAAATTAATAAAATAAAATGGTGTAAACGTCAGAATTCTGCACATTTTTTATTATCTACAAATGGTATGTTATATTTCTTTGCGAGAATCTTATTGTATTTATAAAATTAGATAAAACTATAAAATTATGGAAAGTATTTGAAAAATCTCTTAAAGTTGTAGCAGAGAACAATCTTTCTGATGGTCTTTATTCATCATATATTACATCTCCAGATTTACTGAAATTGCCACGAATGAGTCATCATGATACAATTATTGCATCAGTTCCAAGAAAAATATATTCTAATGCACATGCTTACCATATAAATTCAATTAGTATAAGTTCTGATGGAGAAACATATATTAGTGCAGATGATTTACGAATAAATTTATGGAATCTAAATATAGCAGATCAATCATTTAGTAAGTTTATTTAATATATATTTTCTTTTTTAATCTTTAGACATTGTCGATATAAAACCAGTAAATATGGAGGAGCTTACGGAAGTTATTACTTCTGCTGAATTCCATCCTTTGCATTGTAACCAATTTATGCTTAGTAGTAGTAAAGGTACTATCAAACTTATTGATATGCGCCAATCTGCTTTATGTGATCAACACGCTAAAAGTTGGTTCATATTGTTTCATAATGGATTGTTTGATTTTGACTTTGATTAGTTTTTGAGGAACAAGAAGATCCTTCGTCAAAATCTTTTTTTTCTGAAATAATTTCATCAATTTCTAATGTTAAGTTTTCGCACGATGGAAAATTTATTCTTTCTAGAGATTATCTTACTCTTAAAATCTGGGATATAGCAATGGAGAAACACCCTATTAAAGTTATTAACATGCATGATAAGCTTAGATCAAAACTCTGTGATCTTTATGAAAATGACTGTATTTTTGATAAATTTGAATGTATCTTTTCTGGAGATGGGAAAAATGTTTTATCTGGAAGTTATAACAATACTTTAATGATTTATCCTACTGATACATCCAATACGTGTTCTAACAGAGAAATTGTTTTACATGCAGATAGATCTGCTTTTAAGGCGAAAAAAGTCGGAGGAAATAAAAAGTTAGTAAGAGGCGTATCTCCTAATCTGCGAGAAAATGGAGGAATTGATTTAATTGATACTGATAACATAGATTTTAATAAAAAAATTTTACATTCAAGTTGGCATCCAAATGAAGATTCTATAGCAGTTGCTGCGACAAACAATGTAACTATTTTGTTTTTGTTTTCTATTATTAATATAACTATAGTTATTTATTTTTTCAACACTTTAAAAATAATTATATGAAATGGCTTAGACCATTTACTCATTAATCTTGTTTTCTTTTATAGATTTTTTATTATATAATTCATAAGCTAAAATATTATGAACTGGGAACCACGAGTAATATATTTAGGAGGGAGCATAACATGTTTTCTTTCTTCTGTAAATTAGTAATATCATGTTTTCTATAATTTCAAAATTATTGTTAGGCAAAATTATGTAACAAATGAGACAAATATTTATTCACATATTTTGAAAATTATTGAAATAGATAATTCTTCATATTGCTTAAAAGTATATTTTATATCAAGGTATGTTATTGTTTTTTATCTTTAATAATATTTTTTTCATTAAGACTTCAGAAGTATTCAATCGAAATAAAAGTTCAAAGAAAAATTATATTTATATCATAATATAAAAACCTACTAAATATTTCTATTGCGTTTATTGAATAGACTACAAAAACATTAATTTATTGAAATATATATTATATTGTTACTAATTATTTCTTTTAAGAATAAAAGGTATTTTATTTTTTAAGAATTTCTAGTATTTCTAAATAAAGATTAAATGTATATCTTTGAATTATCATGAATAGAACATATGAATTTTTTTAAGAAAATAAAGTTATATAGTTGATATATAAAATAAAAGAAATTATAGTATTATATTTAAATCTTACTCTTAGAGTAACAGTAATTCTATAGAGAAATAAATCATAGGATTTTATAAACTCTTGAATTCGTATTTTTTTATATTTCTATAATTATTAATTTATTTTCATTTATTTTTTTAAATATTTTAAAAAATTAAAAGTCCTAAAGAATAAAATTATTATTTAATAGTTTTCAACTGACTTTTTGTTTCATATAATTAATGTTTTTTAAGTCATTTTTAATCATAGTTTTCTAAATTTAGTTTAGTAAAATCATATCTAAATTAAATTAATTCAATTTTTCAATGGTTTATATCCTTAATAGAGGTATTAAAATTATGTATATTTGTTTGAATTTATTCATTTTTAATTTTAAATGATTTATTTTTATTTACTTTTTTTAATAACTTATAAAAGGAAGATTTAAATATGACTTAAAATAATAAATTTTCAGAAAAAAGTTAAAATAAATAATTATTTTAATATTTATAAGATTTATATCAATTGTTTGTATTTTTCTAACAGAAATATTATAATTATAATATTAAATTGTTAAAAATATTAAATGTATAATATTACCAATAGGATTAAATTTATATATCCTATATTTTTATTTTATTTAACAAATATTCTGATTATTTAGAAAATATTGAAGGATAAAGTCTAAAAAAATAGTTATTATTTATATATATATCAAAATATCTGGAAGTTTTTCTTTTAATTTTTTAATGAAACAAAACAGGTTTATTAATAATGTAATACTATTGAAAATAAAAAATACTAATATTAAATATATTAGAATTACTCATTTGTTCTTTAAATTATTATGATTTATATTTTTAATAGGAATTTTAAAAAAATTTAATAAAAAATTATATTTATAATCAATTAAAATTTTGGCTGATTTAATTAAAAACTTTTATATTTAATTCAAACAAATTTTAATATATTATATTTAAGAATAATATAGTTTTAATAATTACTTGAGTTTTCATTTGAATTGGTAAGATTTTACTATATATAAATTATAAACAACGAACATCAATTTGATTAAATATTTTATAAAATAGAAGGCGAAATACATTCCATATACTTAAATATGAAATCGCATTAAAAATATTTTTCTTATTATTGATTATTTAATTTTTTTTCAAAATATTATCTGAAATAAAAATTTTATAAGATTAATAATTTGATTGTGGATAAAAAATATTAAACTATTAATTAGCTTTCAAGATATAATATTTAAATGTTTTAAAAAAAAATTATAAAATAAATATAAAAATCATTTATTATTGATAAAAATAAAATACTTCAAATAATAATGCATAAAATATTTACCAATCCAATCAATATTTCTGTTAAATAATAACATGAAATATATTTCTTTTCAATTTAAAAGTTCAAATGGTATTTTATTTATAATATTTAAATAAAATATAATTTCAATATTTTCAAAAAAAATTTAATAAATTTAAATATTTTTTAATAGAAAAGAATTGTTGTAAAGTTAAATTGTATCAGTGAAATTTTCTTTTCATTTTTATTAAATGATTCATTATAAATACGAAATAATTAACATAAAAATCATAGTTCTTGAAATAATATATTTAAATTCTGTTTTAACTTATTCATAAAGTACAAAAACACAATTAAAAAATATTTATTTTATATAGCTTATACTTCTGCAGGTTTTATTTATAGAATCTTTACTTCTTTTAAACCAATAGAATGACAAAAAAATTATACTCATTCTAAAATATTTTTTTGATATTAAAATAATTTTAAATTAGTTAAAAAATTTTGAAAATTTAGATAATTTATCTAAAAAGATATCTAATTCCTAATGTAAAATTAAATTATAAAACGAAAATTGTATCATATATTTTTATTTATTGATACTCCATTCTATATTATAGTAAATATAATTTCAAAGATTTATAATTTTTTTACTAACTATTTTTAGAATTAAAAAATATTAGTTTAATTGGAAAACTTTCTAAAAATATAGATAATAATATTTATCATTTATATCTATAAAAAAAGCTAGAAAATAAATAGGCTCTATGGTCTAGTAGTAAGATTCCGCTTTCGGGTTAGTCCAAATTATGACATGTATAGCGGAGGTCCCGGGTTCGATTCCCGGTAGAGCCCGTACATTTTATAGTTAGGTTTATTTAAAAATATTTATATCTAAAGAGCTTGCTTTTTATTAATCTCAAAATCCAAATACTAAATATAAAAGAATCAAGATTTAATCTATAAGATTAAATATAAATTATTATAAAGCATATTTTTTATAATAAGAGAATAATTTAAGAAATCTGTTTTAAAATGAAACTTATAATGTATTCACTTTGTTCAAAAACATCCTTTATATGTAGATATTTCGATGTTATTTTGTTCTTTTGCTTTATTTTTTCAAATTCATCATTAAATCCGGCAATTCTCTTCATTTTTGCAAGATACATAGCTTGTTGTTCTTCTTGAGTAATTTTTTTTAATAAAATATCATTAAAAATATTTTTCAATAACATTTGAAGTAAAAAGCTGTACTTTGCTTTTTCCGATAATCCCAATTTTACGTGAGAAGCAATTGATGGCCATAATTTTAACATATCTATTGATAATTCCAAAAAATGTCTACTTAATTTTGAATGAACAGAATACTTTACAAGTAACATATGACATAAATTAGATTTTAATGGAGAAGGTATTACATTCTAAACATATAAATTAGACAAGTTTTTTAATAATTTTGTGTAAATACTGAAAGGTAAAAAATAAACTTATTAATTTCCAATTTTTTTAAATAAATAGATAATTCATTTTCAAAATCAAACTTATTAATATTCTTAGGTAAAGAATATATTACATTATATGTCTAAAAAATATTTAACGAAAATAATCAAAATATTCATCATTTACCAAATATAAAAGTCGTTTCCTTAACATCATACTTTCTATAGATTTTATTACATTTCCTTTAATGGATGTTTCCATTATACTAGAAAATGATAATGGATATTCATAATTTTCCAAATCTATATTAGCAAATATAGCAGCTAATACCTGTTTAATATTCGGTTTTTCTCTATCATTATTCTTCAAAGAACTTATAAATAGCATTTTTTCTAATTCTTTTTCTGATTCTATAAAAAAATCAATTTAATATACATTTTTTTAAATAAAAACCTTTTGAATATTCTTGATAATCCAATTCTAAAATAGATACAATACAATTCAAAAGTATATACAAAGTTGTTGACGGTTCTTCAAAACAATATTGAATGAGTCTCCAAACATTTGAAAATTTAGAAAAAATAGATTCTATAGAATTCAATTGTAAATTACTTTGTAAATTTAAATCATCTATATTTGTAGTATCTATTAATTTCCTGAATTTTCGAGCACGTACTTGATGACAAAACATCCAAGACCACTGATCATACAATTCATTTTTCGAGAATTTCTTTGAATAAACAATTCTATAAAGAAGTTGAGCAGCTTTTTGAGAAATTTGATTTGTATTATCCCTTTGTATGATAAGATTAATTAAAATGAGCAAATATCTCTCAGGCAAAAAAGGCATAGGGCCATAATTCTCATTGTTTGGTATAAAAACGACATCAAGGATTTCAAGACCTGATTGATAAAGCTCCTCCTCAAAACATGAATCAATAAATAATCTAATAAATAAATATATTGAAAAAAAGAAAAATGACATACATCAGATTCTTATCTAAAGAATCCATTCTTTATAAATTTAAATAATTATTAAATAAAAACAAGATTAAAAAAGATTTTTAACGTCCGAAATCCACTGAAATTATTATGTAACCTCAATTTGAAATTATTTTATTAAATATTTTAAAATAATTAACCATTAATTCATTTTAATAATTTATGTTGCTCTACTAGTATATGTATTGTAATACAAACCGTAATTCCGTGTTTTCTTAGGAGCGCCCGGAATATATTGCCGAGATTGTAAATCTGAAAATGATATAGCATGAGAATTTTGATCTGGAATATAACGTGATCTATGAATATTTGAAAATTGTCTATCGTTAGCCATAGATGAATCGATATTTAATTCTCTATAAGGCACATATTCAACATCCATATTATCTTTATTACCTTGTAAGTCTTTAAATAAAGAATCATTACTAGATCTCATACTTGACTTAAAAGGAGGCTGAGGCGCAGTTATAGATGGATTCTGTGATATATAATTAGCTATGAGATCATAAGAAGATAAAAAGTTCCCAGATTGATTAGAATTAGTATTATTCACTTTGCCTGCTAAAGAATAAGATCTATCATATGAAGACAATGCATGATTTTTTGTAGACATTTCTTTAAAATTAGATCCATTATTTTCATTTGATAAATTAAGCTCAAGATTGGAAAAGTTAGTTTTACTTTTAATAAATTCTGATCTATCATCCTGCATTTGTTCATGAAGAATATCAGGATTTTCCGAAACAAGAGCATATATAGATACTATAATAAGAAGAACAAGCAAAATGAGAGCGAAGATACAATTAATGATAAAAAAGATTATTCCGAAAACAGCAACAACTATGCTCTATAAAAAGATTAATTTAAAAAAAAAATAAAAAAATATTACATATATGCGTGATTCGTTTGCAAAAATAAGTATAAAAATGCTATTCAATAAATCGATTGAGGCAACAGTAATGCTAAAAATATTCGTTTTTCTATCCAAGAAGGGACGAATGTAAACAATCAAAAAGAAATAAACCAATTCAATAACAAAATACCCTATTGCCTGAACAAGAGAATTGCTTTGACACAATGCTATAAAAAATGATCGTAACAAAATAAAAAGTAAAAGAGGAACAATGAAATAATATGCAGATGCAGAAAATTGTATGTATAAAGAACCCCATTTAGTTAAAATTCCTGAATCGGAATATAAAATATATGCAGCGGTTTTATGAAATTTAAGGGAACGTCGTGCCAAAACTATAACCCAATATGCTGCATAACTCAGCAAACCGGTTACCACTATAAGCGAAATAATGGCATAAATCATCGCACCAATGGAATCACGAGAAATCAGTTCCCAAATACAGAGGAGAGACAATTGAGGATATCCAATAAGTAGCTTTCAAAATAAATTTCTTAGAAAAATATATATCAAAATTCTTACCAATCTATACATAGTTCCTTTCAAAAGATCCTTCCATTCATTTTTAAAACCAAAAAAACGGTCATTTCGTATCCATTGAATTTTCGGAGAATAATGAATAAGGATTCTAAACAATGCAAATCCTAACAACATTATAAAAACCATTATAAGAAAAAAAGAAAAACTAGTCATAAATAGATTTGTAGTTTCGATCTGTTCACTATATGCAACACGATGTATACCACGAAAAACATATTTAGGGTCGTTAAAGTTATTAGAAGCACGTTTCTCAAGATGAAAATCTCGCTTTTCAAGAATAATAGAATGTTCAAGTGATGAAGAATGAAGATAAGACGGTAACCCTCCTGTAGATTTAATATACCATGTAAAGATCTTTTGCATAAATCCTAAATTAATAATTCCCATTGTCCATTGGAAATTTTGCGTCCATGCGCGAACAATGGGTGGCATTTTTGCAGACATCATACCAAACATAGCCTGTCCTTGAAAATAGCTAAAAAGAGCAAACGCATTTGTTGCAATATGATGAGCAGTATTAGAATTTCCATTTTCCCATGCAATTGCGCTCACTATAAGTGCTGATAACGCGATAAGGCCTGATATCCATCCAACCGTTTTTACATTAACAGTCATCATATTTGTCATTGTAACCTGAACACATGCTTTAAGATCTCCAGAATGTTTGCTATATATCATCACTTTTACGTATACATCAATATCTGGAATAGCGTAGACAACACCTATAAATTAAAACATAAAAAAATTAAATAAACCAAGCATACCAGGAATATGTGACGTAATATCAACAGGAACGTCACTTTCCCCCTCAATTTGTGTAAGAGGACCCGGTTGCAAATAACAAAGTTGCGGCATTTTAAGAATACAAGGATCAATTGTTTTATTCAATACTTGAATACCATATGCCATTATAATTAAATTAACTAAATATTTCACAATTAACCATTAAATCAAAATTCCTATCGAATATATGCGTACCAATAACTTCGCCTTCAATTGATGTCATACCATCGACGCGATATACCATTTTCTCCAAATCTGGATAATAAGTAATACGGAAAACAGTTGCAATAAGTCCTGAATTTTCCATACATGTTGACATAGATCGAGTACCAATACCACGCTTAGCATTGACACAGCTAATCAACCCATTCCAAAAAAAAATTAATATAAATCCAAAAATGAAAAACTTCATTTTCCAATGCAATAATACTACAAATATAGCCTTTTTAGTTTATATATGCTATGAAATTCCTAATGCATAAACTCCAAGAATTTAATGCTTTTCATCAAAAAATTCAAAAAATGAAATAATTATTTTCTAAAAAATTCTACAAATACCGTTAAAAAATGAACAATTTCTTCATAAAAAATAGTATTTATACCTCTAATGACCGTCTCCAACCTCTTTCTTCAGCTGCTTAATAATTGGTGTAATTGAATTCTTATGTCCAAAAAAAAGGGTATTTTAAAGAAAAATCTAATTAATCGTATTATAAATTCCAAAACTGTCAAACGATAAACGCGTAATAAAGATAAAATATATAATAAATATACATGAATAAGACCCAAACAAATCAAAAAAATAATATATAGATGTATTTATGCATATTCTACACTTAATATGGTATATTTACGTGGATATAATTAAATATAGAAATTTAGATATACTATTGGATATATATATTCCATAGTTTCAATATTCAAAATGAATAAAATGTGTATGTATAAATCATAAAAAAGCATAAATTCATCTAAATAGAATTAATTTAATACATAGAATTCCAGAAATATAACTTAAAGTATATAAAGTATATATAATTATAAAAATATATTAATACTTTCACGCATATATTCCACTAAATATTATTATATATTATTTCTTAATATATAAAACAAATATCTATTAAAATATATTCTATATTGATATATAGACATTAATGTATATCATTGCATACGATTTTATACATAAAACAGGATAAATTCTAATGTTTTATAAATACCCAAGTGAAATACGTATTTTTATAAAATAATCTTTATATATTTTATAAAACTATATTATCAATTGTATAATCTTTTTATTTCACGTTATAAAAATCGTATAAAAGAAAAATCTCCTTAAACGAACAATTCTTTTTCTATAAATATCTCCAGGAAAGAAAATGATATAAAACGCCTTATTCTTAGTTTTCAAAATGAATTAATGAATGATATATTTATTAAAATATATTTATTGGATTATATGCATTAATATATGAGTATTAATACAATGTTTAAATATCTAAAATGCGATATTTATTTTCTCTAATATTTTTATTATCATCTCAATATCTTAATTTCATCGTGATTAAGTCGTCAAAATTAATTGCACGTTTAGCATCAAACTCTTAATATGTTATATTTCTAAAAAAAATTATTTATTTTTCAAAAAAAAAAACAACTTATTTAAATTAAAGAGCATCTAGAACTCGGGAAATGACATTAAACTTGCAGGAAAAAAAAAGCACTGAAAATGACCTAATAGACAAAGATACATTGAAAAAAATACTCAAGACTGAAAAAAAAGAGAAAAAATCGAATATTATATCAGAAACAGAAGCAAATACAAATTCACATAAGGATAGTTCTTTAATAAGTTCTATGTCTGCTACTTCAACTAAAGATAGTCCAGTTTTATTTTCAGATCTCTCTCTTTCTAAACCTACAGAAAAAGCTTTACAAAACATGGGTTTTTCAAAAATGACGGAAGTTCAAGCACGTACAATACCTATTTTGATGACGGGAAAAGATGTTTTAGGTGCTGCAAAAACAGGAAGTGGAAAAACATTAGCATTTTTAATTCCTGCGATTGAAATTCTATATTCTTTAAAGTTTAAACCAAGGAATGGTATGTGCACTTTTTCTTTTAATTGATGGATATTTATTGCTTTTATGATTTATATTTATCTAACTTCTTTTTTTAGGTACAGGAATTATTATAATATCTCCTACACGTGAACTTGCATTACAAATATTTGGTGTTGCTAAAGAACTTTTGGAATATCATAGTCAAACGTTTGGAGTTATTATTGGCGGGGCAAATAGACGAGCAGAAGCAGAAAAATTAGAAAAAGGTGTTAATCTTTTAATAGCAACTCCAGGAAGGCTTTTGGATCATTTACAGAATACAAAGGGCTTCATTTATAGAAATTTGAAAGCACTTATTATTGATGAAGCAGATCGTATCCTTGAAATTGGATTTGAAGACGAGATGCGTCAAATTATTAAAATACTTCCTAATGGTATTTTTATATATTTATATATATATATATTATATAACGTTAAAAGAAAACAGACAATCTATGTTATTTTCTGCAACTCAAACGACAAAAGTTGAAGATCTTGCTAGAATATCTTTGCGGCCTGGCCCTCTTTATATTAATGTAGATTCAGACAAAAAAAGTTCAACAGTAGATGGGCTTGAACAAGGCTATGTTGTTTGTGATAGTGATAAGCGCTTTTTGCTTCTTTTTACTTTTCTCAAACGTAATCTTAAAAAGAAAATTATCGTTTTTTTTTCAAGTTGTAATTCTGTAAAATATCACTCTGAATTATTAAATTATATCGACATTCCCGTTTTGGATCTTCATGTATATTTTATTAACAAATTAGTCTGCTCTTTTTTAAATTTATTATAGGGGAAACAAAAACAGCAAAAAAGAACGAATACGTTTTTTGAATTTTCTAATGCAAAACAAGGAATTCTTATATGTACAGATGTAGCTGCAAGAGGCTTAGATATTCCAGCAGTGGATTGGATTGTTCAATATGATCCTCCAGATGATCCACGAGACTATATTGTAATTTTTTTTTTTATTTTTAATTAACGAATAATCTATAATAGCATCGTGTTGGACGAACTGCTAGAGGGGCTGAAGCAAAAGGAAAAAGTCTTATGTTTCTTGTACCTAGTGAATTAGGCTTTTTGAGATATCTTAAAGCGGCAAAAGTTTCTTTAAATGAATACGAATTCAGTAAATTGGCAAATATTCAATTTCAGGTTGTATTATTTTATTAAAAAATTAAATTAATTTTTTTCAGTTAGAAAAGCTAATTTCAAAAAATTATTATTTAAATAAATCAGCAAAAGATGGATATAGAAGTTATTTACAAGCATATGCGTCCTATGCTTTAAAATCAATATTCGATGTAAATAATCTTGATCTTGCTAAAGTAGCAAAGGTAAACTATTACTTTATTCAAATTTCAATATATTAATTATTTCAGAGCTTTGGATTTGCTATACCCCCTTCTGTAAATATTAATATTGGCAGTGGAAGCAAATCTAGTCGTAAATATTCAAAAAATCTTAAGAGAAGCTATCATAGTTCTTCTAAAAATGAACATTTTAAAAAACAAAAAACCAGCCTTATACATAAAAGCACGGAAAATGGAAAAAATACATGGAGTAAATAAATTATTTATTATGATGTAATATAATTTTAGTATATAAATGTGTATCAGTAATTTAGTAACATTTTTATAAAAATTAGTCTTTAATATTTAATATTTCGGTTTTAAGAAGCTATATACTATAAAATATTTTAATTTCTACATTTTCAACTAGAATTTTCACCATAAAAATAACTTAAGAAATATTTTTTTAATTAAGCTTTTTTATAAATATTATATTCAAAATAAAAATATTTAATTTTATTATAAACTCTAAAATCAACTTAAAATTAAATACACCTAATTAAATATTAATTATTAAAATGATAAGACTCAATAAAAAACTAAACATTTCTTGAAAATATTTTCCTAGAAAAAATTGAATTTTATTTTAATGATGGTATTTTAAAAATAAACCAAATGCATTGTTTTAGTATCTATAAAAAATTAAACAATGCTAATCAGTACCAATGCACATAAAAATTTAATAAATAAAACTAAAAGTTCATAACTCATAAATACATCGTTCCAAAAAATTAAAAATAATACAATTACAATATTCTTACAAGAAATAACAGCGTTTTATTACGATCCCTATTCCCAAGAAACCAAGATAAAATCATCCAAAAAAACAAGTAAAAAATGGTTTGCCAAACTGTATTAAATGTTTCCAATTTTTGTTACAAATTCATGTTCAAGTGCTTTTTCCGGTGTTAAACGATATTCTGGATCCCATAATAAACATTTAGATAAAAAATCAAGAAAAGATATATGATTGCATTTCACTATTTGAGAAAGTGTTTTCGAAGAAGGAAATCTTCGTCTTCCTTTAGAAGAAACAGAAAAACGAGGATTTCCAGATGAATCTAAATCAATAAACAAGACTCTCAAACCAACATATCAAATTTACCAAAAAATAACATTCTCCGGGAACTCTTTTCTATTAAATATTTTTCAGGAATACCAAGAACTTCCATTATACATGCAAGTTGTTCTTGTTCATCTTCTCCAGGAAATATAGGATACCCGGTATATAATTCTGCTAAAATACAACCCAAACTCCAAATATCAATTGATATTCCATAACTTAGACCTAAAATAACCTCAGGAGATCTATAAAATCTAGATTGTATGTATGTATAAACTAAATATAATAAATCTATGTTCTGAACATGCTTAAATATTACCTTTTTCATTCTCAAAACAGCTACTCCCAAAATCTATTACTTTAATATTAGGCTCAATTCCATGAGACAATAGAATGTTTTCTGGCTTTAAATCACAATGAATAATACCATGCTTTTTCAAAAAAACCAAATTTTGAAGCAATTGTTTTGTAAAACTAAAATTATAAGAATAATTTTTTTTCTAAAAATATCAAACCATCTAATTAATGGGAGAGAAAATCCTTTAAAATCATTTATTCTTATTAACTCATACAAATTTATATCCAACAATTCCATAACAATACACAAATGATCGCGAAAATAAAAATGGTCAATATATTTTATAAAAGAATAATCATCATTAGGATCCTAAGATACTTTAATTATAAATATATACTATATATTGTACAATTAATGTCTACCCATTCCGATAATCTTCTAAGTATTTTCGTCTCAATCAAAGCTTGGGAGTGAAATCTCTTTTTATTTCGAATAATTTTAATAGCAACTATTTGCCCTATTTTATAATCAAAACACTTAATAACCTGACCAAAACTTCCTTTTCCAAGAATACTATAAATCTCATAACGATATGCAATATGATCACCTATAATAATAATATAATCTCCTCTAGCATCATCATACCCAAGATCATTATCACCTGAAGTAGAAAATTCTCTTTTCTTTATTCCTGGACGACCAATAAAATAGATAGACCCTATATAATTGTTAATTTCTCCCATCTCGTAAAAAGTTAATAAATGATAAAATAATTTAATGTCATCAAAGTTCATAAGTTTCCTTTCTACTCCCGATTTCGGAGATCTTTTATCATCAGATAAATAATCTGATGATTCCTTATTTTCCTGAATCTTCTCTCTTTTGAGTCTTAATCTATCCAATTCATCCTTTATAATATCACTATCATCAATATGTAACTGATTAAAATCAAAATCTGATTGCAATAAATCCCTATTTGATTCATTATTATATAAACACTTATTAGTAGAACACAACCCTGGTGAACAATAAATATTTTCATTACATGGAATACTCTCTTTATTTTTAGAAGGGGTTTTATGTACTTTACGTAATGAATTAGATCCTGGTGATATTCTTGATATAGCTAATTCTGAAAGAGGATTTGAATTATTAATTTTTGACTTTTTTCCACCTAAACATTCAAAACTAGACTTTAATTTGGGCAAAAAACTAATATATAATTAAAAAAGATATAAAAAATAAAATTATATAACCTTTTAATTTGAACATTTTTTGAAAAACCAACATACTTAAAATCAGAATATAAACATGATTGCCCTTTATATGTATTTTTATTAGAATTAGTATGGTTTGAATGAGAATGATCATCAGAAAAGCATAACTTTAAGTTTTCAGAACAAATAGGAGCTTTTGTATAAGTAATACGAAAATTCTTCATGCCTTTATTCTTTCTAAAACCAAATTTAGGTAAAAAAGACGATGGAGAAAAGGTTTTTGAAAAATCTTTAGAGATATCTTCGTTTTTATTTTCTGAAGCAATTAAATTAATTTCACTAGATGTAGAACTTGACGAAATACAAGCATTTGATGGAGAAACATCAACAACCTTAACATCATTTTGGCATTTTCCTGATTCGATATTTAAATTTTTTTTTGAAAAAGTATAGAAATTATTGCCATTATCTTTTTGAGTATCCTCTGATTTTTCAGATATTTTATCGACAATTTTTGATATTCCTATGTTAGAATATTGATAATTAGAAATACCTTCAGGTATAGGAGGTACAGGGGGAATAGAATTATCTAATACTGTAATTTTTCGAGTTATTACAGATAGCCTTGTTGGTAGATCTTTTATATAAGAGCATGAAACACCATTACTTAAAAAATTCGAAGAAGATAATCCATACATATTTTTAATAGATTTAAGTTCTGTAGGAGATATCGTTTTAGAACCCAGATCAGAAGCCCCAAAAATAAAATTACGAGATTTTGGAGATAGAGATGTTTTAGAACTTTTTGGCTGATGTGAAATATCTGCTTTATCACTGAATGGCGTTACAATTTGGCAAAAAGAAGTGGGCATTTCAGTTAGTCGAACAAATTCAGAATTAATTGATTTCTTAAAATCTATATCAGAATTGGATGAACTTTTTAAAGAGCTTCGAATATTTCTATTAGGAATTTCTAAAGAATGTTCAATATTATTTTTAGCAAAAGACTTGTTAGTCTCATTCAAAATTGAAGATGTACTGCGTTTTAAGCTATTTTCATCAGAAAATATTAAAAACATCATAATACAAACATTTCCTTATCAAATTCTCTGATATATTCATCCAAAAATTCCATTTCTTCTGTAAAAATATTATCTTTAGATTCTTTTAGAAACATCGTTTAAATAACATAAAGTATCACCTTTATTCTCATTTTTCGTATAATAATAATCAATGAATGATGAAAAAAAAAACGAACTAGAATTTGATTTGTCTTCCAATTTTACATCTTTCTCTACCCCCTCAATTTCTAAAAAACTACCCACTTCAAAATTTAACAAATTATCCATTTCATGTCCATTATCAGATTTTTCATAACTCTTATTCAAATATTTCTCAAACAAAAACTCATCTGAACATGAACTGCTGTCTTTTGATGAAAACTCAAATATTCCATCTTTAGACGAATCTTCTTTTTTCCCTTTTTCCGAATCCAAATCCTCTGTTTCTCCACAACTATCATCCGATTTTAAAATACTAGACCCTAAATCATTTTCTACTCTTATTTCTTCCATATCATATTTATATAAAGAGGAATAATCTAAATCCCATACATCTAAAAATTCTTCTGAAGCATCCATTCAATTTAACCCCAAAAAAATCCCTAAAAAACTTAATAAAGATAAAATTCATATAGTTTTGCAGAAATACTGATATTATCATCTTTTTTTTTGTTCTTTTAACTGATAACCCTCAAATTAATTTTTTTAACGTTGGTAAACAACACGATAACACCATTAAGACAAGTTCAGGTAAAATAAATATAAGATTTAAAATCTATTAAAGAACTAAATAAAAAACCATTTAAAAGGTTATTTTGGATTAATATTTAAAATAAATGATATAAAAATTTGTATAATTACTAAAAAAATAATATAAAAAATAATCATTTAAAAATTTAAAAAAAAAACAAAAAAAAGAATATAGTTTAATACAAGAATCTTAAGGAGTAAATCTCTTAAAAACAATCAATAATATAGTATTTATTATATATAATTGACAAGGGTTTAACCCTAAGAATTAAAATTTGTCAGTCAAGTTTTTTAGTAGTCATTATTTTTTAAAAAAAATGGTAAGAAAAGATAGAAATAATCATCAAAATTATTGTGAGAAGCAGTGAGGCTCTTTTAATTAGAAGTGATTTGTCTTTTTTTTAGAAAAAAAAGATTAATTTTTTAATATTTTATCAGAGTAATATATAAATTTTAAAAAAAAAGGTAAGAAAAGGATAAATTAAGAAAAAAAGTGAATGATGCGTATTCTAAAGCATAGTTCGGCCAAAAATACGTACTTGTATTTATGAGGAGTCTTTACACCATCAAAATGTCTTTCGCTCCTATCTGACATTTTCTTAAATTATTTATATATTTTTTTAAGTACTAATTGTTATATATTAGGAAGAAAAATAATTTATTTTTTTATTATACAGAGATGATTATTTAATATATATATTTTTCATAATGGCTTATGTTTTAGACTTTTACAAAGCAGGTTAAAAACAAGGCGTATTATAAGCGATATCAAACAAAATATCGTAGACGGCGCGAAGGGAAGACAGATTATTATGCACGTAAGAGGCTTGTTATGCAGGCAAAAAACAAATATGATAGTAAGTTATATTTTTTATGTATTTTTTTTAAAAAGGTATAGCTCCTAAATATCGCCTTGTTGTACGATTCACCAATAAGGATATTATGTGTCAAATTGTTTATGCTAAAGTTCAGGGAGATTTTGTTTTTGCAGCAGCTTATTCTCATGAATTGCCGAGATACGGTATTAAGCATGGATTAACAAATTGGTCAGCTGCATATGCAACTGGATTATTAGTTGCTAGAAGAGCTTTGACTAAACTGGGTCTGGCAGATAAATATGAAGGTGTAGTAGAACCTGATGGAACAATGTCAATAACAGAACCTATTGACGATTGTCCTCGTCCTTTTAAAGTCTTTCTGGATGTTGGTTTAAAGCGGACATCAACAGGAAGTAGAGTTTTTGCAGCATTAAAAGGTGCCAGTGATGGAGGAATTAATATCCCTCATTCCCAGAATCGTTTTCCTGGATACGATATCGAAACTAAAGAATTAGATCCTGAAGTCCTTCGAAAATACATTTTTGGAGGCCATGTTTCTGAATATATGAGCATGCTCATGGAAGATGATGAGGAAAGATATAAAAAACAGTTTTCCGGTTTAATTTCTGATGGAATTGACTGCGATCAACTTGAAGATATGTACGCCGAAGCACATCGCAGGGTTTTCTTATTTTTTATTTTAATATATTTAATTAATTTTATTAGATTCGAGAAGACCCTACATTTGTTCCTACAAAAAAGACAAGAGATTATAAGAAGGAGTTCTGTGTATTTAAGAAACCGAAAATTTCAAATGAGGAAAAACGTCGAAAAATTCAAGAAAAACTAGAAAATCGAAGTTAAAATATAATTTTTATATTTTTTTTTAAAAATCAGCGTTTTGCTATATATATTGTAACTTATTTATATACTTTTTATTATAATATATATATATATATTACGATTTTAAAAATATATAATTGTTTATATTTTTTAAAATTTAAATGAGCTGTCAAAATGGCAGATAAACAGCTTAAACAGTCAGTTACGGTTCAGGATGTATTTATATCGGCAATAACATCGTCTCTTGCTTCAAGTTCTCCTAAAGGGGATCTTAATTCCTCTCAAATACCTTTTGATGATGATGATTCATCTGTAGCACCTTTTTCTCTACATATTTTAACACAAAATTTTAAAAAGATATCTTCTAGGTAATATCGTTAATTAATATTAATATAGATTAATAATTTAGGATTGGAATCCTATTTCAAGCTAGAGATAAATTAGCATCAATATTTCAATGGGAAAACCCCTATAAAACTCTCTCATTTTTGTGTATTTACACGTTAATATCTATAAATCCATCTCTTATTCTTATGATTCCTTCTACAATATTTATATTTGGGCTTCTTTTACCATCTTATGAGGCTCGCTATCCAGATTCTTATTCTGATATTTTTTCTTTAAATAACAAAGATATTATAACTTCTAAAAAATCTAATACAAATGGAAAGCCATCAGAGGCAAAGGATTTTACTATTAATATAAGAAATATTCAGGTGATTGAATATTATAATATCTTCAATATTATATTAAATATAAAAGAATTCTATGTCGGAATATACACATTTTTATGACTTAATTTATGGCTTTCTTTTAAAATATACTAGTTTCAATGATGATAAATTAAGCTCAACTGTTTTTCTTTTTTGCATTATTATATCTGTTTTTCTTATATTATTTTCTCATTGGATACCTTTGCGTTTAATATTTTTATTGTTCGGATGGATTTCAGTTTTATCTATAAATACTGATGTTCAAAAAGCTATTAAGGCTTTAATTGAAGAATATAAAAAAAATCGACTACAGCTTGAATCAGATTTATTCTTTAATTATGATTATATATACAATTGGATTGATTATAATTATATAGCACCAGAAATTCCAAAAAAAACTATTTTCGTGGAAATATTTGAATTTGAATTAAAAACAGATCAAAAAAACGAGAAACTTATTTATTATTCATCAAATCCTTATGCATTACCACCTAATAAAACATCTACACCAGCAGAAGAAGGATTAAGAGAACTTCTATATGATGATTCTTCTATTACTGGATCTATAAATTGTATTCATCCCCCGGAAGGTTACAAGTTTGAAAAAAATAGTTTTTGGAAAGTAGACGATAATAATACAGAAAACTTGTCTATTAATTTAAATCATAAGGATTGGCGTAGAAGAAGACTCAGAAGAGAAGTGGTCTTATCATAATAGATTATTTTTTTTATTAATTATATTATGTTTTCATTATATATTACTAATCATTGAGCCTTCAAAATTTTTTATTTAAAGCATTTTTGAAATAAAACGTATTTTTAATAGAGAATTTAATTTTTAAAGCGTATTTTAATTAAAATATATTAAAAACTTTAATCATAAATTTGAATTTTTAATTAACATTTTAACTTTTTCTATAAATGTTTGTTATATTGAGAAATGACAAACGTTTCTTTGGAATCTATTAAACATCTTTATTAATATAAAATTTAACTTAATTATAGGATATACCTGTTAGAAGTACTCAAGAAGTTACACGTTTTTTAAGAAATAAATCAGAAACATTAGAAAATAAATTAAAAACTGCAAATGATCTTTTAAATGGAAATATAAATATATATTTTCCTCAAAAAGAGAATTTTCTTTTAAATTGGGTTTTAGATAAACTTAAAGAAATCATACCAAATGAGTATATTCACATAAAACTTTCTATAAATAAAATATTCAATAATTTTAGGAAGAATTCTCTTAAAGTTATTTCTGAATTATGGGAATTTTTAAGGAATGTTTTAGAATCAAAAGATCTCTTGGCAGAATCTAAATATTTTAATTTTCAGAAACATTCATTTACTACTCTTCTTTCTATAACAATGTCTTTTGCTGCTAAAGTTAAAGAAAAAAAATTATTATCATTAATTTCATCAATTACAAAAACAATAGATTATATATTGTCAGAAGGAACACTTTTTTTCTTTATTAAAGGGTCATTTGATACTACTACTACTATTTTAGCAGATTTTTTTTGTTGCATTAAAGACTTGAATCTTTATAATGATACGATATCTATTTTAGGGTCTCAAATTTTTGGAATATGGGAAAAATCTATTTATGGTCTTGAGAATTTTAAAAAGGTCTATATTTCTATTTATATATTTTTAAATTAATAGATTAGGTATCTAAAACAATTTCTTCTAAGGTTTTACCTCATGCTTGTTACCTTATTGGAAAAAAAGATACTCCATCATGGCTTAACGATTTGTTTTCTACTGTTCTTTATAAAACTTTATTTTCTCCAGAGTTGTTAATTGATTATATAAATGATCAAATACAAAATTCTAAATCCCGAAATATAGCTCTAAAAGAATCTAGTTTAGAATTATTTTTTAACTCTTTACTGAATAATTTACCGAAAACATCTCATTTTAGTAATATATTTTTAAATTTTTTTGATTATGAAGGTAATATGAAATATAGATATTTTATCTTCTCTTCCAAAATTTCTAGAAATTGCGCAGAATTCTGTTAGTTATAATTCAGTATATTCAAAAGTGAAGATTAATGTAAATCCATCAAAAATGATGCAACTTAATGATATATTTTTATCAGAAATATTAAAATTTGTATTTAAATTATCATTAGAACAAAAAACTTTTAAATATTCAATTATTTTAAATATTTTGGAAGTATCAAAAGACAACAGCATTTCTCATAAAGTTTCTAATATTATATTGGAACAACAAATTTCTGAAATATTCAAAGACTCATTTTTATTAATTAAAGAAGGTATATATTAAACTTATTAATTTAATTTAATTTTTTTCAAAGATAATACAATGATGATTGGCTGGAAATTATTATATACTCTTTTAAAGTTTAATTTTGAGCTAATATTACCATATAATGAACAATTATGGACAAATTTAACCCAGGTAATCAATTTAATATAACTAATAATTATTATTTAACTTTTTTATATAAAAGATTGATATGACATCTGAGTATTCAGAAATATGTTATGAACTAATAAAATTATTTGTAAATAACTATAAAATGCAAAGGAACTTGCATGAATTTATAAACAATTGGATGAAGTTTTTGAATTTTTCTCTTATCAATAACTGTATATTACTCAGTGATGAAATTTTAATTATGTAAGTAGAAAGTATAAATAAACTCGTCTAATAAAATCATAGAGTAATGGGATCAGCTAATACTCTTCCATTGAATAAAATAAAAGCAATAATTAATTATATTTTGGAAGAAAATAATTTTGAAGTGTTGAAAAAATCAGTAGATTCAAATGAATTATCCTTGAAAAATTCTTTAGATATTTCAAAAAATCAAATTAAAAGTCCTTTTTTTGTTTTTTATCCATTACTTTCCATATTACATGGATTAACTGATACTGAAATAATTTCGGATATCTGGAAAGACATGGTTAAATTATATAAATCTATTATAATTGAGGTTTTTTCAAACATTTCTACTTTTTTAGAGGATCATGGCATACATCTAATATTTAGAATCCATTACAAAACAATGTTGTTATCTCATGAATATATATCTTCTACTGATCCATATAAAAATTTAGAATATATTAGATCTATAAGTAACTTTAAAAGAATCTCACCTAAGATATTTTTTTACATGGTATGATTAAAATGTATTTATAAATTCTAAATACTTAGATTCAATGTCAATTATTTTATTTGCAATATTTTGATCAAGGTTATTCAGAAAATTTTAAAACAGAAAATCGTTTACTTTTGATGGATTCAATTTTAGATGATATAATATTTTTTCTTAGGTCTACATCTATCAATTCTCTTTGGAAAGCCGGAAAAATGCAACTGATAAATAAAGATAACATAAGTATAGCATATATCTATGCAATAAATAATAATTGGTTGTATTTAATAAAGTATCTTTTTTGATTTATAAAAAAATATTAACATATATTAGCAAATTATGTTCTTTTGATAAAATTAAAAAATTTATGAATATTTTTATTAAATATAGTGTTGAAAGTTCTCTAGAAGTTAATATAAGTCAGTTATTATCTTTTTCAAATTTATGGTATATCTTTTTATCCAATGCAGAAATATATGAATTAGCTTTACTTAGAGGTATATATTATGAATAATAAGATTATATTTTATTTTCATTATAGATGCATCCCTATCTGCATTTACAGACTATATTTTTTCTTATGAATTTGATCAAATATTATTTCAAGATAGTATAAAATCTTATTCTAATAAGAAACATAAAAACCTCATTGAGGACAATAAGGATGACTTTGATATTCTAAAATTTAGGAAAATAATCAAATATTTACAAATAATTCCTATAAACTGCATAAAAGATTCAGTAAAGGAAAAATTATTAGATTTTTTGTTTTATATAGATTTTCAATTCATCAAAAGATATTCCATGAATATAGTACTAGATGAAAGCCGTAAATTATTATATCGAATAATGATGACAATAAATACACTAAATTCTTTGGTATGACCTTAAAATTCAAATAAATTTTTAAATGATTATAGTTATATAATATTTTTTCTTTAGTATATTTTTGTGTTAGCTTAGATAATATTAAGGTAAAGGAAGAGTCATTGATCTCCATTTCTAGTTTAATATCTAAGGAAATAATCAGGTATATTAATATTTTTTGATTAGTTGAAATAATAATTTAGTAAATTAGGAAAAAAATATTTTCTGATAATTCTCTTGCTGATAAATTAATTAAAATTATTAAAAAATATGAAATAAATTTGTTAGATTATTATCATGCATTTTTATATCAACAGACTGAAAATACATTTTATATACCTGGAATTATTCAATTAATCTCAATTTTTTTTTTTGAAATTCAAAATAATGATAAAATGTATTCAATTTATTACTGTTTTATATTTATTAACTAATATTAGTCATAAAAAAGAATTTTTAAAAGAGGAAATCACTAAATTAATGCATTTTTATTTTGAAACTATTGAAAAATGTTTGAAAAAATTATTAGAAATTTGTCAAAAAAATACTTCAAATTTAGAAAAAGCATTAAATTCCATTTATCTTTTTCAACTTTTTTTTAAACTTTCTTTCTTTTTTTCTGAATATGATAAAGGTATGTTAAATATTTTTTTAATAAATTTAAATTAAATCTTTTAAGACTCTTTAAAGCAACTTATATTTCTTATGTCTACGTGTTGTTTTTACTACGAAAATATAAATATTTATTTATACGAAAAATCTCAAGATTTACTTTTATCTTTATTAAAAATTCATTGTAATAAAATCAGAAGTCATGATGATATATTAGAAACATCTATAGTTTTGATAACTGCCTTCAAAAATATACAATTATCTTTAACAGATATCCCGAAAATATCTACATATTACAATTTTGAATCATTATCTATTTATTGTTTTATCCAGCAAAAATCACAAAGTTTAAAATTCCAGGATTTTGAAAGAATATGTAAAGTATTATGTCTTAGTTCATGGAAGGTAGAAAATATTAATATGGCAGCGAATATTTTATGTGCAATTTTATTAAGTAGAATAGAAGAGGGTAATTTTAATATAATATATATTATATATATTTTATTTAAAATGTTTTAGTGGATGAATCAAAAAAAAAATACTTAGAATTATTTCAAACTTTTGTTTCTTGTTTAATTTCAGTCGCAAAAAGGGCAAAAGATCTTGAAATACTATATAATTTTATAAATTTATTTAATATCCTTTTATATAAAAAAGTACGTATATGAAATTAAATGTTTTTCTTTCTAAAAAAATTTAGTCGCAGTATTTTTCACTACAAAACTTGGATCAACTTTTTGTTTTAATAACTATTACATTATCTTCGTCTAGTCCAATTCTTAATTTATCTCCTAATATTACTATTGATGACATTTGTAAGAGATTTTGCAAGATGATTTCTTTAATATTAAAGAAAAATTATAAAAAACTAAATGGACGATATCACCTGCTTACTAATTGTTTCCAATCATTATTATATTTGTTTGCACATGATAATACTAATACTAAAATTACTAAAAATAGCTTTTTCCATAGAATTCCTAATTGGATTTTAACATCTTCATGCTCTATCTCTACTGCTAAAATTTATTCAGATAGTTTATTATGTTGGATTCAAACTTCTCATTCAAATAAAAGTTCTAAAAAATTAAAATTAAATTCATTTAAAACATCTGAAAAAGCTATTGCAAAATATCTTTTATGGATTATAGTTGAATATATCAAATTATTATTGAATTATTCTATAAA